CTTCCTGTTATCTTCCAAGTTGATTTTTCGTCTCCCACCGAATCCTATGGTGCAACCCTCCCGCCAACCCGTGGAAAGCAGCCCTGAAATACCAAGCATAGTTTGTGAGGGAGTAACTAAAGAGCACAATACCATCTGGGGTGACGCAAAACAAAATGCAGTCCACCTCGATACCATGGAACGAGAGGCGGTAAGTCACCGCCGGATAGATCCATTCGGAGAATTCATGGGTCTGGGCGACCAGAACATGGGTCCCTTCGTGATGCGAGCCATGTTCCTGTATCCTGCGACATCGAGCTTCGACCAAGCCTCTATGAGGCCTTTTCAATTACCATCTGAACCTTCGGATGGCTCTTGGATGGATTCCTACTCGACAACGACGATGACGATGCCGATCATGATGGTGATGGTGGTGGTGATGATGATGATGCCACAGCACTAAAGTAAATAGCGGTGGGTTACGCTCTGCCGTCGGTCTAGAACCTGCATTTCTTCCCGTGCATCTAGGAGTTGCTACTTGTTGGAGTCTAGGGCCCAAACGACCCTCCATCACCCCTCCACCGATTGCGGCCGGCCTAAATTCCCTATAGGACCATCACAATCCCCCTCAATGCCGGTAGATATTACTATGTGGCTACGACAAAGTACCTAGCATCCCACTGCGTAACGGTGGCCAGATGGCAAGAGTAGCCCCCACATCCGGTTGGCTGACGAAGACTAAGAGACCTGGTACTCTGTGGTCCATCGGCCCTCCCCCTCGTGTTCAAGGCATGAACTTGCTCCTCGCCGTTCCACCTGGATCGATCCCGTTGGAAAGTTTGCGCCTGTTGGACAAGGTATATCCAATCCATTGGAGGCCTACAGAATGCTATGTCAGTACCGTCCCTGTACCGGCTTGGTCGGTATCTCGCCCTCCGTACTTGGGTACCTATACTCTACGGGACACCCAGAGTAGCATACTCGACAGCTACCAGGATCCTGTTGGGGTCCCGCTTGACGAGCACCGTGGCGGGTTCTCGCCGAGTATCTTTGCCGTCGGAGAGCTAGCTAAGAGTAGTGAGTACATCTCCCTCTTGGGAAGGAGACAGATCTCTCCCGCTTAGAGTGCATTAAGTACTATAGTTAGTACCTCCGTTAGCGACATTGACCAAGAAGTCCAAACGGCTTCGAGGGCGGTTGACACGCACCATTGGACCAACCCCGGTGGAGTGGGGCAAGGATTCCATCGCTCTATCTATTCCTGGCTTCCTGGCTCGCAATGATCGTCGCAGGAAAATGTCCGACGGCCTCGCAGGACCCCCACACACCCATGGTCCCATCCTCACTGTCCCGGCCATGACGGGGTACTGGGCTCTATCTATCAGTCTACTATGTACGGACTACGGAGTACACAGTAATAGTACCGCTTCAGCGTTCAGAGCCAGTCCCTTCTTTGTCGTACTTCCTTTCCTTCTCGGCGCCTGTGCCAAGTACTAGGACTGTGGAGGCAACTTGGAATATGGATCCTACAACCCAAGCTGCTTGTTTGGTTCTGGAGAACCGGTACACTTTCCTTGCTGTCCCTGGTGGTATGATACTTTGTCTCGCCCTCTCGATGGATGTCGAAACTCGAAGCAGCCTTATTCCTTCCTGAAGATACTTCAAGGTTTCAATCGCATGGTCTGTGCCTCTGGGGAAAGTAGGACTAGGGTCAAAAATACTAAGACTTTAGCATGGTCTAACACATACCTTGCCGGGATTCCCTGGGCAGGAAAATTAGCTACCAGGAACGGAAAACTGGTACTACGGAGTACATAGTACGGACACAAGGGAGGGGGGGGGGGTACGGTCCGTACAGAGTAGGGAGGAGAAAAAAGGAAAAAGAAAAAGAAAACAAGCCCTAAAGCTTCTTAAATCCCGAGGGCTGCAAGTCGAACGAACGGGCTCTGGATCATCGCTTCGTGGCAAAGCTGAAAGGGTGGTCCTGTGGCTATGGAAAAAACGCTTGATACTACTCGGCGCTGCCCAACCTGAGTGGATCTCCGGGCTGACTGGGGCCTAGAACTGCTGCTGGGTACCTTTGTTGGCACGGTGGCAGAGCTGGGAAGCCTTGGAGTAAGGTAGAGAACTTAGATACATCAGAACTCCCGTGCTAAATAGGCTTCGACGGATATGCTGCTCCGAGTACGCCTCTTTTCCCACCCCTGGTGTAGCGCATGATAGTACGGTGACAGCGGGCGAAATGACTGTCCATTCTGAATAGGACGCCGACACTTCCTGTGTGAGGGGTATATTATCGTCATTCGACATGCCGAAGCAAATTCGAATCCAGGCCTATTTGGAGTAGATAGATGGTCGTCGGTAGGGTTAGCTTGATCTCATGTTCAACGTTCCAAGTGGGTTTGTGGATGCTGGCGCAAAGGAACTCAGCTGTCACCGGCCCAAGCCAGACTAAACAGGACCCATAGTACTCCATGGAAGAATGATCCATTTTCCTTTCCTTTCGCGCTCTCTTGTTTTGCTGTGCTTCCTTTTGGATTTCTCATTTTTGATCCTCTGCCATCCTGTTCTGTTCTATTCTTTCGAGTGACCTGTCCCGATTACTTATTATTCGGACTTTGTCATAGTAGATTTATCTGTGTACTTGCTCCCGTGCCTACTCAATTTCCGACCAGACAATACAATGGGATAAACTCGCAGCCGATCGCACCAGAATTCATTTTACCCAAGGGCCAGGCTACTACGGAGTAAATACTATACTACGAGGAACTAAATCCCACCGGGGAGGGGGGGCTCCAACGAGTCCCAGCTACCTGGTTAATGCTAGTTGAATTAACGTGAGGACTTCTGAGACTATCAATGGAGTCAGCCCCGAGCGAACCCGCCGCACCTCCGCGACTTGAGGGTGGTTAATCTGCAGGAAACCATGGTTCGTCGCAGATTAGATGCATTTCCATGGTAATACGGAGTACGGAGTAGTATGGTCCGAACTATCTAGCTGTCTGTGCCATTGACCTACCATCTTCAAGCATTAGATGAAGAGGTGAGGAGGAGGATGATGATGAGGAGGGATCATTGTTTGTCACAATCTTGGCAGGCTGACCCGAATCAGACCATGCGGTCAGACGGAGCCCTGGTGGCAATGGGATGGATGGATAGAGATTGACTGATGGAGGACTTAAGATTGAGATTAATTACGGTGGGCTCCGTCGCAATCAATATATTATGATGGGATGGTTAGTGAGGAAGAAGGGGTCCGGGCAGTTGGGACTTGGGAGGGGAAAGGAACTAGGAAGGACCGTGGACGGAGGGAGGGACTTGAGAGGGGACTGAGAGGGACGGAGGGAGGGGCCCATCTGTTTGGCCGGTAAATTAATTCCGCTCCACTTCATACCAGATGAAACCAAAACCCAGGCCGGGTTGTGGGGAAAGGTCAGGAAATTACCACGCGTACTGGGTTGATACTAGTCCTATGTAGGTATGCGGATGAGAAAAGTGAGGAACCCAGAAGGGAGTACTAGTAGAGAGGTACTCCGTACTTCGTAAAAGAGAGTGGGCTCGCGATCGAGGCCATATCCTACTATAGATGAGGATTAATCTCCCGGTGCCTTTTCCTGGGCCCTACCAAGAACCAGTTCATCGGTGAAGCTGCCCCGAGGGTCTAGACTCGGATGAGGCCGTCCAGGTCAGGTTCCATCTTGCTTGGATTTCGGCTCTGGTTGGTAGACTACCCTGTCGAGATAAAATGGGCGAGTACAATGGCCATGTTTGGTGTTTCAGAATCCCTCATCCCTGCCCGAGGATTATTGACATACATGACCGCCGACACCGCAGAAGCAACGGCAACGGACTCGTGTGACATGGATGGTTTGACCATCCTCACTGGGCGCCTCCAACTGCCCCAACGGATACCCGTCATCCTATACGGGAGTACGGAGTAGGTAGGCTTCAGGTCTTGACCCTGACTGACACCACCGTTGCGACCAAGTGCCGCCTCCCGCTGCAATTTGGGCTCGAAACTTCCCGTGTTCGAGACTGCGTAGGTGTGTGTCTACCCAGGCCAGTGCAGACTGGTCGGACTAGACTGGCCGTGGACCTGTATCCAGTAAGGGCGTACCTGACTGGTCAAGTCTGGAATCATCATTTCCGCGCGGGTGGTTTGGCTTGGGTTAGTTGGGTCGAACCCCACCCGATCTTTGCCGTCGAGGGTCAACGTCATAGCGGGACGAGCCATCGTTCCGTGTCAACTCATCTCACCATCCACGCACGAGAGCTGCTGCTGGGTGAAAAGGGGGGCCTCGCATGTTATGTTTCTCATCCATACTAGCGAGGACTGACTCTCAGCATAGGAGCTGAGAGGCTCATCCAGACTCTAGCATAATCTACTTCTCCTGTACTGATATGTACGGATAGAAGCCCTCCAAGGTCTGTCTGGTTGCGTAGAGATAACCATGTGATATCAACCACATGGTCATGTGACCCACCTGCCTCTTAGGAATAATGACATGAATGAATCCCACGTCCAGATCATATGGCAGTGATTCACAGCCACAGACACCTCGACCGTAATATTGCCTTCTATGACCACTGCTTAGACAACATGTCCAAATTGCTGGATGAATCATGCAAGGACTGATTATATCTTTGGTGGTTGCCGTGGATCAACACGATCCAGTCCTTTCAGATGGACCTGAAGATCGGGCTCCAAGGAGCCTACAGAATCTGTTTCAAGAGCTCCTCCCTTTGTACAGACATGGTGGTTGTCTATTCTGGGGAGCTTGAACCCCAATAAAGGGAGCCCAAGAGCAAAGACTACGATGCTGTAAGAGCCTTTGTTGATTTGTTTCGACAGAGAGAGCCTTGTCTGGATGGCATTATCAAACAAAGGCTCTTTACAAAATCCCGACCTTGATCCTCTCCCACACTTTTTCAGACCTACAGTAACACAGCTATTCGGAGTCAACGGTCATTCAGCATCTTTCATCAGTCAATGCGCCAGATGTCTCAGCCCTATCAATCTACAAAGAGATCAGAGAAGAATAAATAGACCCAACACCAGACCAAACCGGATTAGCGCAGTACTACTCATTGTTGCCATGCGTTTGTTTCCAGACATAAAGTCGGCAATGTACGACTTTGCGCACATCTGTTTTGATCATGCTGCTAGCCAGATCGCTTTATCCAGCCAGACTCAAGTTTTGGCTATACGACTATCCGACTGCCCGGCATTGATGACAACTAGCTATGAGGATCGATAGACATGAGTTTAATAAACTTGCCGCATTCAAAAATTCAAGAACGGACGGTATGTCGCCCCGGACTTATCAGATGAGCTAGAGCTGGATTGACTTATCACCTATCAGACCACAACGCTGACCCCTGACTGGGCACCTCCCTTCATAAATACTCGCACTGAATGGAGTGGAGGGTTCCATAATCCGGACGTCTTATGCTACCGGAATTCGGCCATTCTAGTATTCTTACACTCGCCTCTTTTTCTGAACTGGCTGGAGAAATACTACAAGGCTCATGTGAGCTGCGCTTCAGAAAGTAAATGCTTGGTATGTGGCTTCCATGAGTTGTGTCTTGCCTACTGGGGTCCAGACCCTGGTAATGCGGCTGGGTTTGAACGCGCTCTTGTGCCGGTCTGGGCGAGGCTTCGAGAGACCTCCTGGAGTTGTGCTAGGGAAGAGCAACAGCAAGATGTGCGCGAATTCGTGGAAAGGGTACTTGAAGAGCTGCTCGACGAGACGGATGAAGAAGGGTAAAGTACTGCATTGATGTCTGCACGTCAAGTCAATTGCTAATGCTGATGAAGCCGTCGTGAATTGAATGAGATCTTTAAAATGCGAACCAGTAATGACCGTGTATGCCTTCAATGTTCTCATGTCGTGCCCATGCAGCCGGACGAGAAGTTCTTTCTTGTTGTCAACTATAGACACGAAAGATTGCTTGGGCACAACACTATCCAGGAGTTGTTGCAGACACAGTCACGTTCGAGGTTCAGCTGTGGGCAGTGCAAGAAGGAGACTGAGCATCTGCTTCGAGAAAGGCTTACGTATCTGCCAGAAATTATTTTTGTCCAGGTCAACCGGGTTTCTTATACCAACGGAGACTTGCGAAAGAACGAAAATCCAGTCAAGCTCGCAGATGAATTGATCATACCCCCCGAGATGTTAAATGAGACGGTGGAGAGTACAGACGGGGCCCGCTATGAGCCTTATGGACTAGTCTTCCACTATGGCGCTGTTCCACATGAGGGTCATTACACAACTGCCACCAAACGTCCCAAGGGTGGCTGGACATGGTTCGACGATGATAAATTAGAATGGCCGGACTTAAAAACAGTGGATGAGGTTTGCCTCGATCCGAACCCGGGTGCAATCAACTGGGAGACGCTTGTGTACATCATAGCATATCGCCGCCTACCCCTCGACAGGTCATTGGAGCTAGGTCTTCTGGTGACTAAAAATGATGACTCGGCTGTGCAGCTGGCCAACGACGATGGATCCGGAAAGTCTGGATTATTTCACCCCCCAACTGGGGACTCACCCGGGGGCTCTCCGCCAACTCCTGGCCCAAATACAGCGGAATCTCCGTCCCCTGATGATGTACGCCTCGATCAAACCATCCGACTCATGGGGAGGAAACTGAAATGGAGAGTAGAAGAACCTTTGGTCATCCCTGAGGGTTATGGGCCCCTCATACGGATCAGGCGGGGGAGAAGAGTCCAATATGCCGAGCTCAGACTGACACTGACCTGTGAAGCCACGGGCGAGATCCTCACGGGGAAAGGGCGTATCTCCCTCAAGCCAAATATCACTAGGAGATCTGAGAGGTCGTCGTCGGCTGCCGCAGTGATGAACATGAGAGACTTCGGAACCCAGACGTCGCCGGGTCCGGATTTGAAGAACACAGCGAAGCCGCAGGGGGTTACGAAGGACAAGGCTGGCTCGACGAAGCCAACGGGTACCGGTCGTAGGGTCCAGTCTCGTTGAGCCGCGAGGGTTAACAAGGGGGACATTGGAGGGTTTGCATGTGCTTGTACTAGAGCCCTATGTATTTTCAGACTTGTTGAAGTTCTAGCATGAAAGGGAGTTGGCTGTGGTTCGGTCGGCTTAATTGGTCCTGCATGAATGGAGGAGAGCAGCACGCCTTTCATGAGTTTGTTGATGTAACGTTGGAATCCATTACTGGTCGAGTTGGCTCGCGATCTCCCGTGTGGTCCCGACATCTTCTGTCTACCTACTCCGTACAATTTACATCTCCCACCCATCCTAATGGCCCATCCACATCAGTGCCCCTCTCACCCCCAATCCCAACCTTCAACCCCACAGTTTATCAATCATCTCATCTCTCGTCTTGCAGCCTACAACGCCACCCCAGTAGACAATAACCATGACCTCGAACACCGGTCTCTGGCACGGCATCAACCACGCCCCACTGCCTTCTCTACTCTGCCCGCATCCCAAACCACAGAAGTCAAAGCAATAATGCTAACTCTCCACTGTCTTTTCCCTAACGAACTCCTCCTCGCTCTGGACATCCTGGACCGAGGTCTCATGAATCGCTTCGTGCGCAATGACAACACCACCACCACCACCACCACATCACCAACACAAACAAAGGACACCGATACATTCCATGTCCTCTCAGCAGCCACCCTCACCCACTCCCCAGACCATGTCCGGTCCACATCCAACCCCCAATCCTTATCCCATATGGACGCGAACCTTCCCCCAAAAGGCTACGAAGTCCGCCTGCACGCATGGAACTGCACCTGTCCAACGTTCACGCTCTCTGCGTTCCGGGATCTCGGCCCCGAAGTATCACCAGCAGATACCGCTGGTGATTATGACGACGAGGGGGAAGCGGGGGACGTATCTTTCCCCAACCTGCATAAAATATCTTCGGATTCCGATCCCACTGACTATTCGTTTGGAGGGACCTTGACCCGGGGCTCATTCAAGTCCTCGCCCCCTGTTTGTAAGCATCTACTTGCTTGTTTGTTGGCTGTACGGTGTCCGGGGTTAGTTGGGCTAGGGGAGGAGGGTGTTGTTGGGGTTTCGGTTGGGGAGGGGGAGTTGGCGGGTTGGGGGGCTGGGTGGGGAGGATGAGGTGGATGTGATTGAAATTGTACGGTGTTGCTGAAGTGATTGATGTGATGTAATTGATGGCTTTGATATAGCTGTGGGATGTGTCTCGATTACTGGTGTGGGATTGCGGATCGACTGCATGAAAATATATCCCGACGTGGAGGCGGGTTGTATGGGGGCATTATGAGTGAAGAACTTAGCTTACTGCTGTCAAAGATAGCCGGCTGACTTTGGCTGGGCCAGGGAAGCATGACGCGTCGGCTCTAGGACTGGGTGGGAGGCATACGCAACATCATACGATATGATTGTGAGCGCATGATGGTCTACTCCGTACGGAGTACATGCCTACAATATGTCTCAGAGAGACAGCAGTGGATAGACATCGTTACACGAGGGACCGTGGTCCGATGGTGGGGTCGGACATGTGCGTGAGCTTTTGCATTCTCACAAGTTCAATCTCATCACCGCAAATTCTGCTTGCGGACCCAAACACAATACAGCAGAGATATAATAACACAAAGATACGTTTGTGATGTTCTCTAACTTGTAGACGTCCCGGGAGCCCTAATCAGCTGCGTTGCGATTACCGTAATATACATTGGACGTAGAGACTGAATTGTTCTAGATGTTATGTTCGTATCGCATTGAGTCTCTGGCCATCTAGTCACCCCGCTGACCCTTCTTCTTGGCCTTCTCCTTGTCTTGTTCCTCCTTCTGCTCCCCATTGACCGTGCCATTGGCCTTCTTCGTGGTCTCCTTCTCGGCCTTGGCCGCGTTGGCCTCTTGTTCCCTCTTCAACTCGTTCTCTTCTTGCTGCTGCCGGTTCTGGATCTTGTTCTCGATCAAGTCATGGAAGGCGGTGATGGCGCGGATCAAGCTACTCAAGTAGATCGCCATTAATTGATCGTTGGTCTTGATGCTCATGGCCCGCGCGAGCTCGCTGTTCTCCGTCGGCTGTTCTGATGCGCCACTGATACGCGGCGTCACGGCGGGCGTGGAAAGGTTGGGAAGGAGGTTGAAGACGTCCTGAAGGTTGCCCAGAATGGCGTGGTTGACTGGTAGTTCATGGTCAAGGACCTTCTGCAGATATTGGCCGATATCCCGCAAACGCAGATGCAGACCCTGCAGCGACTGCAGCTGCGATGTTATGCGCGTGGAGAGGGTTCCGACAGCGACGTCCCTGATATCCCGGAGAAGGTGTTCCACTCCGATTTCCTCTGCTTCCTCTGCTTCAATTATGGACGGGGTGTGGACGAACGTCTTCGATGTCGTGGTGCCATCCTATTTCCGATTGATAGTGATTAGCGCATAGGGTCCTAATGTAGAAACCAGATGGACGGCGCGCATAGCTACTTACATCCTTGATCTCATCCACAGCAAAGTAGGCATCTGTAGGAACGCCAACCTCCTTTGGTTGGACGTCCACGATAACCAGCAGAGGGTTCGGTGTGTATCGCTTGAACAACTCGTTGATTTCCAAGTCCGAGGCTCGCAGCTTCGGGCCCGAGTGGTACCATCCGACCAGTTTCTCACGGGCATTGATCTTCTTGAACATGTCTCTCATCGACTCAACGAAGTTGTGATCTAGGAACCAAACGGAGGGGTCCTTTTCATCTTCCTCGAAGGGCACTAGGGGAAAGGCTGTCAGCACGCGGATAACCTAGAGGCGCCAACCAGATGGCTGGAGATAGAGTCGGCAATGACGCACCCGCAAAGCTGTTAGACACCCGGACATTCTGGCCCGAGTTCTCACCCAGCAGCACACCAACCACACGTTTCCGGGTGCCCTTAGCCGAGCGGCCGTAGTGATCTGCGACGGAGAGAAGAACTAAGGGAGCGACCGTGACGGTCCGCTGCACGAGGGAGAGGGTGTCCGCCGTGGTGGCAGGCATGGCGGAGACAGAAGGCACACGGGACGAGCTGTCACCAGAGGAGATGGGGCGGGTAAGAGAGGATGAGCTGGGGGTGAGAAAAGAGTGAGGGAGCTTGTTGCAGGATCAGCAAGGAGATGGGGAGATGGAGATGGACAATGGAGGAGAGACGTGATGACGATGAAGAGGAGGGAAGCTGTTGTTGGTTAGTCCGCCGGGAGCCTCTGGAGCCTCTGGAGCCTCTGGAGCTCCGTGCTTGAGCCACCGATATGTGGCTGGGGGAGAAATCGACACCGGAGCAACCGCCACACAGGCACTACACAGTATAGGGCCTCAGGCATGAACAAGGAACACGTGTTCCGGCCTCCGGGACTAGTGCCGAGCTGGACTCCAGGCAAGTGGATGTTGGGTCGAAGACGGACGTCATTCATGATTGGCATGGGGAAGGGAATTGCGATCGGGTCAATGGACTACTCCGACCATCTACGGCCTACGTACTCCGACCCAGTGCCGATGGTCAGCAAGCAGGGTGCCGTTCGAGGCGAATTTCCCAGGGCGCCAGAACCTCGGGTGCGCGACTCCACTCTCTCCGGTCGGCCTCTTTTCTCCCCCAACATGCAGTTTCTCCGTCCCCTTCCCTTTCCCCGGTCTGGCTGATATCTCTTCATTCCTGCCACTTCTCTCCTCTCTTCCCTCTCCGTTCCCCTCCTGATCCCTTTCCGGACAATTCCTTGAAGCGTTTCCCCTTCGCTCCCCATCCCTCATATCGCAATGGCTCCCATCACAGAAGAGGTCGTCAACGGCCTGAAGGATACTATCGGAAAGCTTGAGGCTCGCGTTGAGGAGTTGGAAGGCCGCCTCACCAACCAGGTCAAGCCCAAGTCGGTTGCGGAGCAGATGCGCATCATTCTCATGGGCCCTCCCGGTGCCGGTATGCCCTCCATTTCCACCTCCAGGTTGCATCCTGGTTCCCGACTCGCTGTCCCTGCGTTTCCGTCTTGCGAAATTCTGACCGATCTTCCAAACTAGGCAAGGGTACCCAGGCCCCCCGGCTCAAGGAGAAGTACTGTGTCTGCCACTTGGTAAGCAATCCTCTCGAAAAGTGCCCCATTGGGTGCGTCTGAACAAGACTAACGCCGGCTTTCTATCCGCACAGGCTACCGGTGATATGCTGCGTTCCCAGGTCGCCAAGAAGACCGCGCTGGGCAAGGAGGCCAAGAAGATCATGGACCAGGGTGGCTTGGTCAGTGACGAGATCATGGTCAACATGATCCAGAGCGAGCTCGAGAACAACGCCGAGTGCAAGAACGGGTTAGTATTTGTCCCCTACGCGATTCTGCTTACGTGAAACCGTTGGCTGATGGCGTGCGCTTTCAGTTTCATCCTGGATGGATTCCCCCGTACCGTTGCTCAGGCCGAGCGTCTGGATGACATGCTTGCCGTCCGCCAGCAGAAGCTCCAGCACGCCGTTGAGCTTCAGATTGACGATGCTCTGTTGGTTGCCCGGATCACCGGACGTCTGGTCCACCCGGCTTCTGGACGCTCGTACCACAAGATCTTCAACCCCCCCAAGGAGGAGATGAAGGACGATGTTACTGGCGAGCCTCTGATCCAGCGCTCCGACGACAACGCCGATACCCTGAAGAAGCGTCTCGGCACTTATCACGCCCAGACCGCCCCCGTTGTGGACTACTACAAGAAGACCGGTATCTGGCGCGGCATTGACGCCAGCCAGGAGCCCGGCCAGGTCTGGAAGAGCCTGCTCGGTGTCTTCCGCCAGTAAATGCAGCGATTGGGAGAAAGCCCACTGCTAGGCCGGAGTGATGTACCTAAATGATACCCATCGTTCCGGCCCCTGTGTCTTTGCCGGAGTGGAGAGATCAGGGGTTTGATATGATGTCCAAGTCTTGTATAGACTTCTGTTGCCCGCACGGGCCGGTGAAGAAAGGGAGAAAAGTCCTGCATTGTTCGGGAATGGAACTTGTCTTTCTCATGTCCGTATATAGACAGACGCCCTCCGGCGGAGAGATATCTGTTTTCTATGTATAGTAGTAATCTTTCGGAATGCAACCAACTTCCGGTTAGACCACTATACTCGCCCTTTCGACCTGATGATCCGGCACCAGCTATACCGCAATGTTTGACCGCCCAGACCGACATGCACACCGAGTTTATCATACATGGAGACTAATTAAACATGTGCATTGCATCAATAGTCAACAACTAAACAACGCTTAATGCCGTACTATAGAATCTAACTTTGCATGGCGGTCGTGGTCCTACAGCTGCGTAGGGTACACTGTGGATTCAATCTCCTCCGGATAGGTCAATCCGCCCTGCCGCCTGACCTCGTCCATCACTTCCATGATGACGATACTCTCTTCCCACGGCATTGTCTCACTCTCCAGCTTCCCATCGCGTAAGCATCGAGCGACCTCGTCCGCCTCCCAGAACATGCCCCTGCCATCTCCAGGGAATGGGCACTCGACGTCCTTCAATTCTCCCTTTCCCTTCTTAGGAATGATCCGATACCGTTTGGGTTGGAAAGCCGGACCATCCACCTGGATCTCACCCTCAGTACCCTGGATACGGATCGCCGGACGGGCGGTGTTAGCCTCATCAGGGTCCGTTGCAACGCGGAGATGCGTCATGGCCACGGCCTGCGACTTGCCCGGATGGGGCAGATTGGAGGGCGTGGTGGTCGGGAAGCTCAGCAGAATGGTAGTGGCTTCGTCGGCGCCAGTCAGGTGATAGAGCGTCATGTGAGCCGAGACGGCCGAGGGAGGTTTACGTTGCTCCCGAGGCAGTGTGTGATACAGGGTCTGGAAGACCCATGTCAAAGAGTAGATTCCCACTTCACGAATTCTTGTTAGCCATGTACACTCACCGATCCCCCGGGACGGGGAATGCTTACAGTCCAGCAAACATCCACCAGCCAGGTCCTTGTTGACCATGCGATGCTTGGTTCCCCAAGTCTCTTCGACGGGATCTCCGAAGCTGTTATCGGAAATGACACGCAGCACCTCGCCGATAGCGCCCTGCTTGATCAAGTCTCTGATCTGGATGCTCAGCGGGAAGTAGCGAGTCCAGACGGCCTCCATGAGGAATAGGTTCTTCTGCTTCGCGGTCTCGCATAGGATCTTTGCTTGGGCTGCGTTGACGGTGAAGGCCTTCTCGCAGAGGACGTTTTTTCCGGCTTCAAAGGCGAGCATGACGTTCTGGAAATGGTGGGAGTGCGGGGTTGCGACGTAGACAACGTCGACGTTGGCGTCGGCCACGAGATCATGGTAGGAGCCATATGCAGCGCAGGGAGCTGGAATGCCTGTGTCTGAGATGAACTTTTCTGCGCGGGCTGAAGATGAGGAGGATGCTACGGCGACAACGGTGTGGGAGACGTCGGATACGTCGCGGATGGCGGGGTCCTTTAAAAGGTCTCGCACGAAGGCTGGTTGGTTGCGTAAAATGTCAGAGAGCGGGTTCAGGGGATGTGTATGCTAATTTGTGAGACTTACTCTCGGCGATTCCTCCCGTAGCTGCGCAAATGCAATGCCATACATGTTAGCCTGGTATTCGTGGTGGTGCGGGGAAGTCTGGGATCTTACCCATGATACCCCACCGGACATTGTGGGGAGCCATTGTGAAGGACTGAGATGGAAGGCCGAAAGCGATGGGACGGATGGGCGCGGTGTAGTGAGGGAGATCTTTGGGTCGAGAGATGCTTGACAGTTGACACAGACGTTGAAGAGGCGATTGTCTTATACTAGCTAGAGGGGAGAGGCTGAGGGTCGCGCGGAGTTGCGCCGAGCGGGGCATCGTCGTTTACCGACGTCATTCGCCGGCTGTCCCTCTGAAGCGCTACACATATCTAGAAGGAATGTGTATTGATACGGTAGTCTCATCTGATTCTAATGGAATACTATATACAAGCCGCGAGCCAGGGAGTGTTGTATGACACGTCCTGTGATCCATCACCATCACTTACCCCGGAACGCGCAGTGGAAGGAAATCGCGTTCCCACCAATGCAAAACCAGCCGTCCGCTCAAAGGACGATGCATCTTCGCTCAAAAGCAGAGAAGAAGAGAAAGAAGAGTAATGCATGTACACCCCATCACATGGGCTCTGTTTTGATCCGCACATGTTGGCCGGGAGAATCCGTCCCCTACAGTGGTGGTTAGTCGAAAAGAGAGCCTGACGACACTCACAAGCCATTACTCACCTCTGCCTTGCGTTTCCCCAACACTGAGTCAGGAGTTCCAGTTCGTCCTGACGGCGTCCCCCGACTAGCTGGAGGAGGCCCGTCCTTGGTGACCTCGGAATAGCAACTCGCGTGATACACGCGACTCCCAACCTTGATCGCGTCTTGCCATATCCAGTCTTGCACATCCTCCGACCACGTCGACTCGAATTTCTCCTGACAGATGGGACAAGGGGTGTTTCGCAACGTCGCATCGTTCGGGGCGTGAATCCATGGCTTAGGAGGGCCCTTCTTGGCCGCAGTGCTGTCACTCCCAGCAACACCTTCACCAGACGCCTCCGTTTCCGCGAGGTCCTGTTCGTCTCCCACCTCCCGCGATTTGATCCAATCCTAGACAGGATTAGTCCTACAACAGAGATAACCCATGAACATAGTGCTTCACTCACCCGTTCATCAACGTACCAGCTGCGATTCTGGGCCCGCCTGGCAGCCTCAGACATGCGCTGATTGGTTCGGAAATGCCAATCCAAGTGACGTGCCTTCTTCTCCTTCCCATCCTCCGTGGCGAAGAACCGCTGGCCGCAGGTTCCACAACGATTTGACCGCGTCTCATAGAGGCTGGAAATCAACATCTGTCGAGGGCTGAGGTTGCATTATGTTAGCAATGTTGGAGACGATGTACAACGGGCACATGACTCACATTTTCATGGACGCCGTACTCATTTGAACATTCATCTGGGAGTCAGGCGTACTTTGTGTCTGCGGTGTTGCCACGGGAGGCGTGACTCTCACCTGACCAGGCACAATCAATGGAAAAGCGGACGGAACATTTGGCGGAGCAGCAGTGAATGGGGCTGGAGGTGCGGAGGCTGGAGGCAACAAGCCTTGTGCTCTAAGAGCTGCAATGAGGGGGTTCTCTGGTGCAGCGCTGACGGATGGCTGCGGTACGCTAGGATTCGTAGGTATCTGCGGTAAGATATTATGGATCTGAGGCGGCGGAGTCGGCTGTTGACGGGCAGCTGTTGCTTTGATAAGCCCGGCAAGCGTGCCCGGATTTAAGAGCTGTTGCAGGGGTTGCGAGAGTGTTTGGGTCGGGGGAGTAACCATAGGTGGTGTTGATATGGCTGGAACACTTGGGGGAATGGTCTGAGGGGCCGCTATGGTGGGCCTTGGTGCGAGTGCCGAGACCTGATCGCGGACAAGCTTCAGCTGTTCTTGGGTGAGTTCTTGCCGCTGCAAGATGCCCTGAAGATCCAAAAGGGCCTTCAGTCGTTGTTGCACTGACGGCTCTAGGGGGTTGTTGGCAAAGTCGCTTCTAGCAGTGGCAATCAAAGCTTCGATGTCCCGGTTGAGGGCCGAGAGATCAACCTCTGGGCGCTGCTGGGTTTGGGGGGTGGGAGTCGCGCGCGGGTATGGTTCACCCTGCCAATTCATGTTAGACATGTGTCATGGCACGGCTCTTTGATGTGGGTTAACACTTACCGAGGATGGATATCCATGACCAGCTCCATTACGCTGGTAATGCCCGGGCAAAGCCTGATTCGCCGCGGACGGATGCCGGCTCATGCTCTGCGGCGGTGTAGGACTGTTTGTCCAGGCTGGGGGAGTCCCAACTCGACCGCGAGTGAGAATATCTTGTTGGGTCCGGGCCTGTTGCTGCTGGAGGGCGGCAGTCCTCGCTTTGATCAGAGCACTCTCGATACTGCGAGTGACCTCGGGAGGGAAGACAGGTCGGGTGTCCAGGGATCCCGGCACAGGCTCCTTCCACGTCTTCAGCATCTCATCGAGCTTCCTGCGCGTTTGCGAATCGACCAGCGTGTAGGCGTTCATGAAGGTCTGATACAGATTGCGACCCAGGAACAGGGTGTAGGGCGTGCCTACGTTCTTGACGATGGAGTCGACTACATACAAGGCGGGCAACTTCTGAGCCGGCGGTGTCTACAGAGCAGATTAGAACTCGTTCATCCCAAAAGAGACTACAGACGGTCGTGCGCCTCGCCAGGTCCAACAAAGCGGTATTCTGAGAGCATGTCACCTACTGTTCGGATGTGGTTCTCCAACACGCGGGAGATGGCCATTGCATGTTCGGTATTCTCCTTGGCTATGACGGTCAAGTTGCTGATTTGAAATCTGTCATTGGTGGTTAGATCTTCCAAGGAATTCTTGTAGTCCTCGGCAACTTCGTCGGAGGCCAGCCCGGATGACATGGCGGGCAGATACACAGGCGGGTGAGGCCAATGAAGGGAAGCAGGGCCAGTGAGGATATGAAAAAGGGTATAGACAAAGAGATGGACAATAGACGAGCGCTAAGGAGGGCGTAACACTCGGGGATATTTAGGGTCCCGAGTCTTTTCTTTTCTTGCTTCCCGTGTTCCTGTGCTTCTTTTATCCGTTTTCTGATTTTTCTTTCTTCTTTTCCTTGTTTTTGAGACTGTATCTTTCTCTTTTTTCTTTCTTTCTTTTGTTGATTTTGTCTCCGTTGCCTTCTTATGACTTTGTTTCCTCTGGGATTGTTTCTTTCCTTTTTTTCTTTGTCCTCTTTTAACACCGTATATAGAAGTCCTATTTCCTCCTCCTTTGTTTCTCTCCACAAACCACGGTCTCCTGAAAGTGCAAGAGATGGAAAGAGCTGTCGGAACTTGTCAAATGCTTGCTAGCTATCTTGGTCAGACTTGAGACAACAACAGGAGGCCGCAAGCGCAAATCCTCCACCCGAACCACAAGTCAACAAAGAACCCGCGCTACAATTCTCCGTCAACCCAGTGTCAATCTACCTCATACGATCACCCGTGCCGATTGACCCGTCCAGAAGACAGCAACTAGTAGAGGAACCAAATCGGGACGAAGAAGGGGGGGGTTGATGGGAGGGGCCTCGGGCGAAGTAGGTGATTACCCCCGGGAGTTACACCACCTGGGAAATCCGGACGTGAAGAGGGGAAGGGCGATATGAACCGCGACCGAACACGGAGGGCCAAACTAGATAGAACAGAAGGGATATGGGGGTGGTAAGCAGAGCGACCGGGGAGTAGAGGCTGGGCTGGACAAGTAGGCCGAAGGAAAGGAAAGGATAGGAAAGGAGGCGAAGTGAGGCAGAATGCGGAAGGTGCCCTCACGACGCCCGAAGGATAGAAAGCGTCAGCGCCGCGGCGTGACTGGCTGACTCAGCGAGCGATTTTAGACTTGATCTCCTCCGTCACATGCTAGCCCCGATCGGGCAGTCCGGCCCAGCGCCCTTCAGTTTAGTTAAGTAGTATGACGCAGTCACGCTACGCTTCTCCAATACTACTATCTTCAACACGCACACACCCTTCGGGTTTCGCAACCTTTCAAACTGAACCAGCTTATCTGTAACTGAGACACTACTGAGCCTTTCGGTGAATTGGTTTGTCTCGGACTCCTTGCCGCTTTTCCACAATGAAGTTGTTGTCTGCTACCGTCTTGGGATTGCTCCCGTTGGCCCTGGCCGAATCGATTCTGGTGACTTTCCCTTCAGGAACGCCCGACTCGGTAGTGGAAGGGGCAAAGAAGTCAATTGTGGATGCTGTATGTGGCCGAATGCATTGACAGCGTTGCGACCTCGTTGACTGACTGACCGTTTCCTTATAGGGTGGCCAGATTACCCACGAATACAGTAAGGACTAGGAACCTCCCCTTTATCATATGGTCTTAATAATCCCAGTGCTAACATCCTGCTTGTTTTAGCCTTGCTCAAGTAATCCCCCCTCTGCTAATGAACACCAAGCTACTTGCTCTGACAGACTCTCAGGGGGTTCTCTGCCAACGCTCCGGAAAAGGCCATCCAGCAGATGTCGACTGAATCTGCCGCGTACAAACCAAATATTGAGAAAGACATGACTGTCACTATCCAGTAATGGAGTGATAGGTCTCCCGAACGAAGGGCGCTCGCCCTTCTCTATTATGCAAAGTTAATGGCTATTCCCCGCTGGTCTCGGGGCTTGACCGCTGAAGGTCGGTGATAAATGGGAAACACTAGGTATATTGTAATTCAGAACTGCTATGTGTCTTTTGACTTCTTTTGTTTTTGGCGGGGAGGGGTATGCGCCTTGTATATGTCCAGGATGGGCTATGTTCTGTAAGTCTTTTTTGGTGCCATGTGAACCTGAGATTACTTTAATTCGCGATTGAATCATGATTACCTGTGCGCATGGTCCTACTACCTCTATAAGACACGTCTCATTCTAAATGTAATCAAAAGGATTGTTGGTTGACATGGGCTGAAGTATGAAGTAACGGAGCGAGTGGTGGTCCCTGAGCCCCCGAGCGGGCCTTGGGTATTTATAGCTCGTCGATGCGCGTAGCGTGGATCCCGCCTCCAAACGCCCCGGAGGCGCTCAAAAAAGGATCTCGTCGAGGCCCAGTTCTTCCTCCGCCGTCCAGTTTTAATTCCACCGTGCTGAGGGGTCGCCAATTTGCCCCTCCTGGCCGCGATCCGAACCCTGCTGGCGCCCACTCCCAACCGTTCCTGCAATTCGCAACCGCCGTGTCCCCCGCCCAGTTGACTACCCCCGACTTCAGCCAACCGCCGACCATGGCTGCGGAGCATACTGTCACCCAGGCCCTGTTGGAATGGATTAACAGTTTCGCCCTGGGCAAGACCATTCGGACGACTGAGGAACTGTCGGATGGGACCATCATTTGGGAAATCTTGCAAGATATCGATCCGCAGTATTTCCTTGATGAAATCCCCCAGCGCGCCCCGTCCGACCACTGGTTATCCAAATGGCAGAATTTGAAACATATCCACAAATTGCTCGTCAATTACATTCGCCAACAGCCCGATGGCATGCCCTCGGGTCTCGACCCGAACCCCAACCTTGAGTTGGTCGCCGAGAAGAACTCCGTGAAGGAGGCCAATAAACTCCTCAAGCTGCTTCTGATTGCGGCCATCCGGTCCCCCAATGCGCAAACCTACGTCGAAACCCTTCAAAGCCTAAGCACGCCAACGCAAGAGACTCTTAAGAACATATTTGAGGAGGCTCAGAATGGACAGCATGAGGCCATCGACGGCGAGGACGACGTCAAGGAGGAGAGGGAGCTGCCCGTCGACCCGGAGCTTCAGTTTGAGGAACGGGTAGGGAAGGTGCTGGCGGAGAATAATCGCATGGCGCGCGAGAAGAAGGATATGCAGAAGCAGATTGATGATATGCACGACCGCTTGGCGCGCCTTCAGGAGAATAATGACACTCTACAGTCTCGTCTTGCATCGACAGAGGATCGCCTAGTCAACTTGAGATCCGGAAAGGGTGACCTGGGACTCAATGCAAAGGCTCTTGAGTCCAAGTCCCGTCAGCAAGAAGACATCATCGCGACGCAGGAAGCAAGGCTGGCCACGGCGCAGGATGAGATTGACAGCCTGCGAATGACCGTGGAGTCCTTGCGTGTCAAGAATCAACGCTTCCAGAAATTACAAGACGACTATGATGAGCTAAAGACGGAGCGGGACCAGCTCGCTCGTAAGGCAAATGCAGCTGAAAAGTATCGTCAGAAGCTACAGGCTAGCCAGGATTTCGAGAAAGAGAACCAGTCACTCAGGAACCAGATCAAAGATTTCCAGCAACAACTCAAGGAGGCGGATTCGCAGCAGAAATGGAACTCTGAACGGGAGGTGGAGCTTGAAGAATACCGCAGAGTCTTGCCGCGCATTGAACAGGAGTGCAGCGAAATTCAGAACCTGAAGAAGCAACTCGAGTTCAACAACCATGCCCTCACAGAGCGTCTCAGTAATGCCGACGAACAGCGTGAGCGTGATGATGCCCTGATAAGCGAGCTTCGGGAGCGAGTCCGTGAATTAGAAGGGTCGCCCGGAAGCCCATCCCTTACGCCGGGCACCGAAACCCCGAAGCTCGAGGGAACTCTGCAGAAAGATTTTGAGGCGATTGGGGTAAAGGAATCTCAACTGTTCGGGGTCCCCATTTTGTCGTCGTTGGGATTTGAGCTAACGTACCATAGGAAATCTGAGAACGAAGAGCTCAAGAAAGAAGTCGAATCCCTGAAGGGCCCATCCGTATGTTCGCATCTTATAATAATGGGTGCATTGGTACAGCCGCTGATAAGGTGTTGTTGCAGATAGGTTCTCCATTAGAAGGCTTCTCCGAAGCCTTTGGTGAAACGCTGCAACAGGCTCGCGCAAACTCTTCACAGAGGTACTTCCACCAGTAATCGTCTAGTACCAGTGCTAATCAAGCTCCAGTGATGAGTACTGGAAGTTGTATGAGCAGTACACTTCGGCCCTCAAGAGACTTGCCGAGGCCCAGGAAGCTCTCGATGTCTCCAAGAGATCGCTGAATGATGCGTTGGCTGAGGGTGAGTGGCTACAACCGGACGTATTGTAGATGCAGACTTAACCGTTTACATTATTGCAGTTGAACTTGCCAACAAGGAGAATGTCGACCTGATCGCCGAGATCAAAGCCAACAACTCGTCGGAGCTGGACAAGGCTCGCGAAGGGGAGAATGATGCTATGCGCAGACTCTACAATCTGCAGGCCGAACTTGATTCAACCCAGGCTCTAGTCCAGGTAACATGTGCCGAACGGGATGATCTCCGGAACCTGCTCGAGAAGAAACAAGCCGAGTTCCGTGCAGAGGATCAGGAAGCTGCAGAGGAAATGAAGAAGCTCCTTGCCGAACTTACCGCACAGGAGAATGGAGATGATCCGGAAGCCGCTCAAAAGTCGGCAGTAGAGCTCATCAGACAAGTCGCCGCCCAGATCGAAAAGAACCTGGAAAGGCTTGCGAAGCGCGCAGAGGTCAGTTACAAGAAACCCCATCGACTCGCACTTTGCGTTAGTCCGAGCCAGATAAGGCCCGTCCGCTTTGGTAGCTTCAGTGGCGAGAGGAAACGGCTCGATCTTCTTGCGGATCGGCCCTTTGGCGATTCGACCCAGATGCTAGCAGCCAAGGCTCCCGGCTTATCGCGCCTGGGTCGGTTCATTGCCAAACGGTTCAGGCGTTGAGGCCTGTCTGTGACCTCTCTGACACTTTGATGCACACCCTATCAGAGCACCCTATACAGTCCATAAAAACTAACACCAATCGTCGTGCAGTACATCCATCAGCAAAACGAACATATCAAGTTCCTCCAAGAACGGTTAAGGCAACTTGAAGAAGATACGGATGAAGGAATCAGCAAGGAGCGCGAGGTAAGCCAACACTTTTTCGTCCTACTCCCTACTACAAGCCTCAGTCTGAAGCCCTGGCTAACCTTCGAATTTGTGCAGCTCGAACTCCAGAAGATAATCGATGCGCAAGCACGAGAGCTGTCCCTGATGAGTTCCTCCTGGTATGAACTCCATAACCGATTACAGAACAACAATATCGGCATGTCCAGGTATCGCAATGGGTTACTGGCCGACGCCCAGAAGGGCTGGCTAGCCAGGCAGAGAAGCGTGGTCGCTGGTCGATAAAGCTGTCCGGACAATCTTCGTATATGGGGATATGGTTACGTTTTTTTCTTCGTACATGTCTTTATACTCCCTTTTGTTCCCCCCCCCACCTCCTTTCCCCGGTTTTCCTTTGCATTTTTTTTTTCATTGTTATCAAGACTGTTCTTGCTGTTGTTATTATACCTTTCTACATACATACTTTTCGTCTACCGCGCTGTACCGGATCGTTGCGGCTAGATTATCCTGATTTGTTGGAGCTTGGTCGGCATTATAGGCATATTGGCAAACGCACCTTGAAAGCGCTGTTGCATCGAGATAAACATTTGTGTTTGTGTTGAAATCCTCTTCTTTCTGTTCTACAGGCGGTTCTGCTTTTTGCGTCACGTAGCCATAGGTGCAGCTCATAATATACATACATGTAATACATCGTCCATGAAGAAATTATCAGACGTTTTCGGGGATATTTTGCTGGCAGGCCTGATCAGCCTTACACCCATTGTCTAGGGTGTCTCAGAACATCCATGATCTCCTTCTCGCGCTCCTTGCCTTCGCCGAGAAGGGCGTCATCCCCGCTCTCAGGATCCTCCGTCCGGGTTCCCGATACCGGGTCCATGTAGGCCCAGCTTGCGGTGCGGGGGAGACTCATCAGAATACTTTCGATACGGGCATTCGGAGTGCGAAGACCGAAGCTGGTGCCACGGTCGTACACCAGGTTGAACTCGACGTAGCGGCCACGTCGAAGCTGTTGCCATTCCTTTTGCTCGGGCGTGTAGAGCATGTCCTTCCGGCGTTCAATGATGGGGACGTAGGAGGGGAGGAAGGAGGCGAGACCGTCCGACACGAAGGAGAAAAGGGTCTCCTGCGGATTTTGCGACGAGCTCGAGGAGGACTGTAAGAAACTGGCATCAAGGTCGTCGAAGAAGATACCTCCAACGCCGCGACACTCCCGGCGATGGGGTATATAGAAGTACTTGTCACACCATGCCTTGAACTTCGGGTAGTATGTGGCGTCGTGTCGATCACAGGCATCTTTGATCGTCTGATGGAAGTGTTTGGCGTCTTCAGGGAACAGATAGGTGGGGGTCAGATCTGTGCCACCACCGAACCACCAATTCTTGTCGCCATTGATGGGGTCCTTGGGATCTGATGTCTCGAAGTACCGATAGTTCAGGTGAACGGTCGGAGCCATGGGGTTATGAGGGTGCAAAACAAGGGACAGGCCGGCGGCGAAGAAACTCAAAGAGTCGACATCGGCACCGACGAATGACTTGTGATCTGCCCGCATCTTCTCAATGGCTGGACGGGGCAATTCGCCGTAGACGATGGAGACGTTGACACCAGCTTTCTCGAAGACATTCCCGTCCTGAAGGACACAAGATATTCCACCACCTCCATTGGGGCGCGTCCAGGTATCGGTTTTGAATTCCGTTCCATCTATCCTGCTCAGCTCTTCGATAATCTTCTGTTGGTGGTCTTTGATCAACTTCTCCATGCGCAGGCGCATGGGAGATTGTTCGCTGATTGTGGCTTGCTTCTTGAGCGTCTCATCGAGCTCCACAAGCGATGGGGAGTCGAGTTCGGTCACTTCTTCGGTCATCTGCATTGAAGTGCGTTAGCGAAAGGTGTCCGCACAGGCTCAGGGTGGTGCATATCTACCATGGAATATACCAAAGCAGCGATGAAGGGCACACCAATGGCCAGTCGTAGATATGGTCGCCAGACAGTGAATGGCTTTGGTTCGGGAGGCGTTTGCTCCGAAGAGTATCTGCGGAATGGCCCTGTGATATTACGAGGCGCGCGACAGGTTCGAGATGAGAATTGACAGAGCGACCTCCGAAGAGGCATATATGGCCGGGGCAATGCCATTGTCGGGGCGCAATTGAATTGGCTGATCGATCGGCTAGAGAATCAGGTGGTGCCAGATATTATTGTACCTAACAGTATGGCGAGTCTTGACCGGTACCTGCTCTCTCCGAGCTCCACCAACACTTTGGGGCCAGTAGTGAGTAGGCGTTTGGTAATGGGTGAATCAATCAAGTCATCGGCTCCGAAACTGTATGGGACCACCTGCGGCCTCGATCTTCCGGAATGTCGTGAGGATCTGATACTGGTTTGTGTTGTTTGAAACAATTGCTTGGTTTGTCTGGCCCCGCCCGGGCCAGCTGAGATAAGTGGTTTGCTTGGTTTGCAGTGTCACCCGCCCCTAGGCCTGAACACCCCAGGCAGCAGGCCAACGTCAAGCAGAGTCCCTCCAGGAAAGCACTGCTAGTTACTCCCTCCAGAGTAGTTCATTATGACTACTTAGCGCAGAGTAAGTGATCTAAGGCCATTCGAGTTCTAGATGGAAGTAGACGGTGAAGGGTATCTTGCAGTGGCATAACCATCTAGTAGATAGGAGAATGGGCAACCCCATAATCTAGACGCTGATCCTAAGTGGAGGCTGGAGGCGAAGCACCCGAGCTACCGTTCACTCCCGACTCAATACCGTGTACGAGGCCCTGATCGATGGCGAGCGGAGGGCGGGTATCATCCGACTCTGGTCACTTGAATAAAGCACCATATCCACGTGCCAGGATGACGACCAGGAAACACCCTGATCGACTGGCCTTCTTATCGGGTGAATGATCAAATCTGCTTTGACCCAGCCCAGCACATGACCCGGCCTGACTCACGTGTGGGGCCGTTCACCGCCTCCACCCCGTGATCCACGCCTGCCTGGCGGCCTTATCAGCCGTGGAAGCCGTTCCTCACCAAATGACGCGGGGCTGTCGCCTTCACTCCCTCTAGACTGCCGACCTGCCTGCCTTTTTGTCATCATCCCTCGAGCTCTTCATCCATCCATCATCCACCTCACCCCTTGTTCATCGTCTCTTAGCTTCTCTCCGACTCTTGTCACTCTTCCCCACTTCTCACCCCCGTCCATATCCCCCTTTAAGGGATCCATCCGATCAGACCTAGTAGCCGCCCTCGGCCATTTATCAATATGCGTTCCAAGTTCAAGGACGAGCACCCCTTCGAGAAGCGTAAGGCAGAAGCCGAGCGTATCCGTCAGAAATATGCCGATCGCATTCCGGTACGCTTCCCCTGGGTTGTCCTTGTACAGTGATCTGGTCTACGGTCCTTTTGAGGAGGAACCGGATCCGTGGCTCACCGCTTATTCGAGTTGCTAACCCAGCGTGTGTCCTCAGGTAATCTGCGAAAAGGTCGAGAAATCAGACATCGCGACCATCGACAAGAAGAAGTACCTTGTCCCTGCCGACCTGACGGTTGGACAGTTCGTCTACGTCATCCGTAAGCGAATCAAGCTGTCACCCGAGAAGGCGATCTTCATCTTTGTCGACGAAGTGCTGCCACCGACAGCTGCTCTCATGAGCAGTATCTACGAAGAGCACAAGGATGAAGATGGTTTCTTGTATATCACGTATGCCGATCCCTTCGTCCTTTCTGGGCCATATCCGCGGGCATGAGACTAATGTGGTTCTTTATTAGGTACTCCGGCGAGAACACTTTTGGTGACTGCTAGGCGCTAGTCGATCTCTCCTTCTCGATATCCTGAGTTTCGAAATGGATCCGTTGCCGTCGTCATACAGTCGCTTTGTCCATATCATCCCTTTGGGGGGAATCAGGTATTGACTCTCCCTGGATGTGGACTCGGTCACTGTCGGGCGGGGGTAGATGAGGAGCTCGACCATGCTATGATGTTTCTATGCTGTGCTGTACGCGGGCGTTATCTTGGGGTTCTTCATTTTCTTCGTGAACTGCTCGTTTTTTAATTTGGCGAAATGAGTATGCTTGTTGAGAGGGTAGTTTAAATGAGAACAATCGTTGACAATCCACATGATCTATTGATTTGGCTGCATGGCTTGTTGGGAGCAGAATCAGAAAGGGAGACGTAAACGACGGAACAAGAGGAACGTAGGATCGCTATCCAGGTGGTCAAGATGGATTCCATCATGAGCTGATACATCTATACGACCGGAATGCATGGACCGGTGGCTGACCTAATCAGGGCCGCTCCGATCCAGGGCCGGTGGTGCCAAGCCCAAAGAGGCCTAGTGGCGCCAAAGCCCCGGCCGCAACGCTTGGAGCGGTTCCGAGTCGGCGCAGAAAGTCCATGGCAGTTGATCGCTCTCGTTCTTCTCGCTCTTCTTCCTCTTCCTCCCTGTGCGTCTGCTCTTTCTCTCTTGCTGCATTGCCTGGCTCCGGTTTTGGTTTCGTGTCGATTTTAGGTCGCGACCCCCTCCTATAAGACTCCTCGTCCTCCTCCTCTTCCCTTCTGCCTCTTGTTTTTATCTCCCCGAGAGAAAAGCTCCCCCAGGCCCGGAAAATTTTATACTCTTCATTTCTGCCCCGAGGACGCCCAACCAGCCCAATCCCCCTAAATCAAAATGTCTCCCGCTATGGCCCAAGCCGGTGCCGGCTCTGCCTCCAAGGATGTCAAGAGAGAATCTGCGACTGCCCGTCTTCTGGGTTCCGGTATGTGGCTATACCTTGGTACAACGGTTGTGGGCTGCGATCAATGGCTAACTTGACCCTTCAGGATCGGCCGGAATTGCGGAGCTGATGATTTTCCATCCTGTACGAATTGTTTTCCGTCTTCTGCGCGCCGATTTCTCTCCGCTGATGGGACAGAAGAGACTGACTCATCGATCAGGTTGATACCATCTCCAAGCGGTTGATGAGCAACCAGACCCGGGTACGACAACACTTTCCATATCACACTATGCGATTTCTATTTGTGCTTGGGGCTAATCGTGCGCTGAGTTAGATCACCTCCACTGCTGGCCTGAACCAGGTTGTCTTCAAGGAGTACGCCTCCGCCTCCGCCGGCACCAAGTTCACCTCCCTCTTCCCCGGTTTGGGTTACGCCGCTGGTTACAAGGTTCTCCAGCGTATCTACAAGTACGGTGGTCAGCCCTTCGCCCGTGACTACCTGGCTAAGCACCACGGCGCCGACTTCGACAATGCATTCGGCAAGGGTACCGGCAAGGCCATCATGCACGCCACTGCTGGAAGGTCCGTATCCGGGTCCTATTTTTGATGGCTACCCCTGGGCTAACCAAGTGAACCAGTTTGATCGGTATCGGAGAGGTCGTTCTGCTGCCCCTGGACGTTCTCAAGATCAAGCGTCAGACTAACCCCGAGGCTTTCCGCGGCCGTGGTCTGTTCAAGATCATCTCGGATGAGGGTATGGGACTGTACCGTGGCGCTGGCTGGACTGCGGCCCGTAACGCTCCTGGATCCTTCGCTGTATGTTCCACTTCCTACCATCATGTGCCCAACCGATACTGATTCCTGGTAATAGCTCTTTGGTGGTTCTGCCTTCGCCAAGGAATACATCTACAGCCTCAAGGACTACAACTCGGCTACCTGGGGTCAGAACTTTGTTGCTTCCATCTGCGGTGCCAGTGCCTCTCTGGTTGTGTCGGCTCCTCTGGATGTGATCAAGACTCGTATCCAGAACCGCAACTTCGAGAACCCCGAGTCCGGCTTCCGTATTCTGTCCAACATGGTCAAGAACGAGGGTGTCACCAGTTTCTTCAAGGGTCTGACGCCTAAGCTTCTGATGACTGGACCCAAGCTCGTTTTCAGCTTCTGGCTGGCTCAGACGTTGATCCCCGCCTTCGGCCAGGTCGTATAGACGATGACGATAATCCGATCATAATAGCGAGCGCCTTTTTCTTTCCCCCGGTTCGGGGTTTCTTTTAACATTCTTACTCCATGTTCGATTCCAGGGCTTTATGGTGCTGTTATAGAGCATTCTGTTAGGCCTTCGTGTATTTATGATAGACTCTTTCCCTTCGTCTCTGTTCCGAGTTACGGGTGCAAGATGGTATGTTATTGGATATGAATACAACTCCTCTTAATATGGCATGCCTTTATGACGGTCAAACATTGCATCTTGAAATAATTACTACAAGCTCCGGTAGATATCTTACAATGCCATTGTGGGAAGGTACAGATGCTACCCTGTAAATTTTAGACCTTCTCCACCAGGCACCAATTTAGACTTTCTACCGCAGCATCATCAGCCGCTGCACCTCGCCCTTTCATGCAGGTTAGAGACAGCCACATATCCTCAGGCTAGATACTATAATTATATCCCACCCAACGATACATTCATTGCCAGCGGCCACTCCATCCAATCACGTGACTACAGCTGGACACCTCCAACAGCACCGTTAACAATAGCAACATCCAACTCACCTCCCCACCACTACCAGCACCAGTCCAGCACCGAAAGGCAAACCACGCCCAATTCCGCCCAAAATGCCCGTCTACCTGATCTCCAAGTACGTCGTACATATATCCCTCATGCATTTCTACCCAGAGCATACACAACACACATGTGCCCATACCTACCTACCTACCCTACCTATCAACCCACCCTACACCCCCATCCGATCTCGCACCTCCCAAACCATCCATCGAATTACCAAACAAAATGAAATAAAATAATAAAAATACTAACCGCACAAACAAACAATCTAGACTCGCAGACCCCCTCTTCGCCCTATCCATCGGTACCTCGGCCGCCCTCCTCCGGATCCAACGAGACCAGCGCGAGAAGGTCCCCGACCGGGCCAAGGAAGTCACGATCGGGAGTGTAGTGAGCTTGGGTGCGAGTAGGGTGCGGAGATGGTGGGCGGGGGATTTTGAGGGGTTGTGAAACCTCTGCTATTGATAGAACATAAGGGGTGTGTGGTTATGGGGATTACTTTGTCGTGGATGATGATGGTGGGTTGATTATAACAAGGGTTGATTGGGGTGTGTATTGTGAGGAGGGACGTATGGGTGTATACTGAATGATAGGGTTATGGGCTTAGGGCGTTTATGGGGATATCCATGGGTACATAGTGTATTATATGATGATATTGGTGCTCGGAGAGAGCATATCGCTATGATTTATGGGTGATTGGGTACAGCTTGTGTGGATTGTTCATGAGGGGTGGACTTGAAGCTCGCTGCTCTGCCTGTCAAAATGCTGGTCAGGCCGAACCCAAACATAATTCTGATCAGAAAAGATGATTCGATGAGAGATTACAAGTCTATGATAATAAAGTATTACGAAAGAACCAAATATTAATAAGTATTGTATTCGTCGAAAGGAACTTTTCCCTCCCAGATTCTGCAGCGCAAGTCATCATGCAGCAACTAAAACTCGAATCTATGCATCATGCACAAAGAAAAGGATCCCATAATTTCGTTAAAAAAAAAAAGGACAGGAATTAAAAGCAACAAGAAAGGCCACTCGCCTATCCGCAAAGAACTAGAGGTATATTGAAGAAAGCAAATAGAGACTGGTGCTTAAGGCATTTAGTCAAGCTCCTCGGGGCGCTCCTCAACCTCGTCAGCAGTGCGGGTAGCACCGGGGGCGGCACCGGGGGCACCACCAGCGGCACCACCGTAGGCAGCGGAGATGATGGGGTTAGCAACAGCCTCGAGCTCCTTCTGCTGGGACTCGTACTCGTCCTTCTCGGCGGTCTGGTTGCTGTCGAGCCAGCTGATGATCTCGTCAACCTTGGCGGTGACCTTCTCCTTGTCGGCATCGCTGATGGTGAGCTTGCCCTCGTTGATGGTGTTCTTGAGGGAGTAGGCGTAGGACTCCAGACCGTTCTTGGCCTGGATACGGGAAGCCTCAGCCTCATCCTCAGCCTTGAACTTCTCGGCCTCAGCAAGCATGCGCTCGATGTCCTCCTTGGAGAGACGGCCCTTGTCGTTGGTGATGGTAATCTTGTTGGTCTTACCAGTGCCCTTCTCGATGGCGGACACGTTCATGATACCGTTGGCATCAACGTCGAAGGTGACCTCAATCTGGGGAACACCACGGGGGGCAGGGGGAATGCCAGTGAGCTCGAACTTGCCGAGCAGGTTGTTGTCCTTGGTACGGGCACGCTCACCCTCGTAGACCTGGATCAGGACACCGGGCTGGTTGTCCGAGTAGGTGGAGAAGGTCTCGGACTTCTTGGTGGGGACAGTGGTGTTGCGCTTGATGAGGGCGGTCATGACACCACCAGCGGTCTCGATACCCAGGGAGAGAGGGGCAACATCGAGCAGGAGGATCTCGTTGGTGGACTTGGAGGAAGTGTCACCGGACAGGATGGCAGCCTGGACGGCAGCACCGTAGGCAACGGCCTCATCGGGGTTGATGGACTTGTTGGCGTCCTTGTTGAAGAAGTCGGAGACGAGACGCTGGATCTTGGGGATACGGGTGGAACCACCGACCAGGACGATCTCGTGGACGGAGGACTTGTCGATCTTGGCGTCACGGAGGACACGCTCGACGGGCTCCATGGTGGAGCGGAAGAGGTCCTGGCAGAGCTCCTCGAAACGAGCACGGGTGATGGAGGTGTAGAAGTCGATACCCTCGAAGAGAGAGTCGATCTCAATGGAGGTCTGAGCAGCAGAGGACAGGGTACGCTTGGCACGCTCGCAAGCAGTGCGGAGACGGCGGAGAGCACGAGCGTTGGTGGTCAGGTCCTTCTTGTGCTTGCGCTTGAACTCGTTGACGAAGTGGTTGACGAGGCGGTTGTCGAAGTCCTCACCACCCAAGTGGGTGTCACCAGCGGTGGCCTTGACCTCGAAGATACCCTCCTCGATGGTCAGGAGGGACACATCGAAGGTACCACCACCAAGATCGAAGATGAGGACGTTGCGCTCACCCTCGGTCTTCTTGTCCAGACCGTAGGCAATGGCAGCGGCGGTGGGCTCGTTGATGATACGGAGAACGTTCAGGCCGGCAATGAGACCAGCATCCTTGGTGGCCTGACGCTGGGAGTCGTTGAAGTAAGCGGGGACAGTGATGACAGCGTTGTTGACGGTGCCACCGAGGTAAGACTCGGCGGTCTCACGCATCTTGGTGAGGACCATGGAGGAGACCTCCTCGGGGGTGAACTGCTTGGTCTCGCCCTTGAACTCAACCTCGATGATGGGCTTGCCACCCTTGTCGACGATCTTGAAGGGCCAGTGCTTCATGTCAGACTGGACCTCAGCGTCGGCAAAACGACGACCGATCAGACGCTTAGCATCGAAGACGGTGTTGTGGGGGTTCATGGCGACCTGGTTCTTGGCGGCATCACCGATCAAACGCTCGGAGTCGGTGAAAGCCACGAAGGAGGGGGTAGTGCGGTTACCCTGGTCGTTGGCGATGATTTCAATGCGGTCATCACGGAAGATACCCACACAGGAGTAGGTGGTTCCCAAATCGATACCAACAGCGGGGGCCATGATGAATGTGATGTGAGGTGTTTCGTTAAAGAGGAGAAAAGAAAGAGATTCGTGACGAAGGGGGTAGTGTACAGCGAAGTAGTGTGTAGATTAGGGATGAGGAAAGGGGTATAAGAGGAAGATGTAGTGGAAAGATGATGAAGAGAAAAAGATTGGAGGAGGGGGGTGAGGATTTTGTGCGAGACTCAACGTTGATATAGTGGCGGGCGGTGAGGCGTTGCTCCAGCGAAGCTTCTAGCAAGAGTCCGCTTCGATGGGCATCCATCGGGTTCGACCCTCTTCCACCCGCGCCCCAGTGCCCCTCGACCCTTCGCGAAATCCCTCCCTACGTTCTGGGCCTTGCCGCTGAGGGGGGCCGGCGAAGGCACTGGCAGTGTCTCGGGAGGACTAGGTATCTCATGGCTACGATTGACTGTCTCCTCCGTACTAGCATTGCTCGACTACGATCGACTCCTGCAGCGGTTTGGACGACAAGAGCCTCGAGGTTCTGCGGCGGTTGGCGGGGTAATCCGGATGACGTAACGGGCAGAATCCGTCGTGGAATTTTTCACGCCCCGTAATTCTGCCCTCGGCGGACTGGGTCTTTCTTTTCCCCCTCTCAGTGACTCACAATTGGAAAGAGCAATCAATCATTATCATTCCAATTAGGTATACGGTGACTTCACTCAATGGCTGTCCTCCCCTGCGTGGTAATCCGGTCTGGTCAGGCCTTTGCACCCGTGGATTTGGGCCGAATGGAGCCCGTCATCATGACGGTGGCTATGGCATCCTACTGGTCTCGCTGACCTTCGGAGATTTTCGATGGACATTCTGGCCCTTCCAGCCCTTCCAGCCCTTCATACAATCACGTGATGTTGCTTCCTCCCTTTCCCTCCGGTTGGCACAGACTCGGGGCGCGGGCTCAGGCATTCCAGCCCTGCTGCAACGCTGTGAATTGTGACACCGGAAGCAAGCTCCAGGGAATGCTTTAAGAGGGCATGCTCCTGTCCAGGCTACCCTCCCAACCCGTAGCTGTACACAGTATCCAATCGATGAGGGTTCTGAAGTATAAGTCGGGTACTAGTTGATGTCCTCCGAAATCGATCCATTGTAGAGCCCAACCGCTGCTGCAGCAGTTGTATATGTTCTCTACAGCTACTGTGACTACTCTCTTCCACCACTGTTGTGCTAACCCCAGCTGCTCCCCTGGCGAAGGATGCGATGTTTGTTATGAGCCTCCCAACAGGGCAAGGCCCGTCACGGGAGCTGCAGCTGATCACCGCCCCCGGCAACCAATCATCGACCCGGAACCCGTCGAGGTGAATCTCCCCTTGCGACAGGAACTCGCTTTATCCTCGGTGCCTTGACAACACCTACTTAAACTCGGCGCTTCCTACACCCCCCTGAAGCGATCTTCCTTTTCCTCACGAACTTTTTCCTGGGGTCTCCATCTGCTCGATTGTTCTGTGTTTGCTCCCTCTCATTCCAACCCGCCTTCGAAAACACCTCCGTCCATACTATTCGCCATGGGTGACAACAACCAAGCTACTACGGGCTACAACCCTGAATCCAATGCCTCCGATGCTGCTGCCTGGGGCAAAGGCAAGGGCAAGGCGACGGATCCTGCTCGTGAGATGCGCATGGATGACGATGAGAGTGAAGAGAGCGAGGAAGAAATGGTGAGCCCTGCTGCAAACTGACCAAACGAAGAAGAATGTTCGGCTGACTGAATTCCCCCTTGCGACCCTACAGCTTGATGAAGGTACTATGACACTCCATGCTACTGTCCCGTCGTTGGACCCCGGTCTTTCCCATGCTAGTTTGAATCATACTAAACCTCGTGCCTTGAGTAGCAGATGAGGACGAAGACAACGACTCCCTGGAGCCCATCTCCGCCGACAACATCATCTCCGGTGGCCGCCGGACGCGTGGCAAGAATATCGACTTCCAAAAGGCTGCCGAGAAGTTGAAGGCCGACGAGATGGACGATGATGACGATGAGGATGATGATTACGTCGGGGCTGCAGAGGAGGATGAGGACACCAAGATGCGCGATTAGAGTCGGATCCGGGAAACCAACATCAACGCAACTTAGGGGCGGCGAGCGCGAATGGGAAATGGAATGGCAGGCGCAGGGTCTTTTTGAGGGTTCTTTGGTTCCATTTACGCCGGTTACACTTCCATCTTTTAATCATGTCCTGATGTTTATTTGCCTGGATTGAGATGGATACGGGTCATTATGGTTGCCTCTGTGTCCGGCCGCCAGAGTTCTCCGATAGAGATATTTCTCTGGATTGCTTGGCCAGGTTCGGCTGCGACTATCGCCTCGCTCTTGAATGGGTTCGAATGCGCGACCACCACACACGAGACACAAAAGTGTATGCGCAAGGGGTCTGTTTAAATTAAGACCAAGATATCAAAAGCACGCCATGTACATTTGAGTCGACAGTTTCCTGAGCGACATAGAGCCAGTATCTACTCCGTAATACTAGAACTGCCGATCACGTGGGCGGTCCCGCGGATCCATTCAACCATTCAATTCAACAGCCCGGCTGCGGCCAGCTCGCCATTATTATTGCGCCGGTCTTTCCTCTCCTCGAGGGTCTGCTCGCTCACCCATCCTCCCCCTATTATCTAGGCCCTCGCTGGTCGACATGTGCCCCGACTGCATGTGATCGCTTTTCTTGTCTTATTGTTTAATCTCCCATATCTGGTTTACCTCGTCCCGTACAATCATAATTTTGACGACCCGTTATGGCTTCACGGTATGTCGATGCCATCCGTCCTTAGCCATTATCACGAGCCCATACTAATTGCCGCCCGGTAGATTTCCACGCTCCAACCTACACCAGCGTGATCCTCGTGCTTCTTCATCCCTCTTCGACTCATACGGTGGCAATTCCCGACCTGCCAGCAGATCTCCGGGCAGCATAGGCGGATACGGGTATGGAGGTTACACGCCCCCGGCCGGAGACGGCCCTGGAAATGGCAGCGCAAAAAGCGGGTATCGCTCTGCAACCCCGAACGCCAAGTAAGTTGCTCCGATAGCGAGAGGGAACCGATGCCTACAATTCTTTCCATGCAAGAAGCTCACATTTGGGATCCCTAGGGGCCATTATTCCGATGCCGTTCTCTCCCATCTGGAGTCGCAGAATGACACCGAGGTCGAAGGTATCAGCGCCAAGGTCAAGATGCTGAAGGACGTGAGTGCTCCGGGTCGTCTAGTATAACCCCCTCGTCATGCTGACATTGCCATACCAGCTTACGATCGCAATCGGCGACGAGATCCGGGATACTTCCACCATTTCGGACCTCAACAACACCTTTGAAAACACCCGTGTCCGCCTCCGCGGAAACATGAACCGCATGCTGCGCATGGCGGAGCGCACTGGCGTGGGCTGGAAAGTGTGGCTCGCTTTCTTCTTCGCCGTCTTCCTGCTCTTCTTCTACGTGTGGCTGACATGATGGACAATACATCATGATATATCGAGCTATTCTCACCCATCACTACATTTTTGGAGATACCCTGGCTCCTTCTATGTAGCTATATACACGGCACAGTCTCATCCACCTGCTTCCCAGTCTACCTTCTTCGCCTTGTTAACTTGGCTGTTTCCGGCTGGTGCGTTGTGGAAACCGGCGTTTCGTCGACATTGTTTTGCATATTACTCTGCACATAACTTGCCTATACTCGCGCGCACTTATTTCATTTTCACAAGTGCCAGCCTATCTTGCTTGTCGTCCTATACCTTCTCCGTTCATTCCCCGATGATAGTGCATGCTTGGAGTTTGGGCTCTGCGGTTCATAATTGCTCGATCTGATCGCTAGGTGGGGGACATGATCCGCTTTCTTTTCTGTTGTACCATGAGGTGTACATTATAATGTTCTCATACCCATGTTATCACATCTGATTGAGATTTCTACCTGCAATATATTCATTGCTTGCGACTATACATCTGTCATATTGAGGTTATTCATAGCGTAAATCATGAACCGGTGTGGAATGACGTGGGTCCTTATCCTCCAGTCGAAGGGCCTGAGTGATAAACAGTGATGTAATGATGTTATGTCTATCTGGTATGAATTGCAATTAACCAGGTCGAATCCTCTATCCGCCTTAAACTCCGGTCCTCGGGTTTCCGAATCCATGATCTCACCAATTGCCGTTCTAAGGACTCCATAACACCACACAGGTAGATTATAGCACAGGGGACATATATAAATGCCTCAATTGGAAAATCCATGAACATGGGATCAGTCGAAACTGTCCCTTGGCCCTCCCGTGCGACGCCTTGGGAAACGGCTAAAGAAACTCCGTCGACTGCCCTGGCTGGTCAAAGAAGCGCGGAGATCTTCCTCGTCGACAAGCATGCTGCTTGTGTCAAAGGCATCGCCCCCGCCACTCCAACGCTGTAAGAATCGTCGTTGGGCCTCCGTTTCTCTCTCCCGTCGGACAGGAGGCGGGGGCAGACCCCGACTGCTAGTTGTACTGGCGCGAAGGCTCTGCGAAAAGGGGTCATGCGAGAAACTAACGTCCTCCTCGTCATCGAATTCGGCATCGGTGTCGGTGTGTTGCCATTCCTCTTCCTGCTCAGACCGGTCCTCGGCCGCCTCAGGAATATCATCATCCAGATCCCGGCCCATATCTTCCTCCCCGCTCATAACTTCGTCCCCATACTCCTCTTCGACCGCGCTGGGGATGTCATCATCAAGGTCTGGTTGGTTGTTGAAATCATCGTTCTCTTCTTCCAGGTCTTCCTCATCAAGGTCGTCATCATCCGGGAACGCTTCCGGGATGTCATCGTCTAGATCTCGTTCCATGTACTCCCCCTCGTCCACGACATCCTCCTCCTCCAGACCTTCCTCGCCTTCCTCGACCAGTCCATCTGCATCCGCGTCCGGAATATCATCGTCCAGGTCCCTTTCCATGCCTGTGTCGTCTTGACCGTCACCGTCTATCGTACCCTGTGTTTGTCCCCCGAATTCGTCCATCCCGTCGACTCCTGCATCTGCTGCTGCTGCCGCTGCTGCCCTCTCTGCTGCGGCTGCGGCCAGTGCCTCCTCTCTTTCCGCCTCCTCCTCTTTCATGCCCAGCATGGTCTTTGGGCATCCGGCCGGTCGTATCCATGAGTATCCGAACGAGGCAATGTTGTTCTTGCGCGCACGCAGGGCGCGCTCTTCTAGGAGTAAAGATGATAGCATGTTTCCCGCGGCGGCGGACGATCCGCGTCCATTCGGTGTATTAGTGCCATTGCGACGGGCACCTCCCGGTGTGTCTCCGGCGGATGAGTGGTGTTGTGACGAGGAGCGGTAGGGTTGTGAAGAGCCAAACCAGAGTTCATGGGACTAGATGGGAGATTCGTATTAGCCATAGCTGCAATTCAATGGTAGATGAAAGGTCTCGTCAAAGAGGTTGAAAAGTCGACAGCACGTACGTCGCGGGGGGTGATGAGAGGAAGGGAGAGCATTGCGGTCGGTAGTTGCTAGTGTGGGCCAGCACAAAGGACAGTGGGGGGCGCCGTTCAGATAGATTTCACTTGTGATCTCCAATATGAATCCAGCCCACGCTGTTGGAGCTTTATGATCGTGGGTGGACTGTTTATCGAGGAATGCTTCCGAGCCACGGTTGTACCACAGTTATGTACAAGTCCCGCTATGCAATGGCCTTGTATTGATGACTAGGACGGACAATTGAGATGCTTGGATTGAAGCGGACACGCCTCGTGGTGAAGGGACAGGCTTGGTTGTTGGGGAGGCCAGGGAAGGCCAGGGAATTGGAGAAGAATCGGAGGAGGGGAACCAAAACAAAAGCAGACAAGCTCCCGCGCGGGGATCTCCAGACTTGCCGGTTCGGGCAGGCTGCGTATCGCCGCTGCTGCCTTCCTGTCTGGGAAGTTGGGAACCGGTCGCCAGAGGGGAGATCCGTTACACCGATCTTGTGCTCGGTATCCTTATGATGTCTATGGAGGAGATGGTAGATAATCTAGATCTCTTAGTTCCGGTGGCTTGGTTCTCCATAAGAAAGGGATCCGTGTTCGAGATAAATAAATATATAGTAGTTTGTATATCGTACTACTAGCATGTGGTGTTGCCTCACCACAATGTATATCAACCACTCGACATACAAGGGCTTATTCCAGGGGCCATCTACCTAGTTGTCCTCATAGACGCGCTAATCTGCAGTCCCATCCTAATAGTAATACAACAACCGCGAGGCGATTCACCTGCTTCGCCTCGCGTACAGCCCGCATCTTGTCTGATATAATATAAATACTCGGGCCAATAACTCGCCCTCCCGCTAGTGGTGATATCTAAGACTCCCCACGGACATATATCCGTTACCAGAATGTGCGGGGGTGTTGGTGAAAACTAAAATGAAACAGAACCATCCGTAGTGGCCGGTTGAGACCTACATGTATGGACACTTCTGCTTCCGCTGGCCGCATCACAGACTCAGGAGAGAATCTGTACTCCGTAGGCAAGGCGAGCTCCGAAATGATCGTTCTGCCCGCTCGATTCCGTGCCACCAATTGGGCCAGGGAAATAGCAATTCAGCAAGCCTCTGCATGTATCGCTGCACATATCTCCGCACCAAGGCCAGCATCAGCCCACTGTGGGCATCCGGGGCCTCCGTGGTCTTGCACAATTGCATGGTATACATGGCAGATGCACAAGCATCACCAGGAGCATGAGAGTAACCAGCTGTACAGAGTGACAAGCACAGCAAAGTACGGCAAGAACTGAGGATCAGGCCATGAACGGACTACTTTGCTCCACCAAGTCCACGGTCACAGGTGGTGATTTGAGATCCTCGCCATTTCTTCCGCAGGAATGCAGCGTCGTCTCGGGAGATGAAGGCTGTGGCAGTAGCAGCAGCATGGGAGAGGAAGATCCAGACACCATCCAGTCAGAGGAAGACAAATCACCAAGCCTGGAGTCCCTCTGCAGCACCGCTGGGTCACGGTTAGCAGTAACTAATCAATCGGTACTCCGTACTGCGGACTAGGCAGGCAGCACAAGGCAAACCACCTCGTACCGTACCTGACACCTGCTCTTGTCCGGTTTTCGGCCGCTTCCGTCGTCCTTAATCCCGGAAATTCCCGAGGGGTTACACTCTCTTGCTTCATCGTCAAGGTCACATCCGGTGAGCCCAAAGCGGACAAGCCTGAATAGGAAGGATCGGAATAAAACGGATGCCGGAAACATTGGCATCTCCGCTCGGTCATGTGATGCCCGTTGCATCCCAGCGGATTCATGCAGTCTGCGAGAGGCTGACGAGGAGATTGAGGTGGGAAGCACAAAGGGGGAAATCGGAGGGTAACACGGCAGCTCGTTGCGCGATTCGCGCCTGTCCGGCTGTAATTAGCGATCATTCCATACCTTCTGAGTCATTCCATCCCTCTCGACTTCAAGCCTTCTATCTAGTTCGGGGAGGTGAGGTCCAATAATTAGCGAGGCGCCATAGCCCGCCTAGTGCTGCTGTTTGGCCAAAGGGGCAAAGGAACCTAGAAGATGCTCGAACACGTTCGGACTTCGCAGATCGGCCGAGAGTACGGAGTATCGATCGTTCATATGCAAAGCAAAGGCGACGGGATGAGACCGTGGCCGTCGCCTTAAGCAAGTAAATAGAAGCCTGAAGCCCGCGACCCAACTCTCCAATCGGGCCACACTCGCGCTCAAACGAACTGTCGAAATCCTCGTCCCAAACGTCCCGGAGCAACGGCATTGATGATTATTAAGATTAAAGACTTGGGGGGTTGCCCGTGGCATGGTGGGATCCATTGATCTGTCAACCAGTGGGAGGTGAACACAACACCGTCCAGGCAACCCGGGGAGGGAGATTGGAAATCCATTGATTTATGTATTACCATTGTCATAAGATTATTTTGAATAAGCTCTTATCGGGCCAGAATTCCGACTGCCAGCATCAGCATCCTGTGATTCCGAGGGTGGTGGATAGATACTACTCCGTACAAAGTACAGAATCCAGAGGGAAGGAGGAACGGCCGTAATTCTGGGTAGATCCCGGCCTGTATGCGTCCATACCGCTCGTATTTCCGGGGTGGTGTTGGTGGCCTTGGTGCACGCCCATTGGTCGGGGCCAATCAACGGCTACCGACCGTGACGGTCCTTCTCCGTCCGGCCAGTCCTGCCCGGAGTGACATCCATGGGAATCATCCATTTCCACGGGGAGGGTGGGTTTTCCCCAGAAAATGAGCCCTGAGCCCTCTCAATTACGTTCAGTGGAAGGTTTCTGAAACTACGGATGGAACGTCTAGATGGTTGGCTAGATGGGCGGCGTCGAGTAAGAATGTCGCTATTTGAAGGGAGTGGCAGATAAGCGGTTTGATGACCTCAAGAAATGAGCTGGAGAAACTCCAACGGGCCTAGTCCACAGGCATGCTTGGAACGCAAGGTGCGTCGCGGGAGCCCCGAAATCGGCGGGGCAGGCTGGGACTAGGCAGCTGCTATCCGGTAAAGTCACGGGTGGGTGTAATAGAGACAAGAGTCAGCCCAGAGGAAACGTGGCTCGGAGAGGGGTTGGGAATTCTCAGGAGGGGGGAAGAGGGAGGAGGGAGGGAGGAGGGATTCCGGGACGGAAAGGGAAAGGCGTCCAGCTTGGCCGTTGTCGGATGCTCGTTCGCCTGGGCGGACAGCAGCCTGCAGGCTGAGCTGAGTGAGTGGTGCCGCTCCGTGCCAGTAACTTACCCACTTTCGACCTTCCCATAAATACATATACCGGCCCCGACCACGTATACGCTTGTAACGGCTCAACTTACCAACTTACCACCGATCGCCCGACAACCTGCAACTGAGCGTGGGGTATGCGAATTTTAGTTTGGAGTGTCTCATGGTACTGGTAGGGTGGAAGGGAAGCGTGTACTTTGTTAGGGCCCTCGGTCCTGCGACAACAGACGAGGTCATCTATTGCCCTGTGCTCGGCTTAGCGCCTGGACCAAAAGTCCTTCGGTTGCAGGCCTCTTGCGAATTGCAGGCCGCGTGTGCAGATGATTGTTCTGTCCGGCAGAACTCTCATTGTTTCCGATTGATCACCCTCCTCCGTCGACGGTACGAGGAATTAGGGCAGTAGTACTTCGTACGGAGTACTTATTATTTATTACTTAGGTACAGATTATGCACGATGCACCCGACTACCTACCGAACCTACCTACTCGGAAAGAGCCAATCGTCTGCATATTGCACTCTCCGACTCTTCTGCTTATTCCTGTGGCGATGGTTTACCGCACAAGGTATACACCTCCAGTCAGTCACTCGCGGGCCGTGGACATATTGGGGATACACTGACACACACCGAAGAAGCCACCCACTCGACAATTACTATGACTACTCTGCAACTACTATGACTACAAGAAACCACCTTCCAGGATGATCCTGCTTTTCTCTTATACATAGAAATAATCGGCCTGGCAACCCAGGCTCCTTACCGTTCCGATGTAACTCGCAGTGCCTGCCAAGCAATTTTTGGAGTAAGAATGCGATGGCTTTCCCAGCCGTGGCCTTCCGGATTTGTCCCCTCGCCCGGGTCTCCCAGGCTGCTTGGGGATGACTTACCATGTGCAGGGAATGCCGGGCACTTCAGCACAGGCCGACCAACTGATTGGGACACAATCGGGGATAAGCACTGTATCCCTGCGCTGCCCCACAGGTGCAACGCCCAATCACCCATCCATCTAGTCGAGCCCTGCACTTGCTGAACAGTGGGAGGGAAAAGGAACCTTGACTCGTAGAGGGTCACTTTGAGCTTTGGAGCAACCCCTAATGGGATAATGTATCCCTAGATGGATCAGTTATACAGGAGTACTTGAGGTACTAAATCCTGGCATCCTGGATGCACCAAGGAGGCGAGCATCTCATTGTTCTCTTTGTCGTTCACTATGTTTACCCTTCTATATTGCCCGTATCTACTCGCGGGAGCCACGAATACTCTGCAGGCCCCAATAAAGAATACCAGATGATCGAGCCCCATTATCGTCTTACTACATAAAGTAGTGGGTAGAACCAAAGAAATAATAAGACAAGCCGAATCCACACAGCGATTCGTAACTGCATGGGTACCTTTCCTGCTTTTGGCCAAAGGATGACCTCCTCCAATCTGATGAGACTGGTGTGGAACAGGCCACCCAGGCGTATTCTCCAATAGTTGACAGTGAAGACAGTGGGATGATCATGTTATGGTTGATCCGGCCTCCAAAAGCCATGGATTGACTTTCACTGTAGCCCTTGTTCACCCGATGGGTTGATCTGGATGTGTGCAGTGTGCAGTGTGCAGTGCGCAGGATCTGGGTGCGGCGGGAAAAGTGTGTTTTTGGCCTGTTGCCCACTCCGAGGCAGTGCATTAATATGGAACTATTGCCATGCGGCAGCCTCAGCGGCCAGGCCCCTAATTGGATTACCACTGCATTTGGAGACCATTTTGGTGTTGCCGTATGGAGGAAACGAACGGGACCGCCATTACCGCTCGATACCAGCCAGTGTATCCCAGAGTTCCCACTAGCGCCGTCAGCGGACAACCTTTTCTGTTGCCCTTTTCCTTCTTTTTGGCCCGGGGCCCCACCGGCCTGGATCTTGACGTAGCCAAAACCTAATCTTTCTGCGGAAGGTTGCAAAGCCACCCTCCTGATTGGTGGACGCTGGCTTATCTCCTTCTCTAGAACAAATCCCCGTCTGGAGTGCAGTACACAGTACCACTCATTCACTCACTACTACTCCTCCTAGGTAGATACATGCCTCCCTCGAGCCACTACAGCCACTACCATGATGATTTGGTGGAAATGCTTTCTTTTCTCAGACAAGTCCGACCCCAGAGGCGACCAGCCTACCACCCTCCACCCACGAAGTCGACGTCAGCCACACATACCATTTGCCTTCTGCACCACCATGACAGAAGCAAACAGAACCTACTCTTGTAGATCATCGTATGCACATACCGACATCATCCCCCCCCCTCCCAAATCTCCTGGAACTGCTTGCGGGTATGCAGACTGCAGAGTGCAGAGAGGGTAGCCGACTGATGGAATTGTCGTCCCATTCATTCCCTTACAGCGCTAGAAATCATTGCCATCTGCCAGCCCGCATTAGTTCCCTTTTCCCTGCGCCCGTCACCACTGATTGCTTACCTGCCTGGCTTTAAACTAGCCCTCCGTCCTCACCACTCCAGTCCTACGACTAAGCCAGGAAAGCTACGATTTGCCACGGGAATCCTCGAACATCTCCACCATCGTATTTTTTCGGTTCCATACCATTTGACTCTTGACACTGGGAATAATTGGATCGAGTTGCGGTGGACTCACCCGACCTGGAGCCAGGTGTGCGAGCGTTTGTCCGCCCCGACAATTCCCCCAATTTTACATACTGGTCTGGTACGGAGTATCGGAGTCTCGAGGTGAAATCCCCGGACCGCACCCCCCCGTAGTAGCAGTAGTAACAGTAGGTAGCTCCTCCCGCTCTCCTGCCCTTTTTATTATTCCCTTCCCCCCCCCCCTCCCCTCCCCTCCTGGATCGCTTTTCTCCTTCTCTCTTTCTCCCACTTCCATCTCTCTCGGAGCCAGACGCTGGGCCCTCACTAGAAGTTCCTTGGATTGTCCCTTCCTTTCTGCCCGCGCTCCTGCCTCCTGGTCTCTGTGACGACCATAGTACTTATCCATACAAACGAACTGCCCCCCTCCCCCTCCCCCCCATCCCCCGCCCCGACTTGTTCCGCGGCGGCCCTTCCGAATAGCAGCCACCAATCCCCCCCAGTTTTGCCATTCCATTCTCTGTCGGCCATCGGCGGAAGAATGGGTCTGAACTTGGAGGAAATATATGGCAAATCTATAGTGGACGAGCAGAAGCCGCAAGAGTATTCGGAATTCCAGCCAAAGAAAGGATATGGCTGGGCCAACACTTTGCCCGAGAGGCAAGGTCTCTATGACCCCGAATACGAAAAGGATGCGTGTGGTGTAGGCTTTGCGGCGTAAGTCCCCAGCGAAGCTATTCAATGGTTCCCCTCTGGCACTCATGGAAGAAAGCGCTAACAGCAGCGTGATTGATGTTTAGCCACATCAAGGGCAAGCCTAGCCACAAGATTGTCAGTGATGGTACGTATCTACACTCGTCTGCGATTGCTGGAAGCTTGGTAACTGAACTCCCATTCTTCCTGCAGCTCGCAATTTGCTATGCAACATGACGCATCGTGGAGCCGTTGGCTCCGATGCGCGCGATGGCGATGGTGCCGGTGTGATGACCAGTATCCCCCACAAGTTTTTCATAAAGAACTTTGCCCGTGAAGTTGGAGTTGATCTTCCTCCTCTCGGCCAGTACGCTGTCGGCAACCTGTTTTTCAAGCCCGACGAAGACTCTGTGAAGGCATCTGTAAAGAACTTTGAGGAGATTGCCACATCCTTGGGACTTCGAGTGCTGGGTTGGCGTGAGGTTCCGCGCGACTCGACCATTCTGGGCCCTGCTGCTCTTTCCCGGGAGCCTACCATCCTGCAGCCTTTTGTGGTCTTGAGATCGGCCTATGGTGAAGGGAACAAGCCAGAGATTACCGATCCGGAGGCTTTCGATGATAAAACATTCGAACGTCAACTATATGTTCTGCGAAAGCGGGCTACCCACGTCATTGGTCTTGCGAACTGGTTCTATCTCTGCTCGCTGAGCAACCGGAACATCGTTTACAAGGGTCAATTGGCCCCCGTCCAGGTGTACCAGTACTACCATGACTTGGTAAACGTTGATTACGAAGGTCACTTTGCCCTCGTCCACTCGCGCTTCTCTACCAACACATTCCCTTCTTGGGACCGTGCGCAGCCTCTGCGTTGGGCTGCCCACAATGGCGAAATCAACACCCTTCGTGGCAACAAAAACTGGATGCGTGCGAGAGAAGGTGTGCTGAAGTCGGACATCTTCGGAGAGGAGCTCGATTCACTGTACCCGATTGTTGAGGACGGCGGCTCCGATTCGGCCGCTTTTGATAACGTTCTTGAACTGTTGATGATCAACGGAGTGTTGTCTTTGCCCGAGGCGGTCATGCTTATGATCCCTGAAGCGTGGCAAGACAATCCGGCCATGGATCCCTCCAAGGCTGCTTTCTACGAATGGGCTGCTTGCCAGATGGAACCGTGGGATGGCCCCGCTCTCTTCACGTTCTCCGACGGTCGCTACTGTGGTGCAAACCTCGACCGTAATGGATTGCGTCCTTGCAGATTTTATGTGACGGATGACGACCGCATCATCTGTGCATCCGAGGTTGGTGCGGTTGACATCGACCCTGAGCGTGTGGTTCAGAAAGGTCGTCTGCAACCCGGAAAGATGCTTCTGGTCGACACAGTCGCTGGACGGATTATCGATGACTCCGAGCTCAAATACACTGTATCCCACAGACATGACTTTGCTTCGTGGCTGGACAAGGAACTCCTCAAGTTGCCGGCTATCAAGGAGAGACTGGATGAGCAGAGCGTGGACCTGACATACGTCCTGGACGATACGACTGTCCAGAACGATCCTCGTCTGAAGGCTTTCGGTTACTCCTTTGAACAAGTCAGTCTACTCCTTGGCCCGATGGCTGCCGACTCCAAGGAGGCTCTTGGCTCCATGGGCAATGACGCTCCATTGGCGTGCATCGCCAAGCAGCCTCGGCTTCTCTACGAATATTTCCGCCAACTTTTCGCTCAAGTCACGAACCCCCCCATTGACCCTATTCGTGAGGCTGTGGTCATGTCGCTGGAGTGCTATGTTGGCCCTCAGGGCAATCTCTTGGAGATGGAGCAGTCTCAGTGCCACCGCTTGTTGCTTCCTTCTCCCATTCTCAGCATTCCCGAGTTCAATGCACTGAAGAACATCCCTCAGGTCCACAAGGAGTGGACTGTGAAGACCATTGATATCACCTTCGAGAAGAAGAAGGGAGTTCCAGGATACCTTGAGGCCCTCGATGCCATCTGCGATGCCACCACTGAAGCCATCCAGAACGGTGACAAGATTCTCGTGCTCTCGGACCGCGCCACTGGGGAGGACAGGGTTCCCGTGTCTGCGCTTTTGGCAACGGGTCTTGTTCACCACCACCTGGTCCGCAACAAGTGGAGATCACTTGCCGCCGTAGTTGTGGAGACTGCTGAGGCTCGTGAGGTTCACCACATGTGTGTCCTGGTCGGTTATGGTGCTGATGCCATTAACCCCTACCTCGCCATGGAATGTATCTTGAAAATGAACCGGGAAAAGTTGATCCGCAAGCAGCTTCCTGACGAGAAGGTCATCGAGAACTACAAGGCCTCCTGTGATGGCGGTATCCTGAAGGTCATGAGCAAGATGGGTATCTCCACCCTGCAGTCATACAAGGGTGCTCAGATTTTCGAGGCTCTTGGTATTGACGACAGTGTCATTGACCGTTGCTTTTCTGGAACTGCAAGCCGTATTCGTGGCCTGACATTTGAACTGATTGCTCAGGATGCCTTCGCTTTCCACGACCGTGGATATCCTTCTCGCGGGATCGTCGATATCCCCGGCCTTCCCGAGTCTGGTGAATACCACTGGCGTGATGGTGGTGAAGAGCACATCAACGACCCAGTCAGCATTGCGAACATGCAGGATGCCGTGCGTACAAAGAACGACAAGTCTTATGAAGCGTATGCCAAGGCTGCTCATGAGCAGATCAAGAACTGTACCCTCCGTGGTATGCTCGACTTCGATTTCGAGCAGCGCACACCAATCCCTATCGACCAGGTTGAACCTTGGACTGAAATTGTCCGTCGATTTGTTACGGGTGCCATGTCGTACGGTTCTATCTCCATGGAGTCTCACTCCACCCTCGCGATTGCCATGAACCGCCTCGGCGGAAAGTCGAACACCGGTGAAGGTGGTGAAGACCCGGAGCGGAGCAATAGGCTCGAGAACGGCGATACCATGCGGTCTGCCATTAAGCAGATTGCGTCCGGCCGATTCGGTGTGACTTCTCACTATCTTGCCGATGCCGATGAGTTGCAGATCAAGATGGCCCAGGGAGCTAAGCCCGGAGAAGGTGGTGAGCTTCCTGGCCACAAGGTTGTTGGCCCTATTGCGCGCACCCGTTACTCTACTCCCGGTGTCGGTCTGATCTCGCCACCTCCCCACCACGATATCTACTCCATCGAGGATTTGAAACAGCTCATCTACGATCTCAAATGCTCCAACCCTCGTGCCCGTGTCTCTGTCAAATTGGTGTCGGAGGTCGGTGTTGGTATCGTTGCGTCTGGTGTCGCTAAGGCTAAGGCCGATCATATTTTGATTTCGGGTCACGACGGTGGCACTGGTGCCTCTCGCTGGACTGGTATCAAGTATGCTGGTCTTCCTTGGGAACTGGGTCTGGCGGAGACCCACCAGACCCTCGTCCTCAACGATCTGCGTGGACGTGTCGTTGTGCAGACTGATGGTCAAATCCGTACGGGCCGTGACCTTGCTGTCGCTTGTCTGCTCGGAGCCGAAGAATTCGGATTTGCTACAACTCCTCTGATTGCCATGGGTTGTATCATGATGCGCAAGGTAAATTCATTCTGTTAATAGCCCAAGATAAATATGCTAATTTACATGTCTAGTGCCACCTCAACACCTGCCCTGTCGGTATCGCAACCCAGGACCCGGCGCTCCGGGCCAAGTTCCAGGGTACACCCGAGCACGTGATCAACTTCTTCTACTATGTCGCCAACGAGATGCGTGCCATCATGGCCAAGTTGGGTGTTCGCACGGTGAATGAGATGGTGGGACGCGCCGAGCTTCTCAAGGTCCGCGAAGACATTCGGAATGCCAAGCAGGAGAAGATTGACTTGTCCCTCATCCTTACGCCTGCCCACTCTCTGCGCCCTGGCGTTGCTACATACAACGTCCGCAAGCAGGACCACCGTCTCCACACCCGTCTCGACAACAAGCTGATCGCCGAGTCGGAGTTGGCATTGGAGAAGGGTCTGCCTTGCAGGATCGAATGTGATATTGTTAACACCGACCGTGGATTGGGCGCTACCTTGTCTTACCAGGTCAGTCGCCGTTATGGCGGCGAAGGTCTTCCCCAGGACACCATCCACGCCAACATCAAGGGCTCTGCTGGTCAGTCATTCGGTGCCTACCTGGCTCCTGGTATCACCCTCGAGCTGGAGGGCGATGCCAATGACTACATTGGTAAGGGTCTTTCGGGAGGTCGTCTTATCATCTACCCCCCTCGCGGTGCTGCATTCAAGGCCGAGGAGAACGTCATTGTTGGTAACACCTGTCTTTATGGTGCCACTCGCGGTACTTGCTTCTTCCGTGGTATGGCTGCCGAGCGTTTCGCTGTTCGTAACTCTGGCGCTACTGCTGTCGTGGAGGGTGTCGGTGATCACGGTTGTGAGTACATGACTGGTGGCCGCGTCCTCGTCCTCGGCTCAACTGGCCGTAACTTCGCCGCTGGTATGTCTGGTGGTATCGCCTACATCTTGGATATGAACCAGGACTTCCATTCCAAGGTCAACATGGAGATGGTCGAGGTGTCCGGCCTGGAAGACCCCGCTGAGATTGCTTTCGTTCGTGGCTTGATTGAGGACCACCACCACTACACTGGCTCAGAGCTCGCCGCCCGTATCTTGCTCGACTTCACCCGTGCCCTTCCTCACTTTGTCAAGGTGCTGCCCACGGACTACAAGCGGATCCTGGCGGAGGAAGCTGCCAAGGCCGAGGCCGCTAAGAAGGCCGAGTTCTCTCTTCCCCAGCTCCCCAGCACTCCAGTTCCTGCGGAGAAGCCCAAGGCCCCTGAAGGAGATGCCAAGAAGGCAGAAATGCTGGATATTGAGGACAGCATTAGTGACTCGAAGACCGAGAAGAAGCGCTCGGCTCTCATCCTGGACAAGACGAGAGGGTTCATGAAGTACAGCCGACGGAAGGAGAAGTACCGCAACCCGGCCACTCGTACTCGTGACTGGGCGGAGCTTTCCAACCGCCTCAGTGAGGACGAACTCAAGTACCAGTCCGCTCGCTGCATGGACTGTGGTGTTCCTTTCTGCCAGTCCGACACCGGTTGCCCGATCTCTAACATCATTCCCAAGTGGAATGAGCTGGTGTTCCAGAACCAGTGGCAAGATGCCCTCAACCGTCTTCTCATGACCAACAACTTCCCCGAGTTCACTGGCCGTGTTTGCCCTGCTCCTTGCGAGGGTGCTTGTGTTCTGGGAATCAATGAAGATCCTGTTGGTATCAAGTCTATCGAGTGTGCCATCATTGACCGTGGTTTCGAAATGGGCTGGATGGTCCCTCGTCCCCCCAACACCCGCACTGGCAGGACTGTTGCCATTATCGGTTCGGGTCCCGCAGGTCTCGCTGCTGCCGATCAACTCAACCGTGCTGGACACACTGTCACTGTCTATGAGCGTGCCGACCGCATTGGTGGTTTGCTTATGTATGGTATTCCCAACATGAAGCTGGACAAGAAGGTTGTGCAGCGCCGTGTCGATCTGATGGCTGCTGAGGGAGTCCAGTTCGCACCTGGCACCCCCGTCGGCCCTGACCACGAGGTTACCTTGGAATCTCTGCGCCAGACTAACGACGCTGTTATCATTGCCACCGGTGCCACCGTGGCTCGTGACCTGAAGGTTCCTGGCCGTGAGCTGGACGGTGTTCACTTCGCCATGCAATTCTTGCACCGCAACACCAAGTCGCTCCTCGACTCCAACCTTGCCGACGGCGCCTACATCTCCGCCAAGGACAAGCACGTTGTGGTCATTGGTGGTGGTGATACTGGAAATGACTGCATTGGTACCTCTGTTCGCCACGGTGCCAAGTCTGTCACCAACTTCGAGTTGCTGCCTCAGCCCCCGCCGGAGCGCGCCCGCGACAACCCGTGGCCCCAGTGGCCCCGGATCTACCGTGTCGACTACGGTCACTCGGAGGTCAAGACGCACATGGGCAAGGACCCTCGTGAGTACTGTGTCATGTCCAAGGAGTTCGTTGACGACGGCAATGGCCGCGTCAAGGGTATCAACACTGTTCGCGTTGAGTGGACCAAGAGCGCTTCCGGTGGTTGGGACATGAAGACCGTTGAGGGCAGTGAGCAGTTCTTCCCCGCGGACCTTGTTCTCCTCTCCATGGGCTTCCTTGGTCCTGAGGACCGTGTCCTGGGCGAGGGCATTGAGCGTGACGCTCGTAAGAACGTCAAGACGCCTCCTGGCCAGTACTCTACCAATGTGTCGGGCGTGTACGCTGCTGGTGACTGCCGCCGTGGCCAGTCCCTCATTGTCTGGGGTATCAACGAAGGTCGCCAGTGTGCTCGTGAGGTGGATACTTTCCTTATGGGCATTAGCTCCCAGCTCCCCGTCACTGGTGGCATTGTGCGCCGGCCCGCTATCGATACTGTTCCCCAGGCTGCTCAGCAGACGGTTTCCGCCTAAATCCCCCTGGGACCCGAGCCGCCACGCTGGACCGGTTCCGGCGATGAGGTTCCTGTCAGGGTAGCAACGAATCTATGAATTGCAATGTCGAGAAGAGAAAAGTTTGTGACTTGGGGGTAACTATTGGGTGGCTTCTTTCCATCAAGGCACTTACCTATAGGCGAAGCCGGAATTCTACTAGTCACTGGATCGATGCTTTGGGTGGGGTTTTGAAGAGGGTTATGCTTTGCGGGGAGGAAATCTTTACATTTAGGGTTTCTCTTCTGGAGGATGATATGCGACTGGTTGCAGCGTTCTGTTCCTTTCCCAAAAGATGTGCGAGGAGTCGGAGCGAGTGCCATTTGAGCCCATCTCAATTCGATGTACATATTGTCTTGTTTCCTATCGATATCAAAGGCTTTGATTTCTCACCGGCTTTCTTTGAGTATCATCCGTATGAAATTATACCGCCTGGTTGTCCACGGATCCCACCTGTTGCGAAGGGGCATTGACCGCCGAGGATATCAGACCTGCCATGCCAGTGCCTCCGAGCCGATGTGGTCTCCGTGACGCATGCCTGTTGCGTGTCTTGATTGTAGCCTCCTGTACTGTGACTGTGATGTCGATAATGGCTCTGGGATCTGCTCAGCAGAACCTCGCTTGGCCCCGGCTTCTCAATCCCGTCCGGGCCCGGGTCCAGGTCCGCATGCAACGCTTCGCAGGGACCCCTGCCCGAGATCCCCCGCCGTCCCTTTTCTGTTTTTCGCCGTATTCTTCCCCACACGACCCTCAATAACGGGCCCCCTCCTAGCCGCCACATAGGGCCCGGTCCCGGTCCCGGCCCCAGCCCCGACCCCGGCCCCCGACCCCAGGGTCTGACGAGCGGCTCTGGCCTGCACCCCAGCGACACTCCACAGATACCACTCCTCGACCTTCATGACCTGATTCAGGTATTCGGGGGGCGCGATGAGTTCCAGGGCGCCGTAGGCGATGTTTCGTTGTAGTTCGGCGGTGCGGGCTGCGTGCCAGAGGTTGCGGTAGAAGGTTTCGTGGTCTGTTTGGGTGGATGGTTTGCGGATTGGGTGGGGGGTGGTGGGGGGGTTTGGGGGTTGATGTGTATGTTGGTTTTGTAGCTGGTTGGTGTTGGTGTTGGTGTGCCAGGTGGGTGGTGCTGGGGTTTGCATTGGGGGTTGAGTTGGAGGTGGAGGTGGAGGTGGAGGTGGGAAGACAGCTTGAGACTGGGACTGAGACTGGAGTGGGAGCTGAGACGGAAGTTGCGGCTGAGGCTGAGGCTGATGGTTGTAATTGTAACTGTAATTGTAATCCTGGTTGTAGCCAGGATTGTACCCATATCCATATCCATACCCATACCCGTGATTGTAATAATGCTGCTGATACTCCACCGGACCTTGCCCGTGCTCGTGCCCGTGCCCGTGCCCTGAATACGGCGTTAGGGCTGGAGTGGCATACGCATAAGCAGATTCCGGGACCATCTCGGTCCAGGACGCTTCTTCTTCTTCTTCGGCTGCGGAATAGTACGCTGCCTGGTCGTCGTCCTCGTATTCCCCATCGGGGTCATCTTCATGGTGATGGTGGTGGTGGTGGTGGTGGTGGTGGTGGTGGTCTTCCTCGTCGGAGATTTCGATCACCGGGCCCCAGGTCACGGTTTTTTTGGGCTTGGTTGGGATTGGGACTGGGACTGGGACTGGGGGTGGGGATGGGGCGAGCTGGATCTGGAGCTGGGGTTGGGGCTGGGATTGGGGTAGGAGTGGTCCGGTGGGAGAGGTCCGGGGACTGGGGAATCGGATGACGAGAGGGGAAGAGGCAGCTGGGATTGGGGAAGCGGCGGAGACTGGGACCGCGATAGGGACCGGGATGGGAACCGGGACAGGGGTCTGAATCATAGGGTTGGACGGAGAAGGGGATGAGGATGGGGAAAAGGGCGAGATGTCGGGCAGGTCTATGAGATGGTCTAGATCCATGTTCATGGCGAGTGACACGGTGGAATCAAGCGAGTCGTCGGTGGTAGTGGTGCACGGAGATGTGGAGGCTAGCATATCGACGATGCGAGCAATACAGGGGAGCATTCGTGAGATGCAGGAAGTTGTCGGGGGCGTTGCGCATGGAGATCAGACCAGTGGACAGGCTCATTGGTGGAGAGGAGAATTGTTGGAGGAGAGACGGGCTGGACGACCGGGGTTGAGCACGATCGTCTATATATTAAGGTCGTGCAGAGGGATGATGCTAGGAACTGGTCGGCGACAAAGATCGGTCGGATAAAGAGTCATTGGCATTGTCTGTCGGGGAATGTCGCTTTGTCGAGGGCAAGTTCCTTTGTCTAGGGCTGCGTGCAGGAGTGGGGAGACCTCAGGGACGTAGTACTATACTTATGCTATTATACAGAGTCTCCCTGGGAGACAGGTATCCATCTACATGACATGACAACATGAGGAGGGAGAGATCCCCTCGGAAGGTTCCCCCCCAGCAGAGACAGAGACCAAGGGAAGTGTCTCTAGGTGGATGCGGCTTTCTGGCGCGCTTCTTCGGCTTCCTCCGCCTGCATCTCGAGTTCCAGGGCGGCAAAATCCCCCGAGAAAGCGTTCTGCACCGGCTCCGTCCGCACGTCCCAGACGTCTTCACTGCTAGGGCCAGTCTTGTACTTGATGGCCTTTTTGCGGTTGTGGTCGCGGATGGCCTTCCGGCGCTGCTGGTCCGGTAACGTGCGGGTCTTCATGCACATCCAGAAGTTGTCCCAGTGTTCGCTGCAGGACCGGAGCTCGCCATAGCGGTAGACGTTGACGAACTGGCCACCAAAGGACTGGCAGAAGAATGCATAGTCGAATGCGGAGCGGCAGGACATGGTGTCGTCGTACAGGGAGTCAGGAGCAATGGACGACGGGGGTGCTCGAGGGTCGGTGGAGGAGGATGTGGAGTCGGGCGATGAGGAGTCACCCACGGAGGAGGTCTGCGGGGGTTTCGTGCCATTGATGTCGCTCTCTAGACTGGCGACCAGTTTCTTCCATTCGGCGTCGGCCTGCTCCTCGCGGCTTAAGGTCCGGGGTTGCGGCGGCGGGGATGGCGCGGAGGGTGTGGTCTCCGGGGTGGGTTGTGATGCCGATGGCTTGGAGGCCGGAGGGGCCTGAGGCTCGCTCTCTGTGGGAGCGGAGTTCCACCACCAACCCATAATTGTCAATGTTGAGGATGGAAGAGACGTCGGTCTGTGGATGCTGGGGATGGAATCATGAATTGCGGAATCGGGATCGGCGAGGTAAATTTCACGCCGAACGCGCCGTGACGGTAATGCGGAGCAACCCCGCACCCAGAGGGGTAATCTACCCGTCACAGCGCGTATGGGTCCCAATGGTTCAGACCGACGTCATCGTGGCCGTCAGGAACAACTTCTCCCCTCGCACAAGGAACGTCCCCAGCTTCCTTTACAATGCTGCGAGACCTGCAGAGATGATGCGAGCTTCTGGTCGAGCGGTGGTGCCCCGCGCATCTTTATGTCCTGTACCTTTTACCAGGCGTCCTGCGATCGCTTCCGTGACCAAGGCGATCATCGCCAGCCGGAGTACTTCGTCACATGCCTCCTTCCTCGAGACTGGTCACATTGATGTGAAAGACGACGAGGGTCTTTTATTTGTAAATAGTACGGTTGGAGTCCTTAAAGCAATTCGTCTACTGAGCTAATGTCCCCTTGAAAAACAGATATCTTCCCATCGAAGCTACAATGGCTGTTGCAAGGCCCGCTGAGCGGAACCCGAGCCTACGAGGTGGCATTGCAACGGATTAACCGACCACATCTGGCGGCGTCAGATCCATTGCACATCATTCGTCGGGTGTTTCCACAGAGCCTGAACATCGACATCAGGGAAGTCATCCCGCGCTTCAGAGAAGGCGGCGCGTTTGTGAAGTACACCCGCAAGGACGGGGTCGAGACCACGGACATCGTGACCCTGGTTCAAGACCACCTGGAACAAAATCCGATCAGACCCTGGTTCAACCCGTTCCAGCAGGTCAAGGTTGCCCATGTGCATGGTCGGCCATGGATCGAAGACCTGTATCGCATCCCAAGTCAGCGGTTGCGCGTGGAGTTCCTGCCGGGCTCTGCGGATGGAACCGCGACGGATTTAAGCACGGAGACTTTGTATTCGTTCTTTAGAAGATACGGAAAGTTGAGAGACATCGAGAGGCAGCCATCCGATTCCAAGATCACGCCGCGATATGCGTTTGTGGCATTCTCGCGACCCAAGTACGCAGTCATGGCCAAGAACTGCATGCACGGATTCACCATCCCAGAGGAGGAGGGCGGTGGCAAGTCCGGCACGAGAGTCAAGATCAAGTACGAGCGGAACATCAAGTTGTCGGTCATCAAGGACTGGATCCTGAACCACCCGAGGATCGTGATCCCTGCCATTGCCGCCCTCATCGCGGCCATCACCGTGACAGTGTTCGACCCGATCCGCACCTTTTTCATCGAGATGAAGATCAAGGCAACTCTGCAGACCGAAGAGAACAGTATCCTCAAATGGATCCGGAATCAGGCTAATAAAGCTAATATCATCTATTTCGGGCACCGTAAGACAGATCCCCGCCGCCTCACAGCGATCTGGGAGGATCGCCAGGGAGACATCAAGCAGCTGCAATCCTGGTTGATGGAGAATGCCGAGACGTTCATCGTCATCCACGGGCCTCGTGGCACGGGAAAGCGGGAGCTGGTGCTGGACCGGGCCCTCGAGAATTACAAGTACAAGGTCGTCATCGACTGTAAGCAGATTCAGGACGCCAAGGGCGACACCGCAAAGATTGCACGTGCTGCCAGCCAGGTCGGGTACCGGCCGGTGTTCTCATGGATGAACAGCATAAGCAGCTTCATCGACCTGGCCGCGCAGGGCATGATTGGCACCAAGGCCGGGTTTTCCGAAACCCTGGATGCGCAGCTCAGCAAGATCTGGCAGAATACCGCCACGGCTCTGAAGAGGGTCGCACTGGCCAACCGGAAGAAGGATGACAAGGAGGCGCATCTCTCCGACGAAGAATATCTTGAGGCTCACCCGGAGCAGCGCCCCGTCGTGGTGATTGACAACTTCCTGCATAATGCTTCGGAGAGCAGCGTGGTGTACGACAAGATCACGGAATGGGCCGCAGGCTTGACCAGCGGGAATATCGCTCATGTGGTCTTTCTCACTACCGATGTTTCCTTCTCCAAACCCCTGAGCAAAGCTTTGCCGAATTCCGTGTTCCGGACTATTTCTTTGGGCGACTGCTCCCTTGAAGTGGGGAGAAAGTTTGTGCTCAGCCATCTTGAGTATGAGGCGAAGGATGGGGACAAGCAGGTTCAAAGCATGGAGGAACTGGGAGGCCTAGATAGTCTGGACAGCTGCATTGAGGTGCTGGGAGGCCGAGTGACCGATCTGGAATTCATGGCACGGCGAATCGAAGCCGGCGAAACGCCTCGAGGTACGTTGCATCCATCTTGCATCCGACAATGAGTAGCTGACCCTTGTGACAGCGGCTGTCAATCGCATCATCGAGCAGTCGGCCTCGGAGATCCTGAAGATGTTCGTCTTGAACCCTGACATCGATTCCAAGCAATGGAGCCACGAACAGGCATGGCATCTGATCAAGACGCTGGCTCACTCCAAGGATGGTACCCTGCCATACAACCAAGTCCTGCTCTCCGACCTCTTCAAGGAGAACGGCGAGGCCACCCTTCGCGCTCTGGAGCAGGCCGAGCTGATCTCCATCGGTTCCGTCCACGGCTGTCCGGACGCGGTTAAGCCCGGCAAGCCTGTCTATCGGGCGGTGTTCAAGCGGTTGACGGAGAACAAGACCCTGAGCAGCCGTCTGGACCTAGACATCTTCAAGCAACTGCTGAGCAGTGAGAACAAGAGTATCGGGAAATACGAGCAGGAGCTGCAATTGCTGGGGTCTCTGCCCAAGCAGCCCCGCGAGCTCAGCGCACGGATTCAGTGGCTCTTACACAAGGTGGCCAGCTCGCAGAACAAGGTGAGCCAGTATGAGCAGGAGAGCGCTCTTCTCCAGAAGATCCTGCGCCGGGAGCATTGATTTTAATGTAATTATGTATGTACTATGAACGATGAATGAATGCCTGGAACAGACTTTAGCCGAATGACTGACGGCGGCTGAGCTAAGCCGTCATGGCGGTACCGTTCTGAACTTGACTGAACCACCAACCAACTATCAGCAACGTTCTCCCAGCTTTTCGGGGGTGGCTGCACTGCCCGTTTGTCTCATCCGTCTTAATTCCTTCTCTTTGGTAGATTTGTCTCATTCCATCCCTTGACTGTTCTGATCAACGTGGCCGTGAACCCGACCTCATTTCCCTCTTTTTTGTGCTGCCGCGCCCGGGTCCGGGACGTTCCTGTCATTACGATGGAGCAGTATGCATTTCTAGTGCCAGGGGACCTCCTCCGGCTGGTCCGCGATGGTCTCGCGCGCATCGGATGGCCAGCCTTAGTGGCCATCCTAGTCTCAATCTGCGTCCTCACTCGCCTGATCACTGGATTCCAGAGCCGTCTACGCGGCAGCCCCGAGGCGGGTCATCCCCGCCCCGTGCGGACAGTGCCGTACTGGCTCCCCTGGCTGGGCCATGGCCCGGCCTTTGCTTGGGACCATGTCAGTCTCATCCAGAAATCCAGGTGCGTGCCCCGAATAATGAACGGGGACTGTAATTGCTGACGGGCTCGTAGGGAGTCCATGAAGGAGCCCGTCTTTGGCATCTACATGGGTGGCACCAAACACCACGTCGTCGTGTCCCCATCCATGGTTAACGCGGTGTTCACCGCGCGAGGGACCTCCTCGACGGACTTGATCAACTATGCCTTGGAGAAGATCTTTGGAGACCGGGGGGTGATCCGGAACTTGAACCCTGTAGATCATCATGCGCTCAACCATAATGTCCCCAATCTGCTCATGCGCGAGCCTTTTCTCACGGAAGGCACCAAGACTGCCACCCGCCTGATCGAGCGGGAGATCCCCAACCTGGTGACCAACTGTCGAAGCATCGTGGACCAGACGCTGTGGGAACGGGGAAGCCAGACCGTGGTGATCGACGGAGAAGACTCGCTGTCCTGCGAGGCGAACCTCTTCGCACTCATCCGGAGATTCGTGGGCCACGTCACCACGGCCATTTTCATGGGGGAAGCCCTTCTGGAGGCGTTCCCGACTCTGCTGGAGGACGTCTTCGCGCTGGACAACCAGTTTGTTGCGTTGTCCATGGGGGTCCCTCGGTTGGTCCACCCCGGGGTCTCTGCAGCCCATGCGGCACGGACCCGGCTTCTCGACGCCCTGACCGCGTATCACCGGGCCTTTGTGGCTTGGGATGATGGGATTGACCCTGGACTCACCTTTCGGGATCTGGATGATATCTCGGAGCCCCAGAAGGAGCGGATTCGGAAGTGCAAAGAACTAGGGCTCTCCGCCAGGGCTAGCGCGCCTACACATCTTTCCTTGCTCTGGGCTATGAATGGAAACTCCCCCAATGTTGTTTTCTGGCATCTTCTTCGTCTCTATGCCAGTCCCTCGCTCCTGGAAGAGATTCGGAAGGAGGTAGCTCCCTATGTGACCATATCCCGGGAGGAGACGGGCTTTGCTTTCCAGGAAGCTCCCAAACTGTCCATCAATACCGAAGCGCTGGTCAAGTCCTGCCCATTGTTGAAGGCAAGCTTCTACGAAACCCTACGTTTGGACTCGGCGCCGCTGTCATTCCGGGGTGTCACGTCCGATCTCACCATCACGGAATCCGACGAAGATGCCGCTGCCGCCGGAGTCGCACAGCCTCGCTCATATGCAATCAAGAAGGGCGGTAGTGTTGCGATTCCTCATGCTGTTCTCCATACCGACCCCCGGTATTTCTCGAAGCCTGGCGACTTCGATCCGCTGAGGTTTATTACGACTGACCCCGAAACGGGGGCGAGGAAAGTGAACGTGCACACTATCAAGCCCTTTGGCGGTGGCGTGTCTGGATGCAAGGGCCGCGCCTTTGCAGAGCGGAAGCTCCTCGCGTTCACTGCGGCCATCCTCACCATGTGGGATATCGAACCCGCGCAAGACGGAGGCTTTACGATCCCCGAGCACCGGCCATCGGGAGCCGCTTTCCTGCCCAAGAAGGATATCAGGGTGCGGTTGAGACAGCATGCGTAAACGGTTGGCGATGCATATGGTGCAACCTTGCATATACACGGAGTTTGGTTGCATTCTATGGGTTTTTCGTACATAGATCGTCCCCAGGACCATTGGCCGGGCTGGTCGGTTACCAATGCTCAGCCCAAATGTTGATAGATTCATCTTCCTTGCAAATCCTATACTGCAATTGTAGGTATTTTTGACCCATTAGTATCCCGTCGGCCATAGCCCGAAGCCAATGGGGCGCGAGGCAGATGGGCTTATGATCTAGAGCCTCGGATAAGAATCCGAGCCGGGCCCTACCCCTCGATGTCACCACCATCACGACTATAATCGACATTGCTCTCCCCAGTCATTGCAACAATACCTGCCACCCGAGACTGCACTGAAACACACAATGGAGGACACACCAGCGCCCCCTCCACTTAGCGACTACGACCTATCCACCCCAATCTCATCGACATCCGGCCTACGTCAAGGCCTAGCCTCCTACGGTGATGCCCATTTCTCCTTATTCCTCCGAAAAGTCTTCATCAAGGCCCTGGGCTACTCAGATGATGCCCTTTCTCGTCCCATTATTGGCATCATCAATACCTACTCCGGGTTCAATCCCTGTCATGCGAATGTGCCTCAACTCATCGAGGCCGTGAAACGGGGCGTCCACTTGAATGGGGGTCTGGCGGTCGAGTTCCCGACGATTAGTATTCAGGAGAGCTTCGCCTATCCGACGAGTATGTTTTTGCGGAATTTGATGAGTATGGATACTGAGGAGATGATCCGGGCGCAGCCGTTGGATGCGTGTGTTATGATTGGAGGTTTGTATATGCATTTATCTTGGGGGCAGGTGTTGTAGATGCCTCGGTTGATCCTGGCTAACCTTACCAGGCTGCGACAAGACTGTCCCTGCCCAGTTGATGGGAGGTATCTCGGCCAACAAGCCCATCCTCCCACTTATCACGGGGCCCATGTTGCCAGGGAGCCATCGTGGCCAACGGATCGGGGCTTGTACTGATTGCCGCAACAATTGGGCCGCCTTTCGGGCAAAGGAAATCGATATTGAGGAGATCGCGGCTATCAATGAAGAACTTGCTCCGACGGTGCGTGCCTAGTTCAGTCGTAGATTTGCAAGAGAGGTTGCTGACGGTGATGATCTAGGTTGGAACCTGTGGTGTCATGGGGACCGCCAGTACAATGGCTTGCGTGACCGCTGCCCTAGGTATGATGCCACTCCGAGGTGCCTCTGCGCCGGCGGTCTCGTCTGCGAGGATCAGAGTGGCCGAGGAAACAGGGGGAATTGCTGTAGCGGTGGCACACACGGAACGGCGACCCCAAGACATCTTGTCGAAGGAGTCTTTCCTGAATGCCATCACGGTGCTGCAAGCCATTGGAGGATCCACCAATGCCGTGGTTCATTTGATGGCTATCATCAACAGACATCCTAAGGTTCAAGGCGTGATCACCTTGCAGACCATCGAGGAAGTTGGTCAGAAAACCCCGCTGCTGATCGATTTGAAACCCAGCGGCGATAACTATATGAATGATTTCCACAATGCGGGTGGAATGCTGGCGCTGCTGCATACCCTACGCCCGCTGCTTCACCTCTCCGCCATGACTATTACCGGTCAGACATTAGGCGAGGTATTGGATGCCTCTCCGTTCAGGACGTTTCCGCTCTCACAGCAGATCATCCGACCCCTATCCGACCCTCTCTATCCTGCATCGTCGCTGGTTGTCCTTCGCGGGAACATCGCACCGGATGGTGCCGTCATGAAGGCATCCGCATCCAAAGACCCGAGACTACTCTCCCATAGTGGCCCGGCGGTCGTGTTCGAGAACTCAGCCGACCTTGCAAAGCGCATAGATGACCCAGATCTGGAAGTCACGAAAGATTCAGTCCTGGTACTCAAGGGAATCGGACCCATAGGCAACCCAGGGATGCCCGAAGCAGGTCTGATACCCATACCCCGTAAGCTCGGGTCTGCAGGCGTCAAAGATATGCTGCGACTTTCCGATGGGCGCATGTCAGGGACGGCAGGGGGCACTATCGTCCTCCACATATCGCCAGAGTCAGCCCTGCCCGAGTCTCCTTTGGGGGTGGTTCAAACCGGCGATGTTATCACTTGTGACATCGCGACAAGAAAGCTCCAACTGGAGATCTCCGATGATGAGCTGGAAAGACGCATTGACGCGAGGAAGCAATCGTTGAACAGCGACGCGGAAGCCTCACCGGCCAGAAGGAGGAAGAGGGGGTATCGTGGCTTGTATGAGCGATCGGTGAACCAGGCCCAGGATGGAGCCGATTTTGATTTTCTCACAGCGAGTGGGCCATTGTCGGAGGATCAGAACTGAAACCATAGATGTTGGCTCGGCCAGATAGTAGCAGTGTAGATAGTTAGATGGTAGATAGTAGATACATACATTGATTCGATAGCTTTCATTGAGCCCTGACCGGGTGCCCTAAGCCCTGACTCCCCGCCCGAACAGGTGAAAGTGGATGCCAGGCGCGGGACGCGTTTCCCGAATCGGGAGGCGCGTCGCAGGAGAGAGTCTCGCCGCCGCATCGTCACCACGAGCAACACATGCGATCTTCTGGTCGGGGCGAGACCAATGCGTTGAGAGGTGTCCATATTCCCCATTCAGAAATTCAGGACCTCTATCCTACACTCCAGGCCACCTCACCATGGCTTCCGAAGCTATGCGTCCTAGGGGCCGACCGGCCCGTGAGTACAGACCACTGAGGCTCACTTCCCCGTTCCATGATATGGAGAACTTACGTTGTACATCGTGTAGATACCCCCGGCACTACGGTGCTGGCATATACACCCGACGGGCGCCGTGTCATCACAGGTGGTTCTAACTCGGCCATTCGAATCTACACCGTCGGACAGGATGGCGAGCCGAAGACGATCGATGAAGGTGTTGATGGACACCTTGGAATTGGGGCCACCGTGCGCTCTGCCACTCTGATGACCAGTCTGATTGAGAGGCTGACTGATGCATAGAATGAATCATTTATCATGGGCGCGGAAGACGGCACAGTTTGGCAGTATGAGATCGAGTCCGGTCGGATGGAAAAGCTCCTGGTACGATGCGCGCTACCGGTACGAGATATTGCGGTTTCCAAGGATGGGGAATGGGTCGCGGTGGCAAGCGAGTGAGTTTCTCTATTGAGGGATCATGTGTTTGGGGGATCCCCATAGCTGACGGTGTCTGGGCTAGTGAGCTTACGGTCAAGATCGTGAACATCGAGGACATGACGCAGGTCAAATATCTCCGAGATCAGGCCAAGGGTACGAAACACGTCACGTTTGATCCGAGTGGCCGTTACGTGACCGTGTCGTGTACGGATGGGATGGTCTACATTTATTCGCTACTCTCCGATGAGCCCGAGTTGGTCCGCAAGCTGGATGGGGTGATCCGAAGGCTGGAACCGGAGGATGAGGCGACGTCGCGGATTGTTTGGCATCCGGATGGAACGGCGTTTGCGTCTGCCGAGGCCACTCGGGACATCGCTGTCTTCTCGGTGGGGGAGTGGAAGAAAGAGAAGGTGTTCTCGGGGGGTCATAATGGGGATGTCACAGCGGTCAGCTGGTCGCCTAATGGGGCGCTCCTGGCGACTGCTGGTGCTGATGGACAGGTGCTACTCTGGGAGACGAAAACGCAAAAGGTTCTGGAGCGGTATGACTTTGCCAACGTGATCAACCTCGCCTGGCACCCGACCAACAACTCGCTGTCGTTCACGACCTCGGATGGAGAGTTGTTTATATATGATGGGATTGTGTCGAGAGAACACCAACCGCTGCTTCAGAAGCCGCTTCAGGCGGCGCCGATCTTCTCTGGACCTTTGACCGACATCTCCGACAATGTGAGACGACCGCTGGCGAACCGGCCGAAGGAGTCGATTGAACGGAGGGAAAGAGCGCGCACCCCCGATTCGCTGGATGATATTCTGAATTCTGATGTTGGTATGGAGGACTTCGTCGAGGATGACGATGGAGCGGGTTACGCCGAGGATATCAATGGACGGGGCAAGCGCGCGGGCTCGCATCTAGACGATATCGAGGGCCATGCGGACAAACGGCTGTTGACCTCATTCGCGAAGCCCAAGGTTCACCTTCCTCTTCAGCCGGGCAGTACTCCCTGGAGGGGTAACCGGCGGTATCTCTGTATGTGACCTGGAGCTGCCTGGGTGGTGTTGATGACCAGTGCTGACTGAACTAGGTTTGAACCTGACCGGTTGTGTCTGGACGGTCGACCAGGAAACCCATAATACGGTGACGGTGGAATTCTACGACCGGGAGCTCCATCGGGATTTTCATTTCACTGATCCCTATCTCTATGACCGGGCGTGTCTCAGTAGGTTCCACCGGCGTTGACGGACCAACAGACACACAGGCTGACCATTGCTAGACGAGAACGGAACGCTGTTTTCCAACAACCCAACGGATGGCAGCCCTGCTACGATCTTCTACCGACCCCACGAGACGTGGACCACACGTGCGGACTGGCGGACCCAGCTGCCAAAGGGTGAATTCATTCGAGGTATGTACCCTGCCGACTGACCCGGGGAGTAAATTGCTAATCGGCGTGGCAGCGCTGGCGCTCAGTGATTCCTACATTGTCGCAGTGACGACCAAGGACTATGTCCGTGTATATACGTTATTCGGCACGCCCTTCAAGGTGTACCGACAGAAGAGCCCGGCCGTGACATGCGCCGCTTGGCGCGACTATATTATGACGGTGGGCAATGGCCCGCTGGGAAGCGATGGCCGCACGGCGACGCTACGATACACGGTGGAGAATGTCAAGCGGGATGAGGTCTGTCAGAATGAGGATGTGGTCGCGATCCCGGAGGGCGCAGAGCTGCGGAGCGTCTTCTTCTCTGATGCCGGAGTAAGTGATTTCCACGCATGATGACCAGACCGACCATGCTGACGCTTGTCTTGCAGGACCCCTGCATCTACGACTCCGAGGGCGTGCTCCTCGTGCTGCAGCACTGGCGGACCAACGGTCACGCCCGCTGGGTTCCGCTCCTGGATACCAAGCAGCTCGAGCGTCTTGCGACCGGCCGTAAGGAGGAGACGTACTGGCCAGTCGCCGTGGCTCAGGACAAGTTCCACTGCATCATCCTCAAGGGAGGGGATAAATACCCGTACTTCCCCCGGCCCTTGCTGAGTGAGTTCGACTTCCGCATTCCCATCTCCGATACGCCTGGGAAGGGCACGGACGAGGAAGAGGCAGAAGGTCGGGAGGGTGCACGCTTCGAGGAAGCCTTCGTCCGGGGCAGCATCATGTTGTCGCTCTTCGAGGATCTCTTGTCGTCGACCAACGCCACGACCGGGCAGCGGGCGGAGTTGGCGCGGAAGGAGGTGGAGGTGGACAAGACGCTCCTGCAGCTGCTGGCGGTGGAGTGCCGTGAGGGCGAGGACCGGGGCATGAAGGCACTAGAGCTGGTGCAGATGATGCGCGACCGCAATGGCAAGATGGTGGAGGCGGCCGTGAAGATTGCGGAGCGCTATGGCCGCGGCGTGCTGGAGGATAAGATCCGCGATCTGGCGGAGCGTCGGTACATGGGCGCGGACGACGATGACGAACTGGCATGATGTGGGAGATGTATATGAGGGCGTAATCATAGATACCAATCCATGGCTTTTCTCTTTTCTCTTCTCTCTTCTCTCGTGTCTCGTGTTCGTCGTCTGCCTGAGGCACAAGCATGGAGGCGACGGCCGGGCCGACGTCATGCCCGCTTCCTTCGCTTCGTTTCCACTTCGTCTTCTTCTTCTTCTTCTTCTTCTTCTTCTTCTTCTTCTTCATTCCACTCCATCGTCCCCCCCCCCCACCACTTGCTGTCTCATGCATCCGCCAGTTCATGACTGGACGCAAGCCCTCCGCTGCCACTTTCCAAGGCATGCATTGATCCTCTCGCAACGACAGGTCCCTGGGTGAAACCGCCCGGTAGCTCCGTGTCCGGGATGCCGCCGAAGCTGGTCTCTGGCTCTGCGCCGCGCGCTCTTCGATGTCGACTTATCCAGCCTCCCTCTCCGATCACGCCCCCCGTCTCTCGCGAACAATACTTCGTCTCCCCTTCTCCGCGGACCCTTGCTCAGCCGCGACCCGATATTCTCCACGGACCGCAGTTGACCCCCGTGTCGCCGACGCTCTTCTCGCAAACCGGTTTCCGACCGTCCACCTCGGATCCCTGGGATGGGGCCCCGAAACACGACCATGAACCGCCCGATGAGCGTGTCTTGAAGCTCGGGAAGAGTGAGTAGGCCTTGCTCTGCCGTCTACTTTCCCTGGTTACCGGGGACCCCACATAATCTAGCTGACGCTGACCGACTCGACCCTCGACAGCGCTCCGGATCCTCTCGCCTCTCCTCCCCACCCTCCTCATCAACCCGCTGCCTCCGACGATCCTCTCCCCGAGCATAGCGCTCCACCTCTTCCCTTCGACGCACCCACACCTCCCCACGGTCAGAGGCCGGACGCTGTACCGAGCCGCGCTCTGGACCGTCCCGGTAGCATGGAGCAGCCTTCCCCTGCTGGGCAATGTCAAGCTCCAGATCCTAAGTGAGCGCATCGTCCGGGCAGGGACGGTTCTCGAGCCGGAGCGCCCGGACAGCGACCACGATACCAGCGACGAGCGCCTTGTAGTGCGGTGGAGGACCGAACCGCGGGGAGAGACCACTCACAGCCCCAGTACTACCTTCACCACTGCCGCCCCTACCTTACCCACAGATACTCAATCTCCCTCCAACAGCCGCGGCAGTCACCTCTCGTCCTCGAAAACCGGAATCAACAAGGGCCTCAGCGTGCTGCTGGGCGGAGACGCCCCGATCTTCAAGTTGTCCAAGGAAGAGCAATTCACGGGGCTGTTCATCTTCTCCTTCGACGAGGAAGGTCGCATTGCATCCCACACCATTGAGCACGCCGATGATGCGCGCGGATGGAACCGGACGCCCAAGTTTGTCACCCTGACCGACTGGTTAATCGGGAAGGCAAGAGAGTCATTGGACCCCGCGGCTGAGCCTGGTCTCGCCATGCAAGGCTGTGAGGGACATGAATTCACGGATCGGGATCGATATCATCCTCACCGTCGCTCATAGTTGCGGCAACAACATTCTCCTTCCTATATTACCGATCAATTCATACCCGAATTCTCCCCGACTTCAAATTTCCATCTTTGCCAGCAAGAACAGGGAACACAACCCATATAGAGGACTTCACGGGCGGTGCGGGTTGGGGAAATTGAAAAAGGATCACCCTCTCTTTTATCTCAGGAATTACTTTCTGGTGCTATGTACGGCGGCTATCTGCTTGTGAGCTTGTTTGTTGAGTCCTAGAGGTCAATTGACCAGCTCCTCTCTTGTGTCCTGTGCACTCACCCACTCCTCTCAGATGTGTACACTATACCCAGTAATGAATAATGTCACTGTTACAGTATAGGAACTACACCTAGTACTCCCATACTACATCATATCTAGCTTGGCATGATTCTGCAAAACATGTCCGGCCACTGAGCCAGCCAGCGGATCATTCTGCATATTCCTATCTGACTATCTCATGCTCCATACACATATCGAATCTAGGAATCTCTGATACCGTCTCGTATCATATACCAACCAGGACATGAGTCGCTCAACCAAGTCTATCGATCTATCTCTCACACACATCTAAGACTAATCCAAACCAATAGAGGCCAAATCACCCCAAGCAAAGCCTCGATGCACAGAAAGTAAAAATACTTCTACGCCTTCACCTTCGAAGCACCCGGTCCAATCGCGGGCGACTTCAAGGTCGTAAACACGGCCACGCACACAGTGACCATGACAATTCCACCCGTGGTATAGGCGATTTCGCGCCCGGCCCACCAAAAGAGCGAGCAGAAGAGCAGAGGACCCGCGGCGCGACCCACTTGTCCCCAGCTCCGAAGACGACCCAGTACTGCGCCGCGGTCCGATTCCTGCGCTTCCAAGCTTCCCAGACTGTTCAGGCCCGTGACCACGGTCGCGCTGGTGATGGCGAGGAGTCCGCCGGCGGCGTAGAGGCCGGAAAGTGAGGAGACGCGCGCCAGCATGAAGAAGGAGATGGTGCAGGCGACGACGCCCGCGCGCACGATCACGAGCGGAGGGAGACGGCGCACCACGGTGCCTTGGAGGAGGGAGGCGATGAGACCCATCATGGAGAGGAGACGGCCGTTGAGGGCGGAGGGGCTGGCTTGGCTTCCGGCGTAGAAGGTGGCGGTCAGGAAGGGGAGGGAGAACTCGAGGCCGGAGAAGGGGAGGAGGAAGAGGAGATGGATTGCGTTCAGGACGGCGGGCTTGTTGGTGTGTTGCTTGCGTTTGGGGGATGAGGGCTTCGAGGTAGTGGTGGTGGTGGTTGCGGTGTTGGAGGAGGTATGAGTGAGCTTGGTGAAACGAGGGTGCGTTTCCGGGAGGCAGAAGTAGATGTATGCGGTCTCGACGACGATGAGGAGGAGGGAGACCCCGGCGGCGGTCGCGAAGGGGTTGGCTGCCACGGTGGTGATGTTCGAGAGCGCCGCGCCCAGGGCGGGTCCGCAGGTGAAGGCGATGCTGAAGCACGCTCCCACCAGGGCCATGGTCGAGCCGCGCTGGCTGGGGTCGCTGATGTCGGTGGCAATGGCATTGGCGAGCTGGACATTGCCTTCGCTGAGACCGCCGACAACGCGACTGGCGAGAAAGGTGCGGAAATCGGTCGCGGCGACCCAGAGGGCGACGCTGAGGGTGTTGCCGATCATGGAGTAGAGGAGGGCAGTCTTGCGGCCACGTTGGTCGGAGAGACGACCGATGAAGGGGGCGGCAACAGCCTGGAGGAAGGAGAAGAGGGAGCCGAGGGCACCGCCCAGGAGGATGATATCATAGCGCGAGTCGATTGGCTTCGCAAAGGAGTTCTTGTAGGCATTGAGATAGTGGAAGACGCGGTTCAGCAGCGAGTCCGGGGAGGGGTCTTGGTTGCGGTAGAAGCTAAGGAGGGACGGAAAGAGGGGCAGAATGAAGGTGAAGGATATCTGGGCATCATCAGTGAGCGAGAGCCCGGTAGAGGGACATACGAAGGGAGGGCCTACCAAATCCAAGAGCAGCGAGGTCATCAAGACCTTGAGGATCTGCTTCCGCTGATCTGCAGCTACCGCCATGGTGGTCGACGGCGAGGGGGAACGTCCACAGAAAGGAGGAGGCGACGAAAGCAGACGAGGAGAAGGAAGAAAATAGCGAGTGAAACCGTTATGGGCGCATGAGGACTGGAGCTGGAGAAAAGGCCAGGCGGGCAGCTCGGACAAGAGAAGTAGAGAAGAAGCATCCACGATGGCATCTTCTGGTCGTCGCCCGTCCCACCCGTTAATGTCATAGCCCTGAGCCCTATTCTTGGCTGCTCGGACTTGACTGCCCCTTCCGGCCCCTTATTTACAAGCAGTCCGTCTACACGCTGCTTACAGACTATGCTTACGAGTATATCTACAGAGTACAACGGTGTGAAAAGGATCGATCATGCTGCTGGCTGCATTGCCTCGCCCGATCTCGTTCCGCCCCGGCCGTCCACAGCCAGGGTCTTCCCTGCGCCTCCGCCCGCCCACCGTCCAGATCGCCGCTCCCAGATGTCAACGCAAGATGCAAAAGGAATAAAATACAAGAGAAGAACCGTGGAGGGCAATAGGAGGACCATTACCGCCGCCACCGAGATGCAATGGCCCCGCGGAAGCGGACATCAAAGCTGAAAAGACACGGAAAGAAAAAAGACATTGAAGAGCAAGATTATGCACGCTCAATAACTGCAAACATATACAACAAGGACTTTTGAAATAAGATCCAAAAGAAACATGGAGCAAAGACACCGGGTGACTGGTTCACCGGCCGTGCTTTGCCCTCAGAGACCCGTGTTGTAATCATCTCAAGTCATCGCGTTCGTCAACCATGACACCGCCATTACCCATGAGTTTATTAGTATGAGAGAGACAAATGAAAGCATAAATATCCGACGGCTGCGAGAAAGAGCGGGAAGAGATCGAGCCAGGAGCGTGGGAAAGGCCCAGAGTCATGCGAGGTGGCAAGACACTGGTGTCAGAAATGCGTCGACTGGGAGAAGCACGTCTCGCAGAGAAGCACCGCTCCTAAGCCACATGGCAGATCCACCCATCTCAAGCCAGACCAGGTTCACTGGTTTCCAGCAGGGGCGGCACTGGGAGCGCCATTGCCATTGCCATTGGCGTTGGCTCCGCCGCGGCCCCGGCCACCACGGCCGCGACCACGACCGTGGCCTCGGAATTCGCCGCGTCCGCGGCCCCGGAATCCATCACCCCGGCCGCGGCCATGTCCGCCACGGCCCCGTCCCCGGCCACTAGGCTGCCTCTGGTGGTGCACGACGGGCTCGAAGCCGTCGGGCTTAGGCACCGTAACATTCTCGGCGGTCTGTTCACCAGCAGCCGGGGCACTCTTCGCCTCCGCTTCTACTGCGGCAGGAGTCGCCTCAAGGCCGGTTTCGGTCTCAGCGGGGTCGCGTGGGACCTCAACCCAACCTTCAGTGTTGGCCGAGGACACACCAGAAGCATTTGCATCCCAGCCGGCCTCTGCAACGGCGTTGGCACCGTCCCCAACTAGGGTCTGAGCAGGCGGGGTGATCTGCTCAGGCTCGGGCTCAGTGGCGGGAGTGGACTCGTTCGCGACAGTTGCGTCGGTGTTGTAAGAGGAATCCTGTAGTTCCGTGTAGGCCGCATTGGCCACAGAGGGGTCCGATGCAGGAGCGGCCTCGGGGGTGGCGTTGTCGGACGAGGGAGCAAGCTCGGCGGAGACCTGCTTTACCCTTTCATCTGATTGAACGAGTAGTGTTAGGAGCGAGCAGAACAAGACCGGGGGGAGGGGGTTGCAGTGAGTGCTTACAAGTAACCTCCAGGGTGGTGCCGTCAACACCAACCACCTTCTCGTCCACCCCATCGATGATTTTGAGCATAGAGGTGACGGCATCTTGAGTACCGCCATAGACTTGATAAAGGACGCCTTCAAATGCACGGCTTTCACTCGAGGACTCATCTCCAGATCGTCTCACGGTCGCGGCAGCGCACAGGAACTTGCTCAAGTTAAGCAGCCTCTGCCTAAGCACCTGTTCGCCGGCATTGGTGGCGGCGGCGGTGGCAGCGGCGGTGGCCTGCTCCTGAAGAGCCTCGAGTTGCTCCTTGTGAGCCTTCTCCAAAGCAGCCTTCTGGCTGGCCAACCGCTCCTCGTAATGAACGGCAAAGTTCTTGAAGTGGGCAATTTGCTCCTCGATCTGAGCAATACTGGCTTGAAGAGAAGGCTTCTTCAATGCCTGAGCCTTCTGATCGACGTTGATCTTCTTCTCCGCGACGAGATCGTCCAACGACTTTCCAGGGTTTTCGGCAATGATGGCGTCAACTTTGGCGGTCGCGTTCTAGATTGGACAAAGACATGTGAGCGGTGTACAGGAACCTAAATTTGAGTCGGTGGGACGAACCAGCTTCTTCACAGCATTGCGCAAGCTCCTATGATGCTGCAGTTAGCTTCCTACTCAGATTCTGGCAGAAAGCGCAGGGATTGCTTCTCGTTGACGCACTTCTGCAAGTCCTTGTAGTGGGGATAATCGATAGTATCCAAACCATTCAGCTCTGGCTTGGAAGCGACCGAAGGGCTCGAGGCATGGTTTGGCTTCTGCTTGTCTGAGGAGGGTTCGGACTGTTGGGGGAGGTTTGTGTTAATGGCAGCCATTGTGTTGTGAAGAGGTCAAGGTTGAGAAGGTGGTCTAGGTAAATAGGTGGGTAGAGTCAAGAGATAGGTGGAGATAAAAGCGGAATGTAGAAGTTGAGGGTCAAAAAAAAATACAATGAAGGAAGAGAAGGGCGCAATTCCAGAAAGAAGTAGAGGGTGGTGGTTGGATGAAGGGAAAGGTGAGAGGTGAGATGGAAGAGGGAAAGTGACGAGGCAGCAAGACAAGACAAGAAGATGCGGGTGGAAGGCTTCCGAACCTCAGCGCCGCCTCGCCTTGTCGCGTGCTGCGCGCCGCGAGCCCAACAACGCTTCCCCCAAACAGCGCTCGGACGGTTGGCGCTGCCCTCTGCGAACTCAATGGCCTACGAGTGCAATTGTGGTTGGACGGGCGTCTGCGACGCATTACAAGTGCAATTTCAACAGGGGCACCCCTGCTGCTCTAGACCACCATGATCCGTGATGGTTGGGTATCCTCTCATTGAACTCCTGCGTAACGCCGGCCCTGCGTCACTGGCCTGATCAAAGCCCATTCGTCATCGCGCCTTGGGAAAAACTGGCAAGAGACAAAAATAGACTCCAAAATAAAGAACACTACGATGACCTTTCCCCCTCTCCAACGCCGTATAGTTTGAGTCTCATCCAAGAGGCAAGTCGATCGATATCCGCCATGCTGTATAGTAGCCCGGAGAATAAAGCCGAATCCCACAGTGCACACAAGCTTATCCTTTGAACTTCCGAAGGGTCCTCTAGTAAGCGGGAGATCCAGGGGTCAGCCTCGATCGTGGCAGGCGACCGTTGATGTCCGACCAAGCAAAACATACCTCAGTCACCTTCCGAACACTGTTTGGCGAGATGTTCTTCTCGCCCGCTTTCCGCGACTGAATCGATGACTCCCGCATCAACCTGGGTAAACAGTGACGCATTAGCACCCCGCTCATGTTTCCTGCCCCAGCTCCTCTTCCAACAAGTGACCATTTGTATATGGACGGGGGAATTCCGAATATAGGTAGTCTAGAAGCAGCGATGGCGACTCACTCTTGCATAAACAGCATGTAATCGAGGAAGATCTATAGAGCAGGAGCACGTCAGTGTCCAAACAGACGATCTAGAGGTTCACGGCTCACCAGGATATCGGCATTTTTGCTCAAGTTGCGGTTGGAGTGAGCCTTGACAACGCGTTTGACGGTTGCGCGTGGGTATAGCTTTTGTGTCGCTGCCATGATCGCTCCTGGCGCATAGAAAGGGTCCGGAGGCGGATTGACGAGGTGGTTCTGAGGAAGTGGATCGCGACCGGCGGAGGAATGATAATGGCAACCACCGCCATTAGTGATCTCGAGCTTCGTTTCCCCGTCGATAAGCTTAGCTGCCTTTCCTTACCGCTTGTCGTGTTGGAGAAAATTACGCCCCTGTACTAACAGTACCATACGGGTCCCCGAACCGGTTTTCTGTCCCCCAGTAAATTAGGTCGATAGGAAGATTCAGAAACAAAAAGCAAGCAGCCAACATCGACAACGCTATGCACATTTATTCTAAGGTTCGTCTAAGTATGGACAGAGACCTGTACAGTTACTTCAGCCGACGCAACAATTTCCACGCGTAGATGGCGGCCGCAGACCCCAGCGCAATCCTCCACGCTAGAAAGATATAGATGGCAGCACGGACCCGGTCATAATAGCCCCGGAGCATGATGCCAACTGCATATGTACTTGCGTCAGGGTCTTTGTCGGAGGACCCATAATACCTGCCTACACCAAGTCCTCCAATGCCGACTTGGTTGCGATCATGATCCCCGTGACTGGTAGTTGTCTCTGTAACCGGCAGCGCAGCCGTCTGGCTGTCCACCGCGGTGTTGTTGGGCCGGGAACCCGACTTGACCTGGTTCCGGTTGTGTTTTCGCAGACGATATGTAAGGATGTTTATAAGCAATCGCAGATCCAGTGCTGTGAAATTTGGATATTTCCATAACTGTACAGCAGTATGAGGTGGGAGCATATCTAGGAAATCTGCCAAGATACCCAGAGTCAGACCCCAAAGGAGGAGAGGCTGACCCTGACTGCTGGAATTCGCCTGACTGCCGAGACACCAGGATTTCCAGCGTTCCAACAGAGACGCCGACGGCCGGGTGCCCTCTGGGACATACCCCGGGGTTGAACTGCACTGCAGGCTTTCAGTTGGTGCTAACCGGATGGCGGCGAACTGCATGTAGCCCATCAGGGAGCGATATGCAAGGCGTGACATAAGCCCGCCCATATTGGCCAGCCGCTGAGACATGTCCACATGTTCCACTGTCCGCAAGGATGGGGAGAGAAGGGCTCGGAGGGGTACCCAATGGGTCGAAGCCACCTCGGTGGGTTGTAAGCGGAGAGTCGGGGAGTCGCTGGATGTTAACAAGAAGACGTAAGGACAAAGGACCATCAACCTAGGGAAGGGGTTGGTCAGCGCTATACACCTTTCAGCAGAAAAGACTCCAGGAAAGTACGTACGGAACCGTCCCCCAGCTCGATGTCACTACCCTCTCCGGGAGATTCCCCACATGAATACAGTCACTCGTTGTCAAATCCAGTCCTATCTCTTCAATGGCTTCTCGAATTGCGGCCGCTTTATCGTCGACATCCTCCGGATCTCTCTTTCCGCCTGGAAGAGCAACATGACCCGTCCAGCGGTCTCCGACCCGCGACGCTCGCTTGATAAAGATAGCTTCCGGCTCCCCATTTTGAACCCAAGACTGCGAGAAGAACGTGTCTAGTTGTTGCTGGACGGAAGCAGAGGAATCGGGTGAGGAGAGGGACGGAGCATCCGGCCAATGGTTATAGGTAGGACGAACACGAAGAATCAGGGCAACCGAGGCACGCTTCTTGCACGATGGCGGGTTGGGAACATGGGGATATGGGCGTTGATGCAGGTCGGCCAAGACGTCATGGAGGGACTGGGCCAACGAGGCCGGCGGCGGCATGGATGGTGGAGCCATTGACCAGGAGCATTAAGGTAGGTCCTTAGGGAGGTCAGTGAGGCGCAGTAGGCGAGTGGTTGACCCTATAGGCGGCAGAGGGAGACCCAACGATGGGGTGGACAGAACCAGGATGCGAATAGCATCGTCGCAGCAGGCAAAAGACGGGGCCGGAGGTTATCGGGGAAAGATACCGTGAGTGACGGAACCGAGGTCTGGCCAGGCAGCACACCGGCGGTCAGGACAGGGTACGGTATTGGTATTACAGATGTCTAGCTCGGGAGGCCGGCCGAGGATAGCTCTGGGCTAAAGAGCCAATCAGAATGACGGGAGTAAACGGGCCGGGGCACTAGGCCCCAGGAGGCAGGCATGACGGGAGCACGTGCCTGGATACGGCGATGGCAGACCTTCTGGCGGAAGGCTGCTAGTCCTTAGCCCGTATACTAATTAACTGCAGATGGAGTAAACTACCCTCATCCGCTTGTCTTTTGTCGCTTCGCCCGCTGAAACGCTCGCCACTTTTGATTTTTCTTCTCACCCTTTTCTTTTCCTCCCTCTTTTTCTCTTTCTTCGCATCAAATCTTCTTCTCTGCTTATCCCTTGCATCGATCGCCCTCCTTCCTCCCGGAATCGTCTCCGCCCGGACGGCATTCCTTGCGTCTCTAGTGCTTGCGGAGCCCATCTCTCTCTTCCCCCCGCCCCGAATCTCTGGACTGTCGCGTGCATACTTTCCCATCACAGCCATGCGTTTCGGCAAGACTCTTCGCAATTCCATCTACCCCCCATGGGCTGGGAAATATATCGATTACCATCGCCTCAAGGTGCTTCTGAGGGAGCATGATGTCATTGGCGATGGCAGTGACTCGGAGAGCACCCCGTGGTCCGAGCAGGACGAGGAGGCCTTCGTCCAGGAGCTCATCAACGTCCAGCTCGACAAGGTCAATGCTTTCCAGATGGAAACTCTGCAACAATTGCGGGAGCGTACCACCACCTGCGAGACCCGCCTGCGCCCATTGACGACTTCTCCCGACGGCGAAGAGCCTGCTGCCGTCGACGATGAGGAGAAAAAGAGAGTCGCTTCGGATGTTATGCAGGAGTTGGATAGCATCACCAAGGAAGTGACCGAACTGGAGAAGTACAGCCGGATTAACTTCACTGGCTTCCTCAAGGCCGCGAAGAAGCATGACCGCAAGCGTGGTACACGGTACCGTGTCAAGCCTCTGCTCCAAGTGCGCCTCTCGCAACTCCCTTTCAACTCGGAGGACTACTCGCCCTTGGTCCGGAGGCTCTCGGTGATGTACTCCTTCGCTCGCGAGATTCTCAGTCAGGGCGTTGTCGAGACTCAAGACCCTGCCGAACCCCGTGTCGGTCAGGACGTCTTTTCCTCATTCAAGTTCTGGGTCCATGCCGACAACGTGCTCGAGGTGAAGACTTATATTCTGCGGCAACTGCCCGTCCTGATCTATAACCCTGGCACTTCCAAGGATCTGAACACCGTCCCCGACGACCCGACGATTACTTCCCTATACTTTGACAACCCGCAATTCGATCTTTACACCCAGAAGGTGGCCCGTGCCCCTGAAGCAGGTTCCCTGCGGTTGCGGTGGACTGGAAATTTGCGCGACAAGCCGGCCATCTTCCTGGAGAAGAAGGTCGTGACAGATGATGATCGCAGTCGCGAGGTGAAGGTGCAGCTGAAGCAGAAGCATGTCAAGGAGTTCCTGGACGGAGAATACCGCTTCGATAAGAAGGTGCATCGGTTGGAAAATATGGGCAACGGCGAATCTGAACATGCGGAGGCTTTTAAGAAGGATGTCGATGAGCTGCAATCTTTCATCAAGGAACACAATCTGCAGCCCATGCTTCGCGCCAACTACACCCGCACAGCCTTCCAGATTCCCGGAGATGACCGGATCCGAATCTCTCTCGATACCAACCTCGCTCTGATCCGGGAAGACTCACTGGAAGAGCTGCGTCCGTGCCGTGAGGCACATGAATGGCATCGGAGAGACATTGATGAGGCCGGGATGGAATATCCGTTCCGGTCCATCAGAACCGGCGAAATCGCTCGTTTTCCCCATGCCTTGCTGGAGATTAAACTCCGGGGAGATGCGACACATAGCGCTGAATGGGTTAAGGACCTCATGGTATCTCATCTCGTGAAGGAAGCCCCGCGATTCTCCAAGTTCGTCCACGGTGTTGCCCAGCTGTTCGAGGACTACGTCAACAGCTTCCCCTTCTGGCTCGGCGAGCTGGAAAACGACATCCGGCGGGATCCTGAGACCGCGTTCAACGAAGAACAGGAGCGGCTTGCGAAGCGCGCCGAGGATGAGATGGCAGTCGGAAGCTTCTTGGGAGGCAAGAGCCCCTCAACCCGACTCATGGTCGGGTCTCCGGTTCAGATGTTCACCGAGACGGAGTCGTCACGACACCGCCAATCCCTTCAAATCGTACAGCCGTCTCCCCGCCCATCTGCTCCCGAAGTGGGCAGCGCTCCTGAACGCCAGGCGCCCGTCGAGGATGCGGAACAGGAGGCGGAACAGCCGGTCACCATGAAGCGCCTGGCTGCTCTGTTCCCCTCCTTCACCCTTGCGCGCCAAAACCGCGCACACGTAGACAATGTGGTCTTGCCGCCTGGTGTCCGGGAGCCCGGTACCTGGATCAAGGACTCGGGCCCGGTCCGCGTGGAAACCAAGGTCTGGCTCGCCAACCAGCGGACCTTCATCAAGTGGCTCCACGTTAGTATTCTGCTTTCTTCGCTGTCTCTGGGTCTGTACAATGCGGCCGGGAAGAACAACGACATCGCCCGCGCCTTGTCCATTGTCTACACTGCCTTCGCCATCTTCGCCGCCGGCTGGGGATGGTACATGCACGAGAAGCGGGCGCGCCTGATCCGCCAACGGAGTGGACGAGACCTCGACAACATGTTCGGACCGATTGTCGTGTGCGTTGGATTGGCAATTGCACTGGTGCTAAACTTTGCCTTTAAGGTAGGCTCGGAGCCGTCTCTTGGATACTTCTTGACTAACCTGGGACTTAGTACAACTCTACCCTGGAGAAGCTCCGAAACAACCAGCCTGTGGAGGCAGTTCCCGGGCTGAACTCGACGGCTTTTCTCAACAAGGCCAACATGTGGCAGCTAGTCAACCAAGGTGGAGAGACGCTCTAAACCGCTCCCCTTGTTAATGAGGTCTCCACCCAGATTGGCAGATAGTAGAATTATCACGACACTGTAAAGTGCACACAAATGTCAGAGACTGTCAGTTCACCCCTTGTTTTGGGTATGTACCGGGTGAATCGTCCATGTATGTATTGTTAGCATGTTACCTGATTGATTGCGGGATCAAAATTGACCCAAGCGAGTATCGTTAGAATGGAAATAGGGTTTCTTTGTTAATTGTACTCTCACTCTGCAATAGTAAAGTTTCACTTCATCTCATCGTCAATACCTAAATACCCTTGTAACAATGATGTATATACAACCGGTGATATGGGACGGCTAAAATGCAAGACACCAACCTCAAACCCAACGCCTGAAATGAGCCCCCCTACCACAAAAAAGATAAAAAAACCAACTCACAAACGCTCACTCACGTATATCCACTCGACGCAGACCGAGGAGGAAGTAGCGGGGCGCGCTCCGGATCCAGATCCTGCGACGCATTGCATGAAGATTCCGCCCCCGGGACGGTCGGACGCACGGGGAGTTTCCCATGCGGAGTGGTATCGTATAGGATGCTTGGGACGTAGCCGTCGAAACTGGTTCTAATAGAAGATCAATGTTAGAGTGTTTGCTATGGGAGGTATCAGTTGGGGATGTGGGGGGGGGGGAGATACCGATCGAAGAAGCCGCAAAATAGCCAGAGGTAGATGGTGCCGAGGAAGGCGATGATCCATTCGAGGATGCCGGCGGTGCGGTAGTCGTTTGCTTCTTCGGGGACGGTGAGGGAGATGAAGGCTACGCCGAGGAGGAGTTGTATGAGGATTAGGGCGGTGGAGAGGGATGCACTATGTGAGGGATTAGGGATGGTTCGTAGCCTGGAAGATCCAAGATAGTGTAGGTAGATGGTGACATACAATACCCTCACTCGGATGCTCCGCTTGCCCCAGTCATTATGCCATACGCCCCAATGGTATAAATACGACATGAAACACAGAACCTCGTTGGAATAGACGATGGCGGTGCCCGCCGATTGTAATGCTAGACCACCAAAGCAGACGCGCAGGAAGATATGATGGGCGAATTTGTATCGGAACGTGTCCATGATTCCGAGTAGGATGAGCGCGGTGCTAGCCATGCCGGAGGCGAATATCGAGAACAAGGAAATAACCTTGAGCGTCTTGGTTGTCTCTTGGTCCTCGTCAGTGTCGCTTTCATCTCCGGTGATATGGTCGCGAGCGTTGTGGTTGTTGACATTCCCTGGCTCGTTGGCGGTGGCCTCGTCGCTCGTATCGGACACCACTGGGCACCGAATCAAGGCGAACCCGGGCTCGTAGCGCATAACATGAACAGCTGCTACCGTGAATAGGAACCCCACGGCTGTCATGGACGCACCGACCAGAAATAAGGGCTTGAGTTCGAACGAGGCAATGTCGGAGATGAAGCTATTCCTCGCGTCAGTACCGATGCAGCATATGATGTAATTGAGACAGGATGAAGGCAGAGGAGAGGAAGAGGGCAGCGCACGCGACATCCGGGTTACTCTGGCCGGGGTAGACGGGCATCCCACGACCCAGCCATGTCAAGAGCAGAGCCGCCAGCGTCAGGAACCAGACCGAACCAGCCAGCGACGGGAAGATGATCAGTCGGGAGGGAGGGATATTGAGGATGACGGCGTGGAGAAAGGCCCAGATGGAATCATGGCAGCGGAGCAGAAAGGAGATCAACATGGGGAGGTCCACAGAAAGATTGCTGGTTCCTGAACTTTGGTGATGCTCACTCAACAACCACCAGACGAAGTCAACATGGGAAGAGGAAGCCAAAACCGGGAAGCGTGGAGAAGCACTGAATGACGCAGGTCAGCTGATAAGCCCGTCGTCGGATGGGCAGCCTGGCTTCTGCCCCGAAGCATAACACGGTGAGAACCACACCGGAGGGTCTGCTCATGGACAAGTGACTCTGCAGTTGACCCCTGTCAATCGAATCGGTGCCATTGAACTCCATCTCGATGGGCGCGTCGGTTGTCCGCGGGGATTCCCCGGATGATGTCATCGCGGGGAGATCAGCCGCATTGCAATCATCTACAGCAATCATCTACTAAGTATGTACCTGGTACTTAGTAGTACATACATAGTAGTTAGTAGAAAGCATCTCCGCTTACCAATGCCTGTCTCCATCGCCGCCATGTGGCCCAGTTCCACCCATCTGCTGACAAATCAGCATTGAAGCATGCGAACAATTTCATACACCACATCTTCAAACCCTCACTTAACCTCTGCTACTACTCCGTATACACTCATCACACCAACACCATGACGCACTTCAACATCCAAATCATCTCCGACACCGTCTGCCCGGTACCAACCCCATCCCCCCTCACCCCAATCCCAGCCCAATCTAACCCACTCCTCCAATAAACCACAGTGGTGCTACATCGGCTACCGCCGTCTCTCCCGCGCCATCACCACCCACAAAACCACCTACCCAACCGACACCTTCACCCTAACCTGGCACGCCTTCTACCTGAACCCTTCCTCCCCGACCTTCCCGGGCCTCGACAAGACCGAATTCTACCAGTCCAAGTTCGGCGCCGACCGCACGACCGCCATCTTCAGTCGCTTAGCGGCCGTGGGCCAGGCCGATGGGATCGCGTTTAGTTTTGGAGGGCGGACGGGGAATACCCGGGATTCGCATCGGTTGTTGTGGTTTGCGGGGCAGAAGGAAAGGGAGACGGCAGGGACGGCAGGGGAGGAGGGGGTAGTTGGGGGATTGCAGACGCGGGTGGCGGAGCAGTTGTTTCGGGCGTATTTTGAGGAGGAGAAGAATATTACGGATCGGGAGGTGTTGGTCCAGGCGGCTGTGGGGGCCGGGTTGGAGAGAGCTGCCGTGGAGGCGTTGTTGGGGTCCGAGGAGGGAGGGAAGGAGGTCGATTTGGAGGCCGAACGGGCGAGACGGCAGTTGGTCACTGGCGTGCCGTATTATATGGTGCAGGGCCAGTATGCGGTTGAGGGGGCGGATGAGCCGGATACCTTTTTGGAGGTGTTTGAGCAGGTGAAGAAGTCGGCCTAGGGGATACTATACACGGACTAGTGGTCTACGGGGGAAGAGGATTAAATGATGCGGGTGACATTGAATGTTCTAGTGGTGGAACAGAGCAAAGCCCGAGGACAGCAACCCGGCCGCACAGAAAGTAACACATGCATCGAAGTGTAAGTAGGGGAGTCTAGTCTCATAAGACAGCCATCTTTTGCCCATTAGGTCCTCCGAATCACTACCGTAAGTCTTGCAGCGGAGAAGGTTCGCATGCCGAGAGAGGGTCCCCAAACGCCCGGGACAACAATGCAACCGAGGAAGGCCCCAGGATGAGTGCGCGCTAATCGTCAAGACCGGACATCTCCCGGGATAATACACGTGGTCGAAATGAAATGGGTGGGCCAAAGCCCGGTAGCCAGCCCAGTGATTAGCTCCAGAACACCAGGGAACAGCAGAAGAACGCAAAGCAAAGCAAAGCAAAACAAAACAAAAGCAAACGAACGTTGAAGTCATTGCACGTAGCGGAGATTGTCGTGGCAGGCAACCGCGGGGCCACAGAAACGGCGGCGGTCTAGTAATTGGTTTGCTGCAATTTGAAGTCCGGGATGTAATCAAACCAGTCGGTACTGGGATTGTAGCGGTAGGCCTTGAACTCCACACCATACGGCTTGGGTTCCAACATGTAGAGCATGCCCAGGGGCACATCCAAGGAGGCAACCTCGTCGCGTTTCAGGCCCCGGAAGTACGCCAGAAGGACCCGCGCGACCGATCGATGGGTGACCAGCAGGACATGGTCGGTGGTCCGCTCCACCTCGATGATCACGGCACGCAGCCGGTTGATCACGTCCAGATACCCTTCGCCTCCAGGGCCAGGGTAGCGGTAGTACAGCTTGTTCTTCCGACGGGCCGCGTACTCGTCGGCGAACTTGTCGCGAATCTCATCGTATGTCAAGCCTTCCATCTTGCCAGCATACAGCTCGTCAAGCATCTTCATCTGCTTGACGTCATATTCGTCCTCGTTAAAGTAGTCGACCGTCTGCACCGAGCGTTGCATCATCGAGGACCAGACACAGAAGTTGCGCGGCCGGTCTCGCGGGATGTACGAGGGGTTGGGAGGGGTGCTGTCGCCGGCACGAGGTGGCAGATGCCTCAGCATTTCCTTCTGTCTCTGAACCAGCTCCCACTGCTGCCGCTGGTGGTCAATGAACCGATTGAGCGCCTGCGCATAGCGATGGCCATTCTCGCTCAGTTCCGAATCGCCACCAATGCGACCCAGCTGGTTGTCCTTGCTTTCACCATGCCGGGTGATCCAGATTTGACGTGGGGAGAGGTTGAAGTTCAGCAGGTAGTAGACCACTTGCGAGGAGAGGAATCCATGGGTCTGATGAGACACAACCTTGCGTCCCACATCGATCATCTGGATATAGGCCATGTTGTGCTTTTCCTCATACTCGCCAAGCGGCACATAGGATTTCTCATAGAGAGCCACACGCCGTTTAAAGTCCTCGAGTGCCTTCACGGGGTCCTGATCTTTGTAGTCAGGGCCAGACAGCTTGAGGCGCATGTTGGCCTCCAGCAGTTCCGGATCCACACAGCTGCTTTCAAGGAACAAGATGTTGAGCTCGGGACCAGCGCGGTTGCGGATATGATCGACGATCGCTTTACGACGCTCCATGGTACTGTTGGTGGCGTCGAGAATACCTACGCTGCCCCCTTGCTCGAGGATGTAATCCAAGAGTTCGTCCAAGGTGTCGAGGGCTACCTGCTCTCTGAGCTTCACAGCCAGTTGATTCTTAGGGTCGAAGAAGCTGGCCGACTGGTCGATAGGCTCGGGAGATGCTTCGCGGATGGCATCCTGCTCCGCCGGACTCGCGTTCATCGGAGGTACTATGGTACTCTGGGAGGGATCTTCTTCTTTTCCGTTGACGAGGATCTTGGTCGGAACAGCCGGGGGTGGGAGCTTGTTTTCCAGTTCGGGGGGCGAAGTTACGGCATTCTCCAGCACATTCGCAGCGGTTTCAGTAGATAGAGACCCCTTTTTGGGATGATTCATGGTGCCAACACTGACACTGAGACGGCGCACCGAGTCGACGAGCTCGCTGTGAATAGTGCTGGCTCTATGACTAGGGCGTCTTCCAGCGACGGCTGGAGATTTACCAGCAGCCACACGACGACGTTCTCCTACATTGAAAATCTCCGTATCGTGCTGGAGCCAATTGAGATAGCGAGCCAACTTTTTGGTCACATAACTCTTTCCTCGGGCAGGGAGGCCGACCATGACGATGACCAGCTTGGAGCCAACATCACGTTGAGCGATACGTCCATCAGGAGAGACCTTGGACTTGGTGAGACCCGGGATATCAAGGGTAGTGGCGCGCACACGACCCGGGGTAGACGGGGTGGTGTTCGCAGTACTAAAAAGCTGGTTAGCTTATCACGCTTCGAAGTCTGTTTCTGACCGGAACCAATAGAAGCGAGCATCAAGGAAAATAGGTCTATCGAAGATATCCACCAAGCCAAAAACAACACACAATAAAACGAGAATCTCGGAGAAATGGAAGATGAAAGAGTCATGGCAGATGCGGGTAAGACCGGGTCATCAACCGGCAGCCGGGTTGACAACTGTCGATCATTCCGGGGGAAAAATTCTCCAAAGTCAAGAGGCTGTAAGGATCTAGAACAAGAGAACGGGCGTGCAGACCCCCAAACTCGATCTAGACACCAGAGAAAAAAAGGACGGACCAACGACAAGGAAAGAAAAGGGGGGAGGAACATACAATTGTGGAGACGAGGGTGCGGTAGAAACCGGAGTGTCTGTTAGGGCAAAGCCGACACCATCCTTGGGCACCTGAGATCCCTTGTGGGCATCGGAATGCAGCTCGTTCCCTAGCGCTCGTCCGACCAGTGTCTTTGCGGGAGGCATAAGATTGGCCTCTTTCCCGGGTCCCGAGTGAGAAACGGCTCCATTCGTCTTTCCCGACGCACCGCGTTGGTGTTCGGGAATGGAGGCGCACGTCATGATGGCCGACCGTGCAATATCGGTGTGTTGAGACATCCCCGCGAGTGGCGCAGGGATGCAACCGGGATGCAAAGAAGAATCGATGGATGACAGAGGGAATGGGAGAACCAATGAAAGGACTGCAGGCACGAAAATCCACTCCAAGCTAATGCTGGGAGCGACCTCAACAGCTCACGGAGGCGACGACGAGGGATTGAGAGAAGGTGAAAAATGAGGGGAGGTTGGCTGGCACTGACAGTGGCAGTATTTGGTGGTATGTAATGATGGCGGGCGGATGAGTCAAAAACGCACCAAAACCCCGTCACTTCACCGTCACGGCGGATCTTGTGGTGCTCGCTGGCTTGCGACTTTCCTCCGTGCTGCTCTTGTGAATTTTATACAAGCCACACGGTCGTCAGAGCACCCTTCTTGAGATATCTAGACACTGGGAGAACCCCTCAGAACGACGGGGCAAGTCACGGCACGCAACCTTTCCAGCACGCCGGTACCATGCAATGCAAGGCTCCTTTTCCGGGTCTTCCGAAGGCAAAGAACGAACCAGTCCAAGTGAGCTAGTAGTAGGTAGTTAATTTTAGGCCAGAGGTTGCGCACGAGGGGGCCACAGCTAATTCGGTTGGAAGGTCGTTTCCAGGACAGAGAGATCCCAACCGCGACCGGGATATAAGAGCAAGAGTTAACGGAAGTGCAGTCGCGCCCCTCCGCCGATGAAGTCACTACCGCCGGTCGTCAAGACAAACGGTGGATCTTTTCCGCGGCTTGATCTACACCATGACCACAGATGATGTCAAATCACATCCACTGCAGAGGGCCCCAGCTGCGACTCGCGATCTATAAGTACCATGTACCACACAGCCCTCCTAGCCTCTCAGCCGGTTTTTCTACGCCTGCTTACTGCAGACCTCTCGACGAGGGCCCCGCTTGTCATTCTGCATTGTCGATCTCAGAGCTAAAAGACACGAGAACCAGATCTTTCGGATTCCGCACTAACTGAGGTGGGACACTTAGAAGATCCAGAATGCTTGGCTCAAGTAAGGGTGTCAGACATGCTTCTACAAAGTCCGTACTATCTACGAGGCTACCAGCAAGGTGCAAAACGGCCCGACAAGTAAACAAACTTTCTGCCTATCTATGCTGCCGTACAGTCGGTCGGGCCTGTTGCAGCTGCGCAAACTTGCCCTGGGTTCCGCTCCCTTCTGGATTACATCGCCTTGCGGTGTCGCGAAAGACCAAGATGCACTGCAGAGACCTATTGGTCCACGTCTCACCCTTGCTGCCCATCCTGCTCACTCCAACCGGTACCATAGCCTCGCATGCCGGCTGGTTCGACTACATATGACCCGGTTCGCAGTGAACTCGCCTTGGTCGTTTTTTGTGATCTCACATGCCAGATAACAGATCACTTGGCAGTAAGACGAGCTGATCCCTGTACAACTTCCACCCCTCTACCAGCTCTGCTGGGCAGTGATATAGCTTCACAGTTTGTCCGAAGTTGGCACCGCATCCGCCGTAAGCCACGACTCCCGATTTGCTCTGAGGCAACGGACCAGAGCGAAGACAGACTGGAACTGGGCCATCGCATTCTGCGGTCCTCTTGGCACTTGGCAGTTACGCAGATAGGTGGTAAGCATATTGCTTAGGCTGTCTCTGGCGAGGCGTGGCGGTTTAACGGTCCAGCCTCACAGTCAGCGCGATAAGGGTCGCGTAGGCGGCGATACTAAGAGCCGTCAAGACCACCACGGCATTCCCACTCGTTCTGAACTTATGACGGATGCCATCTTCTCCTACCTCGGAAAAGAACTGCCGATTGCCTTGCTGCCGACGGAACAGGCCGATAATCAGCACGCCCGTGCCATAGATTGCGAAAAGAGCCCCGGTGCTATAGAACTCGCTGGTGAATATCTTCAGAACCACCAGGGCAAAGGAGAATTGGGAGAGAGCGGTACGGATGTAGGCTCCTTCGAATGTCCGTTGCGCTGCTCGTACTTCGACGATCTCATCCGAGGTTAGTGCGACGGTACGGGCACGGTGCATCCGAAGCCGGTAACGGTCCGCGGCGCGACGCTGATGCTAGTCAGTACCTGATAGCATTGTAGATGTAAATATCGTAGTAAGGACCGTGAAGCGGGTGGCAATCTCCAGTCAGCCGACGCACCTCGAACATCACGACGTGTCAGGTAATGTTGTGGTATGACCCGATTCCTCCGATCGACGACGACACCGCTGGACTGGACTGGAGCGATGAGCGTTGGGTGCTGAGCCTCGAGGCGGCAAGCAAAATGGCGAGATCTCGAAGCAGTCCGAATTCGAGTCAAGTTGACACCTCCGATATGTGCCGCTCCCGAGTCGACGAAGACTGCCAGTGCTGAGTACGTGGAGGGGAGTTGAGGGGATTGGCGATGGCGCTGGACAGCGCCGGCCTTTCACGTGGCCTAGCTGCGACTGGAAGAGGAATAGCACGCGCCCATGGCACCTGATCGCTCGCCTAAGCGAGTTCAACGCTGCTTTTCAAGCTTTCTACTGTCCTGCAAAAGACGTGGAAGAGCTCCTCTCGACGGATATTTCCCGTACTGCAGATGCTTGCCTTCATGAATAGGATGAGAGGTGAAATTCCCTCGGGGACTGACACGACCCTGAATCGAGGACTGGAGACAGCCGTCCAGCCATGACATCAGCGGCCCCCCGGATTGTCCACCAATGGCCGGCCGCCCTTCTCTAAGCAGAGCCCGTCGGCAACCGACATTGCCCAAAGCAGGCCGGGGTCAATCGCCGCCCCCATCTTTGGAGGGAATTTGGCTGTCGGAGTTCAGGCCGAGAATGGGGTTCGATGGGAGGCATTCGACCCTCTGCATGGCGGTCGGACACAGCGTCGTCCATTTCCGACTCCAGCGACCGTCTTTTCCCCTTTGCTCCTCCACGTGTTCTTCATCCTCTTTCTTTCCCCTTGTTGACTGGGACCCCCGTTACATGGTCAATTGAGACATCGACAACCACTCTTAGATCGCAAGATGAGCAAGATATTCGATGCGGCCGAAGGTATTGTACTCAGTCTCCCTCTGTTGTCTGCGACCATGGAAGCTGACTGAGGACCCTTCAGTCGCCAAACACAACACCCCTGACAGTTGTTGGGTGATCTTGTACGGGAAGGTTTACGATGTATGCTGAACCTCTTATCCTTCGGTTTAACCGATAACCGAAACTAAACAGTCCACAATCCAATCAGGTCACCGACTTTCTTTCAGAGCACCCTGGCGGTGCCAAAATTATTCTCAAGCTTGCGGGCAAGGATGCCACGGAGGAGTATGACCCTATCCATCCTCCGGGGATTCTGGAGGAGAACCTCAAACCCGAAGCATTTCTGGGCACAGTGAACGCCGACACGCTGCCAAAGGTGCAAGCGGAGCCTCCTTCAGATGCGGGGGAAACAGAGGGTCCGCCCCCGATGGAGAGTCTCCTCAACATGGACGATATCGAGCAGGTGGCCACCAAGAATGTGAGCAAGAAGGCCTGGGCCTACTACTATTCAGCGTCCGATGACAAGATCACGAAACATTTCAATACCGAAGTCTACCGTTCCATTCTGTTACGGCCACGGGTCTTCATTGACTGCACACGATGTGATTTGGATACCACCGTCCTGGGCCACAAGCTTGGCATGCCCATCTACGTGTCTCCTGCCGCCATGGCCCGTTTGGGCCATCCGGCAGGTGAAGCTGGAATTGCGGAGGCCTGTCGCAGTTTTGGGGCCATGCAGATCATTTCCAACAACGCTTCTATGACGCCAGAGCAGATCGTTCAGGATGCCGCCCCAGATCAGGTGTTTGGATGGCAATTGTACGTTCAAATAGACCGGAAGAAGAGCGAGGTTATGCTGGAACGCATAAACAAACTCAAGGCGATCAAGTTCATTGTTCTCACCCTGGATGCCCCTGTTCCTGGTAAGAGAGAGGACGATGAGCGTGGCAACTCAGTAGGAGCGTCGGCATCAGTGCCCAGCGCCGCGAAGGCAGCAGACAAGGCAAATATCAACAATGGAGGCGGGGGTGTCGGACGACAGCTTTTCGCGGGCACGGATCCCACCCTGACATGGAAAGAGACTCTACCTTGGCTGGCCAAGCACACGGATTTGCCAATCATTCTCAAGGGCCTTCAAACTCATGAAGATGCTTACATTGCCTCTCTGCACACTCCCCAAGTCAAAGGCATCATTCTTTCCAACCATGGCGGGCGTGCTCTCGACACTGCTCCTCCTGGTGTGCACACGTTGCTGGAAATCCGGAAGTACTGCCCGGAAGTTTTCGATAAGCTGGATGTCTGGGTCGACGGTGGTATCCGACGTGGCACGGATGTTGTCAAGGCCCTCTGTCTGGGCGCAAAAGGCGTTGGTATTGGACGGCCTGTATTGTGGGGCTTAGGAGCCGGTGGTGTTGAGGGTGTAAAACGCACCCTGCAGAGTACGTGTGCAATCAAGATCCTATTGGTATCCCACTAACTAGCTGCAGTTCTGTCCGACGAAACCAAGACATGCATGCGGTTGCTTGGTGTTGAGCGCGTGCAAGATTTGGGCCCCCAGCATGTAAGTTGCATCTCGCTTGACTTTTTCTATTCTAGCCTTTCAGTGGGATTTCAGGCTCACCTACTTTGCAACAGATAAACACCCGCGTTGTAGAACAGCAGATCTTTGACGGGCCTTCTGGACTAGACCGTATTCGGGGCACATACCGGGCCAAATTATAGGCCTGAGACTACCCCAGGAATCGTTGTATATATACTAGCCTTGTGATCTCTATAGATTAGCCAGGCTCATGAGAAAATTTGATGACTTTCAATCACCCCATGGAACCGAGACTTGTGTCTGTCAAGTAGAGATCCATCAATAACGATGTTATTCGCTACCTGCCACACTATATGTAAAGCCACAACCAAACATCAACTTTTTAGCCGCTTGACGCGACTGCACCCTCTACGTTACATTCTTATCATATGAAATATAGAAGTTATATAACTCTCCCCTAGGTTGTCATACAGAATCTAGAATAAGTTTGAACCCTGATATATCAGTCTTCGAATGGAGATCATAAAAATCTTTAAAAGGTAGAGACGCATAGAGCAAGCCTACGGCTTTGATTATCTACTAATCTCTGAACAATAACCTCCACACGCCATCAAACCAACTCTTATCCTTCTCCCACGCCTTCGTAATAAGGTCTCTCCCCAGACGAACCACATCCTCGACCTGCCGCGGCGTGCCCCATCCAGCAATCAAAGGACCCCAAGCGATGAAATGCACTCCAACATGGATCAATACCCGGAACGCCATCTCATCATCCAAGCTCTGATATCCCTCCATGAATCCTTGAATGATCCATGCACCGGTTTCGATGTGCTTGAAATGCTTCAACATGTACAGCTCCGCAAACATCTGGCCCAGATCGAGGGCGCGAGGCCCGCAGTGGCAGAGCTCCCAGTCTATGATGAAAAGGGGGGTGTGGGATGGTTGTTCCAAGGCTGTTTGGGAGATGAGGACGCTGTAGAATATTAGCATGCTACTCTTCAAAGCAGAGAAAGTAGGGGCACATACTTTCCAGACCAGAAATCACCATGAATAATGCCAAATCCTTCCTTGTCTTTTCGACCTAACTCCGCCGCCGCCATGTCCCGAACCTTGCTGAAGATATCCCGATGATCTCCAAGTATCGTGGGGTATCTATCAATTGTGTTCATGAGGGTATCGTAGTTGACCGTGAACTTCAAGTCCCGCATAGATTGGTTCTTCTCCATCTCGGCCGCGACACCTGCTTGCGCCTCTTTGTCAGCCCACAGGTGAAACGAGCGTAACCAGGTTCCTAATACGCGGCCTATGGAGAACGCCCATTCTTGAGACACGTCACTTGAGGCGCTTGTGGAGATCAAGAAGGACTTGAGATCCAAAGAATCCGGGAGATCTTCCACAACCGCGGTGTTGGTTTCACGATTGAATGTGAAGAGATGCGGGGTTTTGACAATAACTTCACGGGTGTTCCCTTCACCTCGTTCACTTCGATCAACTGTGCTAGAGAAGTCGTTGAGGGACTTCAAGATCGATTCCTCAATGAGCTGTTAAATATATATCAGCTATATTTCCTAGCTTATCCTCCCATATTTCTACTTCAGGTGGAGACACCAACGCAGCGTTCAGCAGGCAACTTGAACTCTCGATTTGCGGCCACGAAGGCTTCACTATGCTTGACAATAACGGACTTCGTTCCATCTGGGAGAGGATGAGAGAGCAGAGCGCGATAGACAAAGTTGGCGGTTCCCCCGCTTAGCGGGGTGAGCGAGGAGCACGCGTAGGGTGTTTCGGCGAGTTCTTTAGAGATTGCGGTGGCAAAGGACTCCTCGGACATGTTGCTTTTTTGAAGTTCTCATTGAGCTTATGTAGGGACAGTAATCAAATGGTTGGAGGAAGAGACGATAGATATAGTCGTGGTTGTTGATGCTCGTATTTACCGTATTGATGAGTCAGGCTGTCGGGGTCCCTTTTCGGTCGAGATCACCCCTCTTCCTATCCTTTGACTTTGACTTCTGTCCCACAGCCAGCCAGAGTATCACCAGTTACCCTGCGAGGTGCTTGTGTGCAGGTACAATCGGCACCCATTGGGGCTGAGAATGCTGTGAGGTCACTGTGTGCACCGGGAACCAACAATGACGCCTAGCAGCAAGATTGGATCGAAAGCTTAGTTCAGAGATCGGGTTTATGCGGGCGCTTAGTGGAGGATCTGCGCTAATTAGTGAATGCAGATGGATTTGAGTTTCAGTGATGTCTTTTCCGAGGTGAACCGGATACCTCAAGAGCAGGACTGCCATGTTCCTGGGTGTGCTGCCACCTCTAAACCAGGCGAAACCTGCTTCCAACTCGGACTCTACAAATAAACCTGGTCAAAGGCGTCCAAGGTTTGGGATGTCATTATTCTCATACAGTATCCAGTTATGCTCTAACAGACAAAATGGAAACTAATGTCCTGGTATGACGTATGCCAGGGCCTTGCTGCCATATAAAGGCGCCTTTTCCCCTGCGACACTTAGTGCAATCTAACCACCGACATCATGGCCGCCGAAATTCCATCTTTCCAGCCTTATATCCTCACCCCTTTGGACCACCTAGTCCCGCCATCTCATGCGCTCTTCTATCTGTCTTTCCAACCTAAACATCCCTCTGAGGCAATTACCGCCATACGCATGGGCATTGCGCACTTGGTATCCCAATGGCCTTTCCTAGCCGGTAACGTTGCCCGGATCCAGAAAGGAGATAAGAGAAATATCTCAGAGCTCCAGCCGCCCACAGCATTCGATCTTCTTCGATATCCCATCTTACAGGTCAAGCATCACCAACAGTCCATCTCGCATGCAATGTCCCGACCTGTCATCAATGATGAACTCCTACATATTCCGACAAAAGTTCCCATTACCTACCCCATCCCTGCCGTGCGATTTCAAGCCAATATCATGCAAGACGGGATTGTCCTGTGCCTCGGCTGGCATCATCAGGTGATGGATGCGGTGGGTGTCTCCATACTCTTGGGATCTCTGTCTCGATGTTGCCGGGGGCTGGATCAAAAGAACGCCTTGCCTAGGTGGCTTCCGACGGATACCAAGCATGAGGGGCGCTCCCGGAGGCAAATTGAACAAGCCACAACCCCCAACAGAGCTGTCCGGGAAGGGGCATATCATAGAATAGGCTGCGAAGAAATCTGGAAAGGCTCTTCCGAGCCACTCGTCTGTCGTCGGTATGCTATGCAGACGGATAAAGTCAACTATCTCAAGGATTCATGCAACAAACTTATCCATGACCTCGCTAGGGGTGCAGAAACACGGGAGAAACTATCCGATGGTTTTATGAAAGTTCTAAACGAAAATGATCACGTGTCCAGTGACGATGTGGTTACTGCTCTAACATGGCTCTGCGTATCCCGCGCACATCGCCGAGTGGTATCACGGCATTCCTCCGAACTGCCGCGCATGTCCTCTCTGACCAGGCTTGTGGAGGCTCGCACGATCCTTCAGCCCCCTCTTCCAAGGAGTTACCTGGGGAATAGCCTCGTGGCTGCGAGAACCCAGTGCGACTGGGACGAGATTCCTGCTTCACAGAAAGGCCATCACATTGCCCGGAAAGGGGGACAAGTGGACGAGGAAATAATCAATGCACTCTTGAAGCTGGCTCTCAGATCTCGGGCAAAATGCAATTCTATTGATGACGAGCACATCCGTGGCTTGATAAACCGTATGAAGAATTGCGATGATTACACTTCATTATCGATTGCTCCTGGTATTACCAACATTTCTAGCCTCCGAAAACTGGATCTATTTGGGTGGGACTGGGGTTCAAAGATGGGTCCGATGGTGGATTTTGACACTCTCGACGGCCGGACGGATGGTCTATGCCTAATCCTACCCAGCAGGTCTGCAAATCCAGGGCAAAGCATTTGGGAAATCCGCATTACATTATCGTCAGCGGTCATGGAAGAGTTCGAGAGAGATGCACTGCTTGGTTGGGTTACAGAAACTGGGAAGCCGAGCGTTCAAGCTATGATGTAACTGACGGTAAGGTGCACCCTAGCTTGGATATAGGTGAAAGCCGATGGTCCTTCATGAGCCGAGTCTAATTGGGTTTCTACGGACCCGTGGCAGCCCACATATCGATTTAAGATCTGCGGTCCTTTTATCTCTCCTGGTCCCGGGCAAGAGGGAGACCTTAGGAACTGATCAACCCATGGGAGTTGTAGACTGGCTCAACGCATGAATCGGAAATGCCAGCCATTCCGCCCAGTCAGACCCCAAGTACTCGCGGATAGACTCGATCAGATATCTCCCACCATCTCCCACGAACCAGTGATGGCGATGGGCATGCAGGATCACACCGTAATGAGCCAGCACCGCCAGTGCGTCGGGGCTCCGGAGCGCGAGCAGTTCAATATACTCGGGGGGCACAGTTGCGGGCCAAGAGAAAAGGCCGGGAGCGCAGCTGCCCAGAGAGTCAAGGGAGGAGGCCGAGTTCATGGCCAACTGCAACGCCTCGATGGCGTCTTGATAGGTGGCGGTAATAGAGGGGCCTAGATTGGCGGATTTGGTGAGCGCCAGCAGTCGGCTGCACTCGGGACCCAGGGGGGCATTGTCAGCCTGTAATCGCGACTCGGCGTCGCCTAAGGTCGGACCGAGGGCCGTGGACTCGGCCAGTTGGCGCCAATTAGAGCCGATGACGGCGCGTACGCCACGGTGTATGCGGAGATAGTGAATGAAACGGTCGAGAAAGGCATTGAAATCCGGATCCCGGAAGATGAGCGTGTCGCACAACGTGTGCAGGCCTAAGATGGAGGAGAAGAGAAAGCGTGGCATGCAGGCCGCTGGGGTGGTCGAGAGGGTGGGACCGATGGCATGGAAAAAGCTCAAGGCATGATTCTGTAACTGGGCGGCATGATGGCGGTACCGCGCCTGCTGAGCGGGACGGATGATACTAATATGGGTGGCCGCGAGGGCGAGGAGTTCGTTGAGGAGGTAGGGCACCTCAGAGCAGCACTTCATGAGTTCGGTTGAGAAAAGGCCTGCCGGATGGCTGCTACCTCTGCCGAGGGAGTCGAGAGTCTCGGTGACTAAGTGATACAGCAGCTCTGCATGCAGCATGTTGACGGGGGGTTCTTCATGAGAGTCCTGCTCCGGTTCCTGCTCCGACCGAGGGGTCCCAGTGGTGGAAGACGGCGTGTGCCCACTGGAGGGAGCCGTCGGGATGATTCTGGCACGTCGCTCGGAGAACTCGCAGATTCGTTCCGAGGTGGTGCATTGCGCACATATGGGGCGACGTTCATCGCACTGACGGCCCTGTTACTTCGGTCTTCTCGCGAGCCTTGGGGGAGGAAACTACCTTGATATGTCGGCGCTTGCACTCTAGGCAGCCGTTGCGGGATTTCTTATGTTGTCGGCGTGGCATTATGCCGACAAGGCCATCAACGCTCTGGCCAGAGGAACAGCGGAGGTTCACCAGCCTGGATAGGGAGAGCTGGCTGGAGCTGATCCTTGGATCCATCGCGGGAAATGGGTTCTTCCGGGTGGGATGCAACTTTAAATGCCTCCAATACGATCTAGATCGACTACAACTACAACGACGCAACCGTCATGTTTAATGCAACTGAATGCAAAGATGTTTCGGCTTGTGGCCCACCGTAGATCGACCCCGCAGGAGCCCTGATCTATATATTATACATGATTCCTCAGTCCCGCTCTTCGCGACTTAACATTTCTAATCCCATGTCAGGCCTGGCCAGCTTCGCCGGGTACCAGACCAGCCAGGCCACCATGGCCAGTACCATCAGCACCGCATCGAAAATATACAGCGTCCACTCGTGGGTGAGCGGGTACCCAGTATTCCCGAGCACATATTCCACCACCCGAAACAAAGAGCGGACCATGATGAACAGACTCACGCCATACAACAGATACAGGTGCTCGCGCCAATCGATCCGTCCATCCACGGCCCCAGGCGTCGGACGTCCCTGCAGACGGATCTGAAACATCACAGCAGTGACCATGAAGAAGCCAAACATGATGATTTGAATCAGCAGGCCCACCACCACCATATCCTTGCCGAGTGTCGCATTACTACCGGAGGCCATCATGCCCGCTGCCCCGCCCTGCACCAGGAACGAGACGACGTCGCCCAGGACAAAGGTCTTCGTGAGCCATCGAATTAGAAGCATGGAGAGATGCTCGCCGCCGGTGCTGCGGATAATGCGCCCTAGTGTCATGTACACGGACGCCGCGAACAGCACGGGACCGAGTAGGATGAAGACGCTTTGAATCGAGTAGGGCATGATGCTGCCGGTGCTGAAATGGGCCCACGCGCGGGCAGCGTAGCCTATGATTTCAACTGAAAGGTATTTTATTAGCGTGGAAGGCGGGACTTCGTGGTGAGAGAGATCAGCACATACAGATCCCCCCGATCGCAAAGGGCAGACAGAAGCGGGCTCGCCATTGCGATAACCGGACAAAATGCATCCCCGTGGCGGCGATGAAGGCGATGGTAAAGATGGCGGCGGCCGCCAGCGAGGGCAGATATTGCCAGAGATAATAGCCCCCTTTGTAGGGTTCGAGCTTCGCCATCTAGACGTGTGTTCTCGGGTCAAGGATTGAAGCTGCATCGGGGAGTAGAAAGTAGGGAAGTCAGGCAAGCTCGTGGCCATTATAAACAATCTCACACAACCCCTACAGCCTCCCTGTTTTCAGGATGTACATGCTAAAATATCCATCCGATGTAAACGCGTATAGACCGGGACCTTGAGTAGTGGTCCGTGCATCCGCGGACAGAATCCCTGGGCCTAGCCTCGTCGGGCTAGTTCATCGTTAGGGGTTGGTGGAGAAGCGGGAGGATCGTCGGATGGATCCCTCGAACCCTCGTAATCGGATACCATACCATACCATGTAGGCATGATGCCTGGTGCAGCCGGGGTCTCCGCGCAGTGCGCGGTAAGGTCTGGTGAATGGGACGATTCTTATGCCGGCTAGTGGGAAGGCGCTGTCTCGGTTTAAGGGGGATCGGATGGTGATTGATCGGGAGGCGATAACCGTGGGGGAGTCCCGGGGTTTCACGGGCCGGGGGAGAGGAGATTCTCTACTTGGGCGCCTCTTGGGAATCTGGCAATATGAATCTGTTTACGGCTCATCTGGCGACTGGCTGTGTCCGGCGTGTCACTACTCATCCGGGATATGTGGACCCGGTGGCAGTCTCAGCGGATGATCGGTGGCAGGTTATTCTCGACACGCGGGGGAGTGATCGGATGATGTTTCTCTCTGCCATGCGTGGGGTGCCGCCGGTGGTGGACTGGCTGGCTGTGACTACCGTGTCGTCCGTTCGCAATAATGGGGATCGGCGGTTTTGTTCTTGGTGGTACAAATTGTCTGTTCTTCTATGGGGAAGACAAACGGTGGAGCATGTTTGTGGACGGCGTGGTGGGATATCATTTATAACAATTGGGTGGTTCATGACCCTGTTTAGTGGATTATTGCTATGACTAAGAGGATGTCTGGACGGTAAAGGTACCGTTCAACTTCAGATCACGAGAGCTTGCGCCCACATAGACCTTGTAGTTGCCAGAAGCAACGAGCCATTGCTGGGCCGTCACGTCCCAGTAGGAGATATCACGGCGGCGCAGCTTGAAGGTCACCTTGGACTTGTCCCCGGCGGCGATTTCGACGCGCTCAAAACCACGGAGTTGACGGACGGGCTGCTGCGCGGAACTAGGGAACCCGAGGTAAAGCTGAGGGACGTCAGCGCCGTCCAGAGAACCGGTGTTGGCAACCTCCACGGAAACGCTGGCCACGTTATCCCAGAGATCACTGTGGCCGCCGACGGTGAGCTCGCCAGTGGGGTATCTGGAGAGGTTGGAAGGTTTCTTGATCGTGAGGTCGGAGTAGGAGAAGGTCGTGTAGGAGAGACCGTGGCCGAAGGGGTATCTGGGGGTGACGTTGTAGGCGTCGAAGTAACGGTAGTCGAGGTAGACACCTTATGGGTTGAGTTAGTTGCATCATAATATGTCATATTGAATGATTGGCTAGGTATCGTACCTTCAGTGAAGTTGCACTGCGCAGTGTAGCAGAGGCCAACGTTATAGTCACTCTCATTCTTGGCGATGGTGTAGGTGAGGCGACCAGAGGGGTTCACAACTCCATAGAGGACATCGGTAATGGAGTTACCGGACTCCTGACCCAGAAGAGATCCGTAAAGAACAGCAGTAACGTTGTCGTGTTCGATCCACTGGTCCATCAAACGTGGGCCCACGGAGTTGATTACAACAATCGTGTTGTTGCAATTATCAGCGACGGTATTAACCATGGTATCCTGATCGTCATTGTACAGTTCGGTGCGATCCGCACCCTCGCCAGAAAGAGCATTCAGGAAGACGAGACAGGCATCCGCGTTGGTGGCATAGTTGCTATAGGAGGGTGCCACGGCAGTGCTATCAGTTCCCTGTGTAATCAAACTGGATCCACTAGAGCTGTAGGTATCATTGAGAATCCACCGCAGCATGGTGCCATCTTCACTGGCCCTGTTCGTCAAGGATACATAGGGTGCCACCAGGTAAGGATACGAGGCCTGACCAGACCCGGTCCCCGAGGCCAAGTGACCCTGGTACGTCGGTCCCGAGCCCTCGACATTCATCTGCATGTTAGGGCCACCCATCACAGGACCAGCGTGAGCACCAAAGACACTCATCACGCGAGGCTTGTTCAAAGGTAGAGCATCCTTATTCTTCAACAGGACCATTGACTTGGCTCCGTTCTTGCGAATCAGTTTGGAGTGGTTGCCTCTCACATCCACGTATGCGTCTTCGTCTTGATGGTCGGGTTGGAGACCGTTGTCCAGGTTAACATAGTAATAGCCCATCAGATTGCGAATGGCCATATCATCCAAGCGGGCCTCACTCAGGGAACCGTTGGACAGCAGGGTTTCCATGGTGGAAGTGCTCCAGATACTACTGGAACCGTAGTCCTCTCCGCCAACCGCGGACTCCAAAGCACTACTCTGGCCATTCATGTCAGGCCAGACTAAGCCTGGAAAGCCGAGCTCGGTCTTCAGATGCTTCATCAACAGGTCAGAGTTCTGGCAACTTAGAGTGCCGTTGACCTTGGTCATTGCACACATCACGGCGCCCAGACCATTTTTGACTGCGTCGTAGAAGGGCCAAAGATAGGTTTCGTGAAGCGTCTTATCGTCGGCATTGGAAGAGTACGGTGCAGAGTCGGAGCTCGAACCAGAGCCGACAGCACGACGGCTCATTGATCCTGTGGGTCGAGAACCCATCGACGAAGAGTTCGAAGAGCCGGGCCCGCTTCCTCCTGGAGGCATACCACCACCTCCTGGAAACCCACCTGCACCCCCACCACCCATGCCGCCTGTCCGATTGGTTTCTTGTTCGTACAGAAGAAAGTGCTGTGAAGTGACGCGATGCGATGTCAGTGAAAGATGAAGCACCTAGGGGTTACTTCAACTCACTTTGCCACCTGGAATGACGCCAGCATCAACATATCCCTTGGTGGTCAGACCAGTAGCCAAGCCATTGAGGTAAGGATCAGGACCAAAGCCCTCCACATTACGGCCACCCCATGGCGTGCGTCCCAGGGGTTGGGACGTAGGGCCGGCGACAACCTGAATGCCCTTGTTGTAAAACTCAGAACCGACTGCTTTGGCCTGATCATAAATGGCTTCGCGGTCCCAAGTCATAGCAATAGCTGAAGACAAGCTGAATGCAGAGACATAGTAGTAATCCTGAATGCCCATGTCTCCGTCAAGGAAGTTGAGTGCAGTAAAGCTGCCATTGGTGGAGTCGATGCTGCTGCCCGTGATCAAAGCCAGCTTCTGATCAGTGGTCAGGCCTGCAACGAAAGAAGAAGCCTTCTGGTAGGCGGATTCCCAGTCTCCCAGCGCCACTATACAACATTAGCAAGCCGACCAGCTGCCACAATTGAGATGACATTGAAAGTATACAGAAAAGAGTCTGCCACTTACCGCCGTCCGCTTTCAACAGCCCCAGGCTGGAGTTCGAAGAAGCACCGGTGAGACCCAGGAGGGCCGCAGCCACGATGAACGAAAGGACTTTCATATTACAGAGATATCATGAGAGAATGACAAGATGAAATTAAGAGAGCGACGCGGACAGTAAAGAGGGTTAGAATAAGAAACGAGTGAGACCAATCTATGGTAAATTTCATCCAGATATCCATGCCATGATGGGCATCGCGTCCTATTTATCCCCTCCTGCTTGGATGCAACATCTCCTTGCTTGTGTCAGTTGCGCCAATCCACAGCGGGCAGTAGACCGGCACGATCTGTATCATCCTCATTTAGCCGGCCCCTGATCCTATTAGCTCCCCAGACTTTACGCATTGCTGGTGTCAGGACGAGAGCTCGTTGGACCGCGTGCTATGCATGGGATCCATAGCTTGTGACAGTCGATTGTCAACACGGCGACATGCCAAGTCGGAAATCCCGAAATGTTCAGTATGTGTGGCTCATGAAACCGCCGGTATTCCGCAGGACATGATAGCTTCGGCCCCTTAGATAAGAACTGATGACAGTCTAACGTAGGGATGACGCGTCACCTTGGGGTCTAATGTGGCGACGTGCATTCAGTCCATGGGAGATCGGTTTCAATCAGCTGCACTAGCGTCATCACCACGTACAAGTGCCTGGATCTTGCAAATGCTAGTGGTAGGGTAGCGGAGTTCTGAGTATTTCGTTAACAGGCCATAAAGAGTATCTCATTGGCGCCTGTTCTAAGCTTCTTATCGAGGAGCACAATGCTAGAGTCATTCTGGTGGAGAAGGGTAGTTCGCTCCGACTTTAGGGTCCTTAGGGGGGCTCGCTCAGCCACGGAAAAAGTCCCTCATTTGAAGGATCTCCTTTTCAAGCTTTGGCTCATGCAAAGCAAAGATGCTTGGCCCAGTAGGGCTAAACAGATGGGACTTCACTAAGCACTGCTCGGAATAGGTTTGGGCTAAATCCAGCGAGAAGCTGATAGATGACAAGACCAAGCCAATCATGACCAGAACTGAGGGTCCGAGGGGCTGACCGTCAGGCCTGCCTAATGGGGTGGGGATGAAGGGGGTTCGGTGCCACTGTTTCGTGCGTTGGTGTAATTGTGGCCAGGGTTCTATCTATTCAGCATTCAGTGAGTGTTCACAAGCACGCCAGATATGCGAGTGACTAAGCGGATGCTAGTGGGGTGTCATGGCGTATCACCCTCCATTGAAGTTGGATAGGCTTAGCGCTGTAGCAGATGTAGGTTCACTGGGTCGGGAAAGGGACATTGAAAGGACGCTAAAGAAAAGCTGAAGAGGAGCCGAAGAGAAGCCGAAGCGAGAGGGGCCGGAAGATGCGCAGTTGAAACGGGAACCAAGCAGGGGTCTTGGTCCGGGCCTTTTTGATCGGGATGCAAACCCGGCCCAGCCCCGGCAGGCTGAAACGCTTCTCAATCATGTCTTACTGCGCTTCCCTGGTTGCATCAGGGATTATCTACCACTGGGACTGCTAACTCACTTACCTTTTCCAATCGATCCGATGGGTAGCATCAATTGATGCTGAAAGCCACATCCTGAATTAACTGCCATGCCGGGCCTCGGCTGTCTGTCATTTACAGTAGAGCCTCTTTCGACAGCAACTGGGACAGTCTATATACCATCTATTCCCTAGATGTCAGGTTCAGGGTTTAAATTCCGAAGCATCCAGGATACATGCTCCACCGGGCCAGCTCTCCACAATGCAGTGCGTGTCGACACGGTAGGTGACGTGGACTCGTGGAGGCTCTATCCCAGGCATAGCTGGCTCCACATGCTATGGCCTTCTTCACGGCATCCTTCCTTTCAGTATGTGTTATTTTAGGGTGTGAAGATGAGGAGCTTCTCAATGGCAGCATCCAGTCATCTCAGGAAGGGAACCCACGTGTTGCAAATGAGGCCTTGTCAATATAGATCTGCCTGTGAATTCTGCAGGCATTGATGATCGTGTCATATCCGGCTGCAAAAATCAGCTAGCTTGTCCAGCTGTAGCAATCAGTGCGACATGCACCACTAAGTCAATGTGTATAGTCGACATGGCTTAGAGCCATGTCCGAAGGGGGCGATGCCATACTTGGATCGAGCGTCGCCATCATGGCCTCGTACAGATGAATCGGGAGTAATTAGCAAGACAAGGGTGATGGTATGACCCCAAGTCAGCGATCATCATGGATTGGCTCTTCCTGCTTCTGATGGAAGCCCATTAACACCAAGTGAACGCGCCGGAGATGAATACTCTAGATTCTGTAGTAGCTGACGAATGGCTAGGAGATGGTGTAGTGAATCTGGTGAGGTAGCAACCACTGCAGTCCTGATCTAATATCTATAAGTAGCTTCATCTCAGAGAGATTGAACGATGAGATCGACGATAGCCAGCATATTCCAGTGTGGCACTCAACAGAGGATCGGTTCCAGGCTCACAGGCAGCCCATCCATCACGTGACGCTGGATCCAGCAGCTGGACGAGGCCGACGGTCAATCAGACAATCCGCGGCCACTGAAACAAGGGCACGGTGGCCTTGGACTTCTCTTCATGAATTTTCAATGCTGGACCGACTGGCTCGAGGCCAATTAGCGGTTCCCATCTCCAAAGCCATGCTTGATTCCCTCCGAATGCCTTGACTCCGTTGGGTCCACAATCCGACCCAGGTCGGTTTGTTGATCGCTGTCGACCAGGAAGGACGAAGAGAACGGCCAATGCTCGTATGGCTGCTACATAGACCGGAGAGCAAGCGAGCGCCTTCAGGAAAAGGGACCGGTCGTCGAGGTCAGCCGGAACGCCCTCGAGATGCGCATCGGATCCAGCCGCGTTATTGTCGGGGATTTGTTCGATGGGTTGACCACCCCCCCTCCCTCCTCGCGCACCCTGACCTCTGCTGCCAACCCCCCCCCCTCTCCCTCCCCGCTCCTCGTCCAAAACCTTAGACTCGGCTTCGCCTGACCTCCTTCCTCCACCCCATCGTCCGGTTTTCGATTTTTAAAGAATATTAGCGAGCGGATCACCTCAACGAGCAGCAGATTCCGCTCATCACGCGTCTCCGTTGGATTTGCCTGACAGTTTCGAAGCTGGGACCTGAGCGTTCCATTTCGAGCTGCAGGCCGAGAATTTCGACCCCTGGATCCTGTTTGTTCGATCCACGCGGCTGGAATCTGCCAAGAAGGGGTTATTTGAGTGACCTATCTCAGTATTCATTCGCGAAAAATCTCCCCTCGATTGGGCTTGACTGCGGCGCCGACGTCATGAACGACACCGCCACCACCCCTTCTCCTACTCCCGGTCCCGCCGCAAAAGTATCCCCCAGTTTGAAATCCCCATCCACATCGGCCGCCGGAACGAAGCGCAAACGGGGATCGGCAGCTAAGTACTATGCCGTGAAGGCGGGCTATCAGCCAGGGGTTTACTATGACTGGAACGATTGTTTGACCCAGGTGACGGGCTACAAGGGAGCTGTTTGTGAGTTCCACGAGATCGAGCTGTGTCCAATCTCCCCCGCTGATCCAGTTCTCAGTTCAGGCTTTCCCTTCCTATGAAGAGGCGAACGCTTTCCTCACGGGCGCCAGCGTTCCCGCTGCGCATGGCGGCACTTCCTCAGATTCAGAACCCACAAGATTTTACGGTATCCAGCGTGGTCGAATACCCGGCGTTTATACTGACTGGGCCAAAGCTCAGGAGCAGATCAAAGGATTTCCCAAGCCGCGGTATAAAAAGTTCTCGACGCGGGAGGAGGCAGAGGAATTTGCAAAGGGGGGTCGGGAATCTGGCGCTACGTTCGGAACGACACCTGGATTGCCCAAACTTCCCGGCGCACCAGGCCTGATGAGCGGTGTTCCTGCGGATGCACAAGGGGTTCCCTTTGAGGCGGGCGAGGGCCCTCTGCCGACCGGAGCGGAGGATGGGTTCGACCCCAATGTCCTCTTGGATCCTAAAACGGGCAAAGTGGTCTACAAATCCCAGGACCAGAAGACAGCAACCAAGATGAAATCGACCGGGCCGCCAGGAATGCTGCGCATATACACGGACGGTAGTGCTCTGAAAAATGGCCGGGCCGTTGCCTCGGCCGGTGTTGGGGTTTACTTTGGGCCGGACGACTCAAGGTTTGTCTTCCTTGATCTTCGTGATGTCGCTCTCCTGCCATGCGGCTGGACGACTTTGTAAGCGCCTCTTTACTGACGCCAGTCTTCCCAGCAGGAATGTTTCCGAGCCACTCAAAGGAAGTCGCCAGACCAACCAGCGCGCCGAGCTGACGGCAATCCTCCGGGCGCTTGACATTGCTCCCCGCCATCGGGACGTAACCATCTTTACGGACAGTCAATATGCCATCAACTGTGTGACGGTGTGGTTTATCAAGTGGCGGCGCAACAAGTGGCAGACGGTGGACCACAAGCCGGTGGACAACAAGGACTTGGTCGAGTCGGTGGTTTCCAAGATCGAGGAACGCAATGAGCTGAAGGTGAAGACCTTGTTTGAATGGGTCAAAGGACACAGCTCCGACCCCGGAAACGAGGCCGCCGATCGTCTGGCGGTCAGTGGCGCACGACGAGGTGTTTCGGAGAAGGCGGCCGCCTTAGCAGCCGTCAAGGACCTTCCCGATGAGGCATTCGACGATGAGGACGATGACTTCTGAGCCACGTTCTTCTGGACCCGGATCGATGAGGGTCAGGATGTCCTGGTTTTCCTTTGTCATGATGCTGGTAGCCTGTTGTTGGCCTTGCTGGATGGATATGACGTGTTTCCGGGGGGTGGGAAAGATGCCCACCTAGAAATGACAGACTGGTTTGTCCCTGCTGTGGGCTACCTGTAGAAGATGTGACCTGTGCCGAGTCTCCTGGACGGTGTAGATGCTGTGTAAATCCTGCGTAGATGGCCGTTGCGGGCTGTTCCCGATGCGGGATGGCCCACAAACCCCGGACCGGTTTTTGCCTGGCATCGATCGCGGTTCTTCCTCTTCCCCGCCCACCTGTTTACCTGCACCAGTTCACATCCATTCCCTCCGGCGCAACGTCGCTCGCTCCTCTTGACTTCATCATTGCTCGAAGCTATTGGTCGCCCCGGGGTGTGCCCGCCGCTGATCGCCTTCCCGTGTCTCGTATCGCCTTCTCCCCGTGACTTATCGGGCTCGAAGTCGGGCTCTTCCTGCATTTCAGATCCAGCTGCTGGGAGATCCTGAGTTCTTCCGATGACAGACAAGCTTGCGATCAGGGACATTCATATGCTTATGATTGAATAACACGTGCTTGCCACTTCAGAAGTAGTTGATTTCTCCACCGATAGCCGGGTTGCCCCGCTTCAGCTGAGATATAGAAATTGAGGCTTCCAAAGCGTCCTTGTCGAGGATCAAAGACACGGCAAGAGTGAACATTTAACGGGGGGTGCCTCGTGGAGTACAGGACCAAGATGCCGACCCTGTCGTTGATCAACTTCAACATCGTCTGTGCGACGTTGGGAGGTTTCATCTCCGTCTTCGGATTGGTGTCCTACCTCTTCAAGGAGAGGTTTTATCTATCTGAAGCACGTTCGTCCACCTTCTCCCAGCGCTGCCTCATTCCTCTCCCTATAGGGCTTCTCCGAACCGACAGTATGGGACTGACGTGGTACAGTGATCTCCTTACTGGCGGGGGTGGTCTTCTCTCCCCATGCAGCCAATTTCATCAGACCCCAAGAGTATGCGCTTGGTTCCGAGCAAAACCTAGAAGAGATCACCCTGTATTTCACCCGCCTTGTGCTCGGAGTCCAGTTGGTCCTGGCCGGGGTGCAGCTCCCTAAACGCTACCTGCAGATAGAATGGAAGAGTCTGTCACTCCTCCTGGGCCCGGGGATGGCTGCCATGTGGATGTGTAGCAGCCTAGTCATTTGGGCCATGGTGCCAAACTTCCCGTTTCTGCATGCCCTCATAGTGGGCGCTTGCATTACTCCTACCGACCCGGTGCTATCCAATTCAATCGTAAAGGGGAAATTCGCGGACAAGAACGTCCCCCGTCCTCTGCAGCGCATAATTGTCGCCGAGTCAGGCGCCAATGACGGCCTCGGCTATCCCTTCCTCTTCTTTGGCCTGTATCTCCTCAAGTACATCGGAATGGGCGGCGAGGGATACAGCGGAGGTGCTGGAAAGGCCATGGGCTTGTGGTTCTACGAAACGTGGGTCTATGTAGTGATCCTGAGTGTCGTCTACGGGATCGCTGTCGGATGGCTATCCCGGGAGCTGCTGCACTGGGCAGAGGAGAAGCATTATGTTGACCGGGAAAGCTTCCTAGTCTTTGCTATTGCTCTTGCTGTGGGTTTCATCTCTCGCTCCATCGTTCCTCTCCGCTAATGTCGAAACCAGCTCTTCATCGTCGGCACGTGTGGGCTGATCGGGACAGATGATCTCCTAGCCTGCTTCGTTGCCGGCAACGTTTTCACGCAAGAGTAAGAATCTAGCATCCGCTGACCTTGGACTGGACGCTGACACAACCAGTGACTGGTTTCGTCTGGAGACCATGGATGATTCCTTGCAACCCACCATCGATATGTTGCTGAATTTGGCGGTGTTCATGTGGTTCGGGGCTGTGTGCCCATGGTCATCGTTCCTGAACAACGACGTGATCCCCCTCTACCGCTTAATCTTCTTGGGAATCCTGATCCTGCTCGTTCGGCGCATGCCCGTCATCTTTGCAATGCACAAGTGCATTCACCAAATCGACCATATCTACCAGGCCGCGTTTGTTGGGTTCTTTGGACCCATCGGCGTCGGCGCGATCTTCTACCTGTCGGTGACCCGCGAGTTCCTACACGAGATTACCGTTAACGGCGAGGTTCGCGAGGATGCCCAGAAGGTGTCCGAGGCTGTCGACGTCATCGTTTGGTTCTTGGTCATTTGCAGCATCGTAGGTCAACCCACCAACACAATTAACGCCAGCGCTTTCTAACCCTCACCCAGGTCGTTCACGGACTTTCCATCCCCCTGGTCAAAGCCGGATACCATCTCCCACGAACGATCTCGCATGCACTCAGCACCAGCACGATGGTGGAGCATGACGCCGTCCCGATAGCAAACGTCCACCACACGCACAGTACAGCCACGCGCAGCTCGACGCCCACGACCAACCGGAATCGGAAACGGGGCAATAATGCACGCGATCCGCCTGAGCCCACCGTCTTCCAGATTGGTCGCACCGTCATCCGGACCGCATCCTCGCAGGAGCAAATTGGAACCGGGCATGCAGAGGAACCGGCACGACCAGTTACTCTAATTGTCCGGGAGGAGGATGAAGAAACCGGACCGGAGAGCGACAGTCCGACGCCGCCAGTTCCGACTCAGGCGTAGCCAGCGATTTGGAATTAGAACTGTTGACTGGGCTTTCTTCTGGTGTCGACCTAGTTTGTTACAATGACGGTGAGGTGGGAGATGCAGACAAAGAAGAACGAGGAAGCTATACAACAATGATGTAGAGAGAGGTTGGGAGAAGGGGAGTGCTACTATCTATGCGGGGTATTTCAGGATCCATTATCCAGATCATGCTTGTGACTTCGTTATCTAGATCTAGACCATTGAGTTTCTGACCTGATAGATCAAAAGATAAAACCAGGACTTACCAACGAAGGACTCCGTAGATTAGATGCATCTGTGGGCAATGTACCTTAGGACGATGCCACCATGCCACTGAAAGGTAAATTCAAGTCATGATCAAGGTAGAAGTGTCAATCCATCCATCTATCCATCCCGCTTACAATGTTATTCTCGAAGAAAGAAAGAAAACAAACATCCCATTCTTCATCCCCGCCTACCTATTCGGAAAACACATGACTCTCAACTTCCAGACTAAGTTCCAAGACTCCTAACCCACCTCACCACAGCCTACTCCACTTAAAAGTACACGCAGCAAGCACTCTCTACCATCCATCACATCATCACATCTCCAAAAACCAACCAAAACGAAGAAAAAGAAAAGTAACATACAACAGAAGGGATTCGCTGGTGGTCACCCACCCAACTACTAACCTCCCGGCGTGTGGCTTAAGTACGGCTGAGCGGACGGGAAGCCCTGGTCTCCACACCCTGTGGTCGTATGTACCATTCTCTTACCTACCTTGAATCATATAGAGTAATAAGGAGAAAGGGGTGTCGTTTTGTAGGCGTTGGGTTGGGATTGGTAGGTAAATAAAATATTAATTAGTAGGTGACAAGCTTCATCGAACCTAAGCTATCCTAGAACTTTAGAGAGCTTGTCCATCTAGATAGGTGTAAGGGTATGGACAGATCTACCGTGTAACCAATGATTTCCCCTTTCTCGCCCCATGACACTTACCTTATAAAACATCATTCACTCACAGAGAAGTCTACTTTCGTAACGAAAAAGGAATCTGAATATAAAGGTTGAATATTTTCCTAAACACGCTTTTCATGAAGAGATGATAAAATAATGATGAACCCTCCCTATCCCTAACCCATGCCCTTTTTATGACCTCCCTTGAGTTGCATATCGCCGTATCTCGTCATTAATATGAAAGAGAGAGAGAAAGAGGGAAGAAGAGTAAAGTGAGACTAAAAGAAGGTTGGAGAGTGTGTCGGTGTAGAGAAAAAGGGATCGAGAAAAGACTGCAGCCCAAAATGCCACCGGGAGCGAGCAATGCAACTCAAAACTCCCCACCTCCCAACTCACTCGAACAAACACGCATGCACGCCAGCCGCCCACCAATACCACAGCCCTCTTTTCTGGATAGACACGTCTATGGGGATAAGGAAATTCATGCAGTCGTTATAAACCCGTCCACGCCACATCAAAAACACCCATCTGCATCAGCGAGGCAAACCAAAGGGCTATGCGAGGAAACTAGGGGTATATATCAGAGCGACATCTCACCAGATACTGCACCGCGAACACACCAGATCATAAGCGAGATGGATGGATAAGCTACAGGGAAGATGTCATCAAGAACACGGAAAGGAACGGGGGAAGGAACTGGAATCGAGAAAGAAAATACACAATGCTTTGGAGGATGCCCGCCATTCAGCGCAAACTAAACAGCAAGCAAATGAAACAGGTTGACTGCGGCTGCGAAGGTTGCCCGAATAGTCAGAGAAAAGGACCCAACAATTCTCTGCAGATTCGTTGGCACTTCGCAGCAGCAATCATCAACTGTCGCTGAAAACACAGCCCCGTGGTTGATCGTCAGAATCGACGCCATGTTGTATGCGCAATCGAAAGACGAACCTTGAGTCGGCTGACTCGGTTGATACGTGTTTAATGAGGCACCGAAACACATTGAGCCGACCATCAGACAGTGGCGGCAGGTGCGGACCTCTGCCCTGTAGAGAACAGGGCCGAAACATTGGAAGAAACAATTCGCGCGTGTGGTTTTCCCTTTGTTTTCTCCGTGGTTCACCAATCGGCTCCGGATACCGAACCTCCCCAGAACACGCCAGATCAGGCGATACGTTGGTAAAACAACAAGTATGCCACCTTGTTGTCCCGGGTTCCGTAGCGTCCGAGGGGGGTTCGGACGCCGGAGGGAGTGCCAGACGGGGCCGAGGCTGCGCCTGAGGTGGATTTCTTGCTGGAATGACCGCTGGTGCCATTCACTTGGCTCCAGCCTCTCTCGTTATCCGACTGTTCATAGTCATCCTGGTCAATATGGTCATAGATGTTGACGTTGGGACCGTCGCGTTTGTGCTGCTCGAGCGCTGCCGCGAGGACCTTGGGATCTTCTTCACCCCCGGCGTGTGCGACATCCTCACTCCGAACCCGACGGATCACGGTGTCATCGAGACGAATCCACTCGCGTCCATCTTGACGACGAACATCTACAGTGTAGTGGCCACCGCTGGCGTTCTTTCCATGATGGTAGATGACACCGACAAGCCGGTACTGGGGCAGGCCACCTTGTGCCATCATGATATTGCGCTTATTAGGCGGGAAGACCTCGCGGGGGATCTCCAGATCGAGTGGGTATCCGACCTTCTTCCAGATCTTCTGAGTGCCTCTGGTGACACTATCATACTGGAACCGTTTCAGGTGAAGGATGAGAACCGGCGGCATGTTTTCGATGAAGATCTGCTTGGTAGCGGTGACATTAGGGCCACGGGAAGAGTTGAAGTCTCCCTGGATGCTTTCCGGCTTGGTAAGACCCTTGAGAGCGTCAATGATGTTGTTGATCTCGGGGGATCCAATGTCAAGCTGCAGGGGCTGGTAAGGCTCCAACGTCACGGAAGTCTTGTTGCCAGGCACCCTGAACTCCGACCGGATCTGGCCACCGAAGATCTTCGTGATGGGCGACTCCAAAGCAATATGTCCAGATGAACGCGTGACAGCCGCCTTTTGCTTGTGACCAACCTCCAGCCAACCATCGCCAGACTCATCGTTCGCGGGATCCGCCTCGGGGTTCGAAGAAGCCGAGGCTGCAGGGGCATCCTTTGCGGCGCGGCTGCACTCTTCGTGCATTTCTTCCAGGAGGAAGCCTAGGAACTCTTGAGCATCTTGCTGATGACCTCTCTTTATTCAAAGAGCATGTACGCATTAGCCCGCACGTTTCTCACAATCAGGGTTTAGGAACTTACCCGCATGTCCCGGAAGCGCGGCAATTGCCGAATCACCTCATATACAAACTCTGGAATGAAAGATTCGCCGTACTCTTCGAGCTCATTGGGTTTCAACCTCAGCCTCAGCTGTTCCTCGGTATGTGCAGCATCGATGATGCGGAATTCTCTCATGAACATGATCCTGTGGGGATGTCAGCTCAAGTGCCGAGTAACAGAAGAAACGCTGGAAGACAATGAAGAAACAGAGGACAGAGCGAGCGAACGAACGAAGCGGAATAGTACTCACATAGCATCAATCATCGGAAAGTCGCTGTGAAAGCTGTGGGACGCCCTCCGTCCAATGTGATCCAAGAATTGGTAGAAAGGAGCGCAAGAAACGAGAATTTGGAGCACCTGCAGCACAAAGCAATTAGTGGGTGATGGTCCACGCTCAGCACAGAGAAGGACATACAGAATTCATGTAGCACATATTGCCCGTATTCACAAGTCCTCTGGGCTCGAGGAATGCAACCTTGTCGCTGTACTGCGAGACATCCTCCCCCAGACTCGTCAACACGTCTGCAAGAGTCTCATTTTTAGGCTTGATTACACCATTGGACACGGTCGGGGATGCATTGGGAGCATTCGCCCCTTTAGCCAACGCCTTTGACCGGACCAAATCTGCCCACGACTTGGGTGCTGCAGGCGCAGGCGAGGCCTGCTTCGAAGGTTCCTCGGCCTTGGCCTGAGACGGCTCCTGTGAATCTTCATTTGTGTTCTCCTGAGCCGCGCCGCTCACACTCGCCGATTTAGGCGTTTCGGGTGAGCGACCCGAATCATCCTTGGTTGCCTGACGAGGAGTACTGGGAGCAGGGACGACTGGAACGACAGGGACTACCGGAACAGCAGGCTTGGACCCTTTGGACTGTGACTGAGGACGCACAGAGATGTTCGGAGCAACAGAAGAGGGGGTCGTGGGTTGGGTCGAATTTGCGACTGATGGCGCCGCAGACAAGGTCGGGGTTTGGGGCTCCGAGGATGTCTGTTCCTGCTCTAGGCCTTTGGTTTCACTTTGTGTCTCAGACTTGTCATTTCGCTGGGACTCCTTGGCAGGGAGCTCGACGGCAACAGACGAAGAATGGAGGAGGCGGCTTCTCCGACGTCTGCCTGGGACTCGAGCAGGGAAAGGGCAGTCGGCAACGGATAGCCAAGGCAACTGAGGATTTCTGTTAGAAAGGAAGGGAACCGAACGCATGGCAATCAACAAGTCTTACCGGTGGGCGAAAAGGCTCCTTGGGCGGCGCCGGAGCAACCTTTACAGGGGCCGGACCGGGGGATGAAGACACAGCAGGGCTCGGTATGGGATGCACGGGAATAGAGGCGGGGGACTGCGCCTGAGTCGTGATCGGCATGGGTGGAAGTCCGACTGGAGGAGACATGGTGGTTTGTAGAGGAGGGGAGGTCCTCGGCTGCATAGGAAGAGACGGGGGAGGAATATGGGCCGGCGCCATTATAGGCTGGGAGGGAGCATAGCCAGACACAAACATCGGACCTCCGTAAGGGTGTTGGTAAGGGCGTGGAGGGAGCTGCTGCATCGGAGGATAAGGCGGGTACCAATGGGGGTATTGCTGCGGCGAGTATGCGGCCGGAGGAGGATGGCCGTTCATATGGGGGTGGTACCCCATGTAGGCAGGAGGGGATCGCATATTGGGAGGGCCTGTAGTGTAAGGAACATCTTGCTGTCGTCGAGGAGTCGGCATGGGTGGCTGCCCATGGGGCATTGCGGGCATATGATGGTTCATCATGTCCAGGCAGTCGGGAAAGTCGCCTTGACTATTTAGCCACGCGTTGCCTCAATGGGAGCCATACGAGGTCAGAAGAGGAAGAATCCGGTATGGGGGCGTGCACCCGTCTAAGCAGCCATTCTAACGCCCCGGGCGGGACACTGGAAGCTAGGATCAAGAACTGTAGGGCGAAGCTTGGCGTGAATTCGTCCTGGGGTGGGCTCAAAGGATCAGCGTGGTGTACGACATAGGTTGGGAGGTTGCGCAGAAGATCGGGGAAGAGCTGGTTGGGTGAGAGGTGGTACGAACCTGGTGCAGAACGCGGGGTCAAGATATGAGGGGGAATGGGAAGGGCCGAAAAAGGAGGAAAATGGCCACAAGAGAGGCAAAGGGAGGTGGTGACGACGGGGGGTACAGGGCCGGGACAGCACAACCGGGGGAAGTGGGTGGATTGCTGGAGCTGAGATGGAGATGATGTTTTTTTGGTGGCCGGCACGTGCCTGAGGCTCCGCTGCGGCAGATCCCTGGCCCAGGCGTCCCTCAACAACCCACCCCAGAGCCTCTGCCGATGGGGGTAAACATGCAGTATATCCTGCTTAGTCCAAACATCACCAAGGGATAGATCTCTACAGAGCTATACAGAGCTACAGAAGAGGCAACAAATTCTGCTGACGCTCGGAATTCCTCATTAGAAGGAACAAACCAGTCCAAGGGCCTTCATCTACAATATGACCTGTACGATTGAATTACGCCGGGCCGTGCGCGAAAGAAAACCAATCTATATGAATCTCCGTCAGTTTCTAGTAATAATAATTCGTACACATATATGGCCATCAGATTTCGTAGAACACTTCGACTCCTTACCCATGCTCCTTTCAAAGTGTATCTGCAAGCACCTCCCTGAAATGATTATAACATAATGCTCGTAAGTATGGTTGAAAAGAAGACGAAAGACCCGGAGCGCGTCAGATAATGCTTGCCAAAAGCAAAGCAGTTAATGCGTCTGCGCCTGGCTAAGCGCCTCGCTGGATATTGGTCGCCATGAGCGTGATTTTCTTGTTCTTTTTCTTTTTCCCGCCAGAAGCAGAAGGAGTGGGGTTGCTCGCCTCGGCAGCACTTTGAGCCATCAGTTCTCTCTCTTGCTGGGCCCACAGCTCCTCCTCCCAGCCTTGAAGCCAGCCATCAGCAGGGCCTGGTTGTGAGCCCGACGGAGCCGAAAGAGCCGGCACGGCGGTTGTTCCCCACACGGTCCGTGATCCAGGGGGACTCGTAGAGGTGGATGCCAGAGCGCCAAAATGGGACGGCTGAGGAGGAGATGCAGATGAAGACTCTATATCCAAACCAGGTGGCTCGCCAGTGGCGCCCGCCAACGGCTGGAAATCGCGGTCGGAGAAGGGAGGGTCATTGATGGTGTCAATACTGGGCCTCTTCCGGCGCGCTGCTGCCCAACGCTCTTCGTCTTCTTTCTTCTCAGCCCGGATCCGATCCTTCTCTTCCCGCGCCTCTTTCTCCTTATTACGTTTCCGTCTTCTTTCAGTTTCCGACTTGAAAGTCTCCAGGACCTCCGGGACGACAACATCCCTCCAGTCACACTCGAGGAAATTCACCTCGCAACCTTGCGGAAGATGGCTGAGATATTTCACTCTTTTGCGCAGCTCCTCGTCAACGATATGACCGGTCGAGATGCGTTCGACCCTCGGAAGAATGGTGGCAGGAAATGATGAATAGTCACCAAATGCAGCCTTTAAGATGCGGATGTCTAAGGGCGAAAGATAGAACTGAGGCAGGGCTTGATAAAAAAAGAATGAATGGTCAGATGTATGAGGGCCCCGCGTTGAGGGCACGTTGTTTCGGCCGTGCCCAGGATCTCTCTGTTTCTTCTTAGACCCAGAAGTCGAATTCAAGTCAACCTGGCCCAAGGCCTCGGTTGTACGATCCAGGCCATTCGATGTACCCGGTGTCGAGGCTGAACCAGGGCCAGTATCTGACGCGGGGATGGACTCCGCAGACGAACTTTGACCTGACTTGGTTGCATGCTGCGATTCATAAATGGCAGCAACTCCCTCTGGCGGGGACTGTAATGCGATGGGCTCCTTTGGCTTTTTGGTCTGGACTGGCTGTCGCGTAATGTCCGGCGGATTCCCAATACCTTCGATCTTAGTTTTGGCGTCGCGAATCGCAGCGACCGCCTTCTGAGTCCAAGTGGTATCATCTCCGAATAGAAGTTCATCTTCAAGCTCCTGCCTGCGAAGCTCTTCGATCTCGATGTCGTACTGGGCTTTCATATAGTCCTCGCCCCCTTTCATTATGCGCGCGTAGTCAGCTACTTCTGCAGCATGATACCACGGAACATCCTCCTCTGGCGCTATGTCCTCGGCCCCATCCCGAGGCAACGCTAGAGTGCTCCCGGGTTCTCTTTTTACTAGCCTTAGGACTACATCGCCTCCCTCAAACGGGAGATCGCCCTCCTGACCACGAAACCATCGCACAGGTCGCGTCTCGGAGACGTAGATGGAATCCCAACAGATCGGGCACTTCTTCCACCGCGGTTTTTTCTCCGGTACCGGATTCTCTTCATCGGTCGAATGCATGTAGCGGATCAGACAAGAAAGACAGAAGATATGACCACAGCGAGCCATTCGTGGCGCTACCGGAGTGGACAAACATATGGGGCAACTAGCGGACTGCGTTTGAGCCGATACCAAGACCTGAAGAACCGAATCCCAATCTAGGTGGACATCAGCATTGGCCGCTTGTGCATGGTAGTTGCGGTTGGGTGCCACGATAAAGCGATAGTTCGCATGAACGTAGCGGGATTTATCCATTGCATGATAGCCCGAGCCTGGACCCCAAGATGTATAGCGGCGATTATTGCGGGGTGGAGGATTGTACTGAGGACGAGGCGGTAGAGAGAAGTTCATTAGATGGGTGATGGACGTCTGTCCCTTGCGACTGGTTGTAGATCTCATGATGGCCTGAGAGGACAGGTTGGTTAGTTCGTCCATCCCAGAGTAACAGAAGTCATGGAGATAGTCCTGGAGAGGGGCTACAGCCACACCGGTTTCACTCCTGCCACCCTCCCATACCTCCTAAAGCATCTTATGTAAGCCTCTCGCGCGTAGGCCTTCCAGAGCATCTCATGCGGCTCCCGAAGTGCCACACGTAAGGCGTTACGAAGAGCCTTGGCCAGGGCTGATATTGGGGCGGGTAGTAAAGGAGTATAAAGTGGCTCGGGCGAGCGCGGTGCAGCTGGAGCCGATTCCTGGTCCTAATACATACCGATTCGCTATAATCATCATCATCTAACAATCGGGGACGCCTCTGTCGTCTGTGCTGACTCTTGAGAGCCTGGTTGTTCCTAGGAGAGCCCGAGTTTCTAGCCTGAGATGTTAACCCGGCTCCAAAACTGCCAGAACCTCCCGGGCGCCGCTGAGAACGCGGAGAGCCGCTATCAAATGAAGAGGAAGTGAAAGTCGCAGAGACTGGCTGGCTCGGAATATTCACCGCTTTCATAGAAGTGGTAGGAACCTGACTAGGATTTCCCGACATTATTCTTTCTGCTTTTCCAGGTGAAGGCGTGAAAGTACCTTCCTATGGCGGGGGCAGAAAAGCAGTTACTGGTAATGCGGAGGTGACTCGAGATGCAGGTACAGCCTCCAACTGACGGAGTTGAGGATTGGAATTGGATCAAAAAAGACTAAACGCGTACGAGAAAAGGGCCAGATAACCCTCGAGGGCAGCACTAGGGGAGGAGAAGCACCAGAACCCTGAAGCCTCCCCTATCGAGAAAAGAAAAGAGGCAGAGCGGAGGAGAGAGATTATCGAGGGAGGGGCGAGTATGTCATGCCTTGGCGGCCGACCAGAGCCTCAGGCACGTGCCGTACGACCATTTCGCATCCGCCCTACACCCCAAGCAAATTCCATTTCATGTTCTCTGCACTGGAGAGTAGGGCATATATTGTGGACTGATATAGCCATACGCCCGTGCACTTGCATTGGCCACACCCGTCATCCATGCCTCTGCTTATTTAGCACACCAACCCTGCTAGGGCCGTGTCCAAGTTGACAATGAACCCGTACGGGAAGGCGGAAGGTAAACTATGTCAACTCAGTTCCGCCTTCCTGGTTGGGACAATACTGGTGTCCAGGTAGCATTGGGGTGTTCGCAGAACATGACCCATCATATAGGCCAATCTGTCTATCTATATGGAATATGGAGCACGGAGTGCCTGTGCCTCACCACTGGGCACGTACCTGTTCAGCGTTGATAGGCAAGCCAAGCACCAGGCCATCTGCAGCGACTGGTGGTTGCGCGGATGAACTCCAGGGTCGATGATCCTGCCGCAGCGGGTAATGAACCCACTCCCTTTTAGTGCATCCCCCAACTGATGTTGTTGTTGGTCTTCCTGCGACCGCCCAAACCATTCCCTCCTTCTCTCTCTCACTGTCTCCTCGCATCAGTTGCGTCCCTTCCTCACCGCAATTCATCACATATCTCAATTGCTTGGCCTAAGGCCTCGTACGGTCAACATACAATGACCGTGACTCGATCCCAGACGGGGAAAACCCCAAAGTAAGTCATTTGCTTGCGCAAGGGAGTGAAGGTCCATGGGGGCACAGAGAGAGGACACGATGAACCCGGGACCCAGTGAGGAACCCCAATCGTGATCTATTTCCTTTGATCCCATCGCAAATTGCGCTTTTTATGCGACCTCTTGTTCTGCTTGTTGTGGTCCCTGTCAACTCACAAGTCGATCAATTGCTAGGAAAATGGAGCGGCCCGGCTTCGTCGAGACACCTGGCCGTCGAGTAACTCGCAGTAGCAGCCGCGCACTGTCAGAGGATCCTTCTAACACAGTTGCTGATACTCAGGCACAATCAAACTCCACATCGCGGAGACGCCCGTCGGTCAAGGTCAAGACTGAACCGTTGGACGAGGAGTCGAAGCCATTTGCGACCAATGGACACGCCGACGATTCCGTCAACAAGAAGCCCCGGATTGTGGATGGATGGGAAGAGGGCAAGGATCCCAAGATCGACTACAGCGGCCACTTTGAATTCGGAGGTTCTCTGGGTGTGGCATCCATGATGATTGGATTTCCGCTGCTGATGTACTACATGTGGATTGGCGCCACCTACTACGATGGCAAGTTCCCTCGTCCCGCGGAAGGACAAAGCATGTCTGAATTCTTCGCGCATTTGGGGCATCTGGCATATGAGGGCGCTTTCCCCTCACTCAAGGCCTGGACTATCTATTGGGTTTTCTTCATCTTTGAGGGTATTTGCTACCTGTGCCTTCCGGGTATCACCGTCATGGGCCGTCCTCTGCCCCATTTGGGAGGGAAGCAACTGCCATACTACTGCTCTGGTGTTTGGTCCTTCTACACCACCATCGTGTTGGCCCTTGTCCTTCATGCTACTGGTGTCTTCAAGCTATACACGATCATTGATGAGTTTGGCCCTCTGATGAGCGTCGCCATCCTCTCTGGGTTCCTTGTTGCTTTCGCGGCTTACTTCTCCGCATTGGCACGCGGGGCGCAGCATCGCATGACTGGCCACCATGTGTACGATTTCTTCATGGGCGCGGAGCTCAACCCCAGAATGTTTGGGATTCTGGACTTCAAGATGTTCTTCGAGGTCCGCCTTCCTTGGTACATCCTGCTCTTCGTTACCCTAGGTGCAGCGGCCAGACAGTATGAGGTTTACGGCTATGTCTCTGGGGAAGTCGGCTTCCTGCTGCTGGCCCACTTTTTGTACGCGAACGCCTGCTCCAAGGGCGAAGAGTGCATTGTCTCCACGTGGTAAGTTACTGTCTGGGGATTGCGAGAAATATTTATGATCTGATAAACCTCTAGGGATATGTACTACGAGAAATGGGGTTTCATGCTCATTTTCTGGAACCTTGCGGGAGTGCCCCTGAGCTACTGCCACTGCACCATCTACCTGGCCAATCACGATCCGGCTACATACCACTGGAACCGGTACTTCCTCTCGTTCCTTTATGTCGCCTATCTCTTCGTATACTGGGTGTGGGACACGACCAACAGCCAGAAAAACCGTTACCGCCAGCAAGAGCGCGGAACCATGGTGTTCCGCAGCACATTCCCTCAGCTGCCTTGGCAGACGCTCAAGAATCCCAAGACCATCACGGCCGAGGATGGGTCCAAGATCTTGGTCGACGGTTGGTGTAAGTGCTGCCCACGCTTCTATATACCCCGGTTTTAGCTGACTGACTCGACACACTGCAGATGGCAAAGCACGCAAGATCCACTATACCTGTGATTTGTACTTCGCCCTGAACTGGGGACTCATCACCGGGTTCAGCAGCCCATTCCCCTGGTTCTATCCCGTCTTCTTCGCCTGCATGATCACGCACCGCGCGATGCGCGACATTGAGCGTTGCCGGAACAAGTACGGCGAGGCATGGAGGGAATACGAGAGACAGGTCCCTTACCTGTTCATTCCGGTAAGTGAAGGGTTGAAAATGGACTGTAGATCAGCCGCTAACATGGATGATAGTACGTGTTCTGAGCGGCTTTATCCACCAAGCCATTCCTTGTGTATACTCAAGGCTGTTCGCTGCCCAGCTTGGGCTGCTGGCAGGACTCCTGCCTTTCAAAACTTCTTTGGTTCTGTCAGATTTATCATATGTCGTTGTAATCTTGTCCATCTACTCGGGCCCCTCGCTGCCGTCCAGTCAGTTGGGTATGTCCGAGTCTTTGCATCATGTCTTTGATACAGTCCTGCATGAGGATCCGACTTCCTCGCTTGTTGCATTCTTCTTCTTTTCAAGATATAACATTCCATGTATATTATTAGATTGTCATTCTTATTTCTTGGTTTTTCGGTTTATTCTCTTCTTTATTTCTATCATGTTTTTATGTATTTTCGATGATAGACATAGCCCCGGCTATTTCTTGTATTCTAATTGATGTCTGACCTGTACACCCCCATTGAACAAAAGCGCAAGCAAACTTGAAGAATATGTCATTCCGCTATTCTCCTGCCCTGGTACCCTGTAGACCTTGATGCCCACCCACCCCATAGGAAATCACATGACCTTACCCCTCCATTTCGGGAAGCTTATCGCATCTGGATTGCTTTGATCACCCTACAACCCCGCCAGCAGACTCGGTATGATCCCAGCTCCCACAGCCCTCAATTGCCGATCAATCGCTTATCCGGAGCTTCTAGTGCCTCCAAAGTCATCATCCACCTTCCCTAGCCAATAGACCCCATCTCCCGATCCTCAGCCACCACTACCACCATGTTGATCCAGGAATCGTACCACGATGTGCCCACCCAGGCGGACGGCAGCGGAACTATGCGTATGTATCACTGCTACTACTCCTGAGAGTTGTCCCGGCTAGACGCGGATGTCTTGCTTCATCTATACACTTATTTGGTCGTTCATGAAATTATTGGCTACGCAATGGATGAGATGAGATATAATAATTGATTGATACGAGCAACGCTGACGTGATCCCAGGTATTTATGTCTTCCACCCGACTATTCCAGGATACCCGAAGGCAAGGTTCCCGGGTGTGGTGGTGTTTAGTGAGATTTATCAGGGTATGTATCTTTCTCAGGGGGAATCCCAGAGTGATTATTCTGGGGGTATGGGATTGTGAAGAGAGGGGATGGAAATGGATGGATGATTGATGGTGTATAGTGACTGGACCTGTTGAGCGGTTTGCGAGACAAATCGCCGGACAGGGATATATCTGTGCGGCTCCGTCGAGTTATCATGAGTTTACGGGGCCGGAGGCATTGAAGTATAATGCTGAGGATACGGATAAGGGAAATGAGTGGAAGATTAGTAAGGTGAGATTTACCATGATGGAGCAGTTGGTGGGAGATGATGGGGGATCATGTTAATGTTGATGGGAATAGAAAATCGCGGCGTACGATGAGGATGCCTCGTTGTGTGTGGACTATCTCCTGTCACTGCCCACGTGCAATGGGCGGGTGGGCGCGACGGGTATGTGCCTGGGTGGACATCTTGCGTATCGGTGCGCATTGGATAGCCGGGTCAAAGCGGCGGTGTGCTACTTTGCCACTGATATTCACAGTAAGACGCTGGGGCGGGGGAAGAATGATGATAGTTTGGCTCGGGCGGGCGATATCAAGGGCGAATTGCTCATGGTGAGAGGCCACCCTTCCCCGTCCCGTGTGTGTGAGAGAAAGAGTGGCGTGGATGCTGACGGGGATCATGGCGCAGATTTTCGGAAAGAATGACACGCATGTTCCGCCTGAGGGAAGGGATGTGATCCGCAAGACCCTACATGACAAGGGAGTTCTGTTTAGCTTTTACGAGGTGGCTTGGGCGCAGCGTAGGTTTTGACTTTCGGTTTACGTTTTTCCATGGGATGTGCTGACAAGGGTTGGATCACTAGATGCCTTCATTCGTGATGAGCTCAGCAAGGGACGGTATGACCCTGCCATTACCAAGGCGTGCTTTGAGATGCTGCTCGAGTTGTTCGGACGGACGCTGAAGCTGGACCTGGGCGAGCACGATGGAAAGGAGTTGAAGATTGAAGACGTGTGCTAGAGGTGGCGAGATGCGATCTGCGTAAGTATCTACATATTACCGTAGTAGGTATCAATAGGCAACGACATATCGGGCAATCGGTGTGACGACTGCGACTGTCAACCATGCTGGCTGGCATAGCCGAATGAGATCTTGCATACTGGCCTTATTTGATATCTTAAAAGAACTTACTGAGGGCATGTAGTTGCGGACTTTCCTCCCTTTGGATCTTCAGTATTGTCGGTCTGATTGGTGCGATGGCAGAGGCCGACCTCCTCGATATATTACTGCAGGTAAGGCATAACACTTGGTATATAGCCAGTGACGCAAGGGTGAGCGGGACAGATGAGAGACAGGTCCTGGCTGAAGACCCTTTCGAGGGATTGATGAATGCCTAGTGAGCAGAGTGGCTGTGAAATGCCCGGAGTATGTAGGATGCAGAATGATAGGCTCCGATCCATGGGCAACGACCGAGTGGCTGGGGGGCGAGGGACCCTCGGTCAGGGATGGCGGTGAGACATGGCGATTGCATTCGACTAGAAGGATGGCGGAAGATCGAACCGGGTGTTCGCATTCGGAATCTCATGCAAGATCTATCAAGCTTCAAGAATGTTGCCTGTCAAGGCTATTCTTAGCCACCCGTCCGGGACGATGTGAGATGTACGGAGTAAGTATGCCACTGGATCGGAACCCGACCCAGAATAGAAACCGGGGAAGGCCCAGTGGAATGAGCCGTGGATGGCGACCAGGCACACATCCACGGGACCGCCAGGAGACCTTTTCCACCAACATCTCCGATAGTAGACCGTGGAGGATTGGCAGGGGATCGAGGAGAGGAGTTGGGTCTCGTAGATAGTACTGCGGAAGACTACTAAAATATTTCATGTCTCTTCAGTGCATCTGCCAGCCGCATGAAGTCATTCCCGGCCAGCCAGCAGCGTGTCTGGTTCCTGGATCGGCTGCGGTCCAGCTGCAGGGTTTGGCGGAACAAGGCCTGGAAAAGTGGGCAGGCGTCCACCTATCAGCGTGGGCTGAACCATCTCTCCCTTGGACGCTAAACTAAAGCCCATCTTTCCAGCGCAGCATCGCGTGTTGTTAGTTGGTAGTTGTTACGACTGCCATCATTTCCCCTCTCTTCCCCGACGGCTTTTGCCTTCATCCCCGGCCAGCCTGGTGGTTCATAATCCCAATCCCTCCATCGGGCCCCCCGTTCGTCTTCTCCCTTTTCTCCTCCTCCTCCCATCCGTCCGACTTCATTAATCATCTGAAATACCGGCTTTGCAGCTGACTGTTTCTCATCCCGGCCCTACAGCCCCATTGTGCTGTGCCGGTGTTTGAGATTCTCACTCTGACAGCTCGTCTCTCGCTGATCTGACATTCTTAATTTTCTGATAATTACCCTTCCTTTCCCGTCCTTGGCTGGCCTTAGTCTTTGTCTCTCTCTCTCTCTCTCTCCCTCTCCAACCCGCGCTATCTTCTTCCGCTTTCTTTTAACCGTCTGGCTGCAGGGCCGATTGTGAACCGGGCCTCTCTCAGCCCCCCCCCCCCCAAGAGTCTCGCTGCCTTTCTTCTCCAGCTTTTCCTCTTCCTTTCCGTTTGCAGAGCGGCTCCCTGATTGACTCCATTCCTTGTCCTGTTTCCCCGCGTGCAAATCTATCCCGTTGGAGATAATCTTACACAGTAATCACCCTAATCATAATCTGGTCGTCTGTTTCCACTTTCTACTCTTCCCGATCTGCAGCGGAGCCATCCTGACCGACGTGGGTCCGACGAAATCGATCGAATTATTCACCGTCACCGTCACCACTGCCACTACCACTCTCATCATCGTCTCACCGCGCCTCCCCTCCGTCATTCCTCTTGCATGGTGTCGCGCTTCGATCCTCTGTAGCCATGGGTTCGACGCAGTTTGGCAATTTCAACGTGGGTTGACCATTGATCTACCACCTGGTGTACCTCGGGATGGATGAAACTGACCGTGGATGATCTGCATGTGTAGGACTTTTGTCGGGATTCCACGCTGCCGGTCTGCAACGTACGTCCCCCCCCCCTCTCATTCTGTTGTGCGCTATTAATGCTCAATTGATGTCGCCATATCGCTGACCCTCAGTTTACTATAGCTCTTCGTGTCCAACAACCAGCCCCCCAATGAAGCGTTTAATGGATGCGCGCTTCACGGTATCGAGCTCAGCCATGGCCGCTACCTCAGTAATCTGGGTATGCTACGCCATTCACGCCTGCGGTGGACTCCATCAGACTAATCCATGCAGGCTCTATCATCTTGGCGTTTATCTCCATCATAGTATCGCTTTTCCTGCTGTTAAGATCGGATCGCAAACGCGCAGCAGTCGGCCGAAGGTACGCGACGAAGGAATGGAGATAGGAAAGAAAGTGGGGGCTGACTGGGATAGGGAAATGCAAATATTCCTGCTCGGATTCATCGTCATCGAAATCTGCGAGATCTTCTCCGTGGGCGGCTTCCCTTTGGACCCAGCAGTCCGCAAGGTTGGTCATGCGACTCATCACAATCATTGCCGAGTCTAACACGCATGCGTAGGGCTTCTCGGCTGTACATGTGGCTGCGATCACTGCAACGTGTTGGATCCTGTTCCTCAATGCCCTGGTGGGCTACCAATTGCTGGACGACGGCACCCCAGCGTCAATTGGTCTGATCATTGCCTCCGCCCTGGTTCTCTTCATTGGTACGGGTTATATTGCTTTGGACACGGCCTTCGACTGGACGGGCGAGTTCGCAACCACGGCGGCAGAAAAGTATCGCAATATCGCCCTCTATGTGCTGTATCAGCTCTTTCCTCTCGTTTGCCTGGTGGCGTTTTACGTATTGGAGGCTGTCCTGGTGATTCGGATTTTGGGTGAACTTCGGCCCATGAGTATGTTTGCATACGCTTCCTAATCTTAACCGGTTATCTATTCTGACCTGTCTATAGTTTACTTGACCGCTGCCGCCCTGTTGTTCGCCATCGGACAGATCTTCGAATATGTGATTAGCGTTCACCTCTGCACGGCGTCCCATCACAAGATCAACGGCGCCTTATTCGAGACCCTCTTCACCCTTTTGGCAGTTACTACGGTTTGGACGTTTTGGAGCAGCATCACCGAAGACGACTGGCCCATGCCGATGGCACCTGGCGGTGGATACCGTTAGGCCAGCTGATCGTAAAGCGCTGCCTGTGCCTATTCGCACTCCCCTCCCCTCGCCTTCCATCCGAATTGTTTATATCTCTTCTCTACGATCCTTGCACACCGGTGCTGTGATACCCGCCCTCTTTCGCATGCTCGACGCGTCCACGGAGTTTACGACGGGCTATGTTCTCGCCATCTTTTGCGATACCTTAACGTTTTACGATGTTCTTGATGCGACGCGGTGTGGTTTTATGTTTCAACTATGACTTCTATCTATGGCGGGCTCTGTGATACGCTGGCCTGAAGCCGAGCATGTGAGGCCGCCGGTGCCATTGGCCGTCTTTTCCAGCTAGATACCTATTTGCATTGTAATTAGTACGATTGATGTTCGATTTGGTCCTGAATGATACGCGGTGTGGTTTGATCACGGCATGGGAAATGCCGTTATATCACCGCGCACTTGTTTCTCTAACATTGCACTCTGGTCAATAGACGATAGCCATCTTCCCACTTTACAAATCATTCCAGCTGTCAAGATTCTCAGCTACTACTATCTAACCTTGACCGGACTACAATCCAAATCCACAGCCCAAACACTCAATACCAATAAACGGAACATTGATATTAAAACACAATGTCAACTAACACGGAAATATGTACATCAAAATAATTTCACCTCCTACCCCGCAGGCGGAGATTTTCTTTCCCAGACAGCTCCAAGGCCCATTCTCCGAGAAGAGTTGATCATATGCATGATACATGTATGTAAGCAGTCGCCAAGTTCGGCCCCTCCACCACCGATTCTATAGGTTATCTCAGCCAAATGGAACGGACAAGATATGAGATGAGATGAGAAGAGATGAGAAGAGAAAGACAGAATGAGATGGGATGGCATATGCGCCTTCATATGCATTGTTTTTCGACAGAATGAAAAAAAGGAGGGCAGAAAAAGAAGCAGCCGACTTCAACAGAAGCAACACAGCTCAATAGATAAAAATATATATTCCACTCATTTCCCGAGGGCATATCCATCCGGAATACGCGATATAATAAAATATATAATAAAAAAAAAGAAACCAAACCCCCGGATATGTGAAAGACCGAAGAAACCCCAATCCAATACCATTTACAACCGAACCTTAACATCCACACAGGGCAGAGTCCATTCTCTCCGACCGAGGAGACTTCTCAACCATTCCAGACCAATTCCGGTCCATTCGTCTTGCGCGCCGGGGGCAAGAGACGGGGCGGAGAGAGAGGCGTTGATGCTGCTGCTGTTCAGACGACGTTGGGCTTCATCGAGGACGGCGCCGGCGAGGGCCTTGGTGGTGGTGTTGACGGTCTCGAAGACGTAGCTGGCGAGGGTGGTTTCGTTGACGGTGGTGGTGGAGTAGCGCGGGGAGAACCAGTCACCGCGGAGATCGAAGAAGCATTTGTCGGACCAGTGGCAGGAGGAGATGAAGAGGATGAGGAGTAGAGCGGAGCAGTAGATGCAGGGCCGGTGCAGGATGTAGGTTAGGGTGACGAAGGAGATGATGAAGAGGGGGGAGGCGTTGGTTGGGATGAAGAGGAGGGGAAGCCAACTGCGGGTGGGAGTGTGAGTACGGTGATGGTTATGGTGATGGAGGGGATGGGATTAAGATGCTTACCTCCGGAGACAGAACATAATGGGCGGTGGTGGGCTTGGCGATGATGTTGGAGGTGATGATGTAGATTGCTCGTTAGATTGTTGCTGGGTGGTGACGGTGAATTTGGTGGCGAGAGACAGGGAAGGGACCCGGTGAATTCTGGCGCTCGGTGAGAGGAGGGTAGTGAGTGACAGAGGTGGTAGTGATGAGGAGGGTGGATCGCGGGAAAGGAAATTGATCAGGAGCGATCATCCATGGCGATGGGGGGTGAGTATTTCTTGGAGGAATCTTCTGGCGTGGAAGTTGAAGTTGAAGTTGATGGGATGACGGACTCTGCTTTGGCTGCGGGAGTTTCATCGTCATTGCTTCGATACGCGATACGCGATACGCGATAGTTACGGTACGGATACGGTCAGCGAGGACGGCATCAGCCACAAGGCAAGCAGCCACAAAAGGGCACCTCCGCCGCCGTCCATTTCTTCCGCTTCTCGCTTCGAGTCGCTCTCGCTGAGCTTTCTCTCTTCTCTTCCCTTTCCTTTTCCCTTTCTTCCCTTTTCTCCCCTTCCCCCCCCTTCGTTCCTGTACTATAGTCCGTCCTTCGTCTTTTGGTATTCTTGCGGTTCTGCTTGCATTCCTTTCGTGTTTCACGAGATTTCGTGTCCTTTCTCTCGCGCTCTCTTTCCTTCGTCTCTTGTTGGCTCTCGAAAGAGAGCTCTGCACCCACTTTGGAGCTTGGATTTCGTTTGGAGGTCGCCTTTTTGCACGGCGAGTGACAGAAATGTCCACCCCCAATGATCTTCAGGCCCTGCTGGCGAGCATCAGGCCGCGCCCCTCGCCATCGGGCACCCCTGCTCATGAGGCTCCTATGCCGCAGCAGCACCCCGGCCAGTACCAGCCTGGTTACCGCCAGCAGCAGCAGTTCCAGCCACCCTATGAGGGCCACGGCCAGAGCTACCCTCACCCTCATCTTCAGCAGCAGCAGCAACAACAACATCAACAACACCATCATGTCCACCAACACGGCTACCGTCACCCTTCCGTCTCGTCGAACATTCATAGCCCTTCACCCGTCAATACTCCGCCTCACCATGGATCGGATATTCTTAGCCCGAATGCTTCTACGCCTCGCGCGGACATGTATCCTCAGCAGCCGCACCATCAGCCGTTGGCTCAAAACCCCGACCGTGCCGTCAACCTCTTGAACCTTCTGAAGTTCAACCAGCCCCCGACCGCTCCTGCCCAGCAGCAGCCGGCGGCGGCGGGCATGGATCAGCCAAGATACCCCCAGGCGCGTGCAGCTGCCCCCGAGGAGGCGTCCAAGGCTCACGCGAGAAACATCTCCGCGTCCGACCTGGTGGCGTCCCTCTTTGGTGGACAGGGTCAATCCACTGCACCACCTGTGAGACCGACTGGTACTCACCCGGGTCAGCTTGGGTCTGTGGGTGCTGGGTCTGGCGTCGCAGAGAGCTCTTCGTCTGCTGCTCCGACCGCAGAGAATACCCAGGAGATGTTGCTTCGTCTGCTGAACCGCCCCAAGCCCGCTCAGGACGTCTCAGAGGGACCGGTGAGACCTGTTTCTCAGTCTCCCTCTGTTGTTTCGCCCGTGAAGTCCCCTGTGCCTGAGGTTGAGTTGAGCAGTATTCTGACGCCGTCTGATCAGGTTGTCCAGGAGCCTCTGACCCGTCCGGAAGAAGTTGTGTCTGGGAGACTGGACAAGTCCGCTTCCGGAAAGGAGTCGATGTTCACCTACGTCAACCCGTTTGATCAGCTGGCCGCCGCCTCCCCTCGGAACCGGACCCCTCAACCCAAGTCTCGGAGCGAGAGTCCGGCCGTGGAGATCATGAAAAGCAAGAGGGTCAGCATTGTTACGAAGAATGAGAATGCGCCGGCGCCGGACCCGGTGGAGACCCCCGAGGGGGAACGCGCCACGTCGCCCATCCTGGCCGAAGAGCAGAGAGAAGCTGTTACTCAGGTGGTCGACAAGCTCGTGGAGGAAATTAGCCGTGAAGTGGATAGTGCTGCTTCCAAGTCTGTGGAGGAGAAGGTAGCCCGGGTCGCGACAGCTCAAGAAGACAGCACCCAAGCTGTGATCTCTTCTATTGCTTCCAACCTGCGGGAGACTGCCGCGGAAGCAAAGGAGGAGACTGACGCTGCTGCCAGCAATGTGGAGAAAGAGGATGTTGAAGCCGCCGCTACGCCCGCTGCTGCGAAGGAGACTTCTAACAGTACTAGCGGTGATGCGCTGGCCGATAGCTGGGAGAGTGCCGAGGACAGTGCCGAGAAGGAGGAGGAGCGTGTTGTCTCCGTGCACAACTTCCCCTTGAAGCCCTTTATCTCCATTATTGTCAAGGCCCACACCGGGAAACTGGCAACTCTCCGAGATGATGGTATCATGGACATCGCTAGACTGAAGAAGGACTTCGATCAGCTGGACCGCTCGTTGACGTCCGCTACTTCGGACTACATTGTCTACGCTTTGGCCAAGAACGGAGGCATGCGCATCATTCGTCAGGACGATGGAAGTGACAAGCAGGCGTTCCGTGCCGTTCGCGACCGAATCTTCAACGTCGCTGTCTGCACCTCTCAGGCGGCAACCGGCCGCAGCACTGAGGAGCAGGCGCTACTGGGCATTGGCGTGAGCGGTGCCGTCTACTGGGTCTTGATCTCGCGCGCGGATAAGGATCTCTTTGAATTGGACGCCCTCGAGAGTGAGAGTCTCATTTTCCCTCCCTTCCCTGCTTCGGACGAGAACACTTCGGGTGGCCAGCTGAAAACGCGGGCCAAACGGAGCTCTCGTCACCCTGGTTTCTTCGCCATCGGCCGTGGCAAGAACATCTACGTGGTCTCTCCTCAGGCTGCTATGAACCCGAGTTACGGTGTATCGGGCCCCGCCCGCATTGTCAACAGCGAGAAGTTCTTCAAGGAGCGTGCTCTGAAAATTTCGACCGGCAAGGCCGGCAAGGACTTCATGTTCAGCGATGATGATACGGTCATTGCCTCTCTTGACAAGACCGGCCGACTTCGCTTCTGGGATATCCGCGAGGCGGTTAGCAACCCGGCTTTCTTTACCTCGGGCCCTGGCCCGGCTGAGGTCCGCGTTCCCCTGAATACTTTTGTGACTGGTTCGCCCGCTGAGAAGTCGTGGCCCACCTCGGTGCTGTTCATCGACAAGCTGCGGCCGTATGTGAAGTCGATGGCACTGCGTTACGTGTTGGTGGGACTGAAGCAGAACCACACCCTGCAGCTCTGGGATATTGGGCTGGGCAAGGCTGTGCAGGAGCTCAAGTTCCCCCATGAGAACGAGTCGGATGCCATCTGCAGTGTCGCCTACCACCCTGCGTCGGGCATCATCGTCGTGGGACATCCCACGCGCAACTCCATCTACTTCGTCCACCTGTCTGCCCCCAGATACAACTTACAAGCCATGTCGCAGGCTTCCTTCATCAAGCGTTCGGGCGAGAAGGATAGCACCTTGCCCAAGCCGGAGTCCACTGCTTGCATGAGCGGTATTCGTGAGATCTCCTTTGCTTCGAAGGGCCAGCTGCGCAGCTTGGACCTTCTTCCAGTCACCAAGAGCGCTGGCGAAGAGAGTGGTCTGTTCGAACTCTACGTGATGCACTCGCGCGGAGTGACATGTCTCAATATCAAGAAGGAAGACTTGGGCTGGACCGCCGACAATAAGATCATCCGGCCCGTGAATGCGCTGGAGGAGGGGCTCATTGACATTGCCGAGCTTCAGACCTTCCCCACGTATGTGGCGGACGAGCCATCGGTTAACGGCGATTCGGTCCCTACGCCCACCAAGCCCGCTGCCAAGGAGATCGCAAAGAAGGTTCCGGAGTTGAACACGGAGGCAGCCGCCGCCGCCGGTCCCAGCACTTTGCGTACTCAGTCACCTACCAAGCTGGTGACCATCAAGAAGCCAGGTCAGGAGCAGGCCGAGCCTGTCGCTACTGTCAACGCATCCGATAAATCTGAAAAGAAGAAGAAAAAGAAGAGCGTTGCGTCGGCGCCCATCCCGGCTGAACCCTCGGTCAAGGGCAAGGAGCCCGCGGCCGCGAACGAGGCACTCACCGGTGACTCTGCTGCTACCGTTCAGACCCCTGTTAGCGGCGAACAGTTCAGCGGTGATGCACAGAAGGCACCCGTTGTGCCGGCACCCATCTTGACTTCCGCCCCCGCAGCGACAGGGGATTCGGCCGCTATCATCAATCAGCATCTGGAAGCCCTGCAGACCGGTGTGTCCTCGGAGTTCAACAAGAGTCTTGGTCGTGAACTCGAAGGCTTGTATCTCCGCTTCGATGAAGAGCGTCGCAACTGGGATGCGGCCTCGGCGGCCAAGCAGGATCAGGTTCTGCGCCTGGTCTCCAGCACCCTGTCTGACAATGTGGAGAAGAACCTGGCCCGTATTGTGTCGAGCAGCATCCAGACTGACGTGGTGCCTGCTTTGACCGAGGTCACGTCCGCCGCTGTCGGTAAGCAGCTCAATGCCGTTGTTGCCCAGCAGATGGGAGGTGTTGTGCCCCGTGAACTGCGGCAGGCCCTGCCCGAGGCCGTGAGTCGTGCCGTGCAGCAGCCCGAGCTGATGAGAGTCCTGTCGGATGCCGTTGGCCAGAAGCTGGCGACTCAGGTGGAGAGTGAGATTTCCAAGGCTGTTCACAACACCATTACCCCTGCTTTCCGGAACGTTGCTGCGCAGACGGCAGAGAAGGTCACCAGTGCTATGGAGAAGCAGATGCAGGCTCAGGCAAGGCAGTATGAGTTGCAGCGCCAGAATGATGCCAACAAGATCGACCAACTCACCTCCCTCGTGCGTGAACTCTCCGAGACTGTTGCGTCCATGGCGGTGGCACAGACCGAGCTGCAGGGCGAGGTCGCCAAGCTCAACCGTACCTTAGCAACCAAGCCTAAGCCGGAGGTTGAACAGGCGGAGCAGCCCGTCGTGTCTGCGCCTCCCGTTTCTAAAACTCCCGAGCAAGCCGAGATGGAGGAGATTACTCAATTGATCAGCCAGGGGCGGTACGAAGAGGGTTCCGTCAGGGTGCGTTTGTTTCCAGCTGCTTTTCTAGACATTGCTAACAGGGATTCAGTGGTTGCAATCCTCTCAGCAGGCCGATCTATTCGACAACCTTTTCGTCCGCATGAACCCCTCTTATCTGACCAGCCTTTCGCCCATTGTGGGCCTGTCGGTTGGTGTTGCTGTGACATCGTCGTTGCAGACCCACGTCATGGAGCGTTTGACCTGGTTGGAAGTGGTCTTGCAGACGGTTAACCCGATGGTATGGGGTACGCATGTGATTATGAAGGATGATATACTGACCAGTCATTAGGATCCGGATATCCGCGAGCTTGTGCCCAGAATCATGGAAATCCTCATTTCCCGCTTGGAGGCTTTGTACATGTCTGTTGCCGAGACGTCGCCCCACGATCCCATCACCCGCAAGATTGCACCTCTGTCGCGCCGTGCCCGGCTGCTCAGGGGATAAAAGTTGATTTGCGCAAGATCCACGTACTGGTTTAATGAATAATGCTTGGGATGAGAAAACACGGGGATATGTATGATGGAAGCACCACTTGCATATGGGAACGCGGGGTACCTGCTTGGTTTATCTGGAGCCTGTCGAGGATTGTTAATAGCCTAATATGACGAGTGATGCGGTCAGCATGTAGATGATCCGCCGTTGCTATGTATTGTACTCTGTAGACCGGACTAGATTTTTCTCTACTTCACATCACCCTCACCCTTATCCAGCCCCAAAGAACTTCCAGCACTTCATTAACATTTCATCCAAACCAGTTACCATTGCGAGTAAATATCATGGACAAATGGCAGACTGGTACGCTGCCCGTAACCGCACAAGTGGTGTGTTCATTTCATTCAAACCTATATCTGGATCTGAAAACGGTCAGAATAGGAGTATATCATCACCCATCATCCTTTTGCTGATCCCTTATGTGATGTCTTGCACTGTGTGCTCATACATTGATTGGATACTCGGCTAGTTCTATATGGTATATCACTCACTGTCTTACTATCTCAGGGACATGAAACTGAGAACAACGTATATAAAGCCAGTTCTTGTTTGATTTGTGATGTAGATGCTTTTATGTATGTATGTATCTAGTAGCAACTATGCATGAAACTCGACAGCCTTTGTAATTCCCTCTGGCTCTTTATCAGTCTCAGTGACGGTATCTTCGACGAACTCGAATCCAAGAGCACGCCAGTTCAGTTCCTTGCGCCAGTGGAGACCGTAGTATTCCCGTTTAGGTTGGGTATCGTCTGGGGTTGGATCCTGGGTCTCGGGGGCGCTGGTGTCCTCGTCCACGGGCACTGGCTTGAGGACTGGTTCAGAGGCTAATCCGCCAGAGACCATGCGTGCGCTGCGCGGGTAGATCACGGCGCGGAAGCGTGAGAGGAGGAGGCCCATGCAGCAGCAGATGCAGGGTTCGTGGGTTAAATACACGTCTAGATCGGTGCAGAGGTAGCCGCCCTGGGAGCGGGGGCGGATGCGAGCGGTGGTGGGGGTGTCGTTCTCGGTTGGCTCGGGGTGTTTGTGGATGGCGTGGAAGGAGGTTTCGGTTTTCTGGTACTTTTCTGGGACGGGGGAGGGGTCCTTGGAGTCGTCGTCGGGGCGGGTTACGTCGGATTGGGAAAGGAAGTAGGTCTCGAGATGGTTTAGGCAGGGCCGGCCGGTGGATGATGAGCCGGGTCGGTCTTCGCGACGCTTGCTGGCGATCAGTTCCACGACGCGCATCAGGGCGTGGAGTTCGGGTCCGCCTTCGTGGTCGGGATTGTAGGTCTGGCTGGCGGGGTTGGGGCCGGGTTCGGACACCGCGGTGCGAGAATATCTCCCGTCGCCTGCGACTGCGACTACCGCGTCGGACCAGTGGATGTCTATTTCTTCGTTTTCGAGCTGGTGTTCGAGATCCGGATCCACGACGACAGCGCCCACGCGCCGACCTAGTCCTGATTGTTCTGCCTCCTTGGCGACTCTCTGTGCTAGCGCGAGATACCGGCCGGCCTTGGGCTGGATGGAGTCGCGGGCCCGGCTCAGGATTTGCGGTGGTGGGGCGATCATGGCTCGGGGTGCGGATGGGTTGAAGACGACCGGCCACATGGTGTTCGACCATGCGTCGGCTTGGGCTGTGGTGAGGGGCGGTTGGAGGGGGATGCGGACGGTGTGGAAGGTGAGTTTGGTGCCTGTGGGAATGTCCGGGGGCGCGAATGGTGAGAGGACATTTTGGAGGGATTCGATGTCAGGGAGAGGAGGAGAGATCAGGACGAAGATGGTTTGCGCTGGGGAGGAGCCCTCGCGGAGGAGGATTGGACGGAGGTGCTCGGGGACTTGATTGTGTTTGGCGAAACGGCGGAGGTGGCTCAATGACTGGGATGAGTCGCGGGGGAAGGACGAGTCCAGGACTCTGGGTTGTTAATGAGAATTGACGATAGGGAGGGAGGGGAAGATCTGCGAACTCACTTGATCACCTTGGAGGCGCATTTCACATTGACTTCCGTGACGTAGGCGTCGGCTGGGAGATATTAGATGCTGCAGTGAACCCGCTTGAGATAGACGCACCATAGTCCTCGCGAGGGCGCGTTTCCTGGACAGTTCGAATCGCGGTCACTTGGCCCACGAGGGGCTTGATCCCGCGAAGGATCTCCTCTGCATCCATTGGGTTGGGGATTTGGCAAGGAGAGATGTCTTTATATGGAGGGGTTGCGGGTGGGGAGGGGCCAGGGGATGACGAGTAGTATCTGAATGATGCAACGTGGGTAGGTTTCGTCACGACATGCTTTCAATCTCGGGGTCAATCGAGCGGAGATCAGCTGGCGCCGTCTGGGTCGAGATGGGGAGATGCGGTCCGAGAGAAGTCGGGAATAACTTCGCAGTCACCAGAACGGCGGACCCTGTGCCCTATAACCTAAGCCCTAAGTGCCGGGTTAGATCCGGACTAGTCCGGGGCAAGTGTCGACGTCATTCTTCACGGCAAGAAAATACAGGCCAACTACGGAGTATTCCGTAGAAAGTGAGACACTAGCCACTAGACACTAGCATGACTGGAGCGGATCCGTGGGCGATGTGGGCCATGGTATCATCTATCGTCCGAGACGTAAATGATTTTGGGTGAGTGGATTCTGTACAGGGTGTATACTAGTGGCAAACAGCCGGAGAGTGCAAGCCGCGAAAAAAAAAAAAAAAATCAAAAAAAAAGCAAGGAAGAAAGAGAAGTCGAGGACACAAAAAGCAATGAAAGTAAAGAAACAACACCAGCCGTAAGGATATCGATCGCTCCCCGCCATCAAACTATGCAGAAACAACATCAACTCCATGTCCGTGTATGTGTGTTATATGTACTGGTACAAACACATCGGGTTCCCACAACCTCCAGATAAGCCCTAGCTCGCACCATCCAAGCCCAGAAATATATGCAAGCCATCTAAATCTTCGTGTGACACACGGGCACTGAAAATGTGTCGCATCGGAAAAGGATCAACTATCACGTGCGATCGCATACCCATCACATCGCTCGGCTAGACTCTTGTAGTAGTCGACCAACACTTCGGGCTCAGGCACGATGCGCCACTCCACGCGGAACAGGAACTCCAGTTCGAGGAGAGCCAGCTCCGTCATGGTGATACCGCCCACCCGAGCGTATGTTTTGTTGGTCCAAAAGCTGTCACTCAGGCCCTTGCTGGCCACCGTGGCACTCGCGATGAGGAACCGATGGATCGTCAGACTGGACACGGTGAAAGCCGGATACAGCGCGCAGAGGCGGTCGATATAGTAGACCATGCTCAGGAGGATCGGGGGCGACAATGTGGCGTGGGTGGTAAGTCGCTGGAGGTAGTCTTGTACTGAGATCCGTGGCGGCGACCGCGAGTGGAAGCGAGTCAAGCGGCCTTGGTTCAAAGGGATTTTATCGTTGAACCGGATCAGCTCCATCAGCATGCTGGAGATCAACACAACAATATCTCGAGGATCCGCCAACTCGTAACGTTGCGGCAGCAACTTAACCTCGGGCTTGTCCGGTCGCATTCGTTTCGTCTGCGAACCTTCGAGGTCGGCGTGGCCCAGGCCCGCTGCCCGCTCATCGCCGGCAGGGGCGTCATTGGGGCTGTTACGCTTGTTGGACCCGGAGCCGGCGCTATTGGGGGCAGGCATCGGGGAGGTAGACGTGGGCTGAGAGCTCGGGGCGGGAACGGAGGCTGCAGGAACGGCAGAGGCGGACACGTTATTGGTAGGACGATCCAGAGGAGGGTGCGTGGGATTGGAGGCGGGAATGGCGGCGTCAGCAGGCGGATGAGACGTGGTGCTACTTCCGCCCCCAGAGGAGGTCAGCCCAGCGGACATGCGACCGCGAGGGAAATCCCCTGAGGGCCCGGGGGGCGACGATCCAACGGTGTGCCGGTTCAAGGCCGATCGAAGCTCTTCGATGGCCGCACGGGAGGATTGTGGTTCAAAACGGGGATTGGATGCAGCAGCAGCAGAAGCGGGCCCGGGGGGCTCATAATGCTGATGCGAAGGATGTCGAGGAATGGAGGCGAAAGGGGAGGAAGACGAGGAGGAGGAAGACGGGAGGGGGGGTTGGGGGTGAGAATGGGAACGAGAATGAGAGTGAGAGTGGTGAGAATGAGCAATGGACGGAGAGGAGGGGGAAGGTCGCAGGGCGGCGGACGGCGAAGGCGACGAAACTAGCATTTCCGCCCAACGAGGCCACCACGTGGGCGCACGACTGAACGACGTGCAACGGAGCTGGCAGACGCTGCGGAACCTTGTGCTGCTGCGAGGGGTGAAGGTGGCGTGCACAGACGCATCGTGATCTGCGGGGGGGTGGATGGATTCAGCTCTTCGAGGAGGAAAGAGGCTGAAGGCGGGGGAGGGGAGGGCAGGAGGAGGAGGAGAAGGAGAAGAAGAAGTTAAGTACAGAGTCGAGCAGCAAACAGGAAGTAGATACGTTGTGACTAGCGAGAATTATCATATAACCATGACGCCGATCCAGGGAAATCCGACACGAAGAGGGGAACAATTGGAGAAATTTTCTCACTCGCCCGGCCCGGGTATGGGGCGGTACGGGGCGGTATTATAACGCAGGGAACAAAGCAGGGAACGGGCCCAGCTGGCTGCCATTCACCAATGGGAGTCCCCGCTGGGGCCGCCAATCCCGGCCTAGCGCCAGCGGGATTACGCCTCCCTGTCTGGAGGCGTCTCGGCGAAACGATTGATTACTGCGTCGACGCTGAATCGCTGAGGCCAAGGTCACGGCCAAGGGTATGTAAAGTACGAAAGGACGGAGGACTATGTATGGATCCGGAAGGCGGAGTCTAGAACTAGTACTCCGTACTCGGGGGAATAGAAACTATTGGTACTGGCTATTGGAGGTAGTCCTCAGGTGACGGTGACACAGACCTATGATCCTATCGAATGCTCATGAGTTCTCCGAGAGTACTAACCCGCCAGGGCAACATACCCCCTTCTGGTGGTAGCCCAATACCTCCCTTTTCCACCAGAGGTTCTCCTGGATCCAGGGACCCCCCTTCCTTCCCGCATCCCTTTTGCCGGTCACCTGCAATCGATCATGCGATACCCAGTACGAGTTCCTGTCAGCCCCAATTACACCGGCCGCTGTCCGTTGCCAGGTACTCCAACTTCTCTCCAACTCCCCGGCGGCTCAGAGTGACACCCGGCACCCTTTCTCCATTCTCCGTTCTCCAGTCTCTCATGGACTTCTTCCCCGTGGGCAGCAGGACACGGATACTATGGAGTACCTCTGGAGTACCGACCCTCTCTGGGCTCTGACACATTGGAAATACCTATAGGGCTGAGTCACATGATGGCGCTGCTGTGTTCGGTCCTCCAGCAGGTGCTGAGTCAGCCCAGTCAGCTTACTAACTACGCCCAATGTGTTCAACAGCCGCCATCAGGTGACATCACCTGACGGAGCCGGCCGAAAGCGGTAGGACGCCGGCCCCGGGCAGCGAACTATCACGACCGACTGCGTAAGTCCAGAGCTCCATCGCTCCGGTCCGTCTCCAGGCCCCCAGTGCACAGCTGCTGCCCTACGTCCTCGCTATTCTTTTTGTCGATCTGTTTCGTACATAGCTTGCCATCTTGTTCTGCTTTGTTTCATCCAATAGACCGTCCCGGAGCCCCGATTACCGTGGCTCGTGGTTACTCACCCAATCCGTTGCTCGCTCATTTCAGCTCCAACGCCCGTTGCATCCTATCGCCTGAGCCATCGCCCCCGGCCAGCTGGCTGCACGAAACCCCTCTCCAACCAACCGGCCATCAGATTTTGAACCTACCTGTCCCACACATTGGCCAGTCGCTTCCCTCCTTGATCGATTCAGTCCTTTCCCGCGCGAGCAGCGCTACCCTCTTTAAATTCTCCGACGTAATCGATCCCAGTGCCCTCCCGCGGGAGGCGGCGACTCCGGACCATGACTCGCGCTTCGGCTCCTCCACTCCTGCTGCAACTTCAGAGTGCAGACTCGTCGTCGGCTCAGGCAGCTGCCCTCCGGAGCTTGAAGAACGAGACAATTGGTCATGATCAACGTAAAGAGTCCTGGATACGATGGGGGATCATTCCCGTGCTCGCCAACATCCTGGCTGCCCGGCAGCCCTCCGGCAAAGGACCTGCTTCCGCGGAGCACAGCGGGGGCTCGAGGCTTCGCTATCCTACGTCGTCGGAGGACGAAGCGTGTCTGCAGGCGGTTATTATTCTGGGGAGTTTGGCACAAGGTAGTAACATGACGCTCTGGCCGATCGGGTACTCGACCCCAAGACAGGAACTGATGCTCGAGCAGGCGGCGCGGCCTTCCTTTCCCCCATCTTCTCCAGTGGTATCCTCTCCGCCCTTCTCTCGATCCTCTCCGCGCCTGAATGTCCCTCGTTCTTCGTTTGCCCCATTCTCCGAACCCTAAACAACATCGCGGATCGGTTACCACTGCAGAGTTCGGCCAAGGACACGCGCTTGGCCGACCTACTCTTCTCCAATGACCACATTGCCTGCTTAGCCCACATCCTGAGCCAGGACTACGGTAACCACCATAATCAAGCGGCCATTGAACTTGCTGCGTCTCTCGTCGGGAAACTGTGCACGGAGGAAACCCACAAGGCAGTTTTGGCCGAGTGCGGAGTCTTAGATGCCTTGGCCGTGAAGGTAGCTTCTTTCATCGTGGCTCAAGGTTTCGTGCTTCCTGGTGCAGAAGCACATGTACAGGAATCTGGTGCGCTCGGGTCTTTGCCGACCCCTGCACCGGCTGGAGCCAAATTGGCACCTATTCTTCGGGCCATCACAGTCATAATCGAGCATTCGAAGTGGCGCGCCGAACATTTTCTCTCGTCGCCGGGTATACTTACGGTGTTTCCCAAGCAGCTACCCGAGTTCGCACCGACAGACATCAAAAAGGGACCGTGGGGTTCAACCTATCTTTCAGGCTCGGCCGTCCCCCGCCATGCCGGCGCGAGTCCCTTGGAGCACCTCTTGCCCTCAGTCCCCTTGGCGCAAAACAAGTCTCCGGCCAACACCCCCAATTTTCCGCCTTTGGGCCACCAGGGCACCACCCATCACCGCCGACACAGCCAATCAATTTCGACGCCGATGTCGGTTTACGACACTCCAACTTCCGAAGACGAGGAAAACCCCATCGTGCCGTGGCTCTTGTATATCCTCCGCACAGAAAGTGGCATGGTCCGGTTGATGGCGGCTCGTTTGGTTACCGTTCTCTTCCGTCTGGGCCTGACCAAAAAGCGACGAGTTTCGATGCTATGCTACGTCTTGATACCTATCTTAATACGCATGCTCGATAAGGACTACGAAGTAACTGGGGACGACGGGGTGCAATACGGCGGATTGATTCCTTCGAGTGAGCGTCTTCGTGAAGAGGCTCCGTTCGTGCTTGCGACCCTGGTGATCGACGATTTCGAGTTGCAGAGGCACGCCGCCGACGGAAATGCTATTAAACGGCTCTCTCAACTGCTCAAAGAAACATATAACCCGGTGCAAGAGGCTATACGTCCGATGTGGCATGCCGAAGGCGAAGATAGTGCCTCGAGTCCCCCCGAATCCCTGCCGGCGGAGTGTCGACTGGGTTCCCCTGGCTTTTCTCCTATCCACTGCCATGTCATGCGCTACCGCGAGAACATTCTTAAGGCTCTAGCTGCTCTAGTCCCTTTCAAGGACGAGTATCGCAAAGCTGTCTGTGAGAATGGCGTGGTACCGTACATCATTGATTCGCTGAAACCGTGCTCGGATGATCAATTGGCGGACACCACATCGCCTAAGAACACTGCTACCCATGGCAATCCAACACCAACTCTGCTGGCTGCTTGTGGTGCCGCACGGATGCTGACGCGCTCAGTCAGTGTTCTGAGAACAAGTATGATCGACGCGGGTGTGGCGACGCCCCTATTCGTCTTGATTAAACACCCCGATATCGAGGTGCAAATCGCCGCAACGCAGGTCATCTGTAACTTGGCCTTGGATTTCAGTCCGATGAAGGAGGTGAGTCCTGTCGCCTCTGCTATCTCCAGAAAATACACTAACTGGCGTAGGCGATTATTTCCGCGGACATTCTCCCCACGCTTTGCGAGCACGCACATTCTCCCAGCACCAAGCTCCGCATTGAGTCGCTGTGGGCGCTGAAACACGTGGCGTATAATTCCACCAACGACGTCAAGGTCCGGATTATCGAGGGGCTGGGCCCCGGGTATATCAGGCAGATCATCACCCAGGATCCGATCACTGCCTTGGCGAAGCGAGGACTGGATGAAGACATGGAGAACAACGGCGGCGTCGGGATGGGCCGGGCCAACTCTGCGCGAGAACAGGTGGACCTGCTGAACCCGATGGAGACTGCCGGGCACGACGAGGATTTGAAGATGGCGGACACCATGCCCCCGTCCAAGATGAGCCTGGACATGTTCCTCCCCGACGCTACGCGGCGGCGCAAGTTGGCATTGCATGGCAATCTCGACCAGACGACCCAGGCTCGGCAGGATGATATTGCGGTGCAAGAACAGACGTTCGACCTGTTGCGGAATATCATCTGCGGGCCTGGGGCATCCGAGATGATTGAGCACCTGTTCAAGACGCTCGGGCAGGACCTGATTCTGGATGCGTTGGCGGACAAGCTCCGGCCCCGCTCGATCCAGCTTCCGCATCGGAGGGAGGCGTCGGGGCACCGGGCTCTGAGCGTCCCTACGGAGATTCTGGTATCGGTTACCTTCGTCATGATCCATCTGGCTGCCGGCCTCCCCTGGCATCGGCAGCTCCTCGTGTCGCATCGGGACCTGTTGCGCTATCTGATGGGGTACTTCAACCACAGCCATCGCGACGTGCGGACCAACTGCGTGTGGGTGGTGATCAACCTGACGTATAAGGATGACGCGAGCGAGGAGGAGGGCTGTCGAGAACGGGCGTTCCGACTACGGGCGATGGGGGTGATGGATCGGCTGGCCAGCCTGGGCGATGATCCGGACCTGGACGTGCGAGAACGGACGCGGACGGCGCAGGATTTGGTAAATTCCTTGACGCACGCATAGCGGTGCTGCATGTCTGTTTGGTGGTGTGCGTGCTGTTCTTACACTTTGGAGCTATGGATATATGGGGTCCCGGCAAAATGGGAGGCGTTGGGGGCGTGTATAAAGAGCCGGCTCACTATCGTAGATGATGACTGTTTATCGTCTTTGTTATTTGATGCCATCTGCATGATCCTTCTTCCTTCTTCCGTCTTCGTCTATCCTGACGCCCCCCGAGGCTGGCCCGATAAGACCGGCAGCTGGGGCTTATCTTATCGATAAGCGCCGTGACCGGCGACGTCATCGGCTGGTGGGCGCTGAAATCGGTTTCCGGCCAGTCTGCGGGCTTGTTGGGTCCTGCTTCCTCTTCTCCCCTCCCCAAGCCTCTTCCCATCTCCAGTCGTGCGTGTGACAATCCGAGACGATGGCTCCTGTGCCTGCCTCGCTGCTACGTGCCCTCGGCATCCCGGATGCCGCCAACGCCAGCCTGTCCACCGCTGGACTGGGGTCTGGCTTCACCAGCACCGGTGCCATCCGAGCCACGGTGCCCAGCCCGGACGCATCGGGGGAAGAGGAGCGACGATACTTTGTCAAGACCTCTGCGGATGGTGAGGCTGCGGAGGAGATGTTCCGCGGGGAGTATGAATCGCTCAATGCGATCGCCACGTCGGTGCCGGGCTTCTGTCCCCGCGCCCTCGCCTGGGGCCCGCTGGAAGAAGGCTCGGGGACGAGCTTCTTTCTGGCCACCGAGTTCCTCGACCTCGGGGTGAGGGGCCGGGGCGGGGTGTCATTGGCACAGCGACTGGGCAAGCTGCATTCGACGCCTGCCCCCCCGGATCCTGAGACGGGACGACGCCGGTTCGGATTCCCTGTGCCGACGTTCTGCGGGGACACGAAACAGCCCAACCGGTACCGCGACTCGTGGGCCGATTTTTACGCCCACGAGCGGCTGCTCGCCATCCTGGAGACGTCGGAAATCCGGAATGGGCGCGATGCGGGATTGCGGGATCTGGTGGAGCGGACGGCGCGGACGGTGGTCCCGGCGTTGCTGGGGGACGGACATCTGGGCTACGATCGGGATGGCAATGGGGAGGGCATCACGCCTGTCGTGGTGCATGGGGATCTCTGGAGCGGGAATGCGGATCGCGGTCACATTGTGGGCAGTGGTCGGAAGGATGATGAGGAGGCCGGAGACGTGGTCTACGATCCGTCAGCATGCTACGCGCACAGCGAGTATGACCTGGGGATCATGCGGATGTTTGGGGGATTTGGGTCGGCGTTCTTCACCGCCTATCACAAGATCGTGCCGAAGACCGAGCCGGTGGAGGAGTATGAGGACCGGGTGCGGTTGTACGAGCTGTGAGTTCCCTGTCCGCTGGTGGTGGTGGTGGTGGTGGTGGTGGTGGTGGGAGACGTTGCTGACCGCTCAGGTATCATCATCTGAATCACCACGCGATCTTTGGCGCTGGATACCGATCGGGGGCCGTGTCGATTATGCAGAAGTTACTGAGGAAGTATGGGGATTAATTCATCCATGCTGGACTACGGACGGGGGATGCTAGAATGACTTGGATGTCAGCTACGTCTGGTTGAATGCTCGTTTCTAGGCGACTACCTATGATTGGAATTGCAATTGATCTGTTTCCTTCTCTCTCTCTCCATCTGATCCCCTCTGCGGGGTTGTGGTGGCATTAATAATCCCATGACACCATCGCCCCGTCACATTCCCCGGACTATAAAAGCACGTCCGTCCCGCCCACCGGACCATCCCATCCCATCCACCCACTCCCCAGTTCACCCCTTTGCACAATGGCTATCCCAGACGCGGACATTTACCCCGAAGCCACCGGCCCTGCCAAAGCGCTGGTTGCGCGACACCAAGCCGAGCAGCCATTGAAGCTGTATGCCGGCTGGTTCTGTCCGTGAGTCCCCCGCCATCTCCGCATCTCGTCGGTCCTCCACTGACTTCTCTCAGCTTTGGTATATTCTCCCATCTGGATGCCGTCCCTCCCCTTCACCCCCGCTAATTCTTTTGTTTTCAGTCCAGCGCGTCTGGCTCGCCCTCGAAGAAAAGCAAATCCCCTACCAATACATCGAAGTCAATCCCTACCACAAACAACCCTCCTTCCTCGCCTTGAACCCGCGCGGGCTGGTCCCCACCATCTCCGTCCCGGACCCTGCCACCGACACCTCCAAGCCGCTGTATGAATCCACCGTCATCCTCGAATACCTCGAAGAGGCCTACCCCACCCACACCCCGCTGCTCCCCACGGACCCCTACCAGCGCGCCCGGTGCCGCATCTGGAACGACTACGTGACCTCGCGCATCATCCCCTCCCTGCACCGCTTCCTCCAGTACCAGCCCTCCACCCGCGGGATCGAAGGCCTGCACCAAGCCCGCCAGGAGTTTCTCTCCACGTTGAAGGAATGGTCGAGGGAGATCCACCCGGCCGGGCCCTATTTCCTGGGCGAGGAGCTCACGCTCCCGGATGTGGTGCTCGCGCCGTGGGCGCTCCGGCTCTGGGTGTTCGATGAGTATAAAGGCGGCTCGGGGATTCCGGGGCCTGGGGAGGGCGGGGAGGATGAGGAGGCTTGGGGGAAGTGGCGGAAGTGGCTGGCTGCGGTGAAGGAACGGAGGAGCATACAGGAGACGACGAGTGAGGCGGAGCACTATCTGCCTATCTATAAACGGTATGCGGATGATGTGGCGGAGAGTTGGTTGGCTAGGGCTACGAGGGAGGGGAAGGGGGTTCCGTGAATGGCCTCACTGGTTGTACGTCACTTCGATTGGATCGGTTATGATGCAGTGTGAGATGAGATCTGTCGGATCTGATCCTCATAGATCTGTGAAGGGTGTCACGGCAGTCACGTCGACGCGTCTTGCGCTCGTTGTTTCATTGGCCTGCCTGGTGCTGTGGATTTTCGTGATTCTGGGGCATCTCCTTGGTGACTATCTGCTATTGGTCTCGTGGTTTGTTGATTCACAGTACTATACTAGAGTTCGTGGAGAGAGATGGTGGTAGAGAAATATATATAGTACTAGTACTAGTAGTTGCCAACCATACTAATGCAAGCACTCTAATTATCAGAGATGTATTGAAGTGATGTTATGCATGCATTGCGGCCGGTTAGTCAGCACCGTCATCCATGAAAATGCGGTCCATCACATGACTCCAGATTGGCCGCCAATGACCGTTCGTCCCTGCGGCATCAGCATCCATCCATTCATCCCATCCTCCTCTTCTCCATCGCTCCTCTTTCGCTGTTACCTGCAACAGCTCTCCAGCATGGCCCCCGACAAGAAGGACGAGGCGCCCTCCCCGGACTCTGTCGTTCCGGACCCGCCTCCCATCCATCCGTCCTTCATCCAGGTGGCCAAGCCTTATATCTTCGAGCAGACCATCCAGAAATGTATTGCCGCCATGGGGGTCAATCCTCTGCGCGAGGAATCCCTTCGCCTACAAGGCGTGACGTGGATTGATAATATCCGGCGCGTTCTCTACCTGTATGTATCAATGCGTTTGATTTCCACTGCGCCTAGCTAACCAGTTAGCCCGATCCGCACCTTTAACACGGCCGTGGTGTACTATCACAAGTTCCGACTCGTTCATCCCGATAACGAGTACAACTATATGGTACCTACCTTGCGTCCTGTCTATCTCTTTAATATCTTCTGACTGGTCCAGGACGCCGCCGCGGCTGCTCTCTTTACGGCGTGCAAGATCGAGGACACATTGAAGCGGTCCCGCGAGATTGTCTGCGCCGCGTACAACCTCAAGCTGCCGGCGCAGGAGCACATGGCGCCCGATAATCCAGTGAGAGGATTCCTAACGTCGTTGTAGCTACCCACTAACTGAACCAGGTCTTCGAAGTGCACGCGAGAGGCATCATTGGTCTGGAAAGATTGATGCTGGAGGCATCCGGCTTCGACTTCCGGACCCGTCATCCGCAAAAGACACTCGTCAAACTCGCTCGGCAGTACGGGCTGACGTCGCAATCGGAAGTCTCCAGCCTGGCGTACCGCATCGCGCAGGATCTCTATCGCACGTATGCGCCCATCAAGCAGACGACGTCCACCATGGCGTTCAGCTGCTTGGAATTGGCGGGTCGGCTGCTTGATCGGCGCATCGAGGCGGTGGAGAAGGGCGTCGACTATGCGAAGTGGAAGACGAGTCGCGAAGAAGTGATGGGTAAGTCGTCCACGTGTCCCCAAACCAAGCTCCAAGCTAATTCGAAGAAAGAAACCCTCCTCGACCTCCTAGAACTCTATACCCACAACCGTGCCCAAACATCCGTCGGGCCTCATTTCCCAGCAGACCGGTTCCTCACGGTCCGTATTCCCTTAAACACCGAAGTCGAGTCCCAGAAACTCCCTCGGTACACGAACTGGGTCCCTGAGCCACGCGACAGCAAGCCCGCGAACGGCGACAAAGCCGCCAAAGACACCGCCAAACTGCACCCTCTCACTCCCATCGCTGCAAACGGGGACCGTCCCAAGGCCACCGAAAAGGGCCGCGACGGCGCCGTGCGTTTCATGCTGGACCCGGAGTGCGCCGATGCCGAGAAATCCCATGTCGCCGAGTATTTCAAAGTGGAGATGGAAGAGTACGAGGTGGAAGAGTGAATCGATTTTACGACACTCAATTTCATGACATGGCAACAGATAGCTGTGCTGCGTCCAACCGCGAAGACATGGCTCCGCAGAGGTTGCTGCATAGTACACGTCTCGTCTACTCTGGCGAGCGTAAATACCACCGAGTGCTCGCGCACCTCCGAATCCAGACAGCGGCCTGACCCCGGTTTAGTCGATGTCGCACGGACATTCATCAACAACGTCCGGATAGGTCTTGAGGAGCCATTCCCTTTCCGGATCCGGATAGTGTTACTGGGTGTTCGTACTCAGACGTTGCTTCAAAGCCAGACAAGATTGTAAGGACAGGAGCGGGAGCAGGCAGGCAGACACGCAAGCCGAATGTTGACTCACGAGCTGGCTCGAAAGGAAACGGAGAAGCAGCGGGGCAAGAGAAGAAGAAGAAGCTGCTCGACCAACACTGGTATATAATTCTCCATAAATGAGACGCAGACACAGACAGAGAAAGAGAGAGAAAGTTAAATGTATCAGAATCTCAGACAATATACGGAGTACTCAACGCTCCATGCAAATCCCAAAACATAAACCAAAAAAGGAAACTAATGGAAATGAAAAGAAAGACCCCTACAAAACACTCAACCCCAAACTGGATTCATGCAACAGTAGCCATCTTATGCGTAGACGGTCACTACAAGTATTTTGAGGTAGATGGAGGTGGTCTCATATACCTAGTTACTATACCAGGTATGGTCTATTCCATCAAATTGAAAGTAGAAAAGAGACGGTATAAGCCTCAGATTCAAGACATGACTCGAGTAAAGAGGAACAAAAGTACATATACTCCGTACTCAGATTGACAGGAAGTAGAGGGGCTAGACTAGAGGAAATGTGAGAGGAAAGAAACACGGTGACTATAACATAACACTATAACTACCGATAGGACTCATGTCATGTCAGTCATGTGTCTTTTGTCCGTTCCTCCCTACCCATCCATCCTTCTTGAACCCTTCTGGACCTGACCTGACTGACTATAGATTCCTCTTCTGTATTTTTTTTGCCCCTTGAAAAACATGTATACACCAATGACCCAATGCGATGGCAGAAGATACGAGTAGCAAGCGTGAGAGAGACGTATGCAGGATGTCACTGCACACGGGCGCAATTCCAAAAGGCTCCTGAGTGTCGTGTCAGACACCCCGGAGAATGTTGAAGAAGAGGTGATTATAAGGTGTATGTATGGTATTCATAACTGTGGTTGACCCCCGGCGATTAAAGAGGAGAGAGAAGGTGGGGATTTCATCACGGAGATACGGGAATAAGGATGGGTCATCATGGCTTCGCCTACCGGCGAAGCTCGGTGTTCAGGCAGTCCAGGATCTGTAGATCATTAGTGGGGGGACAGGCGATTGTGGTGTGGGCTCTCGACTTACCGTTTCCGAGACAGTACCCTGGTTATAGAGGTACTTGCTCAGACCCCGGACCACCTCGAGCTGCTCGTCGACCGTCAGACCGTTGATGGCGGCCTCAATGACGTCGCCGACGCTCGCCTTGAACACGGCGATGAAGCTGTGGTAGTACATGTACGCGAAGAAGCCCATGATAAACTGGCAGTCCATGCGGTCGGTGATACCACCGTGACCCGGGATGGACTCGCCAAAGTCCTTGATCTTGAAGGTGCGCTTGAGGCCAGAGGCGAAGAAGCCACCGAACGGCGCGATGAGGGAGGCAAAGGTCGCGAAGACCAGGATGTGGAACTGCATGGGCTCGATATAGAAGGTCTTGTCCACGCCGGTCCACGCCGGGATATGGTAGGGCTGGGGCACGAAGGAGGGGTTGGGCGAGCATTGCAGGCCCGTCAACACGTTGGCTCCAAGATCATTCACGGGGCAGATGAAGTACTTGTAGCGCATCAGAATGTTTGTCATGAAGTAGCCGAAGATGATAGTGCAGATCCAAGCGCCGAGGAATCCCTCGACCGTCTTCTTGGGCGACAGCTGGATAAGCTGGGTTCGACCAAAGGTGATACCGCAGACGTAGGCAAAGATATCGTTCGTGATCACAAGAGAGGCGGGGAGGAAGAACCAGATCATGCCTTCCAGGATGTTGTTCATAACAAAGTGCGCCTGAACGACAATCAAATAGAGCGCCATGTGCGTCCATGCGAACTGGGTGAACTGGAACCGGTACTGGCCTTTCTGGAGGGACGCGACGAAGAAAACGAAGCCTAGACGATCTGTCAGTATACCAGGAACTGAGCGTAAATGCGCAGAGAGCTGCACTCACCCATGACATAGAGCGTAAAGCTGATGAACCGGTGGTGAGTCGCGAGAGGCAACAGCACCTTGTCCACCAGAAGAATATGCTTGAAGTAATAGATCACGCTCTCTCCGTACAGGAAGTACATGGTCGTAGCGAGGAAGTACCAATTCAGCGACTTGGTGAAGCGGAGGTTTTTCTCCTTACTGGGCACGTTGGCAATGGCGATAACTTCCTTGAACGAGACGATCTGGATAGCGGTGACAATGCCGATGATGTAGATGTGGCCGGAAAACATGGCGATGAAGAACCCGAAGATCATCACAAAGGTCCATATCGTGCGCGTAATGAAGGTCTGCTTCTTCTTCTCGTAGTCGGACAACTGGGGCTTCTCGGATTTCTGGTCGCCATGTCAGCCTTGCCCAACAAGCATCCCAACGGGTTTCCCGGCTCGCAGCTCACCTCCTCGGGGATCGTGGCAGGCGTCGTGACGCTGCCATCTTTGACCGGACTGCCCGGGTCGGAGAGAATGTCGCTGGCATCGGAGATGCTCAGGCGCCGCCCTTCAGAGGAGTTGGACATCCGACGGGGGAACCTGACGTTCCGACGCGATTTGGACATGGCGGAATATGTACAGGGGAGGGCGACGGAGCACGGCGGCTTCGCGAGTTGTGGCGGCGGGGAGCAGGTCGATTGGCGAGGCGAGACCAGAGAACCGCTCGGAATAGGCTGACTAGACAAGATGGATCACGCAGGCTGGAGAGAGGCAGGGAAAGGGGAGATGAGAAGGCGCAGGCGAAGCAGCAGTGATCGTCGTCTAGCGAAAATTCATGTGAAATACTAGCGACCGGGAACGGAGGACGGAGGACCAGCGGTGGTCAGGCACTATCGAGCTCGAGCAGAACTGCAGCAAGCCCTGGAGGGATGGGATTGACTGGTGCAAAAGGGGGAGTTGAGAGGGACTGTTGAGAGGGAAGAAGTCAGAGGAGAGAAGAGAGGAAGAGGAAGAAGAGGAGGAGCGGATCCCGTGAGGCAGCAACTTGGATCTGGATTTCTCTCCCCAACACGACGTCAGTTCTCTTCCTCCCGCTGCTCCATTTCACGCAAAGTCCCCTTAATTAATTCCATTAATCATCCAGCCCCATTCACCCCCCATTTCCCCTCCTTTTCTCCCCGATCCTCCGTTCATGGCGATCGTCCATCCCAGGGCATGGAAGATAACGACGATGAGTTCTTCTCCGACGATGGCTTCGACGACCTCCCTCCCAGCACTTTGTTCCAATTGGAGCAGAACGCATATCGCGCCACTCAGGCGAATCCCCAGCAACAACTACTACAACAACAACAGCCACTCATTGACTCGGCCAAAACATCGCGAACCTTTTCCGACCTGAACCTCGATTCCGTTGTCGCCAATGCTACCTTACACACCGGATTGAGCAACGACTACGATGTTTGGGACATAGGAGAGCTAGACGCCGAGGTTCTGGATGATGGAGTACCGATCCAGCCAAATGCTGCGCTGGACCAGGCTGCGACCTTTGCTGCTTCGGTTCAGCATCAGCAAAAGGATACCTCTGCAGGCGGTGATGACTATGGGGATCTTCCAGACCCCATGGAGATCGAGGAAGAAGCAGAAGGCGCCTCGCGGTTCCCAGAACTTCACAAGGCCTACGCGGAACTCAGTGAAAAGGTGAGCGTCGGGAGATTATACTGCAGGGTATCTGATACTGATCGTCTCAACAGCTGGCGTTGGAGACCGCACGACACCAGCAAATGGCGGAAGAGCTGGCTGCAGCTAAATCCATGGCCGAAACCAAAACTGGCGAGATTGCTATCATCCGGGCCAATCAGGCCAAATTAGCAGCCAATTATGACCGTCAACTAGCAGCCTTGCGAAAGGCAATGGAGGATGAGGCGGCAAGGCACGAGGAAGAGGTGGCAGCTGCTCGTGCAGAGGGCAAGATGTTCGCCACGGAAAACGCCTTTCTTAGACAAGACCTAGCCGAAGAGTCCATGCGCGCCAATCAATTGAAGGCCAAAGGCCGAGCAGAGGAGAAAGTACTGCCAACAACACCCAAAAAGGCGAAGGTTCTACCTTTCCGCGACGGCTTCGATGATGATGAAATCCTGGCAGTCTCTCCCAGCAAATCGGCGCGTTCGAAGCGCGCTACACCAGTCGTACCAGGGAAAAGGAAACGAAAGGCCAGTCAGGACAGCCCGACACCGTTGCAGTTCAGCCCACAATTGGAGCCTATTCCCGTCGAACATGCTGAAGATTTGTCGGACGATGCAATGCTAGATGCGGTGCCGGATCAAGCTCGACCACAAGAGATTACCCTCCCTATGGATCCGAGTGTTATCAGACGCCTCATGAACCACAGGACATCGCGGGACGGTAAGCCCGACATTGAGCTCATGGCTGGACTGGCATTCCCGTCAGAGCCACAGCGCATGCTTTCCACCATTCTCTTGGAGACGGCTGAAAGGCTTGACCTGGGGAACTACATGGTGGAATATGCGCGAGCTATCATATCCCTGTGGTCTCGCGCTTTGGCAGAGAAGTACTTCCAGCCTGTTCCAATGTTCATATCCATCATGCGGTTCCTCGTGTCCGAAGACCTACAGGCCTTTGACAGGGACGTGTACCAGCATCTGGTGCCAGTTTTGCAACTATCGGCGGAAGTCAATGCAGTTCCCCGATTTCACAACTCACCCGTCTCGCGACCAAACCTGGGCCGGGCGCGAAAGACCCCATTATCGGAATTGGAGCCGCTGGTCGACTCGACAGAAGTTCTCAGTCTCCTATACGATATGGCATGCATCCGTTTGCATGTGGAGCGGGATATGATTGAACTCTGGCGGCCGGTTCGCTACGACTTTGTCCTGACGATGCTGAACTGCTCGCAGCGCATCGATGACATAATCCTAATGTTAAGCTTGTTATCGACCAGCATCCGCGCCGACTCGTTCGGTCCTGTCCAGGAGAGCGAGGACGTCCAGAACACCATCGAGAATTACATCGTGGATCGTGTCGCCAACCTTCTCAGTGAACAACTATTACTCGATGAAGGGCAGGAACCGTATATGGCGCGCGAGATGTGCAGCATGCGGCTGGAAGCATTGGCCTTCCTCACCAGCCTTGCCTTCAACACTCGGGTGCCGGACAGCACTCACGGCAGCATGATCTTGGCCTCCCACCCCACCGTGCTGGCCCGGTTAATCCGGGTGGCAAACGATGAGCTAGACGCCCTCTACTCCCTACCGCCGGAGAAGGACCTCCACTCAGCCTTGGTCAACGGACTGATATGTCTCGTCCACGGTGTGATCGAGCGACATCGGGAGCACGCGGATCTGCAGGCCAAACTCTGCCGGGTCCCCGGCGGGAAGCAAAAGTTCCTCGTAGTCCTGACGCGACTGGCGTTTAGCGAAGGACTGGTGTTAGAAGCAGGGATCGATGACGACACGGTCGAAATGGCCCATTCGATTCTCGATGATGCCGTGACACCTCAGGAAGCCGAAGCGCTGTACGAGGCGTTTCCCAACGCGAAACGGGATGAGGAGGAGGAGGAGGAGGAGGCAGACGAACAGGAGGAGAAGTCAGGCGAGGCCTGACCTACAGAATTATTTGATAGCATCTACCCGGTGTTTGGACACGGCAGGTCTGCAACATCTTACACACAACTCACAATGATACCAACGAAGCATAGCAGTCATGATATACGACCGATTATTCTACATATATACCTTAGCTGTTAGAAATATACATAGTGTTACATTCTGTTAAACTTTGAGCCTGATTAAACCAATAATGACCCTTCAGACGCGCTATACGACATGGATTAGTCGGTTGAGAAAGAGAGGGTGAAGGAATATATCAACAGTCCAACACATTCGTATATCCGACCACATCCGGACCTGGCCAGCATCTCTAGTCGGACCATGAATCAGGACCGAGTTCGATTTCTAGATAGAATGAGAGGCTCCCCACGAGCTGATAATGACAGTGAACGGAGGGAGAACAAGGGTCATAGAACACAAGCTAGTACAGGTGGTGATGGAGAGATCCTTCGATCGCAAACCCAGCGGACAGCTGATGCCAAGATAGATGCCTAGTCCATCTATCTGATGAGCTGGAATGAAAGTGCTTGCTATTGGCGAGACTTAGCTGATATGGTTACAGGCTAGAGACTGAAAAGTACATGCAGACCTTCATACATATAACCGCTCTCAAGTCAAACCTATCCTGCGTCTTCGACTTGTGCCAAGGCAACACATATCCCCGTTGGTTACTCACAACTCTTACCCCTCCCGCTTTGATCAGGTATGATGTGTGTGCCCGAAAACCTAGGCTTTCACTCCATCTGGTGTTTGTGATAGAGTATCAGTCCCAAAGGCAACACTCCAAGGGGTCTGGGCGTGTTGTGGGCTCGACGTCCTCTGAAGTAAAGGAGCATGGTATGTCACAACAGAAATAGACCTCTTTTTACTCGGATTGTCTGCCTTTTCATTTTCCTTATGTATCAAATATATCTCTTCCAGTAACCAAGCGAGATCTGAATCATGGCTTATATTATGGTCATCGACTGACAGCCTTCAATATTTTTTTTTTTAAAAATCTTTGATCTTTGACCGGACGATATTTGTCAATTCACAAGGTACTTTCAACTAAAGTGTGCAGCCTAGAATTGTAATAGAAGAACCTAGGATATTAAATCATTTCTGATGAAGAACAGCTAATCGTCCATTTAAGGAAGGCTCCCGTTCAAGATGTCTAGCCTTTTCCAGCCCTGCCGTGAAAGTCCCATTGTAAAACTCATGATTTCCGGGTATCAGCAATACCAAGTTGAATCGGTCTGTCTGTTTGATAGGAAACTGAGATAGTCATTATAGTCCGTTAAGCGCCCGATATCATCCGCAAGAATAAGATATTCTGCACAAACTGAAGTTTTGTGAAGATGGATACTGCCGGCTAACCTCAAGGTGGAGATCAGAGAGGACTTGAAAGGATACAGAAGACCGATTTAAGAAAGATCATACTTTCTGGAGCATTTTGTCGCTTTAAGATGCATTGAAGCGGCAGGTACTGCTATCGAAAGAAAGGGAACGGAACATCTGGAGCTCCGAAGATTGGGGATGTCAGTCGCTTCCATGCAGTTTTAGTCAGCCAACTCGCCGCCTGGGCCCAGGGCCTCCCGGCCACGCAGTTTGTTCAATTCACCGATTGAACCAGGGTCGACAGGATTGTGTCACATTTCTTTGGTCCGACAAGCCTGATCGTGGTACAGCGGTGGTCAAGTGCGGCTTCTACACGATTTACACTTACACTCTTGGATAGTTTCTCAGCGCCACTCCCGAGAATTAGGCTGATCTTTGGGACTAGTGCGTTATTTCTGTTTGTTTTGCGCGTGTATCAAGTTGAGTTTTACGTCCTGAACCCATGCACAAATCGCAGACTTTCTAATTCTATAACATTCGCTGCAAGGTCATGTGAAAATTTGACAGATTCTCAGACCTAGTAAGAAGTTTCTCAGCTCGCCTCTCTGTAGGTTAACCTAAAGCATAATATTCTACGTCCGACCCTTACAGTTGGTACCGCAGCCTCAGGCATGTTCTGGTGTCAATTTGCCACGCACATCCACTATCCAGTACTACTATAGAAAGTAGTAGAATCTACTCGTGGTTCAATTCCTGGGACAAAAGGAAGTATAAATTCCTTAATTATCCTAGGACCTCCTTTTATTTAGGAATTAGAAAATAATGTAAAGCGGTGTCTGGGTGATAATAAACTAAGCTAATTCGGTTCAAGTAATTGGATAATAAACACCCGACCGCTTCTATATCCAAGAGCAAGCGCACCCTCTTTCGTGCTGCAGCAAGAAAACTGATCGTACTCAGAAGGGAGCCACAAGACCTTCTCGCCTTTCAGATATACCCACTTGCCTGCTAGCGATATCTGAGACGCAGCCTGATCGGAAGTAGGACTCGTGTCTATGCGTTCCCTGGTATAAAAGGCCACGGCTGAAACTGGATTTGAATGGCCTTCTAGGGTTTGTTGCAGCTCGCCCGTCGTGGCATTCCAGAACTTGATAGTTTTATCACTGGAGCCTGAGACGATAGTTTAGCCATTAGGTAAGAAGGCCACAGCTAAAATCCAACCAGAATAGCCTTCTAGGGTTTGTTGTAGCTCGCCCGTCGCGGTATTCTAGAACTTGATAGTCTTATCGTTGGAGCCTAAGGCGATAGTTTAACCATTAGGTGAAAAGGCCACGGCTAAAACTAGATCTGAATAGCTTTCTATGGTTTATTGTAGCTCGCCCGTCGTAATATTCCAGAGATTAATAATTTTATCGCCAGTTAAGACAACAGTTTGGCTATCAGGCGAGAAAACTACGTCTGAAACTGAATCTGAATAGCCTTCTAGGGTCTGTTATAGCTCACCCGTTGTGGTATTCCAGAATTTGATAGTTTTATCACTGGAATTTAAAATAATAGTTTGGTTATCAGGTGAGAAGGCTATAGTTGAAACTAGACCTGAATAGCCTTCTAGAGTTTATTATAGTTTGCCCGTCGCAGTATTCTAGAGCTTGATAGTTGTATAGTCAAAACCTGAGATGATAGTTTGATTATCAGGTGAGAAAGCCACGGCTGAAACTAGATTTGAATAGCTTTCTAGAGTTTATTATAGCTTGCCCGTTGTAGCATTCCAGAGCTTGATAGTTATATTGCTGGAGCCTGAAACAACAGTTTAACTATCAGGTAAGAAAGCCACGGCTAAAACTAGACTTAAATAGTCTCCTAGGGTTTGTTGCAGCTCACCCATCGCAGTATTCCAGAGCTTAATAATCATATTGCTGGAGCCTGAAACAACAGTTTAGCCATCAGGTGAGAAGGCCACGGCTGAAACCGGACTTAAATGGCCTCCTAGGGTTTGTTGCAGCTCGCCCGTCGTAGTATTCCAGAGCTTGATAGTCGTATCGCTGGAGCCTAAGGCGATAGTTTGGCCATCGGGCAAGAAGGCCACAGCTGAAATCTAACTAGAATGGTCTTCTAGGGTTTGTTGTAGCTCGCCTGTCGCGGTATTCCAGAATTTAATAGTCTTATTGTTGGAGCCTGAGGCGATAATTTAGTTATTAGATGAGAAGGCCACAGCTGAAACCAGACCTGAATAGCTTTTTAGGGTTTATTGTAGTTCGCCTGTCGCGGCATTCCAGAATTTAATAGTATTATTATTGGAGCTTGAGGTGATAGTTTAATTATCAAGTGAAAAGGCCATGGCTAAAATCTAACTAGAATGGTCTTCTAGGATCTGTTGCAGCTCGCCCATTATAGTATTTTAGAATTTAATAATTATATTGCTAGAGCCTGAGACGATAGTTTAATCATCAAGTAAGAAGGCCACAGCTGAAACTGAACCTAAATAGCCTTCTAAAATCTATTATAGCTCGCCCGTCGTAGTATTCTAGAGCTTGATAGTTATATAGTCGGAACTTGAGGTGATAGTTTAGCCATTGGGTGAGAAGGCCACAACTAAAACCCATTTTGAATAGTTTTTTAGGATTTATTGTAGCTCGCCTGTCGCGGTATTCTAGAGCTTAATAGTCTTATCACTGGAGCCTGAGGTAATAGTTTGGTTATTGGGTAAGAAGGTTATAGCTGAAACCAGACCTGAATGGCCTTCTAGGGTCTGTTGTAGCTCGCCCGTCGCGGCATTCCAGAGCTTGATAGTCTTATCGCTGGAGCCTGAGGCGATAGTTTGGCCATCGGGCGAGAAGGCCACGGCTGAAACCCAACCAGAATGGCCTTCTAGGGTCTGTCTATTAGCGCCCCAAGATATCTCCACCTGTGGCAGCGCATGTATCCACGGCGAATGGTAGTTTTCAGATGCTCTTCTAACCAAACTCGATGTTGGCGTGAATACCAAACATGATGCATATAGTTGAAGCGGAACAACGCTAGTAATTTGAGCATGTCGGTGGATGAATTGTATAGCATCGGACAAAAAGTTTGAAAGACCCGGATTCGTATTGTTCTGTTTCGCGATTAGTATTTGTCTGGATTATATTGTAGAGGTACAGACCTGAATGCTTTCTTTCAGTGTGACCATCATTTTAAGGGTCTCTGATAGCACTCTCATCAGGCTCATCACCTCTAACCAGTGAAGGAAATGTTTTTCTAGGAATGACAAGATCTCCACATCGGGGATAGAAGGCTTGCTTTGCGTCAGATGGAACATCCAGTAGCGGCATGAGTATCGGAGTTCCTCTGGAATGTATTGTTTAGTCGTCTCACTGCGTATGTCTGCACGTCGGGTCGAAAAGCTATTCAGTTTGCAGATATCGCGCTTGAGATACTTGCCCATAACGCGAAAGCAATGCAATGTTATGTCATTATGCATCATCCCCGCGTCCACATGAAAACGTGATTGGGTGGTAAGGAGATATTCTCGAAAAGACAGATGCAGAATACGAACTGGGTGATCTTTTTTGTCAGGTATACTCAGAACCGAGTGAAACGAATCCAAATGGAATTCGACGGATCTAGCGCCGATGCCGACAAATTCGGAAAGCGCGCTGATTGTGAGAGGGGCTGAAAGGAGAATAATCACACCAACTATTCCCTTGAACCGCGTGATTTGCTTCTCCTGGTCATTTTTGTCCCGTTCATGAAGTGTCCGGTCAAGGATCGGGCCATATGTTTTGTCCATTCTCGTCACATATCTGTGTTGGTTATTCAGAATATCAGCAAGGCGTTCTACTGGGTCGTCCCCTGGCTGTTCGACAAATCGGCAGATTGTAGCGGCGGAAATAAACAACGGTATACACACGGTCGCCAGAGCTTCAACAACATCGTTACCCGGCCAGTCTTTGCCGGTATTCGCTTGTGCTCCGATTTCTGTGAATCGGTGTTCTAGAAACCGCACGATGTCTTCTCTAATGGCTTCCTCAGCAACCTTTTCAAGGACCAAGCGTCGATGAGAGCCTTCCTTCTCGAAGAAACGTCGGAGTGGCAACTCGGGCCGGCTCGTTAGGAAAATTTTCAGTCTCATGTTACTGGACTGGTGTACCCGCGGAAGAAACTGAAGGATCTTTTCAATTTCTTTATCATTCTCACACTCGTCCAACGCATCGATCACAATCACTAGTGTTCTACTTTGGTACATAGCAACACTTTTCAAGGGTTCGAGAAGCAGCTTGTTGAATTGTTCCGTGACGTCTTTCGCGGCGATCTGTGGGTCCTGCTCAATCGCTTTCAGAACACCAGACGCGAGATCCTTGTTTTGCTTGATAAGTTCCTTTGTAATGGTAGGTATAAGTCGTTTTGCATTGCAACGGTCGGGTTCCCCTCTTTTAAAGAAGAAGCTGGCTCCTAGCTGTCCCTTGGTTTCGAAGCTCTGAGCAACAGTCCGAGCGATAGTGGATTTTCCAGTTCCCGCCCCGCCATTCAACCAGAAGATACACTCGCTTTCAACTGAGTCTGCCCATTGTGTTATTTGGGAGCGAGTCTGGACTCTGGTATCTTCGAGGCATAGATCCTCGTGTTGGTATGAGTTCCAGAATGCATTCTCAGCAATAGGTAGACTGAAACGTAGGTTCAGAGCGTTGAGGGATTTTGATAGTTTGTCATCGATGGCAGTCAGGATTTCCTCAGTAGCTTTCTCGTTCTGCTTTTGTAGGGACACTGTGATTTTCTCAATTGCCTCAAGTAATTGCAACTGAGTAAAGTGGAATAGCTTTTGTTCCTCCTTCTCAATAGAGCACCGAAGCTCCGTGATATGTTGGACGGTGGTTGCTGTAACACTGTCGAGCAACTTGCCCCTGGTACTCATATTGTGGCTCGCCATGACTTTCGCTGCGTACTGAAGGATTGTTTTATAGAGTGTAACCATGGCTTGCGTTGCCACGTCGTCTTCGTCGGATCGATTGTGACAGATCTTCTTTTCGATATATGCGCATCGCGCAAGAGCCTCCGCAAGGTACTCTGAGGACTCGAACAAGGCATCTCGACGGTCAGAATGATTTTTTGCCATCTGTGCGTTAAGGGTCAGCTCTACTGCCTAAAACAGCCGATAACACATACAGTCAGACCGAGTGACACTATTGCCCACGCGCTTGCGGCATGACCCGTAGGGTCACAGGCTACTCCTGCGCTGATAACCTCCTGGAAAGAGAGGGTGGCACTAATGATTTTTTTGGAAATTTTTCGAATGTTGATTTCTTCTCCCGTTGACTTCCGGATTCTAATGCCTCCTTTCTCTTGGTATATCTCGTACTTTTCCTTGGTGGTCTCGATGACATCGTTGAGGGCATCAGTAGTAGAGGAAGGAACAAGGCTTATTTGCAAAGCATTTTGTTCCTCTCGACTCAGCAGATCAAAGGCAGACTTCCATAGGTCTTGCGAGGGAGGTGGATTCCGTGGCCGGGACTGACATTCGCTGGCACAGGGAGCTGACGCATATTCTGAAGCGGGAGAGTGGTTGGTACAATGATCCGCTTGGTGGGGTGGAGGAGCGGTATTTTGAGATCTGCCGTCTCGATGAAGCCATTTTTTCAAACGGGCCGACTTGAAATGGACCATTGTAGCTATGCTATGGGCTTGATCTGTGAGGGTTCTGTCATCATAAAGTAATGTGTGTAGAAAGTGTACACTGACAACCAAGAGGCGGTAAGAATCATTTACACTCTCCAAGCCTGCCTGCTCAGCTGAACCTGCGTGGTCCGTTTCATCTATGACTGACCAATCATAATGAAACATGTGGTGGACTTTCGGGATCTATCACTCGTTCATTAGGCATTATCTTAGGTAGCCAAAGTTGTCCCGGGTACTCATGGCCTTCATTCAATCTCTGAGATACTGTTCCTTTTCTCAACTTGTTCTGTGCAATAGACGTCTACAAAGCCCCATAGGAGTACCACTGGTTCCTGGGATCTGGCGCTCCGTCTGACCAGTAGCAGATGCCGAGTGGGGCCATCAGACATGGGTGCCAATAATCATCTAAATCCAGTCATCCTAGCATAATTGGGCATTCTGTTTATCATGATTGGTGGATTGACATGTTCAGACGCACCGAGTAGCTTCTAGTAGCCGCCCCTCTCACCTTCGGAGGTTAACCACATTGAACGTTCTCTTGGAGCAGTGCGTAATTGTAGTGGTTGATACGACCAGGAAATGGATCAGAATAACCTACTAAGCGGAGAATAGGCTAGTCCGCGGGAGTGGCGCTGAGAGAATGTTAATGAATGTAAACCATGTAGAAGCCGAACTTGTCAGTCATTGTAACGCAGTTCTTGATGAGATTTTTCTGCGAGCAGTTTACGGGTTTGTTTGCTTTATGTACCACTTTAACCGAGTTCTGTGCTAACGTGACCATGTCTAGGTGCTTAATATACCATGCGGGATGTACAAGCTTCTGTCTGCATGATAAATGGTCAGAGACTTGGCACTGGCCAGGCCAATTTTCTTGATCCGTTTTACTTGTTCAAAGAAAAGCGAAAAGCTCCGCGTGGCGGCAACTCGGTCAAAGTTTCACGAATCGGCTGATATGCGATGGCTAGCTGATCCATATGGAAATGTTATTCAGGCATAGAAAGAAGGGCTGAATCTTCAATATATCGGCCTAGCAATAAAGCGATATCCGGAGCTTGAACTACTATTTGAGCGACTAGGGGTTGATCTTGGTATGCCAGGGAAGCTGTGCGTGATATGGACCCTTCTAGACTTCCGGCTCCTGCCCCTGGAGATGTTCAACGGGGTTTATTCGAATAAATTTCGGCGGCGTTGTCTTATCCAAATTGCAACGGAGGAAAAAGTATTTCGGGAAATGCCGTACAAGACATTGTTCACACAATCGATGTACGCAGATGTGTCCCCCAAACCACGTGATGAGTTCTGTTATGAGTTCAGTAAGGGTCCAATAAAGTGGAGGTACTTCGTTAAATCCTTGCTTTAACGTAACCCACGGTTAAGCGGCCCACACGGTTAGGCGGCCCAGCTGGTAATACTATACAAAAGACTCTTTTTAAGCACAAGATATCTCAACTATTATAAGTCTAGAAAACTCAATAAGGTGTGGATGGGAGAGCAAAAGCACTGGTATGTTGACAGATGGCCAAACCTGTTGCCTACGGCATCTGTTTGTCCGATTTGCATAGAAGATTCCAGAGAACCTTGTATATTATTTACGAACAGTGTATGTATTTCTAGTAACGTGTATTGAAAGTACAATACATCGTACGTTAAGTTTAGATACAGTCTAACTATTTATGTTCTAGCGTGTCTTGGCACGCATTTTAAAACACCAGGAGAGTATCTTAGGGGCAGGCTCATTTCGCAGATTACTGTAGAACGAACGATCGGATATGACAGCTAGAGAATCACGCCGCCAGGTAGTCACAAGGCCTCGTTGACATCTATCCCTGAAGCGGTTTACATATACTACTAATTGATAGCTACTATACACAAGGTACTCTCTTCTCCATACCCCCGCTCAAGGCGAAGAAATGATGAAAAGAAATAAGAGATCCACAAAGTGGAAGAGTGCCAAAGAATACGCCTGTCAATGACCCGAAGGCCGTTGAACAGACTGTTCCGCCGCGCTGTGCAATGCAGGGACCAATCTGTGGTGGACCGCCTTCTTGATCGCAGCCACCCAAACAAGGTAAGTATGAAGAAAAGAAAGAAGAAAAAAGTTGAAAAGGGCGGCGGGGGAGCGAGGAATATATAGGTTTGTGTGGAGGCGGTGAGAGATGGCTAGTGGCAAGCGAGGATTGGTGGACCAATGAGAGTGATGGGCGGGCGAAGGTGCTGTGTGCCTGAGTTTCATGGCAGGGAAATAGGTGTGCCACGTGATGGGTATCACGTGCCTCCGCGAAGTTTTGGGCGGCCGGAGATGGATGGGAACCAGGCCGAAGCAGCGAGACTGACCAGAAGACATCTGCTAGCAGGCCACTCCTGCCCCATTTCGCCATCATGAGGAACAGGGCTACGCAGTATTTGAGCAAGCCGGTACGTGTTTCTAGTCTGCTGTGTCGTTCGCTATTCAGCAATCGCTAATCGTCCTACGTTTGCTTAGAAAGTCCGACAATCATGGAGCAAGTGGAACTTGTATAACCTGTCGCGGGCCAGGATCAAGAGCCCCATGCATCGGACCCATTTCCAGCAGAAATGGGATGCCAAGTCTGCAACTCGTGCCTACCATGGCGAGCAAGTCTCCGAGAAGCAGTGGGCGCGCATGTTTTCTCCCCGCCTTCGCAGCGTGGTGCCTATGAATCCCGTCATCATGGCAAGAGACGATGGTTCTAAGTGGTCTGCCGGGCGTGGTCAGGGTCGGGAAACCATCATGGACCTAAGACAACACGCGAAGCCTGTACCCTTCGGACAAGCGACATATGCCCCCCTAGAACGCCGGCTGGATGTGGCCGTCTTCCGAGCCATGTTTGCCAGCAGTGCCAGACAGGCCCGCCAGTTTGTGATTCATGGGGCGGTGACAGTCAATGGAAAGAAGGTAAGTGCGCATGACGCTGGATGGACTTGTGAGTTGGCCTACGCCAGTTGCAACTGACACACTCCCGGTAGATGAGATACCCCGGTTATCTGCTTAACCCCGGCGACCTCTTCCAAGTCGAACCCGAGCGTGTCATGTTTGCTACCGGCGCCCCGAAGGACAAGCACGACCGTCGTGAGATACGCCATGCTCAGAAGAAGGAAGCCGCAGAGAAGGAAGCTGCAGAGAAGGCAGCCGCCGAGGAGGAGGCCGCAACCGAGGAGTCTAAGGAAGAGGAAGAGACCAAGGAGAAACAGCAGGAGAATCTGTCCCCGCGTGCCACATTGAGGAAGCTGCTGGGTCAGGCCAAGACCATCTTGACCAAGGATCAGGCTGTGCTTCCCGCCAAACGCAAGCAGGATCTGCGTGGATTTCAGAAGGCCGTCCGTCGTGTGCTGTCTCGCTCCGAATCGAGCACCGTCCTGACCGACAACCTGGAGGCCCAATTCTCCGAGCTGACTCTGCTGCTCAAGGCCAAGAAGAGGCCGTCGAAGAAGACTGAGGAGGAAGTCAAGGCGGAGGAGACTACACCTGCTGAAAGCTCGGCAACCGCCACCGATGCCACCGATGCCACCGATGCCACCAAAGCCACCAAAGCCACCGAAACCACTCCCAGGGAAGCTATCAAGGCCGCATCTGAGGCGGACAGCGAAGCACAGCCCGACGACGAGCTGTCCGAGGCGTTCCGCCAGGCTGCCCAAAACCCCGAACGGGATGTGGATACCTCTCTGCTGAGTGAGGAGCAGTTCAACATTCTCCGTCGCGCACTGGTCCAGATGCGTGATAACCCGATCGACCATTCGAAGCCGTATGCCACGCCCTGGCGGCCACGGGACTACATGAATTGCTTTGCCACGATCCCGCGGTATCTGGAGGTGCACCCCAAGGTCTGCGCGGCCGTGTACCTGCGACACCCGGTGGTTCGTCCCGGAGCGTCGGAGATCCCATCGCCCTTTGCGACCTCCACGGGCGACCTGGCATTCACCTGGTACCTGAGACGGCGGTAGACGCCCGAATCCCTTGTATTAATTAGTGTCCTCGTGCGTTTGGTTTGCGTTTCTCTTCGCTGTTCTGCGGGCATGTTCCACAGTCTTATATTACTGGGTCGCTGGTATGGTTGTTTGTTAGATCTCCTGCATTAGGGCCACCGTCATATTGCACCGGTGTTGGAGCTGGGATGAGCACAATGTAAATCAATGAAATATATCCTTTTTCTCCTGTGTTATCCTATCTCTGCCTGGTCGACCTGGATCGTGTGAATCTATATATACCTCCTCGCGGTCCCGTGACCGAAATACCGTCCGCTGAAAAATACCCGGATCGGCGGGGGTCTCGCCCGCCAACAGGACGAAATTGCAAATGCGACCGAGCAATTTTCAATGCTGCGGATTGAACCTCGACGCTTCGACTCGCCGGTCTCGATCGACTCTTTCTTGCTGTCTCGCTTTCGTGCTTTCGTGCTTTCTCCCTCGCCATTCCAGCACGCCAGCAGTGCTCTGACTGCTCTTCACCCCACCTCTCTCTTCCCAGACCATGTCCATGTATCCCTGGCATGCCTCCACGACGACCAACGCTGCTGCCGCCGTCGCCGCCGCCTCAGGGTCTCGCCTCGAGTCCCCCTCCTCGTCCACTCAATCCGCCTTACAAATGCCCGGGTTGCGATGGCTCCCATCCATGATTTCGCGAGCCACACCTCTCCCCACCCTGTCGTCCAATCTCCGCATTGGCCAGCAGCAGCAGCAGCCATCGCCGCAACAATCCCAAACATCACCGCAGCCGCAGCCGCAAACCTCCCTCTCTCACGCCCATCCCCATCCTCATCAACACCCCCACCAACCGGCACATTCGCAAGCACGCCAGGGCGTACCACTGATGGTTGAATCGCGATCCCAACAACCACAACCTCTATCGCTTGAAAGCGACAGCGACCACTCGGACACCGGCGCGCGCGACCCCACCCACCCTGACGTTCTCGAGGATTCCGAATTCGCCCCATCACCCGACAGTATTCCTCAGGGGACGACGCTTGCCCGACAATCTGGACCTCGCGCCACGACCACCGCCGGGGTGATGCCGAACGGCACCGGGGCCAATCGAACCGCGCTCCTGGCCGCCGCATCCAGCGTCGTCCGACCCTATCCACTAGATGACCGCGACGACGATCCCGAGGGCACGACGGGCGGAATCAATGGCGACACATCGCGCAAGCACGGGAAGCGATTGACAACCCTGGAGGAAGTGTCCCTTTTCAACATCTGCAACCGACATGCAAGCGAGTTTGGACAGCGCAGTAACCTCTGCAAATGGTGGATGACTGTTACCGCAGAGTTCACCCGGGACCAGGGTCATCCATACTCGTGGCATTCGGTGCGACGGAAGGTGGAATTGGTCACGAAGCAGCGGATGAAGTTCCTCGATGAGCAGCGCGACAAGGGCGCGGACGCGGGCGAAGACCTGTCGCATACGCAGTGGCGGACGGCCGTGGACGCGTGGATACCTACCTGGCAGAGATGGGAAGAGGCCGAGGCCCGGAGGATCCAGAAGCGAGACTCGCGGAAACCGAGAAAGAGAAAGGACCGGCCATGGGACGCATGGGAGAGTCCGATTGACGGATGGAGGAACGCAACAACCGCCAGTCCGCTTGCTGGCGTTAGCCAGCAACCTGGATTTGCGACCCCCGTGTCACAGAGTACGGTGCGGTTGCCCCCGGGGTTCGATAACATGTTTGCCAGTCAGGGACTACAGACTCCGTCACCCGTTGTGGGTGTCCCAGATGGGTTTCCAACCCAGCGGACGACGCAGTCCGCCGCAGCCGCTGGCGCGAGTCATACGCCCGGCACGGATAGTTCCATGATGAGTGCTATGCTGGAGACGCTGGGGAAACTAAACCGACACCTCGACTCAGTGAACACCCAGCCTGCATCATCCCCACTCGGCTCGGCCAGGAAACCGACATCACCCTCCGAGTCTCGTGCTCGCGACCAGCAACGGGAAGCCCAACGCGTGGAACCGGCAAACACCGTAAACAATGCAGGCTTCGTCGAGCCAACCGGACTCACGCACGTCTCCTCCCACTTCATCAACAAACTCAAAGATGAACTCCGCCAGGAAATGCGCGCCGAGATGCGCGCCGAGATGCGCGCCGAGCTAGAAAAAGACCGGGCCTCCTTGGAAGAGAAACTGGATTCCGTGCAGCGGACCCAGGAAATGATTCTCGAGATGTTGAGACAGGAACCTGCCTGACATTCACCACCCACCACCCACCACCCCACCTATCCACTTCCTTCGTTGACTTCTTCCTTTCTTATTTTGCTCTTTGGCCTGTCCTTTTTCTCCGTTTCCAGTATTTTTGTGCATTTCTATCAGATGATACCCATGGGCGAGTATGTCAAACCATATTTTTCTTATCATTATCTATTATTCTATTGCTCTCACTACTACTAGTATTGCTGTATTCTTTTTACTGTCATTGTTGGTACGGTGACTTGGAGATATTGGAGATATCGCTTCATTTCTATTTATATGAATTACAGACCAGAGCCCATTCGTTCTGAATGGGAGGTATTGACTCTGGTTTTGTTAGTCGATTGACTGCATATTTCGGGACAGGATATACTATAACAAACCCAAATTACTCTTTGCATAATCCAGTCCAGACTTCAATACTAAACTTGATCAAAATACTTCATACAGACACAGATTGGTGATAACAATCTCCAAATTACACATTCCTAATGCTTCATAGATAAAAGTGAGGTTGAGAGAAGAGAGTTGATAATAGGGTGATGTGTGAATGTATGAATGGGTTAAGGGTAATGCAAAAACAGAAATTCCCGGCTAAATTACATAGTAAACGTTCCCATGGTATGGATGCTTGCGTTAAGGAGCCTGCCAATCCAACTGGCGGCGGTGGTAGTGGTAGGATAATGGTCTAAACTTTCCCCCCCTGGTGAAGGGATGAAAAAAAAAAGATGACCTTCCTCACGCCCATCATCCGCATTTTCTTCTTTCTCTTTTCAAATCAACTCATTGCTTTGCTGTCCATCCGTGAGCGCGCAACTGAAAACGAGGTTCCAAGATATCTAGGTAAGGTGAGAGGTATCTAGTAGTAGAAGGTCTCGTCGACAGTGCGGCCTCTCATCCACTTGGGCTCGCTGCCGCGGACGTAGATGTCCTCGAAGAGAATGCGGGAGTTGTTCTCGGGAAGGGGCATGTTCTCGGCGATGGCGACCTCCTCGTCGACGTGGGCACGGGCGGCCTTGTCAAGGGCCTTGAGCTCGTCCTCGTTGCAGACGTTCCAGTCAAGGATCTTCTGCTTGAGACCGGCAATGGGGTCGTGGGTGCTGCGCATGCGCTGGATCTCCTCACGGCTACGGTAGGTGGTACCGGGGTCGGACATGGAGTGACCACCGTAACGGTAGGTGACGTACTCGAAGACCAGGGGGCCGTTGCCGGCCACGGCGTAGTCCTTACCGTACTTGACGGCGGCCTTGGTGGCCAGGACGTCCATGCCGTTGACCTTGATACCGGGGATGTACTGACCGCGCTTGTAGTACTCGGTCAAGGCGGAGGAGCGAGCGGCGGAGGTACCCATACCGTACTTGTTGTCTGGGCAGGTTAGCCTTGATGCAGTTTAGGAAGAAAGGCAACCAAACTTACTCTCACAACCGAAGAGAACGGGGAGGTTCCACAGCTTGGCCATGTTGAAGGCCTCGAAGACCTGACCCTGGTTGGAGGCACCGTCACCGTACAGGACGATACTGGTGGTGGGCTCCTCGTTGTACTGCTGGGCGAAAGCGAGACCAGCACCGACGGGGACCTGAGCACCGACGATACCGTTGCCACCGTAGAAGTTGTGGGTGAACATGTGCATGGAACCACCCTTGCCGTAGGCGATACCCTCACGGCGACCGAGCAGCTCACCGATGATGGAGCGGACGGTAGCACCGCGCATCATAGCGAAACCGTGGCAACGGTAAGCAGTGATAATCTTGTCGTCGCGGGTGATGGCGTGTTCGATACCGGTGGCGACGGCTTCCTGACCGGTAGACAGGTGGCAGAAACCTCTGATCTTCTTCTCCTTGTAAAGACGGTCGGCGGCCATCTCCATACGTCTGAGGGGTTCAATTAGATGGGATGCGAGAAACAAAGGGCCAATCGACGGCCATACCTCATCGAAACCATGTCGTAGTACATCTGCTTCAGCTCCTTCTTGGTAATCTCCAAGGTGTACGGAGGAGGGTCGATCTCGTAGGTCTCGAAGCTCTCATCGGAGAGGCGGACGGTGAAGGGCTTGTCATCCTCCTGTAGAGAGATGGGAATCGCATTAGCCAGGCCACTCCGGAGGCCGAACGAGGGCATCCAGGGAGCTCTCAACCAACCTGGGGGACATTTTCAGCATGCGACGACGCGGCGTCGGTGGTGACGGAGCGACGGGCAAGGGGGGCAAAAGCCTGACGCCTCAAGGGCGCGACCTGACGGACCGCAGCTCGGAACAACATGATGGACGAGACGTAGGGTCCAACCGGAAGGGAAGAGAGGAGCTGGGAGAGGAAGGGAGATTCTGTTATCGTCAACTTCAACAACGGAGATGTTGGGAACAAACTTTCCCCTGCGGCTAGGCGGAATTCGGCAGGCAGCTTATCTAAGCCCGCTTCCCTTCGGGGCCGTCCGGTGTAGCCCCTGCAAACCGCACAAACACCTGGCCTCTCTTCCGTTTTACTCCGGACATGCTTCTCAAATGCTAGTTGTCTGGGGATTCATTCTATTCATTACACATGGGTCAATGCTCCGACACGTCTCCGCGGTCCATGGAGCGTGTCGCGCGCTCAATTGAGTCCATCTTGAGGGACAGGCCTCCATCACCACGCCAACCAATTACAGCGTGCAGCCCATCGGAACTTCATTCACCCGAATCCTGGCCAGACCGACTCTCAGACAGCTGCCGCTTCATCCGGCTTGTCTCGGCTTCTTGGTTTGGTTAGCTCTCACGGCAATCATCTCTCAGCAATCTTGATGTGCAAAAGAGCCATAGATGAGACAGCTGCTGTGTGCACCAGTTCTATATAGACAGATTGTGGCCTGGAGCAGGCAATCCCATGATTCAGTGTAGAGATCAATGCCTTCTCACTGTTCATCACTTCCTAACCTTAACGATGCCGTGTCTGCTTATCAAAACCCATGCAGAACAGAGATCCGAATGCCCCGGCTCTAGGTTAGGTCAGATTCCCACCAAATCAAGGCTCACCGCTTCCTACCTTCAAACTCAGCTTCTCAACCCAGACATGGGTGAGACGACATCTTTAACTGAGTCCAGGCCGTCAAGGCATCCTCACATGGACCAACATGGCTGAGACAGCGCCGTCTCTGATACATTCCGGCCCCATGCATGCAGGTCTGTCGGGGCTGCCCTCCCTACGAATACGCTATGGTGGTGTTAGTTGGATGACATCAAACAGACCTTAGACTATACATACTTAGATTACGATCTTGTAAGGCTCAGCATGGGCCAGTTCACTGCGCCACGTGCCGTCAGACATGTGCGACGGGTCAGCAATGTGCATGACAGGCTGACAGCATGGCTGACAGCCAACAGCAATGGCATTGACCCAACAGGAATCGAGGCAGGGATCCCATTCCCTAGAATATCCGTCTGCATGAACGCTTGTAAGATGCGGTTCAAGGTATATGGAATGCCGCTGGGGTTCCGTAGGAACCCTTTGCGCGATAGCCGAAGCTCTGCCATATACGCTTGGGTGAGATTTTAGCACGCGGAAGGAGCTGGTCATGCCTGATGTCATACAACGTAGACCAGCCCAGCAAAGATAGAATAGTATCCTTATGCTAGGGTCTCATGCTTCACATCCAGTATCGAATCCTTATCCAGCTGCCCCGTGCGGGTGATCAGGCGATCATGATAAAGCCCACTGTAGTGAACATCAGCGGCCCGGGATCTTCGATCACTGTGGGCTCGGTTGCCCTGTCCGGATAGGTGAGAGCGTAACATCACCATATCATGTGCGAACAAGGCCGTAAATGAAAGCGGAGGGGGCCAGAAATGCCCCAGAACGATCATGTGCAGACCAACCTGTGCTCCCTGCACGCCGTCAGCATTAATATAGAGATACTATGGGGCGAAAAGTCATTCCAAGTTGTAGTGAACTGAACTGAACTGAACTAGTACAGGAGAAACCAGGTAATTCACTTACTGCAGTCAGCCAGACCCTCCCTCCCCTCCTAAAGGCATAGTTCGTATACCCTCCATGTCCTCCGTCCGTACTCCATATACCCCATAAGCACAACATCAACAAGACCACATCCGGAATGCAGATCTTTCCTCAATCTCAACCACTATGAAGTGAAGCCCACCAAAAGGCCAAGCTAAAGACGGCAGGTGTATAGCCCAGCCCAGCCTAGACGGGACCCTTGCGATTGGCGATTCGCGAAACGTGGCGAGGGAAGGGAAGTGGATAAGCTGAGGATGGCGGGTCCATCCTCGTCGCGGGGCTAAAAACCATCGGGACTAGTTGCTGTTCTGTGTAACTTGCAGGATAAATCCGAGGGAAAGAAGGAAACAAACAAACAAGCAAGATAACGAAGGGATGTAAGAAAGGGAGAACAAGCTTAGTAACTACTAGTAAGATTCGTATCTGGGGCGATTAATTAATTCCAATCCTATCTATCTACCCCGAATCCAAGTTTTGGGTCGGGTCGGTGGTAGGTGCAGGTCGATCATGGTCTGTGGAATGGATGAGGACCCAACTGAGTGGTCATGGTGGTGAGATCGTATCACGTTACATGATTCACTTACACACAAAGTACACAGAGCATGCACTACTAGAAGTAGAACAAGTTGAGAATCCGGAAATATACACGGAGAACCCAACCCCGTTAGTGTCTACTCCATAGGGAGAGAACGACAGGACATACTACCCCTTCTGGACCCGTGTCCGACCATCAACCATGAAGCTGACTCGGGAAGTCAACCCTAAGTAGTCCGTAGCATCCTGGGGTGTTCTAGAAAACCCATAGTTTCTATTTTGATTTCTCCTATTTGTTGTGTTCTGAACGCTGGTGAACTCTGTTCGATCCGGTGGGGATTGTTTTTCGTCGGATAAAGTTTGCTTAGCGGGTGAAATGGAGGCGTTTGTTACGATGGCTTTGTTTATTTTACAAGGCCCACGATGGATGGGGTATCGGTGAAATACCGAGATTTGTGTATGAATTATGGAGTCAGGGTACGGGTATTGGTAAGCTGGATTTATGTACTACATCGGGGGAGATTTGGAATTTGGGGATTTATGCAGGCTTTGTGTTGGTGTCACGTCATGCCGTGGGTGGGAGAGTGCCTTATGTGGGTAGGTCACAGCCGCTTATTGTCCTACAAATGATTACAGCAGGAAGAATATACTAGACAAATGACTCGAATCGGGAGTATTAAAAGCACTATGTCAATGAAGATTAGCTTGGTCAATATAGCCGTGTCAGGGACCGGGTGGTCTTCAACCATGGCACATAGTCTGGGTCCCTCCCTAGTTGTTGGTTCTTCGACTGTCTATAGAAGCTGGAATACATGCAGAAGAGATAGAACATCCGAAGATTGCTACCATCGCAAACAGCGTACTCAGCACGTGTAACAGAAGATAAATTCTGTAGACAGGCCTCAAGCTTCATAGAAGCCATCTGCGCCAACCGCGTAATAGACATTATCGTCACTATACTGAGCTAGAGAAAGCATTCTCAAAAACCCAACTCATGTGCTCGTCTTCGTCGCTGAATCTCCCACACAACTCTCATCTCTATTTCCCATGCTCTCATGGGAGCAAGCAGCATTGAACCAACACACATTAATCACCGAATATCAAAGTGGAAAACGACATACTTATCCTGGTCACAACAGTACACACGTCACTAGGTCAGGATCTGAATTGCAGTTCCAAGTTAGCAAGCCCTGAGCATCAGGAAACAAGGTGATAAAAAACCGGGATTATCGAGGACCATTATTTGCTGTAACGACGTCAATACATCCGAGCAACGCAAGCACGGTGAACTGGACGACACTTCAAAAGCATCATAAACAAGGAGAACGAGGGCTATAGCGAGTGATGCACCCGTGGTCATCACATGTCTCAACAACGGAGCATTTCAATCTACAGTGAAAGTCATACACTGTTGAAACGAGGGGTATAACAAGTGACCGACTGTCATTTGCCTTGGTGATCATGGGAGTATCCAGCCTAAAAGGCGCTTAACGAATATCTGAGGAAAGGTATCCAAATGCAGGTTGGATAACTGGCTGGAGTCAGCAAATATATGACCGAGCACATACTTGCCTTGGTGATGGTTAACACCGCGACTCTGGGGGAATGGGCTAGCTTTCTTTCTTTGGGATTGAGTCACAGTCTTGGATGTTATGAGTAAGAGGAAGATAATTAAAAAAGGAGGAGATTGCTAGAGAGCAGGGACTGAAACTACATGACTATGGATGAGAATTGGAAGAAGCATCATATCTGATCAATAATTGCGAAGATGTACAGTTCATTTATGGTTCTATTACTGTGCTACTACGCTATTGCTAGAACAGAATGCTAGCGTAAGAAGTGACCACTCAGGTAGTAACAGCCGATGTCAGACAACACCTAACATATATTGAACTGGTCCAATAGAACATAGATGATAGTTTTCTCCAAGACGATTACGCATAAAGTTATAGGATGTCATTCATTTGTTCTAATTGATACTAACGAGATATCCCGCAAAATGATATGGAAAGCAAAGAAACTCTCTAACACTGTAGATTGATACCTGAAGCATATGATATGCCCCTTTCCTATGGGGTTTCTTTTGTTGTAGCAAAATCATAATTGTTACCAGCATCTATATTTCATCCAATATATTTTACGGGAACAAAAAGCTCATGAGGCTGTGTAACAACAATGTATTCATACCGATACACTGAAGCTTACAACACACCGAAGTGTAGCAAGACTAATGATATGATCGCACTACGATGTAAAATGCTACAATGAATCCTCCTTCTGCCAATATAGACGGCTCATGATCGACACTTGACAGAACATACGATGCCCATTCGAGTCATCTCTGCGATGCTCCCGCGTTACTAGGCGGAAAGCGGGCCCGAAACCAACTCAAATAACCTCCAGTCTAACAATTAGCCCGACAAGTCGAGTCTCAAAAGAAGCCGATTTCCCCAGCGTGACGTACTTCTAGCGCTCCCGTGTCTCCGTTTGCAACAGATTTCAGTTTGAAGGATATATTCAATTCCGCTGACAAAGGAGCCTTGAAGTGATTGACATTTTGATCTAGAATCCATAGGGGTTGGGGGATCCGCCAATGAAAGGCCAAGAAAGCACAGGTATCAGAAAGGCTACTCCGCAGGACGATCAGTAGGTCGCTCCATACGGGGTTCGGAACCACGGTAGGCCAACGACAATCCGATCCTGGTTATCAAACCCCGGAGGAATGGACTTATCTTCGGAAGATCATCGGCGCGTCTAGACAGAGGTGAAGTATGGGACTGTGCGGGTGTCAATGCCGCGCTCAGCGATGCCGGGGGAGGGGAAACCAGGGACCCCGTCATCCAGGGTGGTTCCGGGAAATGCGAGAGCTCGAAAATTGAGCGTCTGTGCCTGGGATTAAATGATGGAACCACTGGACATCATTGGACAGATGCAGAAGTACAAAATTGCCCTGCAGTGGTGTTTGGTCATGGCTGGAACGAATCCTCCTTACACATCACAAACTCACCGGGTTCCGTCCATGACCAGTCCGATAGATATATGAAAATCAAGGAATCTACGGAGTACTCCGTACTGTGGCCCGACACCGACGTCAGTGATCAGGCCACATCTAAAAGCAAATCCTGCAGGTGCCTGTGGTACTTTGTGTCTCCCAACCGAGCCGACGATAAGGGGCGTTGCATGGGATGGTGGTGGACAGTGCGGGTTGCGCGAACCTGAATGTTGGACGATGGGTTTCACGACTGTTTCAAGGCGCATTCGAGAACAGGGACACTGCCACCTCCGGCAATTTGTCTCCATACCTTTAATGATTTAGGGGCCGGGGCCGAGAGGAAGCAAGTTGACACCGTCCGAACTCTAGTGCTGGCTAATGTGACGGGCTTCCTCTTTCCAGCATGGCTGCACCCACAATTATACCGATTTAGTAACGAATAATAAATATTCTGCACAGAACATTAGTTCCCAGACTTACTAGTCGTAAGTCGTAGTTAGTCTCTTAATCTTATCCAAGATTTGACCTTGATTTAGCCTTGGCCGTTGAGGCGTGAAGGCGATATTTGACCTGTCGAACGCCATGATAGTGGAGCCCAAGGCAAATCAGGGGGTTCGGACCTTGACAGGTGAGCCCCCATCACCAACTCTGGACCCGTGCAGGATGCTGGGGCCAATGCACTCCGCTGCAGACCATACCGATAGTCCTGGAAAATACTGCGCAGTGTTGGATAATGTTGGATAAAACTGGTTCCGCATGCATGGTTGCAGAGGGGATGGGATGCGGGCAGTCATGGGGAAAATCACAGCCGCTCCAATACATCTGTAAGTAGACAGAAATGCGAACGATGCCGTCATTCGAGATTCTGACAGCACGAAGAATGCCATGGAACGAGGTCGCCCTACGGTACGAAGCAGCTTGCACTCCTTGCCACTGCTTGCGGTTCCGTGGTTGAGAAGAATCATGGAAAACCCGAAGAAAAAAAAATATGTATCGCGCCTTCCCACTGAACCACGGTATCTTTGAGTTGGTCGAAAGAGCCAATAGCAGGCGCGGATTTTAAAGAAATTATCCAAGGCTAACCCAGTTTTGAGGCAACAGCTCCAGGGCTCCTGATGTTGCATGGAGCCCTTAAGATGACGAGCTAAGCTAAGTAGGATATTATACCGAGGTTGCCACTGCCCTGAAAATCCTGTAGTCCGTTCATTCCGACTATTTGATGGCTACAGACTAGGTACATATTCGCCACATCAATAAATGTACGGGCGTCGTCCATCAAGGCCATAGCAGACAAGAAGAGACTAACACCAGTCGGCGTGCGAGGTTGCATCCGACAATCCCCCAGAAAGCCTTATGCTCCTTGGCCCGGACCAGAAGACCCGCCAATACGCTGCCGTAAGAAAGCCGATCATCCGTCGCATGAATTAGAGTTGGAGAGGACAAGAGTCAGCAATCCCCTTGGATCTTACTGACCGGGGGCTGAATCCTTGGGTCCTGCTCGATAGTCACATTGATCCGAAGCGCTGAGGGGCGAGACGGCCTCACTAAGGCGGGATAGGTCGTACAATGCAATTAATTATGGATTCCAGCGTTGCAGTCGGTAGCTGTGTGACATCGTGGTGGCACTGCCTGCACAGCTGCACTGACTAGCCACTTTTCGATCGTGACTGCCTGGTGCTGAGTATCGACTACTTTAATGTTCTAGCAACATGGTAATCATTTGTTGGTATGCCATACCAAATACGGAGGACGGGGGGGCGTATCTGGTTGTTTTGCTTACACGGTACTCCGTACGGAGAACCGCCCTGCACATTCCGATCGGGCGTAAGTGGGGAGAACCGCCACCGGCACCACGGTTCCTCCACATCACATATTTTTGGCCTTCAGTTCGCACCTTTCCTCAGTCAGCCAACGCGATGGTCAGTCATGCTGATGATCATCATTTAAGTAGATGTCTGCAGCGACTGGCTTCTGGGGGAATTTCTACTGCGGAGTCCGGTAAAAGTAATGAAGGACGTGCTGCTCCATTGTCCGTGTCCCGGACAGACCATCTTCTCCGTTTCTCCGGAGAAAGGGGAGACTAGCAGGGGGCTCAATACTCAATAGCAATTGTGACCAAGTGGACTAGGGACCGCTGGAACTGGAAGGGGAAGGGAGCGACCCGGCCAGGCGAGCTAACCTTTCGGGTGGAAATCTTCCTCGGTGGAGATCCCGTTGATATGCAGCGGTACCGCTTGCCGCTTACGTATGCGGTTTCAACCCCCTCCTGACGGCCATAGCAGAGTAGTACTACGAGGTATCTATAACCTCAAACTAGAAAACAATCAGGAGAAGCATGCGAAACGGACTCCCTTATCTCCTCAAGTCTACAGCATCTTACGCAAGTCGAGTGTCCCCATCGCCATGACAGTAAACGCCCCAGGATCGACGGTTGCCCGCCGAAACTGAGGCCAATCGTTGCTGGATTGTGCAAGAGCACCGGCCTATCGGATACCATTGCCGGGTCAAATGAGGATCGTTATATGAAGGTCAATAGGCACAACCACCCTCTGCGCGTCTATCCGCTGCTCATCGGGGGTGTAGCCCTCCTGGACGCCATTGATAGTCCACCGCTGACAGGTAGCCTTCAATAATCGGCACTGGGGTCGTAGCCTGCAGAAGCCGAAGCCCCATTGTGGCTGGGCTGATGATGTTGGTGACGATGCTGCAGATATCTCCGACAATTGGCAGCGGATTGATGCAATGGATAGATAGATCAGTGTAGGGAAGATTTAGATTTCAGACATTGAGGCAGCTGACTGGACGGACTATTTTGTCTTGACGTAAGGGGAGCCCAAGAGTTGATAAACTGCATTGACAATGCTCAGCTCAGCTTAGCTTTGCCTGACTACGCAGTGCATGATGACCTCAGCCCTTCCGACATGAGTATTGCGGGTAGTACCTTTGCTTCTATATGACCCGTTCGCATCCTCATGAAACCTTAGTCGGAGGAGGGTACGGAGTACTCAGGGGCCCTCAGGTACCGTAGGATTGTCCGTACCGGGCCTCCGTGTTGAGAGCGACTGTATCCAGTCCCTGGATCGGCCCCACTGCGTGGTTTAGTCACTTTAGTGAGTTCCAGCATCCATGGCTCGGCGGTCATGGCTCCACTGCCTGACCAGTAATCATCAATTTGCAATACATAGTACCATAGTACCGACCGGGTTCCCCTCTCCGGGGGCGTAAACTGGTGGTGATGACTGGTGAGTTGACGGTGAGCGTGCAAGCGGATTGCGGGAAAAATAACAGCAATACCTCAGGAAGATTACCACCAACCGGTAATACGGAATACGGATCGCTCCGCCCCAGCGACTATCAACGGCGTCGCTGGACCGGCTCGGACGCCGTCGTAAAATTGTTCGCACCAGCGTGATATCTCCATCATGCTGTTGTTAGCCTGTTCCGCCTTCCTCCTTTCCTCCCTCTGCCGGTCCCAGATTCTCGTCTCTCTCTCCCTCTCCCTTTCTCGGCCTCTCTCCCACTAACCTTTGAGTCTGTGTTTCTCATCCACTGTGGTCAATCCAGTCTCATTCTCTGCTCGGGGCGTTTCCTTCAGGTTGGCCCCCCCACTACGTCTTGACCCCCCCCCCCCACTTGGTACCCCTAAATAGTAAATCCTCCTTGTGGTGCTTGAGAATTCAAACCTCGTCCTGCCTGAACCTGTCCTCCTGATCCGTCAGGAGCATCATTCCCGCGGCCCATGTGGAAACATCGGCCCTCTCCCAGATCCGAGTCCACGGCTGGGAATAATAATCATGACGATGCTGGCGAATCTGAGCATGGCCTCGCTGGTCGTCCTAAAAAGAAGTCTCCGCTCCGTAAGTACTTTACTGATTACTCTGGCTATAGTGTCTCGTACTAGTCTTACTCTTGATTCTTGTTAACTTTCGGCTGCTGAATCTTATATTATTATTATTGTCCTTCTGTTTCTGGTTGTCATTATTCATTACACTTTTGCCTTTCTTTCGGATTCTTCTGGCTGCTCTCGGTCACCCACTCCTTTCCCTCCTTATCTCACTCACACTGCCTGCTCCTCGTGCCGGAGAGCCTCTCTTCACTCTCTCCTCTCTCTGCCCTCCCTTGCCCGTCGCACCCATTCATTGCTACACTATACTCACTTGGGAGGAGAGCAAGTGAATCGCATCACTATCCCCTGTCCTTCCACACTGGTGTTATGCTCTACTACCGCATCAAGCCGTCTCTGCCGTTGTCTCTGTTGGCGTCTGCTCTAGCTCCGGCTTCCATCTTTCTCCATCACTGACCTGGACGGATCCATTATCATTGGCAGACTTCTTCTCCAGCTCAAAATCACGTTCGCCACCACCACCTCCCCGAACATTCACCTACATACCTCTAGAGCGCCCCGGGACCAGTTACTCTGTTCACCCTGCTAGGTCTCGCGCCGCCTCCACCACCACCGCGGGTTCCTCGATTGGTCCAGGCCAGTCGTCAAATCCCTATCCCAGCTCATCCAGTGTGCTTTCCAACTCCAGGTCAGATAGGCCAATGGCGGGCGTAATGGACGTTGACCGCAGCCGGACGCGGAGAGATAGGACCTTCGTTGGTACTGATTGCTCCATCTGTGACGAGCCGTTGGAACACACCTTGCGTGGAGAGCGTGTCCTCCAATTTTCCTGCACTCATGTCTCGCACGAGGCTTGTTTCTATGAATATATTCGCGAATATGAAGGCCAGTACTGCCCAACATGCGATGCGCCGTTAGGGCTCGATACCAGTCGTGGCGGAAACATGATGGACCTCGGTATGTGTTACCACTCTTGCAGGGTTCGGAATGTAAGAGGGCTGATCATTACCTCATTTAGAGAAACTCAGCAACATTGTCCGCTCCGTGACTAGCGATGCTGCGACGCATCGAAGTGGCATATCCAACCTTCCTCCATGGGAAGCCGTCCCAGTCCAGGCACGACGGCCCAGTGATACAACAAGCCATGCAGGAAGCAGGCCACCCAACCGTGAGAGCCGGGATGCCTATAGCCGACGTGACAGCCGGGACACTAGCAGTCACCGCGAACAAGAACGTGAACGCGAACGCGAACGTGAGCGTCTTGAGCGCCTGACTATGGGTTCCCGCCAACAACACTCGCGGAATGGAAGCGTCGCCGGGTCATCCGATTACAACGATTCCCATCAGCATGTAGCCAACGGGAGACGGCATGACTACGACGTGCAAGCCATGGAATCCGACATCAGCTCGCGTCCCACCGTTGCCAGGAACCCAATTCCCGCGCCGACTGTTACGATCCGTAGCGAATTCCCAACACTTAACAGGTCTCGCCAGCAGCAGTCTCTAACCTGCCTGATCACGGTAGAAGTACCCGAGGGCAGTTGGCAACCGGATGCAAATGATCTGCAAAGCACCGAGCAGCCCCAGGACGAACCTTACGGTGCAATGCAAGTTTCCACCGGCCAAGAGCCCAAACAAGCGCCGTATGAAAGCCAAGAGAACCTGGATGAACTTGCCGAGGAGTTGCGGAACAAGGTAGACAACTGGCACGGACTTGAATTCAACCGGTAATTGGCCCATTGGGATGGGTGATTTAATCTGACACGCTAACGGCAACCTAGGTTTGGAAAGCTCCGCTTGCACGGCCAGATGAGCGTGGGAAAGGATCGTGCATCCTGGCAGGAGCTGGAATGCTACCTTTTTGGAGAGATGCTCATCTGTGTCAAGGAGAAGAAGACCCCTTCGCGCCGTCAGTATGAGGATGATCAGTCCAAGCCTAAGGCGTCCCGCTGTACACTGAAAGGCTCGATCCTGATCAAGAAGCACCTGAACAGCATGGAAGCCGCTTCAGGTGAGCCTTCCGCCGTATTGAGAGAATAATTTGGCGAATAATCGCTAACCGTTGCTGCAGACGAGCCCATCCTGGCGCTGAATTTGTCCGTCGCCGAGCTTCCCTGCTTCTACCTTCGTTTCCCGAACCGTAGTCAGTTGGAGCTCTGGCGTCGTTCCCTCCTTGATCTTCATCCAATGGATGGCGTGTCCCGGAATGCTGATTATGAGCTCGATGCTTCGGGCGCAGAGGAGGATGATTACCGAAACAATCCGATCAAACGCCAGGCCTCTATCAACTCATCCTACGGAGCAGCCCGGTCAATCAACACGGCTATCACTGAATATACGAACACTCAACCGGAGAGCCCGGCGCAATCCATTCATATCCCGCTCGACCTTGTGGTTGTTATTCCCGTCACATCTTCCATGCAAGGTCTGAAGATTACTCTTCTGCGTGATGCGCTCAGGTTCCTCGTGCAGAATCTTGGCCCTCGGGACCGTATGGGCTTGGTGACATTTGGCTCTAGCTGTGGAGGATCCCCCATTGTCGGAATGACTACCAAATCGTGGCCTGGATGGCCCAAGGTCCTTGAGAATATCCGTCCCGTCGGACAGAAAAGTCTTCGCGCAGATGTGGTCGAAGGTGCTAACGTGGCCATGGACTTGCTGATGCAACGGAAGGCATCGAACCCTATTTCTACTATCCTCTTGATCAGCGACACTTCCACATCCGATCCCGACAGCGTGGATTTTGTTGTGTCCAGGGCTGAAGCTGCCAAGTTCGTTCCCTTGAAATTCCCCGCAAACTGACGGCCACTAACTGCTTACAGGGTTAACATTCACTCCTTTGGCCTTGGACTGACCCACAAGCCGGACACTATCATTGAACTTTCGACCCGCACCAAAGGCTCATACCTCTATGTGAAGGACTGGATGATGCTTCGGGAGTGTGTCGCTGGGTGCTTGGGTGCGCTGCAGACCACCTCCCACCAGAACGTGAAGCTGAAGCTTCGTCTGCCCGAGGGCTCTCCCGCCAAGTTCGTGAAAATCAGTGGAGCGCTACATACAACTAAACGAGCTACTGGTCGTGATGCAGAGGCTGCCCTCGGGGACCTGCGGTTCGGTGATAAGCGTGACGTGCTCGTCCAACTTGTCATCCCCCCTGACAACTCAACGCAAGACCTGACGCCCCAGGATGCGTGGGAGAGTCTAGTCTCCGGGCTGGAGGCACTTGGGGGCATGTCTGACGGCGACGACCAACGTGTGGCAAGCGTGGAGGAGGTCCCTCTGATCCAAGCAGATCTCACCTATGGCGATCTTCTGCGGGAGGGTCACCTCACCCATCCGCCCCGACCGTCGCTTTTGGCGATTACCATGCTTCCACCAAACCCGAAAGCCAAGCCTGGTCGCCCATCCACTCCGGCAATCCCTCCTCATCCGTCCATTGTTCAGCGACGCATGGAGCTTTTGACATCTGACATGCTGACAAGAGCATTGACCTTGATCTCTCGTGGGCAGCATGACCGTGCGCAGCACCTGTTGACCGAGACCCGCAGTATCCTGAAGGGCCTGGGCAAAGGTGGACTTCCTCCCCTCCCCGGCATGAGGCCGGTGGGTACCAGTGACTCTGGCAGCAGAGCAGATACTCCTACTTCGTCTTCTCCCAAGTCGTCTATGTATGACGGCCACTCCTCGGCGGCTTCTGATACGGCGACCATCACGTCTGTGTCTGCCGTCGATGGACAGACGATCACAGCGTTGGACGCCGACTTGCAGTCGGCGCTGGAATGGATCAATCATCCGGCAGTTTTCTCCCGAGACTCCCGCAAGGCTGTGCTGCAAGGGATTGGGGTGATCTCATCGCAACGAGCATACACTTTCCGGTCGCCTTCCGAGGCGCACTGGGCCCAGCGAGTCGAAGGAGTGCGACGACTGACGGAACGGTCCAAGGAGTGGCGTGAAACTGGCGATGACGCGTTGACTGAAGAATAAGTGTGACGACTGCCGATTTAATAACGTGTCCTTTTTATTGAACACGACCCTCAGTCCTTCGTCTGGTTCCTTTTCTTTTCTTTCTTTTCTTCATTATGATACCACTCTGTTCTACCACGACTGTGCGACATGATACCACGGTTTGATTTCCGACTCTGGCTGTTTCTTCGTATCTCTACTGGAATCTCCTGTACATACCAGGTTTCGTTCATATAACTAATAGGCTGGGAGGGATATGTTTGGGTTTGAATGATTTACGTCTCCTGGGGTATGGGTGGCAGTCATGATATCTCTATACAAGTCTACTCGCAATTCATGATCCAGTTGATGCATTATCTGCGTGGCTTTCACCAATTTTGGTCATGTAGTAGTGGATCGTGCGCCCGTGCTGTGGAAAACCGCATCTTGCCCCGCTGAAAGCGCCCCCATCAGCTCCACGTGCGAAACAATATGCCACGTCCATCCATCCCAAGGGTCACATATACTCCACCTATTCTACCCTCCCATTAATAGACCTTAGGCTTAGTTGGTCTCTGCATCCCACAAAATCACCACTGACCCTATTACTCCATTCTCATCAATCCCCAATCCCTTGAATGCATCTTTCTACTTACTATTCGTGATTCTGAATATCCCTCCTACCTATTTAATACTCCCTCATCTCACTCCCGACGCGACAGGACATACCGTGACGTGTCTATTGTACTCTTGTTCGACGACCCCCCCCCCTCCTCTTCTGGGTGTCCGTGATACTTACAGTTGTTCAGTGAGTGAATGGTATGAATGAATGATTTTGAATCTATACTCTACGTCCCAAAGTCCGCAAAACGATATCTTTCGGATAGAGATCGGTTTTATTAGAAGGTGGCTGGTTAGTACTACATAGGTATGTATCCCTGGGAGGAAAGATAATAGAATCAGGTAGTGGGGGCTATGTAGCAGAATGCGTGGTAGTTCTCATAGGTGGCGAATACTGTGTAGGTTAGGCTCGTAGGTGAAGCGTTGGAAGAGGTCATGGTGGGATGGAGGATGTTATGATAGATAGCTTTGAGGGATGGATGGACTCATCAAGGTTGTTAGCGAGGTGAAGAAGTGAGGATAGTCCTGTATGTAATTGTGCAATTGTGGGATTATGCGAAAGCACGTGCTTTAATCACTTGATTGTAGATGTTCTATGTCAGGTGATGGATGGCATGGGAGGGAGGGGATAGGTCAGGTAGGAGAAGAGGAGAAGTCTCTGGCCATTAGAAATCTGATTGTTCTAGACCGAAGGAATCTCGTTGAATCTATTGGTGTTGGTGGTATTTTGCCAGATCATGGCATTTTGCATTATGGTAAAGGTCACCAAGGGAAGAATTACCAGAGAGGATTTAGGAATATCAGGTTGTGCCTGGCTTATGCACTCGTGATGCTTCTGAGAGCGGGGTGTCACCGAGAACTCGGGACAGGGCATGATGGATGGGCCTACGAGAAAGATACGTACTCTGTCGGATGACCGGTCTGCCTAGGTAGAACTGACTTAAGCATCTCACGGAAGGATCATAGTGCTAATCCTGCACACGTGAAACGCTAGTGAGGAGGGGCATGCATGGCTGTGAGGGTCTTCCTGTATTAGTGTCCGGCTCTCGTCAATTGACGCAGACCAGGGTCATGATCATGGGTGTGATCTAACCTTCCACCAGCTGAAGTAGTGAAGGCGTCATATCTTTCACCAAGTACAGGGTAGAAGGGACAAAGAAACAAGTCATGGTATGGTAGCTCATGGCCGTGATACATGCCTGCATTGAGTGGGGGAAACTATTAGAGATGATCCCAAGAGCGACCTATAGAAGGCATTCGACAGAAAGCGCCGACAAGAATAGAGAACAGTGATTGAGAGACTCACCAAAGAAAATATGATCCAATTTTAGAAATGTGGGTGATAGATGGCACTAAACGTGACGAAGTTGATGGCTGAGGGGGAGTATGCACCCGACTGGGTAGGGGGAGGGAGCATGTACGATACCGTATCATACAGACGCATACTAGGACGGACGAGTAGGGTAGGGATATGTATCTCAAGCAGCATGGGGAGGAGGGAGGAGGGGAACAGGAGATGGATGCAAGCGCTGAGATGATAGTGTGATCTATAATTAACAGTCTCATGGCGGGGGAAACCCCTGGATGGGTGTAGCTCTGGTTGATAGTGGAGACAAATGAGAATAAGCCCGTGTGATGGGATGAGAGATATGTAGGTATGGTAGCGTGGATGTCGAGCTTTCCGAACCGACAGGGACACTTACCTGACTAGTGAACCAAGGCCCGACGTGATTGATCAATGAGGGAAGTTAGCAGAAAACCATAAGCGCGGAAGGACCCATGAACTCCATGGACCCTAGACAACCTAGGAAGGACAGGAATAGAACAAACGACAATAACGTTTCTTGTCTAGGCTGCATATGAATTAGGTCTGCTCGATAGAGACCATCGTGTGACGGAGACGACGGCTAAGCAGCCATTGATCAGCTAGCTCTCGGGGTGGGCTGCGGAGGAGGGGGATGGGGGGTTTAGTGTAAGTGGATGATGGGTTTTGCCATCCGGTTAGTACGAGAGAGGGTTTGATCAGCGGGATGCCTCGTGCTGCATTCGGATTGGCTGATAGAGAACGCAATGTCGTTTAGGTTGCGTGCTGGTTTGATAGTAGTCTGGGGTTCGGATATGTGATTGTCGTTGAGTGATTGAAGCTGGATGAACGAGGTTTGTTGAGATCAATTTCAGACCGATCAGAGAAGTGCATCGCAAAGGAATAGAATGACCCCATCTTATAAACCATCTGAGCAGCCTTCCCCGGTATTTGGATTGCTCAGAGCGTCGAGTAGACACTGGGGGTGTAGTTATGAGGTTGAGATAGCGTGCAGGAATCCAAAAATAGGCCGGATCTGCAGGGATCATATTCTTAGAACGGCGGCAGATCTAATCTTAGTACCCGCCGGGGTGGCCTGTTGCCAAGAATATCCCCTCAGCGCTTAATCCCCCGCCTGATTGGAAGGATGGGCTTCCTGAACATGAACCGTCACAGATTTAGCCTCTGCGCTAACTCGGAGCTCTGGAGTCCTCAGACCAGACGTTCATTGGTGCAGATCCTGGATTCTTGCTGTAGCGTGCATCGGGATGCTGCCATGACGCCACTGCGCTGCCGGTGTTGCTGTTTATAGATTCCTACCAATCATCCAATTGTATTCCACCATGGGTGACTGGTGTTCACCGAAGCGCCCACGACCATCTCGATGGAGTTAGAATGATTGTGCCAATGCTACCGCTCAAAAATAGAATTGTGACACTGGGACAAGAGATGAAGTAAGCAGGCCATTGTAGGATACGAAATGGCTGAGCCTCGTAGCTTTCACTATGAGAAGCCCGGATCGGACTCATCCAGGGGAATAGGCACTCATGTCAGTGGAATATGTCAACAGTCATTACTGAGTCATCATGGCGGACCACCGTGCACTTTGTAGTACGATTTTATGTAGAATAGAGCGGGAGTGCACAGGCGCCCAGCTCCACCCGCCCAGCGCTAAGTGACATACCTAGATATCACACTTGGCAAAAGTGCACTCAAATCTGGGTAAAGGACGGCTCTCTGAGACTTAACAAACGGCCATTGCCGCTCTGTCTCCTCCAGGAAGGCGCGATGGCCAAAGGTATCGGTTCCATTGCCAACTCAGACGAGATTTTATCAATGTTCGGCGCCTCTCCAGGGTCCAGTCCCATCCCCGCAAAGCACCATGTCTGCGAGCTTAAGATGTAAGGGGCGTCCACTTGAAACCATTATCTCAACAGCAAGGTGCGATTTCCGCTCCGTGATTGGAACACAGCCTACCGATAGCGTCTATGATGCCAGTGATCCTGGATAATCTTCTTCAGGCTATACCGTTTGCGTCGGTAGTTCTGCAGGAGCACGTTTGGGATTCCCCGTACTCTTTGCTGGTTGTGATGACAACGAAGTCCAACAGTGGTTGTAGAACCGCGCGCGTTTCTGCAACGAACCATGCAGATAGGATTATAGGCGAGTCGAGCAAGGAAGATAGCCGTCAAGATCTCCAGAGAAGGAGGTGCAGAGACGAGACGTGATTCAGATGGCGCGCGACAACGCTGCTGGAGACGCTTCCTTTGCTGTCGACAGCAGGAAGGGGTATCCAGACAAAGGCTATAAAATGGCCGCAGGTCCTGGCTAAACTTGCTTCTCATCACCATCCACAAAAGTCTTGCCTTTTCCTTCTCCTTGTGTCATTCTGCGGTCATAATTTGGGGTTGTATCAGCTGGACTGTGCACCTCTGCTAGCTCAACGGGATCATCTCAGAATCCAGCTCACTTGCCGCGTCGACCCAAGATCCCAGCACAGGGCCCGACTACCCAGCTCCGGGCTGTGCAAGAGTTCATCGCCTGCAGGCTGTTCTTATTTTGCTCCTAGACCGGGTGTCTTGTAAGTGGATGACTGGATCGTCTGTTGCTATTTTAGACAGCTGAGCGGAACTAACCATGTCGGGTTAGGTAATATACGGTACCACCGCCGGTATCGATACTGTCTGGTACAGAAATCGGTACGTTTCCGGGCATATCTGACAGCAAGTATATGCTTCTGACTGCTATCCAGATCCTCTCGCTTCCAGAAGGCCCCCAAACTCCAATCCTTCCCTTCGCTGCCCCGGCCTAGATAAGGCTGCTGGTGCCCTGCGCCCCTATCCACCACATCCGGATCATCACCTTCATTGTCTACTTAACAAGCCGGCTGGCCAGCTTCCTCAACTCTATTCACACTCCTCTCATACATACCATACCATTCACCTCCCCACATCCACTTTAGAGGCAGCGCAGACATCGCCTGTTCAGTGCAAGATGGCTCCGACGAAGCCGGTTCTTCCTCCATTGAGCACGCCAAAGAACATGACCTTTCCCTCCGAACTTCGGGAACGTACCTGGACATGCCTCGATATAGACAGGCCGATCAAGGAGGTCAAGAAAGAAGACGAGGACGACAACGAGAACGAGGTTGTCACTATCACTCCTCCACCAGCGTATACAGAGTTTCTCAATACTTTCAGTCCTATCTTCTCAAAGCCGGCCACCTCTCGAGAGAACTTTTATAAATACATGCGTGACAAGCCTCGCCCTTCTCCCGCTTCTCCACCCCTCACTGCCACCTCGACCACGTTCCCAAGCGGAAACTCACCCAAAAGCACAACTGCCATGGCACCTTCCCAGGGACCACGAGCTCCGATGGTGGCCAAAAGCCCTACCCACATTCAACGCATGCGTCTCCCTGCGCCATACCTCTATACTCCTGTGTCCGCGTCCCCACGGAGTGCGCACCCCCTTCGCTCACCATTTACGCCATCAGACTGGAGACAACAACGTTTCTTTGACTCCCCTGTCAGTGAAACTGGAAATGCGTTCTGCGTACGACACGTCGTCACCACCACAGTCACGTATAAGCGGGCACCTCAACTTGACCCACCACCGCAAGGCAAGCGGAGAAAGAACGCCAGTCGTCGGACTACATAAGCATCTCAACATCCTTTTGACACTCAAAAACCAAGGAGTGTACACTCTGGCTGGGCACATGTCCTTTTGGCCGAGTGATCTGTTATCATCAACTACTGATTAACAAGGGTCCTGGTGAATTCCTTGTTTAGTACTTCATTTTGTTATGGGTGCATTGTACACGGCCGGGGGGTACATTATCGGGCATTTTGGTTGGTTTTACGACTTTCCTATGTCGGTTTCATTCGCTGTACTATGGTCTCTGGTGTGCATGATGTGTGTGGGACTTCCGGGATGGCGTTATGAGATGTTATCATTTGCATTCGTTGACCTGTATGGCTTATCTACGAATCCTTCGTTTCCGTCTGTTTTCGTTTCTTTCCGTCTCCGAACCCTATGACCGCTAGAGCGCAATACTAGCCCCGAATATCACAACAATCCATCTAAAAACTCCCCGAAACTTGAAACACCAAATCATCTCTAAACCCCGATCCATCCCAAAAATACCCTCCAATCCCACCCCCTACCCACTAAGCCACCCAAGATAAAACACACCCCTACCTCTCGGCAATCGGAAGGATTCTAAGCATGCTCCAGCTTCCAGCCTCCAGGATCGAATCCTCCCACGTGTGCTCGAGCCACATTACCTTCCTTCCCCACCAATCAGGTACTGAATCCACACCGCACCGGCCCAACGAAGTCCGATTCTGTCTTCTTAGACTCTTAGCTAGATACCTTACGGAGCGCGGTAGTACGATTCCTGGGCCGATGAGGCTTCGTATTCCCTTCCGTGTGGAACTTATACCTTTTTTCTGATTAGAGTCCGAGCCTGGCAGTAGTCTGGTAGTACTCTAGTTGGGTAGTTGGTAGTGGGGGCGTTGAGGCTGAGGTGTTGTCCGCGCGGTCAGGGACCCCGTGGGAAAGGGAATGTCGCTTGGGTTTTGGTGGTGGTGGTGGTGGTGTTGTAGTCGTGTTGCGTTGATAGGCTTAGACGATGTATACGCGCTTGTTGAGGGGTATTTATTTATTTATCTATCAATGTTAGTATTGTGGGTATATCAGTGCGGTGGCGTCGTTGGTTGGTTTTGTGGGTTGGTCGTGGGGGAGGGATATTTTGTATTTCTCTTTCTTGTGGGATATACCTTGGGAGAAAAGGTGCTTGGTATGTTGGATGAAGTGGGTTATGTGGGGTAGGGACGAGGTGGCTTGATTGTTAGTGTGAATGTGGGAGTAGTGTTGGATATAATGGTGTTGAGGTGTTAAGTACTGAGTAGAGTGCAGAGGGATCAGTAGATGGGATGGGTCGATGGGCTTGGTGGTGGGGTTGCTACACTCGTAGAGTTAGTGTTGAATGGATGCTTTCTTTGGATGATGGAAAAAAGTGTGAAGATGGCTGTTCTACAACTCCTGGACATACTACATCATTGGGGTGTACATAGCGATCGCATCGCCGTGGTCAAGTCATCTTTCTACGTGACTACGCTGTATATGGATAAGGAAAAACTGAAAAGTCACATTAACGACTAACAAACAAATCTCAGCACAGATAGTCATCAATGCGTAGCCGTGGTCGTAGCGAAGGACTAAGAAGGTATCTAGAAAGTGTAAATGGTATAGAGCAGAATAATAAAAAAAGGGGAAGACGAAGAGGGGGAAAGGAGAAAGGTTTTAGGAGAGGAAAGAAAATATATATAGAAAAGAGAAATCGATGAAAAGAACATAAATGCAAGCCACAACAAGTGAGCAAGCAGCTTCTTCGAGAAGGCATCAGGGAATGTAGGAGTTGACACAGCCAACAACGCCAAAGAACAAAATGTTCTAAGAAGGGAAAAAAGATGTAGAAAGGAGCATTGTGTGATCGCGAGCATGTGAGCGGAAAACAACCAGGACAAAGCAAAGCAGAACGCAGCACAAGGCAGTTCAACACAAGTCATAGACCAGCTAGCTAGCAACTGATGGGATCAAGGAGTGTGGCAACGAAATGAAACAAGTCAGATCAACTGAAACTTCAGACCCAGCAACGCAGAAGTCAGAACATCAATACGAGAGAGAATATGAATGGCGACATAACGACATAACATGGAGAAGGAACACGCCGCTTAGAACGACTTACACGAGGTGCTGACACCGCCAGCCTTGCCTTACCGATTAACGCCCCCTCTCACAAGACCAAGAACTCCCAGTTCTTGCGCTTCATGACTTCGCGCCAGTGAATGTCCTGGGCTGGGGGTTGTTGCGAACCCTCGTCTCCCACGGCGTTGGACGCTTCCGGCTGAGGCTGGGCGGCATTCGAAGGCGTCGTGAGAGGGCCCTCTCTGGTCTTCCAAACCTCCGTCAGAATTCGATACATTTGACCGAAACTGCCGAACTTGGCAAGATAGCCCATAGCCGCCACCCTCTCAGTCAAGACTCTTCGGAAATGGCTGGACGGTGTAGAGTGCACCCCTGCCATGAACAATGGCCATGCCAGACAGCGATCAAATCCATTAGGACCTGACGGAATGTACGTCAAATCAACCGAGATGGAATTGACCAGGTTCATGATGGTACCGTCGTGATAATCAAATCCCGGCATGACGCTGTAAAGGTAGATGCGGGCGGCAAGTCGGTATATCCCACTGATGTGCTTGGTGAGTTTGTCCGGCCTGATCACCCCTTGGGGGGTGTAGATGGCCTCGAAGCCCCGACTTTGCTCTTCAGTCCAATTCAGCTGGCCAGTAAGGGTAGCGAACTGGTTCCTGATTTCAGGGTCCTCAATGTTGGATGTTGGATCGGCTATAAGGTTCTCAAGGCACGCGATCTCCGAAATCGTGTACATGATACGGTCGTTGCACCCCATCAGCCGCTCAAGGCCGGAACCGATCCCCCGCATGTTCTTCGTACGATAGGTATGAGAAAATGCGGGCGTCCTTCCGACCATGGTGGAGCCAAGAATATCGATCCAAGCGATCAGGGAAATATTGAATGGAGATGGTGGGCGGTCAAGCTTCTTGACGAGATTCCACACGGCTGTGAAGTGATGTGTCCATGAGATATCAGGAAGATAATCGTCCGGGGTGCTGACCGCACTGTAGTAGAAAATCAAGGCAAGCGTGCCATTCAATGCATGCATATCCCCGGTACCATGTAACAGGGTTCGGGAAAGCTGTGAGATGGCGGTATAGCGGTGATCCATGATATTAGGATCCATCTGATCTTCCAACCGCTGGCTAGCCTTCATATGAATGGCGGATGCGCTGAGGCAGCAATGGAGATACGCACGGTTGTTCTGCAGCGAGTTGACGATTTCCGTCACGTGTGTCTGGTTCCCTGCATAGATATCAGGAATGGGAAGCACCACCCGCACCACTCTATTGATAAAATGTTCAAGCAGAGGCTTGTCGTCGTCAGAGAGAGGTATAAGAGAGAGAAGGTAGCTCGTCAGCGTTCGGTTCTGCTGCATTAACCCTCTGTCCATTGGGCGGGGGTTCTGGACTGGGCTGGATTTCTTTCGAGATTTACCCTCGCTGGTCTTTTTCCCTTCACCTTTTTTCTTTCCTTCGCCCGTCTTTTCCCCCTCACTGGTCTTTCTTCCCTTACCGGTCTTTCTTGAAGATTGCTTCTGGGCGGGTGCTGATACCGGTGCTGGCGGAGGATTCATTGGGTGCATATGCTCCACTGGGTTCGTCGGGCTCCTGGGCTCCATTGGGGTTGTCGGGTCCATGAGGTCCGCTAGGTATGACGGACTCATGGAGTTTCCTGGGAGTTCGAGGTCCGCGGGCTCGGCTGGGTTTGTCGGTTCGATCGAGTCCATTGAGTTCGTTGGGTTTGTGAGGTTCATCGTGTCTGTCAAGTTCATCGAGCCCATGAGGTCCACTTGGCTTGTCGAGGGCATGGGGTTCACTGGATTTGTCAGGTTCGTCGAGTCTGTCGAGTTTATTGAGCCCATGAGGTCCACTTGGCTTGTTGAGGGCAGGGGTTCCATTGAGTTTGCCAGGTTCAGGGGGTCCATTGAGCTCGTCGAAGTTGTAGGATCTGCTTGGCTCATGGGGTCCATGGAACTTGCCGAGCCCATGAGATTCATGGTGTTCATGGGATCCATATAGCTCATGGGGGTTATGGGCGTCATCGGATTCATCGAATTCATAGAGCCCATTTGATTCATAAAGCCCATCTGGCTAGAACTCATCTGGCTAGAACCCATCTGGCTAGAACTCATCTGGTTAGAACCCATCTGGCTAGAACCCATCTGGTTAGAACCCATCTGGTTAGAACCCATCTGGTTAGAACCCAGCTGATTCATGAAGCCCATCTGACCCATAGAGCCCATCTGGTCCATTAAACCCATCTGACTTGCCGATTTCATCTGATTAAATTGATTTATCTGGTTCATCGGGTTCAGGTAGCTCATCTGGTTCATCGGGTTCAGGTAGCCCATATAGCCCATGGGGTTCAAAGGATCCATGTAGCTCATGGGGGTTATGGGGGTCATCGGTGTCATGGGATTCATGGAGCTCATGGGATACATGGGATTCATGAAGTTGAAGGAGTTCATGGAGTGCATTGGATTCATAGGCGTCATTGGTGTCATGGGCGTCATGGGCGTCAAGGGATTCATGGGGTCCGTATAGTTCATGGTTCCAAAGGACAGATTCTGAGTGGAAGCTGGTAGGCCGACAGAGGAACTAGATGGTACACCGACAGAGTCAAGAGACGGGTCGATGGGCAAGCTTGAAGAAGAAGCCGAGGCTGGAGCTGTTGTAGTAGTCAAGGCAAGATCCGGAGTCGTGGAGTTGTCATTGTCTTGTGAAGGTAACATGAAGGCCTGGGTCTCTGTGGTCACGTTGATGTCGTAGGGGGCAAGAGGCGTCATTGGGGTAGCAGTGTATGTGTAAGGGTTGAATCCCTCTCCAAGCATTGCATCAACGGCTTCTGAACTCGATGGCGGGGCGGTCTTCTGGGACATCGCTCCGACGCGCTTCACGTACTCTGCGTTCACAACGAGTTAGAGATGGGTTATATGGACCTAGGATTGACTGGTGCTCACCTTGCATGCTGCCTTCCTTTGCTATGATCTTCGACTGCCGGATCCTCATGCTAATTCTTCCCATCTGCGCCTTGCGTTGCTCGGCCGTGGCCCACCATTGGGGGGCTTTATAGTGGCATTTGAGGGCGAGCTTGGAGCAGGAGCTGCAGACTGGCCGACTTTCATCACATTTTTTCCTTCTCACACGACAGGTGAAGCAGCCTGCACGTACAGGGTTAGTTACCGCAAGAAGAGATAAACGTCCAGACTCAAGCGCCGTTGTATCCCAACAGAACAATGGTGGGTAAGTGGAGAGTTGGACGGTACCTGAGCGTGACCGGCTGCTCTTCGTGGTCCCAGCCGCACCTGGTTCCCCTCCTTTGGCTCCTTTCCCTCCCTTTGCTCCTCCTTTGGCTTCTGGCTTTGCTCCTCCTGTTGGTCCCCCTTGTTCTCCTTTTTTTGCGCCTACTTTTGCTTTTCCTTTTGATTCACGTTTTGCACCCCCCCGTGCTGCTCCTCGTGCAGCCCCTCTTGCTCCTGTTGCAGCCTTTGTTCCCCTTGTTCCTTTTGTTACTCTTCCTCCTCGTGTCCCTCCTCGTGCTCCCCCCCGTGCAGATCCTCTAGCCCTCCCCCGTGCAGATCCCCGTTGCGCCGCTCGTCGCGCCGCTCGTCGCGCCGCTTGTCCCGAGGACTCGGGTACGTCGCTTGCTTCCGCAGTAGCGCGGTTCTCAGCGACGTCCTCGGCCGAGACCGGGGATCCAAAGGATATAGGAGACGACAGCCCAGAGGACGACGCCGCAGGGGATGTTGCCGCAGAGGACATCTTGTGCTATGCAGCAATGCTGGGGAGCCCCTCCCACGGGAGCACGATGGTCAAGTAACCAAAGCTTAGTCGTTGCCAGGAAGCGGCGAGATGATATAGTGCAGTTGAAGAGAGACAGTTATATGAAGAAAGACAAGTGAAGAGAGATATCAGGAACCGGATGATGATCTTGTTGTTGTCAACTGATTGAATCAACAACTGTGCATGGGAAGAGACAGACGATGAGGGAGGATGAAGCCGGTCTTTATGACTTCAGGCCATCTTGGTATAACCCAAGGTCATGGATATAGAAAGCCGGCCTTGATCAAGAAGTATCAACGCCATGCTTCTATTTTTTGCCATGCCAGGGGTCAGATAGACGGGGGTATTGTTTCAAAAACCCCGGAACATGCGAACCTCGAGTGGGGACAAAATCGAAACAGCAAATCAATGTCGACATGATAGACAAATAATGATACTAGAGAGAGTCTAAGCTAGCGGGGAATATAGTATGAATGATGGTGGTGGACAAAAAGTGCCTGGGGTGAAATGCTGATCAGGTATGCCATTAGACGCGCACGGAGGAGTTGATGGCTGCAGGGATCATAGTCGGGTGGATGGTGTGAGGTTCTGGTCAGGGTCTAAAGGCTCTGGTTAGCGCGAGGTGTGAACTGGGCGGTTTTCCATGCTGATTGGTAGCGCACTAAGAATTGTTTTTGATGCTCTCAGAACGAGGAGTTAGCCGCCCAGGTTGATGAAATCGAACCGGCCATGCAGTCCGACCGTGCAAGGCTGCCACCCCCTCAAAACGTGAACAGAACATTCTTGACGGCTTCCGCTACATGCCAGTCTTTTCTCTATATTTTTACGATTTTTTCGTGATTTTTGAGGACGATTGCCAGCCATATCTCCCATCGATCAGTTAGTCGCCGGGTCGTGATGGGTTGTGATGAACGCGCGACGAGATAATCAGGCCCCTGGTCGGCGTGGGCCAATCAGTGGCGGGCCCCAGTGGAACTGGGCCTCGGCCCGTGCAGAGGCGGGGCGGATCGGAGACGCTTGGACGAGCCGGCAAGCCTTAATTAGCAATGCTTAACCGCCGGGCTGCACGAGGGTTACCGACCAGGGGGCCATTATCTGCGTTTAACTCCCCCGGCTCATTGGTCCCCGGATCACTAGCCTGTGGTTATATTTAGGAAAACAGCTGCTCTTCAGATCTCGAGATCCTAAATATAACTCTCCCACTGCAGCAGTGTTCGCTGAGCGGGGTACCCAAGCGCCCGGAATAAGAATACCTTCCTCTCCGCCAGTGTGCGGCCTTGGTTAACCGCCGGGGAACCGCCAGAACGTTCACCAACCTCTAAAGACCGGAAAACGTGGTGGTGCCAGAAGCGTGGAGAGTGACAAGAATAGAAACAGAACTTAGGCCCTTCCCGAGTATCTCTTCCTCATCGTGTGCTATTCATAACTTCCTGCAGGTCATCATCCAGTCAAATGATCCTATTCAGCACGCTATTGATCCTTGGACAAGCACGGTTATCAAGATAGTGCATCCAAGATCAGACTACAGCATCGTGAGTTCTAAATAAAGTTCTTCACTACTGTTTCAGCATCAGATCGCGGGCATTCCCAGCGTTGTTCTTTTAATAGATTGCATGAAGTTGATAGTTTCAGATCATGATACGAAAATAGTATCTCTATCTAAGAGATGCATTGGGGTACCAGCTCCTTGGAACCGCCGCTTTGAAGTCGACATTCCTAGTCAGGCAACATACAGCAGCAGAGTGCAAGTTTTACTTTGAATCATGTTCTAATTTTGGATCAACTGCGCTGTTGGTTCCCCAGGCCTACAGATGGCATGTCCGGGAGTATTGACTGCCTTGCACTGAACGCTTTGCACACGCAACCCCTCCCGCAGCTAGGATTCACCTCTACATTGCAATCCTAGGGAACTGCGACCACAGTCAATCAGCATGGACTAGTGGAAGTCACGGGTACAACCAACAGCTAGAGTTGGACTTGGTCCTCGACTGACAGCCAACCAAGCCGGCAGTACCGTGTACGCCCAGCTGCCGGAAAGCAGCTAATGTAGCCTAGTCACAGCTGTCACATCACACCCACCGCTTGTCGGTCACCGTTTTCCATCACTTAACCGGGCTCACGGTTGTGCTGCGCTTAAGTTATGGCTTTGGATGTCTTCTTGAAGTTGGAACTAGCTGGACGAGCCATATTGCCTTACAAAATATCCGCTTGGGACCATCGAACTGCCCGGGTAACCATTGCACACTGAATCATCCATTCCACCCCAGTCTTCCTTCGCTTCGCAGTCTCATTTGGATTCTCGCTGGATCCGGGCTCATCCCCTAGGTTACTATCTTTCTTCCGCTGGTTGCCTAGGCATGGGTACAGATTTATCTGTTGCTGGCGTGTCGCTGCACATCTGGCACCTGTCGAGGCGGAAACCTCATCACATCGGCAATGCAGATGTTTGTCTGAATCATCACATTTTTGTAATTCTTTGAACCATTTGAATACGGTCTACGGAGTACTAGAGACACTGCGATACACATGGCAGAATCCAAAGAACATCCCCAAATTCAATTCTGCCAACGTATCTCAAATTGAAAAGATCTATTGTTGAGAGAACAATGACACCGGGAGGATTAGCGCTAAGAACAAAGTTTGAAGTTATGATGTAATAGATAGGAAATATTCGGTGAAGAGCAACCAACGTGGGTTGGGAGAGGCTGGCTCCGCAATTGGTACAGGGGACCGGGGGACGGAAAGTCGATGAATCACTCCAGGGCGAGGAACTGCCCACCGCTAAGTAGGTTGCCGAGGATACTGATAGATGAGCGCCTTGACGCTCGGGTTCTCACCTGGAGCGAATCGCACGCGAACCGCCCAAGGCGAACAGATATAGGATGGCCAGCCACCAACGTAAAGGATTGGCTCAGGATGAACAGGAGAGAAATGACGGACCTGGCGGATTCACGCGATATTTAATTGCCCGGGATTCGAAGCCTTGGGCCAGGTATCGCCGACGAAGAGCCGAATCAGAAGGTATAGATAGAAGTGGGAGGGGAGGGGAAGGGAAGGGAAAGGGAAAGGATGGCTGCCGTGCGGGCCAGGCGCTAAGGCTCCGCCAGTCACGGGCCTGGAAGCCACTGCGCATCGCCAGCCCGGCGCGTAGAGAAACGGCAACGGCTCTTGCTCGTCCTCTCAGATCTCTTCATTCACCCTCTGGCTCCTGTTCTCTGCGTGATTTCTGCCCCGGCGCCAATTCATTGGACAACCCGGGACGGGAGCACCGTGTTGACCTCTGGACTACTGCAAGGTGATCACTCTTCATCACTCCGTCCAGCCATCCTGCTGGCCACTCCTCCAGTCACCTAGAAGAACGATGCTGCTGCGTTTCACTATCCCTGCAGGTCAGGATCAAGCCCTCTCAAGCTCTGACCCCCGATTCGGTCAGGCAGGATTTCGTTCGCACGATCATGTTTCACCTCCCCGCCAACCTGTCGGTCAAGGGGCTGCCAGACTCGCTCTGCCATGTACATATACCGCAGATGACCCTAGGGCCCCTCCCTCACCCTGCCTCCTGATTTCTCTCCGAATGCGTGGACTGTGTCACTGTGTGATACTCTTTCCTTTCCCTTTGTGCACCCTTCTCCATCTTGCACAGGCGTTGGATGAACCTTCCAAAGCCCTGTGTATCCCCATTTCTGCTGGCAACTTGGCGTTTCACTTCTCTTAAATTCCCGGGTTCTCTCCCTCACTAATTTCAATCATGGTAAGAATATCTCCTTCACCGCGGTCCTAGCCCATTGGGTGACATGCTAATTTCTTTCGGCTTAGGACACACGACGCACTCGGCGCAAGGCACCGCCTGCGTCTCTTGACATGACCAACACCAAGAAATTCCAGCCGGCGTTTACGGTGGTGAAAGCCCGCCAGTCTGCAACCACCGACTTCGATGATACGGACTTCGAATACAGCGAGTCAGACGATGAGTCCCCGCGCATGAGCATGGGCTCAGTAAGTTTTACATATCTGCGTTCACACCATTTTTGCTAACGCAAACTTGCAGTTTGGCTATGACAGTGTCTCATCTGCCTCTACGCCAGAACTGCCGACTCCCGACCATGCTCCCCGTGGACCGTTCGATTACTACCGCAAATCAACTCAAGGCCCCTCTGGCCCGCATCTGTTCAGATCATCGATCGCTTCCGCCAGCTCGGTACCATCGACGGAGATTGATCTCTATTTCGAAAGGTCTCCAAGACGATCTCAGTTCCAGTCCGACCTAGATACCCCACAATTCCCACCGTCCGACGTTGAGACACCTTTGCCTACGGACGTCGAGACACTGTATACTGGGTCGAACCTTGGGAGTGCTCGGTTTCCAAGGTCGCACCTTGGGACTCCCTACTATCCACCCTCAGATAGCGAGGCTCCTCCGTATACGGGCTCGAGCGTGGCGAGCTCCCAGTTCTCCAGATCCAAACTTGGCACTTCCTGTTACCCTGCATCGGATATTGAGGCTCCTCAATACACTGGTTCAAGTGTTGCGAGTTCCCAGTTCCCAAGATCGAACTTTGGAAATTCTCATTATCCTGCATCTGATCTTGATGTCCCTCAGCACACTGGCTCGAGTATTGGGGGAAAACAGTTTCCAAGGTCGGATGTTGGAACCCCCAACTACCCTCCTTCCGACATTGAGGCTCCCCAGTATACTGGCTCGAGCGTTGCGAGTTCTCAGTTCTCCAAATCAAACTTTGCAGCTCCTCAATATTCTGCTTCCGATTTCGAGGCCCCTCAACACACCGGTTCGAGTATTGGGAGCACACAGTTCCCGAGGTCCGATGTGTCGAGCTCACGCAAATATGCATTCTCTCCATGCACCCCCGAAGCCTATCGGACTGTGCATCCGGATGTTTCTCAGGTAGAGGAGAGTGAAATCCGAGGTTGGTCACCGAGCCAGGTCGCCCATTGGATGCACATTGCTGGGTACGACGAGTCTGTCATTGACAGGTTCATCATCAACGACATTGCTGGCAATGTCCTGCTCAATCTTCGGGCCGATGATCTTAAAGAACTCGGCATTCAGTCCTTTGGCAAACGGCATCAACTTATGGCTTCAATTGACCACCTGCGCAACACCATGATGAAAGACCAACGCCCGAGGGACCGGGATCTTTCCATGGATCGGGAGTCCTCCAGAAACGGGGACCTTCCCAGAAGACAGTCATATACAGCATCGATCTCCCCGACTGGGGAAGTGATTTCCCGGGAGCCAAACGGCAACCAGCTCACGGAAACAGAGGCCGTTTCCATCGTCGGTATCGAACAAGTCCTCCCCAAGCCACACAATTGCTCCAAGGGCGAGGGCTGTCCCAAGTACCGCAGATATATGCGACAGATGGAGAAATTGGCTGCGGAATATCCGGATGCGATTCTTGTCCCCGGACAGAGCATTGTCACCGGAAATCCCGGGAATCCCCAGACAGCACCGAACATGTTGCGACCCAAGTCTGACACTGAGCCTTCAGTGGTAGCATCGTCTGACGTCCTGGGGGTAGTCACTCCAAGACTATCTGAGGAAGCCCTGAACGAGATCCGAAAGCTTGATCCCCAAGAGAAGATGCGCCAATATTTCAGCTACCAGCATCTCGAACACTCTTCCGATTCCGACTCGGATTCCGACTCTGACACTTCCCCTGCACCAGCTGTGCCGCCAAAGGTGGCCCCTAATGAGGCTGGACCTATCCTGCCTCCCCCAGCTACTCGTACAAACAATATGACTGCCAACCTTCGCAGCCTCCCGAAGTTGGTGATTCCCACCGATTCCGACTCAGATGACCTGACCACGGCGGTGACAACCCAGCGGACCATTACGCCATCCATGGCCAGCCAGATGTATGGCTCCCCGACCGTGGTGCAGGAGTACGGGCCCTTCAGTAATGCTCGGAATATCCCACCGGCCGATTACTACCGCCAGGGCACGCCATTCACCGAGGTGGACGTCCCAGTCACTGCCCAGATGGATGGGCCCATCGCCCGTGAGACGTCACAGTCTGTTCCCCCGGACATGCGTTACGGCAATGTGATGCGTGCCCGCTATCCAGGACCGATCTCACGGTCTCCTTCTGTTCGTGCCCATCCCGGCATGGCCTTGCGTCGCGTCAAAGAGAACAAGCCCCTCACGCCCATTGATGACCCCGCAGACCTGAAAAGAAGTCCGCGCATCGGCTGCAAGACGGGCAATAACAGTTCCGTGGCTAAGTTAGACCCTGATGTGACCCGAAGTGGATATATGAAGAAGCGCAAGCCGGCTCGCTTCCTTCGCCATGACTGGCAGGAAGCGCACTTCACCCTGCGTGGAACTAACTTGGCCATGCACCGGGATGAGTATGCCGCGCTCCGCCGCTCTCGGGCTTTGGAAGAGATCGATGTTGAGGAGTATGCTGTTGCCTGCTCGGCTTTGGCTTCCAGCTCGAAGCTCACTGCTGCCTTCAAGAAGTCCATCCTCCGCAATGGGAACAACCCTGGCAAAGGCGACGCAGCGTTCACATTCTCCCTCGTTCCGGCCTCTAAGGAAAACGAGAAGAAGATGCTGTTTGGTAACAAGGATATCAAGAGTCACCACTTTGCGGTGAGGACTCGTGATGAGCGCATTGACTGGATGCGAGATATGATGCTCGCCAAGGCTCTTAAGAAGGGCAGAGAAGATGGTTACGAAATGCGCCCCGAAGGAAATTTCATCTGAGCATTCTCCCCTCCCGGCTTCATGGTTACTGTTCCCGACCCAGTTCAGTCATCATGTTGGTGCCGTTGTATTCTACCCTCTGAGATTTTTTTTTTGGTTTGCTTAGTTTTTTGTTACGACTGAACGATCACAAGACCATAGTCGCAGGACGGCCATGACATATACCCAATACCCGGATCTACCCACATCAGCAACACTGTACGCACCAGAATGATTGATATAGGGATTGTTTGTTTATTTATTTGGACTACATACATAAATAGTGAGACTTGGCTAGCATTGCGGGATAGGTAGTCTAATGTCAATGATGATAACGAGATGCCTTATCGTATACATAAGATGATTGACTGTTGTTTACGGGGGAAATGTAATCATAACCGTGATGAAGTTGTCTCCTGGGTGACACCCGACCATGATTTGCAATGCTGCATCCTGAGGGTACTACGTAAAGCGCAACATCAACCCACATAGCAACGACCTACGGTGGTTACTTCGCACAATAGCATCCCCACCTATTCTCTACACCTTGAACCCAGACAAGAATCCACATCCCTTCCGCACAGACCCAACCGCCAAAGATAGATACCCTTCCAGACCGACAAACAGACAACCAACAACCGCCAAATCCCACATGCATATCCACGATATCCTAAAAAAAAGCCCATTAACTCAATGAATCCTTCGATCCTTCGATCCTTTAGTCCCTCTCTCCTCTTCCCGTCCATCTCTCCCTTCATCAAGGCAACTGATCCCCTCTCCCCGCTCCCTAAAAATAATCCCCCAATAAAAATCTTCATCACACTGCATAAAAGAATATGCACGTATGTAACGTCCATCACATCCCCCGGTTAATTCTAACAGAGTGGGCGCGTATTGGTCATTGCGACGGGAATTCCGGGTTCGTTCGGCGCTTAGAGAAGAGGGGGGGATATGCAGGTTGGGTGGGTTTGTCACATCTGGCGCGTCGAGTTGTATTTCGTCCTTTTATTTTTATGGGAGTTTATTTGGGGTTTACTTTGTGGTTGTTGGGTGCTGGGTATCTGCTCGATACGCTTTGTGTGATGAGGGCGGTGGAAGGATTGCATCTGCATATGGAGGGAGGAACTGGTGCTTGCTGGGTGGGAAGTTGGCGGTTATTTTCTTTTCTCCTTTCCTTGGATTCTTGGCTTACTTTTTTTCTTTGATCTTTTTTTATTTTTGTTTTCTAAATGATGTTCTCTTTTGGCATCATTTCTCTACGTGCAATTATTCGGCGGGTTATTTTTAGGCGTTGATATCTATCAGGCTTGATTTAGGTGCGGGGTTCGTTTCCCATCTGAAGTTAACCGTGTGGTGGGGTAATAGGCGTGGACTATTTTTGGATGGGGTTCTTGCGTCGATTTCGCATTCATGGGGTCAGGGTCTGGGGGTTGAGACTTGGGACTCGGTTTCTTTTGGTTATGCTTGTTGAAGTGGTGTTCTCGTGCTGGTGGGGATCTATCATCTGTCTACGAGTACTTGGGTGGGTGTAGACCCGGTGTAGTATAGTAGGTAAGGGAGTGGGTTCCGGTGGGGTTAATTTGCGGTAATTAGTTTTGTGGAGCATGTTAATTGTCCTGGGTTGGGACATTGTCTGTCTATAGATATAGGCTATGGAATCATCAGCTAGTGATACTACTCTATAGGAAACAAAATAGATTTGGGAGGTTGTTTAGCTATGAGCGAAGTTGTTCGTTTGATAGCTGAAACTCCTGGCTAGTTCGCATTCGATATGTCTCGATGGAAGATAAGTATGGATGGGATATGCTCAGGCGATGAGATCTTCGGTTGGCACTTAATGCTCTCTCTCATCAAGCTCTTTGCGTTTCAATGATGGCTCATAATCTCACAGATGTCTTGAGGAACGGCCGTAGCAGTTATCTACTCTCTAAAGCTGCAGCTGTAACTGTTCTGCATCCTTTCATACCTATTCCTCACGTGTGAGAGTACCAGGTACCTCACTCAGAGCAGACTACTGGAGTGGCCAACAGCAAGCACATTTCCATTAATTGCTGTCACTTACATCTCAAGCCCTGCACTTCTTACCATCTTCCCTGACCACGATGTATGACTGCCAAGCCGACTTTGAGACCCGGAGGGTACCCCGGTCCGAACACGTTGTTTTTGATGTCCACGACCTGCGAGCTGAGATCTTCTGCTTTATCGAGGCATTATTGATAGGTAGCTCATAGTCGTAACTGTGCTCAGGTACTCTCATCCCAGTTTCTGATTTTGTATGTGTACTAGCACTTGTGGTTGTAGATGCTTTTCTTCTGCACATATCCTCGGCTCTTCAATATGCTCGCTTGTCTGAACATATTGGTTAGCATACACGGGTGCTTCAGTCCCTCGTTCTCGTCATCTCTCCAGCGATCTGGGATCCAAGTTCCTCTGCATCATGAAATCATCTTTGGAGTATCAATATCGAAATTAGCTCACACCATGTCCAATATCACCTCAGGCCTTCTACCAAGGTCCCCCGTATATTTCTATAAACTGCCCTAGCAATTCCTACTTTTTATATCTTCCATCACATGATATTGACATGCTCCCATCTTGGGAAGAGAGTATAGCAGTCTTTCTGATACATTGAGGCCCTCGTTTTGTAATAAAGACTGTAAGGGTGGGAGGGACCCTTACTAGAGGGCTTTTTGGGAGATCATTCGCAGAATCAAATGCTTCATTGAACCAATTTAGATATCCTGCTGACCTACCACTCAGTATATATTCCTTTTTAACTAGTTTCCAAGTGCAAGATGAATGGGTTGGTAGGGATTTAGTGGTCTACTGCTGACCTGCATTGTGATAAGGGAAGGTATTTAGAAGATCTAGCACATGGGTCTCTCCTTTTGGTTATACGCTTGTAGAGAGGTCATAGAGAAATGGTATGATCGTACGTCCAGGGCGTAGGTGATGTAATCCGTTGCCAGATGGTTGGATTGTCGAATCTGAAGGAAAAGACAAGCTATGTAGGGGATACTAGGTTCTGAGTAGGGGATACTGTGTCTTATTATGAAAGTCTTCACTAAGCAGATCAACAGTATCCGCCTCTTGCTCATGTAGGAGTAAAGATAGGCTGCCATATAGATAAATTTCTTTTTATATGAGCGTTCATTAGGATCTTATGAGCCATTATTCCCTTGATATCTGGAATCACAAGTACATCTAGCAATGCAAGTCGGACTGCAAGGTCTCCATGCCTTGTCGTGGAAAGGATTAGCCTTGCTCACAAAATGGCAGGTAGCTCTTCAGGACAGGGGTTGAGTTCCCCCCTGTATTCACGTAGGTATGTTATGTATTATCGGCAACAAGGAACCGTGGCTCATTCAGCTCATGGTCCAAGTACGATTCCACCTGGATTTCATGTCTTTCTGGTACTATTGAAAACCGAGCCTCTGAGTATGATTGCGACCCTGTGCTGCTTTCCGTATGCTAGTCGATGAGTCTCGGGGTATGAACGCAATCGGAGCATTTCTCTCGGATTCGATATGCCAGCACTAGCACAATCTGCATTTGGCCCACAATACCTGGTCCGTACACGGCGGATTATTCAAGTAGCCGGTGGCACATTCTTCATCTTCACTGCGTTTAGTTCGACATGTTGACTAGTAAGCCGCATGCTCTCATCGAAGGGCTGGAGGCACTCCGTTTGAGTTCGAGGAAACTGAAAGGCCAGGTCACATTTGAAAGATGGCTCAAGCTTTGGGGGCATAAACAACTGTTGATAGATGCTTATCATCAATATCAGCGTACCGTGAGGGGAATAATCAGACACTCTAGTTTCTTGGAAGAGCTACCCCAAGAGCCTCTTGAGCCATATTGCAAGACCCTCCATGGTTACCAGTTAGCTGGCTCACCACAACGTCCCTCACGTATATCCATGCTATCACCGTGATTGTCCCCTCCGATGTCCACTATCAAACCGTAACGAATGCAACGTGGCTGCTAGAGCATTGTCGTATTCGCCGCTGGGTAAGCAGGCTATTGCAACATTGTGGCCCCGATCCTTCCCAGAGTATAGGCGTTATGATCATCCGGAGGGAGCGGTAGCGTGTATTTCGCCGAGCATGGCCTCGGCGACAGCCAGCTCAGTTGGTTGTGCGAGTATTATCCGACCGTATCGTCGCTGCTGAATGTCTTGGCCGTGTTCATATTGGGTGTCCATTCCAGGTAGATCTGTGATCTATGGGATCATTTTAAGCGGCAGTGATACTCCATTTTCGAGTGCATATCAAGGAGCGACGCATTGTTCCGGGCGCAATATGCGATGAGGTCGGTGGAACGCGTGCGATCGAGGTGATCGGAAACGCGGCGTCGCGGCGGACGCGGGGCTTCATAGCGCCTCAGGCTAAGACTAGGCCCAATCAGTAGTCTCGGGATGTAGCCATCACAGATCAATGCAAAGTAAAAAGGAGTTGGGAGTTGAAGTCGTGATAAATTGTATGACTCGGAAGATGAGGAGTCTATATAATGGCAATATTCGATACCACGGCCGGTGATTGTAAGTCTCTATTATTATCCCATCATCCGGATCACGATATAAACCCACCCATCGCCATACCCCGAGCATCTCGCCACTTCCTCCACCGGAGCACTCATGGGTACCGCTGCGCCATGCAGCACGGGCTTTGCCAAGACTGGAGTCCTCCGACTGGGAAACAGATGCGGTAGTAGCGAGTGCAATGCGGATCCGATGGTCTGCAGTTGAGGACCTCTTGTCGATAGGATGGATTGACTTGCGGCGATAGATGCGGAGGATGGCGGAATGATTGGAGGGATGGGCGACTGGACTACTTTCAAAGAAGGCGATCCCGAGTCCGGAGGAAGAGGAAGAAAGAGCCGGATAGGGACATTGCGGAATGGCTGCGACGGCGGTGGGATGAGGATGTTGGATATTCGTTGGAATGATAAGAGGTCCACTGAGCATTTGTTAACACTCGCTTTTCGTTCAAAGGCTATGTGTGACATACCATCTCGAACTGCCTCCCAAAGTCCCGAGGAATCTTCCTTGGACAGAGTCATGATGCCTTTCGCGGTTCCATTCCTGAGAAAATCCGCCTCTTTCACACTGTTAATAAACGCGTCGTGCAGCACTATGCCGTCTGGATCCAGTCGAACGAGTTCCCCATCGGGCCAGTCGCTAAAGTGCACGGTCAGACACCATGGCAATGGATCTCCATCTGTCGTGGATGCCAGATCGGTATCGCGGCCTCCCTTGGAAGCAGGGTCCGCTCCAGCGTAGAGGTCATATAGCAAGCCCACAGGGTAATGCCATTTCAGCGGGACGCCCTCGAAGGAGAACCAGCCTTCGTGCGGACGGGAGTTGGGGTCGATTAAGGAGGAGGCAAAGAACGCTCTCAACCTCGGCAAGAGAGATGGCAGATATGAGATGCGGGGACAGGCAATCTGACCGAGTTAGCTTTGACTGGAGTCACGTAGAGGGGCCATACAAGATATGGATCTGTCTGATCATAGGTGCGGCTCTCGGATGGAGCCAGGGTGATCTGTAACGGCAGCCTTCCGTCCCAGACGGCTTTCTGGATACTGCCCAGGGTGGCTTTGGAATCCATATTCGGTGGGGAGGAACAGCATTCCAGCCTGTCAAACTAGGTCAGTTCCACCTTCTGGTCTACATAGTGTGTTTATACCAAAGTAAGAGAATGCTCAGTGGTTAGACAGACGAGGATCGTCACTACGTTCGGTGGCCGGAGGAAATGCCGGCAGGTCAGACCATAGTCTATCCAATGTAAACCAACTAGTACGATATGCGTAGTGACCGAGTGGATGCTGGTGAAAGGAGAAACGAGATGAAACTGAAGCTCAGCAAGACGAGATGGAGCCGTTGACCGGGCCACTTGCCCAATCCAGCCAGAGGCACGTGATGGATACCTCAGGCAGGCAACCTGCGGCATCGATGCTCTGCATGCTTCGAGCCAACTGCTACTGAACGGGATCAATACAGACAGACTGTTCTGATGACAGTGTCAGTTGCAAGGCCAGAAGTTCCTTATCTTTGAATTCCATAGACAATGCAGTCCTGTGAAATTTACCGAATTAGCAAAGCAGGTTTTAACCCCTTTGAATGACTAGCCAGTTGACCTCAGTTGATGCCTCCAGAAGCTGTTGACTGCTATGGTTCCTGCCAGTTCTGGCTTCCTATCAACCTGTGTCAGTAAATCTCAGCTACCTCGGATTCATTCAGCTCGAGTGGCCGGCATTGAGGTCCACCAGGAGTTAATCAGATTCCAAGATGGCGTGACAAAAGAAGGGATTTAGCATTACGCCTTGGACCAGCTCATCTCAGAAAGCTTACCGTCGGTGGACCCGCTTCTGTTGAGGCGGCTACAGGTGCTGCTACAAGCCTCCATGATGAGGTTAACAGGGCATGGCATGGACTTATTGTGTGCTGAAATACAGAGAAATGACTTGACATGTCAGACTGGTAACCTTCCCTGAGCAATGCACGCAATGCTTCATGCGTTCGATGTAGACCTGCACTGATGAAGGGGCCCCATTCCAGCCCTCATTAAGCACATATCTGACACCATATTGTCTGGACCAGATGGATCATCTACAGCCCGTAGATGATAGCACATCTGCCAATGCACCAGGAGGCATTGTTTCTGGCATCCTGCTGCCCCTGATTCACCTCATGCCATTCTCGTCCATCCCGACCCGGTGGAGCACTCTCCACGCCTGGCTGAACACTGAACAGGCAACCGCCGTCCGATCCTTTGAGCTTTCTGCCATTAAGCTATACCGGAGGCGCTATGGATCGCGACTATCATTGCCCAATCAGTGTGTCTAATGCCCCTGAAACGCCGGGATCCATCTACTACAAACGTCAATCTCCGTGACTCCACTATTCCCGCCCTATGTTTCAGGTCTGGAACACCCTCCATCATACCAACACATATAAAACCTACCCATGTATCTTATTATTTTCTTCCATCATCCAGATCAGGTATCTGTTAATCACTCTTCTCCCACTCGAGCAGTGCTCATTCATTCTTTTGACCTTTCTTTTGTCTCACCACCACCACCATGAAGTTCACCTCTACTCTGGCTTTGACTGCCCTCCTGGCTGCCCCCGCTCTGGCCGGTCCTCACGGCCACAAGATCAGCGAATCCCGCAGTGGCAGCTCCCAGGATACCTTCCCCGGTGCTCCCAACGCCAACCAAGGCTACGGACAGGGCCAAGCCCAGCCCAGCTTCGGCGGCTTCAACCAGAACCAAAACCAAGGCCAATCCCAAGCCCAACCCACCAGCACCAGCACCAGCACCAGCACCACCAGCCAAGTGGCCCCCGCCGTAACCTCCAGCATCAGCCACAGCAGCTCCTCCTCGTCCTCAGACTACTACGTAAACGAGAACTGGGCCGGCGCGGTACAAGAAACCTCCGGCACAGCCACCTTTAGCTACGTCGCCGCAACATTCACCCTCCCCTCGGTGACCCCCACGGCGGCCTCCTCATCAGACACCCAATCCGCCTCCTTCTGGGTCGGGATCGACGGCGCCACAGGCCAGAACCAAATCTGGCAAGCCGGGGTCGACATCTACGTCGAAAACGGCGAAACAAGTTTCCTAGGCTGGTACGAATGGTACCCCGCCGACACAGTCAGCTTCGACATGGACTTCAACATCGGGGACGTGATTGTCGCGAGCGTGGAATCACTTTCTAGCAGCGAGGGCGTGGCGATTCTCGAGAATCTGACCACGGGCAAGAATGTCACTGCGACTGCGACGGCGCCGTCCACGTCCGCGACGTTGGTGGGACAGACGGCGGAGTGGATTCTCGAGGATTTGGCGGTTGATGGGGATGGTCTGACGTTGATTGATTTTGGGGAGGCGGTTTTTACGGGCTGTGTGGCCAAGGCGGGGGGGAGGACGGTTAACTTGGATGGGGCGGAGTTGTATGCTGTTGAGGATAGTACGAGTGATCATGTTCAGGCGGCGCCGGAGATTGTGAGTAGTTCGGAGTTGAAGGTTACGTTTGAGAGTTCTTGATACCTCCCTACTTGGATACCTCCCTACTTGGGTGGGAGTTGGAGTGGTGTGGTGGGAGATACTTGATGTGTATTTTTACTTGTGAGATTAGTATATAGGTAGATGGATCAACCCGGTGTTGATGAGTGGATTGGATTGTTTATAGCATTACCATTCTTTAACGGAAGTAGAACTTCCACTCTACGAATGCCCTATAGTATTAGTATTGAAATGTCATCTGATTAGGCTCAGATAAATGTACTTGCTTGCTAAGTAGGTATATCCATGAATAGGGTGATGAAGATTAGATGTACTATTCACATTCATAGCACCAGATCAAGTAGAGATAGAATATGAAAGGTATCATCATAGTATACATCCATAGTCATAATTTGATAATTGAAAGTTTATCACATATGTATAACTCCTGTCTCAACCCGATTCGTATTAAGCCCAATAAGGCGTCTTACCGTGTGTATATCTACCACCATCCCAGACCAATATACCATACCATACCCTCGATAAACATCCACCCAGTAGAATCAAACAAACTCCATCCCAGCAATCCCAAACAAGATAAACCAACCCCCTTCATCCACTCATACACCAAAACCAAATCTAGAGAACGAGAAAGAGAGATTCACCTCCCCTCCCACTCCCTCCTCCCACCATACAAATCATCCCCATCCCCATCCACACTCCCCTCCCCATCCCACCTCATCACCCTCCCCGTAGGAAAGAATACCGCTCTCGGCGCTGCAATTCTCACCATCTCATCCCTATCCCTCTCACCCTCCTCCATTCCCCCACTAAACCCATTCTCACTTCCCCTCTCACTCCCCACCGACTCCGACTCCACCTCACTCCCACTCGCACTAGACATAACCAACGACGGTACCGGCGACTCCGCCCCCCTCCAACTTCCCCTCCAACTACCCCTACTCCTCGGCGAATACGGCGGCGGCGGCGTCTCCCTCGTCGCAGTGGACGTATTCCCATAACTCCGCGTACTCGGGAAGGAGATTTCCGAGGATGCGTCGTCGGCTGATGCCCCTAGTTGCCTTTCCCCTTGTTCTTGTCCTTGTTGGTCTTGGGGTTGTTGCTCAGATAGAGGGGCTTTTTCATCGTTGTAGTTATAGGTAGTGGTGGTGGAGGAAGAGATTGGTGCATCACGAAGATGCAGCGCGAGGGTCTTTTCGTGGATGCTGTGGGGGCGGGGCGTGTAGGCTGGTAAAGGTGGGGTTGTGTAGGTGTCTGTGTCTGTCGTTGGGTGGGTTGCGTCGTATGGGTATGGAGAGGGGAAGGAGAGGGAGGTTGTCGAGGGGGAGAAGGGGAAGGGTGGAGGTGGGTGGTTGGTGTGGTGGTGGTGGTGAGTTTTGGGGGGTGGTTTTGGGGGGCCGCAGCAGGAACAGAAGGTTGTGAGGAGGGTGGTGAGGAGGGGCATTTTCGTGTTTCGACTGTTGTAGATTTGGAGGAGGTGGTGGTGTTTTGTTGGTGGTGGTGAGGTGAGATGTGAGATGTTGCCTTGTGTGGTGGTGGTGGAGAAAGTTGATGATGATAGAGGCCGGATTGATGGTGGTGGAGGAGGTGGAGAAGGTACACCACAATGGCGTCTGGAATACGTGTCTTTCGTAGTTCAAAGAGAATGGAATAAGAATAAGAATAAGAATGAGAATGGAAGAGAGAAATGAACCAGGCTCAGTCTTACGCCTCAACATCCAGGCATCGACATTCCCCGCATCGCTGATTGGTGGAGCCCCACTCAGCCTCCGCCTATCGATAAGCGTCGTCATCGATCGATAAGATAGATTCTTTGATTTCACCGAGTATGGAGGACGGAGTACACAGTACGGAGCACAATAATAGGAATCATTCTATGAACGTGATATCCTCCACACACTCGGACGGAAACCTTAGAAACTTGACCAAGTGCTCCTCATTCCCCAGGTACCAGCAGATGGCTGTAATCTCCGATTTTGCGCGCGTCTGCACCCACCACATGCCCGTCCCATGCATCAATCCCAGCCACCAGCTTAGAAGTATCAGAGCCGGCGGATCTTTTTGCATCAGTTTCTCAAAGAACTCGGGCAATAATCGACCCATGAAGCCAGTGTATGCACCAAAGTACTTGATCCCCCGCTCTAGTGACATGAGTCCGGTCAACATCCGCACTGGCGCGTGATACGGATTCGTCTCGGCGGTCGTCGTCTCCTCAATACCACAAAGATCAGCCAGCTCCGAATCCATAGCCACCCGTCCCGGGCGTTCATCATCAAAGATATCTAGAAATTGATCGCGAGTATTCATAAACATCTCCCACCACATGCTCCCATCGATCCATTGTGCCGTGGCCCCCAGAATATGGCGCAGCCCCGCCTGCAGGGAGAGCCAGTTCAAAGATGCCGGATCATCCGAGAAAACAAACGAGCCAAGCGGATTATACTCATCTAGAGCAAAAGAGCGGACAGTCAGCAGCAAGCACGCGGAGATCAGACTATCCGTATTGTGCCGGCCGATGGTGGTGATCTCCTGCGAGTATTGGCTGATAGCCTGCTGCCAATGATAGATTTCCGACACAGCATAGCCGCGATTATCTGGAGCCAGATGCCGAATATGAGAGGTAGCGGCCGCAATGATGGTATGCAAGAGGAAAGGTGACTAGCCTGTCAGCGACGCGAACAATACCTTAAGCTAAGTGGAACTGACATCAAACCCGAGCTGGATGATTTTCGCCTGCATGGCAGCTTGCATGCGCTTCGGCCCGAAGGCCGGGTTCGACAGATCATGAAAGTGATGTAATGCCTCCACGACAGGCAGGGGGGTCTTTGCATCTAGATTCAAGGTTTGGTTGATTTTCCTAGTCACCGCATCGACTGACATGCAGTATGCTTTCGAATCCGGCGCACTTGTCAGGAAGACGGCGACAGCGCTGCGCTTGGCGTCATCGTAGGTGCAGTCGAAGCCGAGCTTCTGACATCGCAGACAGTGGGGTTTGGACTCGTCGCACTATTCGGTTAGAGAGGCGCAGAGGAGCAGGCCCAGGGAAATACCTTGACCCGGCGCTCCTTGCATTTGAGGCAGCCGGCACGGGACTTGCGGTGCGCGCGGCGGGGATGAAAGGTGCGTTCGGGGGGATTCAGCTGGAGGACGCTCTGCATGGTGCCAGCCCCCTAGTTGCGATACCATGGACAGGTGCCACATCTGACCCACAGCGATATACCGATTAGCTTGAATCGGATAAAGAGATGACCATAAGATGGTGGTCAGTCCACCTGGCTAGACTAGTCCTATTACGGAAACTCGTATTCGGACCGCATCCATCACTCCTTATGGAGTCAGTTCCATACCCTGAACAATGACCTTTTCTCAGCTATACCAATCAATAGATAGCTGGGTTTGAAAGCTGCGGCATGTCCAAGCTAAATGTATGATTACATGGGCGTGGAGGCAGCCTGGTTGACCTACAACATCAGATACGATGCACCATAACGAGGATATGAACAGTTCGCAAAATGACTTTGACCAGTAAGCCATGATTACTATAAACTGTGCGCATGGATGGAAAGTTGAAGTGAGAAGATAGCAAAGCAACAACCCTGCATCTCTCTGGATCAGTAGTCCATGATTGCTCCACTCATCACAACCATGCATCTATAAGACACAACGGTCAAAACACCTAGTTAATACCAAGCTAATGCTTGTTGCTGACACTTACAATCAACAACGACACTAATGCTTTCACCTAGGGTCGGCTGCAAAAATAGGCCTTAAAGACCGTGCAAAGGACTGCCGACGTAGACAGAGCAAAAGCCCCGATACGACTGATACAGCATAGTACAATGAAAGCGTATGCAACAACTTATAATCATAACTCCATACCACTACACCCTCACCCTAACCAATCTTCGCATTCGAGAAATCCATCTCTGCACACACACACCATTAGCACAACTCACCCAACCGCCCCCCTCCCCCCCTCCCCCCAAAAAGAAAAAAAAAGAAAAATACTAACCAGGATGATCCGCCTGAAACCTCCTCAAAATATCCCTCTTCTTCTGCTCATCACTCGTCAACCCGCCCATCTCCTTCTGTCTCTGATCATACATCATCTTCTCAACCATGGCACGGGTCTCGCCATCCAAATCACTCAACGACGACGACTCCGGCGTAATCTTGCTCACGTCGATTTTCGGCGCCCCGACCACCACATGCGGCCACCATTCTACCTTGTTGACTTTGTCCAGATGGATGACGATTTCTTTGCCGGGGGGGTGGGAGGTGGATTCGAGGGTCCAGGAACATTCGTCCGGGAGGACGGGGTGGGGGTATTCGCCCTAGAGCCATAATTCTAATTAGCATCTCATTTTTCGTATGTGAATGGTGTCTGGAGATTGGAGGTGGGCATAGGAGGTAGTGGGGATTGGGGCACCTCAATCACAGCATCCTGCCCCTTCACCGCAACACGAATCTTCGTCTTAGTAAGAAGCACATCCAGATCCCGACCACGCAGGTTCGCAGCGACCGGGATCGTCACGTCCACGTCGCGGATCGTTTGCGTCCATTTGTACGGCAGCTGGGCTTGTTCGGCGGCTTCTTGGGCCTTGCGGGCTTTTTCTTCCTCGTCGCGGCGGGCAAGCTCGGCGGGGGTGGGTTCTTGTTCGGACATGGTGTTCCTCTTTACTCAGATTAGATTGGTTCAGTGAGGAGGAGGGGAGTGAATGGTAAGAGGGGCGTACGGTTTGGAATGAGTGGTGTGGGAGAATAATGGTGGTCTGAACTGAACTGGAAGCTTCCGCGTTGCGGGGCTGCGGAGCGGAGCTACCACTCATCTTACTCAGTACTTCATATGTGCTCCATACAGCTACGCATACTCTAACAATTTCAGTCATAGAATAGATCGGCTATCACAGCTGTCCATCCAGTAGACACACCCAGCGCCAGCGCTAAGCAACTGCAACAACTAGGCAACCACCGTAGTGATCTTAATATCTGCAAAATGGCATACCACCGAGACAATAACTCCACCGCACCTTTTCCGACGCCCTAGATCCATCCACCATCATTCAGTACTGTCCGTTAATGTTTCCTCCGCCAACAGCTCCGCCTCGTCCAGTCCATCCGGATATGCAGACGCTTCTTCGATATGCATCACTTCGCCGCGTTCCACCCCCTCAACAACGTCGAAGAACTGTCCCGCGAATTCGGCCATCTCGTTCGCCAGCTTGTTCTCGAGAATCCCCTCTAGTAGACGCATGTCCTCCTTCCACTTGCGCTCCTGGCGGGCCTTTTCTTCTGCCGACCGGCGGCAGGTCCCGTCCTGCTCCCGGACCTTGTGGCAGTTCGGACACAGGTAGTTGACTTCGCAGTACGAGCAGTTGCACGGCGGGTAGACCGATGTGCAGTCCTCACACACGTACACCTGGCACCCGATGCATTCGCGGAGCACGCTAGAACATCGCTGGCGCTGGTCGCCCATTGCCCGATACTGCGGACAGAAGAACGACTGGCATCCTTGCCATTTCGGCTGCTCCGACGGCGAGTCACAGTACACCGAAGACGGGGAGGAGGACGAGCGAGAGCGGTTCGAGTTGGAGATCGAGAGACTGCGGGAGCGGCGATGGAGCAACGGAGTGGGTCGGTCATGCACCGCGCTACTCGCCTCACCGAATCCGTCGTGGTGGTCTTCAGTGAAACTGCTCGTGGTCGAATCGATAATCCGCTGGGACCGATAGGGCAGCTCAAATTCCGGCACGGAATGCGTGTAGGTCATCCGCGATGCAAACCCGCGAGAGCCGGACTCGGCGTGCTTTTGAATCGCGATCTTTTCCGAAGTCAGATCCCGATACCCGCAGATTCGCAAGCGGAGGCCCCGCAGATCATGCTCAATGCACAACGGTTTCGAGCAGCTCTTGCAGTGCACCTTCCACTGCGGCGTGTCGTAGCAGTCCTGGCACAGATTGCGGGGACACGCGGCGGGCTGTCGGTCGGGCGGGCCCAGCAACCACCGCATCATGGCAATATGGCCGGTCTCCAGCGTGTAGTCGGGCTTGCGCGGGTCTCCATAGGCGTCTCGCGGGAACGTCTTGCTCCATTCCTGCGCCGAGTACTCCAGGTCCTCCCAACCCTGTCCGCGGGGCAGAGGCACGGCTCGCACTTGGTCCACATCGCGGTTCGGCGTGCCAATACTGATGCCACCACCGCCCGAGAAGATGGGCTCCGTGCAGCACCAATGGAACGTAAGGGCCGGATAGGAGGGGGCGGAACTATTCGGTATCGTAGTCTCCGTGTGTTCGACCGGGTCTTGCATCGAACAGGGCGACATGGTAGCGCCAGGCGCCCACCAGAAGGGACTGGCATCCGAAGACGAGTCCGACCGGGACTGGCAGTGCAGATAGGGCCGTTCATAAGCGCAGCTCGCACACAGGGTCTTTCGACACCCGACACAGTGCATCAGGATACTACATTGCTCGCACCGCTCCGAGATCATCTCGCAGCAGTTATCGCAACGGATGTTCTCAGTAAACTGGGTATGGCTCCGACGCAGATGGGCCGGGAGCATCTTCCCTTCCCCATGGTCTCGTCCCTCGCCCGTCCCCAGAGCTTCGCCGTCGTAGCCCGTCTCGCTGTGTTCCCACAGCTTCGCATCCCGTTGAGCCGGGCGGCTGGTCGGGTCGGTCGGACCGATCCAGTTCTTCGACCTCCACAACCGATCAAAGACAACCCAGACCTCGGCGGAGCCCTGCGGAACCCGCATCGACACGTAGCCCCGTCTCCGGAAGCACCGCCCCGCCGGGGTCGAGCACCATGCCGTATCCGTCCAGATGCCCAGCTTGTGGCAGAGATTCACGAGCTCATGAGTCGGTTCCGAGTCGGAGTCTTTTCTCGACAGCGAGGAAGTCAGATACGGTCGTCGTCGATGATGTCGACATCGATACGTGTAGAGACTCTTCAGTGCCAGGTGCTTCGTAGCGGGAGAGCTGCCGATATTCTGCTCCATGTTGACATCGTACTGGAGGCCAAACATGGTCAGATACGGGATGATGTGGTACTTTAACGAGACATTCTTGCATCCTCGAACGGAGAGGTGCTCCAAGGCCTCTCGTCGAGAATGTAGCACCGTCGAGATCAAGATCTGCCCCGAAACAGCCGTGTTATCCAACTCCAAACTGCGCAAGCACGGACTGAACGGAATCACCACGTTCATCAACAGCTGGTCGAGCGCGTACGGGCGCGACTGGCGCGGGATAACCGCCTCGGCAGATCCGGTGAGGATGACGCGGAGGGGCGGGGGTGTGCCGGAGGGATACAACAGTCGGAACGACAGGTACTTCCATGCGGTCGGATAAGAGCGGAGAAACGAGCGGAGGTAGCGGGAGGTGTGGTAGAGTTTCAGAATGGTATCGGTGGGAGTCTGCAGCAGAAGGGATTCGAGGATGGGGGCATTGGTGGTGACGACGAGTTCAAAGGTCGAGAGAGCATGCTGGGCTGGGAGGACCGACTGTTCCAGAGCGGATTCCACCAGGTCTTGCGGGACTCCGCTGGGCTTGCCGGCCAGAATCGACCCCGGCTCCGATCGGGCCAGGGCGGGCGCTGCCGGGGGATAAGGCATGGATGACATGGTCGAGATCGGATTACGGGAGCCTTCCTGGTCTTCTTCAGCAACAGCAGCCTTGGTGATCACCTCCAGCGAGGCAGTGAGAGGTCAGAGTGACGCGGGATCGCGAGCACAGCGGAGAATGCGGGAGAGGCCGCACATCATAAAGAAAAGGACAGGAGAGCGTGCGCAAGGAGGGCGTTTACACCCAAAGGTTGGACATCATGCGAGGCCATCCAAGGGAGCGAGAGGGAGTGATGACAACACCGGGGGGAGTGGATGGGGATGGAAGGTGAATGGGGGATGGGGGAGGGTGGCTTTGACAACTCAGCTCAGATTTGGGGATTGGCACAAAAATCCAACGGGCGGCCGGCAATCATGTGATAGGTCGCCTTGGCCCTCCGTTGGGAGCCATCAGCAGATTTCTTACGGATGACCAGGAGATCCTTATTTGATTCATGATCCATGATTCATATGATTCATATGATCCCTAGGGTTGAGAGGATACTCGGTGGGTTCTGGGTTTCCTCTAAGAACAGTGGGGAGACTATTGATCGTCGGATGATTATTGAATATTGAACCTTTTCCCTCTGCCCGCTGCCCATATCGCAGTAGGGCAGGAAACCACTAGTTTGCCCGACTAGTTCGGCCAACCGGCTTTGCCTGCTCCAACGGTCGCCCAACACTGAATGAATCCCTTCTCCCTTTTCCTGCGCCAGGAGATGCCTAACTAGTGTCGGTTTATTGCCTCGCCCACCGTGTATCCCCTTGCAATGCCCTTGCGCCCTTCCACCACCAGTGTGCTGTCCGCCGCGTCCTCGTCCTCGTACTGGATATCAAAATCACTTCCCAGCCCCTTCCACGTCCGTTGCGACCGCAAGAATTCCGCTCCCGGCGAAAAGGTCCCGCCGATCATCGCCACATCGCCTTTGGCTCGTCTGGCGAGGGCCCGCGCTGCAGATGGCCCACCAGCAGATGAGGCGGCATCTTCTGAAGCAGAAACGCGGGGTGCAGCGTTCCGCATGGGCCGAGAATGCGAAACATACCGGCCAGTGCGCAGGTCGAACTCTGGCGGTGCGGACTCGGGTTCCGACATATCGTCCTCTTCTCCTGTCTCCCCGTTTGCCGTGGTGTCCTGGGCCTCGGCGGCTGACCGATCCAGGACGCTCTGAAAGTCACTCTGCCAGGCTCCCGTCCAGACCCGCTCCGCGTCCCCTTGAAGCGCCAGCTCCAACTCCGACGGCGTGATGATCGGCTTCCAGAAATCCCTGCTGTCGACCAGGGAGCTTTCCCAGCACCCGATCATCACCCAGCCCTCAATCTCGCTGAAATTGGCGACCTTGGCAGCATTCAACTTGCCCACCACAAACAGATAACTCTTCTTCCCGGCCGCCGCAATCCGCTCCCGAACATGGTCCACAATATGCAAGTAGTTCTTCACACTCAGCGTGTTGACCAGGATGCCAAAGATCGGAGCGGTATTCAGGGACGTCAAGAGGGCATAGCGACGACGCAAGGTCGCCGTAGTAGACGCGGCCAAGGGCTTGACAGAGTCGCCCGTCGCGTCCGTAGGATAAATGTAGATAGCCGCCACGCGAGACGCAAGGGTGAGGAGCAGGGCCGTCGGCGGATCGGAAATGTGAAAAAGCTGCCACTCGGACAACCCCTCCGGCTTCTCCTGCACAGACACAGGAACCGTCCGATTAGGAATCGCCGACGAGGGATTATGCAGCACCTCCGTCGCAAACAGATTCGTATAACCCTCCTCCACCAACCGCGCATACACCTCCGGGACATGATCACAGTAGGTGACATCCGCCGCCAGAATCACCTTACTGGCGCGATCCGGATACGTCTCCTTAAAGGCACTCACCACCTTCTCCAGCGCCAGAGACTTGTGCGTAAACACATAGATGACGGGTAACCGCGCAGTAGGCGACAAACACGACCGACCATAATGCACCACCACATCCGCATCCACATGTTCCGCCGCCACCTCATCCACACAACATGTTCCGTAGGACGTATCCGCCAGGATATACAACCTTGGCGCCGGTTCCTTTTCATCCACCTTCAACTGAGCTACTTCCTCAACCACCTCCTCCACGCCTCCATTCTTCCCACCCCTTATATCCAAATCCAACCCACGACTCAAAAGCTGAAACACCCTCGGCGCATCCGGGAGCATCTCATCCGGAAATTGCAGCGCGATACGCTTATACCGCGCCTGACGGATCTCCTTTAACGTGCGTTCGATATCATAAGTGATGGCGAATTCTTCGTCGGAGAGAGCACGGTTCGAGTCGTGGGGCGTGATGGGGTCGGTCGATTCGAGGATTCGGTCGTCGGGCGTCGAGAGGACGGGGGCGGCTTCCATTGTTGTGCCCATTGTGAGACGGATATTGTAGAGTTGGGTGTGGGTGTGTATGTTTAGGTTGTGGGTAATTGGCACTTGGGAGGGTTGATGTGAGGGGAGGGGAAAGTGGGAGGATGCAAATTTTGGGCTGCAGTGTAGGAAATCGGCGGGCAAGAAAGCCGCACCGCACCCCACTTTGGAACCCCGCCATGGATTCGTGAGCCAATCGTGAGTGGTGATTACTATGAGTGTCGTGCCATGTTTATCTACTCGATATTGTACATGAGAGGCATTATTGGGGGTAGTGTATAGGGAGAATCTATTGTATTGACAACCACACACTAACAAACCTCTATTTACAGACTCTAGTAAAGAAGCAGTCTACAAATCCGCCCGGGCAGGCTCCCCCGCCCACACCCTCCGAATCAACTCCCGAATGGGCTCCCGTTCAATCTCTCTGGGATTCCAATACGGATTCGCGACCGCAATATCCGCCGCCTTATCAATATCCTCCTCCTTCATGCCAAACTCCCTCAGTCCGCGTTTGACCTGCAACTTCCCCAACAACACATTCAGCCCGTGAATCGCATCCCCATTACTCTCCGGCAGCACCTCGGCCAACTTCTTCATGGCCTCGGGAATCCGAGGCGCGTTATAGGAGAGAGCGTGTGGTAGGACTGCCGTGTGCGTCTCCGCGTGGGGCAGGTTGAAGCTTCCGCCGAGCGTATGGCAGAGTTTGTGGTGGATGGACATGCCCACGCTGCCGAGACAGGTGCCGCACAGCCAGGCGCCGTATTGGGCGGAGGAGCGCGCGGATTGGGAGGTCGGGTCGGTGATGAGCTCGGGGAGGGAGGTGGCGAGGGCTTTGGTGCCTTCTAGCGCGAGGAGGTTGATGATGGGGTTGGTGTTGCGGGCGTAGAGGGCTTCCACTATCACCATGTATTAGCTTGTATCTTGACTTGGTCATGAAGTATAGGACCATCCACAGAGTAAATGCGAAAGATGAAGGGGGAGGGGGACCAACCCGCATGCGCAATAGCATTAACCCCACTCGTCGCACTCATGGCCACCGGCAAACTCATGGTCAAATCCACATCATAGATAACCGTCCCGGGAAGAATCTTCGGATCGGAGCGCGTCTTCTTCAACCCATCCGCCGTTTCCCCGAGGATGGGGGTCATTTCACTCCCCGCATAGGTCGTGGGGATACAGATGTGCGGGAGACCGGTGCGGATGCTAATCGCTTTCCCTAGACCGATGGTGCTGCCGCCGCCGATGGAGATCACGCTGTCTGCATTTTGGGCCGTTGCGTATTCGAGAGCCTTGTCGGTGATGTGGGTGGGCGTGTGCATGGTCGCCTCGGTGAAGATGCCCGCGACTTGGCCATTGAGGATGGCTTTCACGCTCTCGGCTTGGTGGGTTTGTTGGGGGGTGCAGAGGACCAGTGGAGATTTGAGGTTCAGGCGGGTGAGTTCGGAGGGCAGTTGGGAGAGGGTGCCGGGGCCGAAGAGGACGCGGCTGGGGGAGGAGTTGTATTCGAAGGAGTTCATGGTGGTCATGGTGAGGGTCGTGGTGGTCGTGGTGGTGAGGATGGGATGGGATGGATGGGAAGATGAGAGTATAGAAGTAGGGACAGGATCGGTTATATGCATTGCCTAGATCGACTCAGGAACACCCAGCCAAACAGCCGACGAAGCTTGATCATCATGAATAATCCCCCACACCCCACCATTCCGGAGGCACGTCATGAAGCCATTGGGGCAAAGGCCTTTGCCGTGGGTCTCCAAGTGGAGGGCTCGGCAGTTGGCGGGGGACACATCCGAATTGCCTGGATTTACCATTCTCACGTCGTTGCATTAGACATTGAGGTTCAGTAGTGAGCGGCCATAATTCCTCCCAGTGGATCAATGCACCATGAAACAAGATTAACCTAGAGCAGGCATCATTACGGTACAGCTGATTATCTAGAATACTATTATCCACATTGGTTCATGTCACTTGCTTTTTTCCCGACACCATGCTATGCATAACCTCCCTTTCAGGGTATCAATAAATCACTAATCCAAATCATGGAAAGCCATGACGTGCTGTCCGCCCTTGCCCTTGGCTTTGGTCTTCTTGCGCTTAGGCTGCGCCTTGTCCTGTCGGCCCCCAGCATCGCTGTCATCGGAATCGTCATCGCTGTCATCATCATCATCGCTATCATCACTGTCGCCATACATGCGTTTCTCTCCGGGCATCGCCCCGTACTTATCGGCCCCGATGACCGCTTCATGCCAGACCTTCACCGTTTGACCACCACCACTGACCATGCGGCCCTCGACATCGAAGCCCAGACCAACCACTCCCTCGGTCTCGTCATGCATAACCTCCGAGAAGACCTTGTTGGCTCCTATGCGAACGAACTTGACACCGCCATTGCCCAGACCCACAGCGACCACCTTGCCCTTGCCCAACTCATCCGGAACAACGGCCATGGTTTCAAGGGACTCTCCGCCGCCAGATCCGGGCTGCACGTAAATCCGCTCGTCCTGGTCATCCCATGCGCCCTTCTCCCAGAGCGTGAGAACACCACCAGAACCACCCACAAGCACCTTCTCTCCCCGACTCGTGCCAGTAGCCGCCAGTCCGCCAATGTACACCGAGCTGATGAGCTCCTCTTCCTGGTCCTCACTGCGGACAAGCACACCCCGGCGAAGATCCGTAACGGCGAGGGTGGTTCCGCCCGTCGTCACCCATTGCTTGCTGAATCCCGACGTGCTGGTATCGGAGGCTGGTAGAGGGGTAAGCGACGAAACATAGTCATCGTGGGGATGATGCGACTGTTGGGGTTTCGCGGAAACCTTGGAGAAAGGTGTGCGGAGATCGTAAAGGTGGAGGGCGCTGGAGTCGGTCGCAAGAAGGAGGGTCTGAGGGGAGAGAGCGTGAATGATAGTGGGGGCGTCGACAGATCTAGCAAAGTGAGCAATTGGCCCCTCCAACCCAGTCCTAAGAGTACGGCCTACCCATCCTTTGCCGTAGGAATGGCAATTTTGTTCTCAACGACACCCGTCTCCGCCTTTGCGGCCTTGACCAAACCGTCCGTGCCGGCAGAGTAGAGCGTCTCGCCGTCAATTCCAAATGTCAAGCACCGGCAGCTCCCCTTATGACGTCTCGTCCTCCACATCGTATCAATGTGTCCTCTGCCATTGCGGGATGACGAATTCGACGTCTCGTCGTCATCGCTGGCCGCTTCGTCGGTGGGAAGTCGGAACGTTTGGACATGACCGGTGGCGAGGCCCACGGACACGACAGACTCCTTCGGGTGAAGGGCCTGTGAGAAGAGGTCCGCAGATAGCGGAAGGGTACAAACTGTGTCGAACATAGCGAGAAATTGGGCAATTGCACGAGGGAAATTAATGCGACAGTTTTTGGCTGGCGGAGCTTGCAGCTTCAGGCGGAGCCGGTCAGTCTCGGAGGGGTCGGGCCGATTAATCTTCCGGTTCGGTATTACGGGGTTGCTTCGGGATTAGAATCAAGCATAAGCAACCAACGGTTTGATAACTTGACTCAAACTCAATACATGTGAGAAACGAAGGTCAATTGAAAAGCATAAATTTCAAACAGAAAAGCAAATAACACAAACGATCTGCATCCATCAAACTTCAACGAATGAAATGACCTGATACGCAACCAGTGCCACTTTTCGGACTATGTACATCCATCCCTTTCAGGAACCTGCCCGATTGTCCGCGTGCCAACATTGGACCTAGATATGGAGCCCACCATTTACGCGCTGAAGGTGGAGTTGATGGGTCCGAACTTGATGTTGGAAAACGTCACCGAAGAGTTGGGGTAGTCCGCCTCGACGGTCTTGGGGACACCGGAGTCCGCATCGCATGTTCCGCGGGCAACACCCGGAGTGGTCGAGGTCTCGTTCTCGGGATAGTTGCTGTCCAGCCACTCCATGCTGGCATAGTAATCATCCCACAGACTCAAGATCAGGACCATGGAGGACAGTGCGTCGCCCACTCCGGAAAGGCCACCGTGTGCAGAGAACTCGTCAGTGTCACCAAAGGCTTCCTTCTGAGCGGTGCAGAAGTCCGAGGTAATCGAGTTTCCAGTAACGCCGCTGATGTCCGACTGGGCGTTGGCCACGACATTGCCGTTCTGCACGTAGTAGCGCTTAATCTCGGTGAGGGAGTTGGAGCTCCCGGTGATGAACTGGGTCACGACCGTCATCTTGGATGAGGTGTCGATGATCTTACTGGGACCAAAGAACGACGTGTTACCCATGCGGTAGGGGTTAAAGTCACAGCCGTCCGGGTCACAAGTTCCTGTGGTTGGAGTTAGTCAGGACATCACTTCCATCCTTCGGGGATCGTACCTCCATAGCGATCCGAGGAGTAAGTTCCACCGCAGTTGTCGCCCTCACACATGGTCTGGGTGCTGCTGTCACAGGGATGGGGGGTCAACGCAGTCGAGATCTTGTTGGCTTCCCAGATATCCATCTCCGGGCAGCAAGAACCGTGGTTGCCGACACCAGTGTTCGCATTGTTGCTCGAAGGCTCCCAGCCATCGACGTTGGCCTGTTTCTGGTCAGCATGTCCGTAACAGAGCACTTGCGGGTCTTCATACTTGGCCGTCGATGAACTTGAGGTCTCTGGGGCACTGAGAGTCACAGTATCCGGTTCCATACTTGGCTCCGGCCTTGTTCGCAGGATATCTGGAGGTGCCACCGTCGGCGTCCATGGCAGTGAAATACAACGCGCCGTTCAGGCCACAAGGAAGGTTGGAAACATCCACGTCAAAGGTGAACTCGGCGTCCAACAAGTTGAATGTCTGGTAGCCCTTGTCCTCCGTGTCCATGAGATACAGACGCGAACCGACATTGGAACCGGTGACGAACTTGAGCGTCAAGGCGTCACCGTCGGTGGTGACACCATAGGTGGACTCATAGTCTGCACCGTCAAGAGCGCAGTTGGTAGCACAGGTAACATCATCGGGACAGAGAGTTGCATCCCACTAGGACATGTTAGCCAGAGCATCATGCAGCAGTCGGAGTAAAACCCACGGTGTTGCCAGTGTAGCAGTTGGTGCTGTCATTGACCGAATGGGTCCAGCGCCAGTTCGAGTCAATGACAACCGAAGCACTCTGCTCCGTGCAGCTGCCATCAGAATCGCATTTCTGCCAGGTCAAGGCAGGATGGGTTTCCTCCGTGAGAGTTCCCGCTTGCTGGGCGCGAACAGCCCCCAGCAGGGCAGAGAAGAGAAGGGCACGTTGATGCATTGCAATGATCTTTGAGGTTCTTGTGTGGTCCTTTGTTGATGTCGTTGTCTGTCCAGCAGATGTGTCGTCCAGTACAGCGGGAATCAAGTCTACTTATAAGTTTAAGGTCAGCGTGTGGTGATAGTATCTTGAATCCGGAAGAATAGATATTCGCATTTTGCCGGCGCAGTGGGCCGTGAGAGCATTGATTGCCTGTTTCGAATTGGGCAAGCGCTTCAGCTCCGTGAAATGAAGGATGCACGATGGCAGAGTGCCCATGTTGCAGAAAGAGGACTCTGCGTATTGAGACATGTCCGAGAGTGGGCCCGAATTCTACCACCAGAATTGAGTATATCAGGCTGCTCGCCTAACGCTGTGTATAATTGGTGCGTCGAGTGTCAGATTCACGGAGATTCCTCCGAGTTGTTTCTGTCAACTGCAATCATATGCAATCAGCCTCTCAACAGCTGCCTTTTCGTGCGTAGCATTGGCGCAGATCTTGCATCCAGTGAGAACTCCCTTTTCCAAAATAGTGTAGTGAAGTCTTGAGAGAGACTGGTCTACTGGACCTTTCGTTTAGATTCAGGGACCCAGATCGCGGAGGGCTATAGTAGAGGCGTACTATGAGACAAAATAAGATGACGGGAGTCGTGCGACAGCCTTCCCGTCCCGAGGCCGCCATCATCTCCGATAATCTGAATATATTGGTGTGTTCGATTTGAAAGGCAATGCGAGCCGGCCCCGAGTATCCGATCAAGGTCAGCCGTAGTCTCATTTGGGACATGGAGCAATGGTGTCGCATCTAACCGCTGGACTAATGACGAGGTGGCGGGATATGGCGTTGATTGGGCGTCAGCCAACGTCCGAATCATCTTAGACCTGATGAAGGATTAATTAATTTCTAGGGACCTCTGCTAGCCTTGTCGATCCTCGGAATGCGGGGGGGGAACATCCCATCAATGACAGCTCAGCAAGCGCTGGAATAATGCACAGTAATGCAGCCCACTAGGCAGACACTAGATTGACCCAACGGCAGCTGGCACACTCGGATAGACTCATTAACTCCAAACCGAGAGATGTTTCGGTCTCTGCTTCCGTCAAGGTCCGCCTTGCCGGGCTAGACGGGGCGGTTAAGCATCGCCGACACAGCACTGTTTCACTGCGATTGGTGGTGGTGTATATCCATGACGTATACTGTTTTCTCGGAGGTTTCTCCAAGCGCTGTCATCCTTCATTTCCCAGACTCCGTGACCCTTCCGGATGATGTTGAACCATGGCACCTGTCAGTTGATCCATCTTAGGATAAACACGGACATCCGACCATGCCGATGGCAGCCACGATATGGCGCTGTACCTTGCAGATCGCTTCCCGATTATTTATGGAGGCGCGCAGGTCAACGGCGGCCATTTAGCCGGACTGGGGGCTGAAGAGGGTGCGGAGCGAATCTCCGCGATGTACACGGCGTAGATGCCAAGAGCTCCCTCAGATGACATTGTGGGCTTGCTTCCTTCACTTATCATGAAGGCCGCATTGTTATCACAACCACAGATGATTCTCATGTTTGGACAAAGCCTTTCTTCTGCACGCAGGTGGGGGCCGTACTGCCGGCTGGGAGTTAGGAAACACCATGAGCGGGTCTTGGAGATGCTGTGTGCAAGGGTGAGATATACTATAGCCGCGTTGTACATCGTACATCCGGCTTTTAGTTAGCTCTGGTTATCCTCTTGATGGCTTGTACTGTTTCTCTATTGTCATTATTGGGGTACGCTGTTGCCAAGTTGGGTTGCGATGTCTGTTCAGTTGTTCAACTCCTTGCCCCTCATCTTGCTGCAGAAGTTTATGGAAACCTTCCAGTAGAGAATGCAAGATGGTATCCCTGAATTTGTGAGCCTAGTGGTAAGTAGCATCATGATAGCATCATCAAATGATCAAGCAACCTCTCCAAACATGCCGGAAAGTTTACTTTGTGGACACATTTATGGGGTAGAGATATATATCCCGGGCATGTTTACCCTCATCATCTTACTCGAATAGAGAAGAGTCTGTCGAGATTCTCTCTCACAGTCCATTCCGAGAATTCTGATCATGTGTGAAGGATCCAAGAGCACAAGAAAATGTTAATTGGAGAGGGTAGAGAGGGAAGAGGGGAACAGCCTCGGCTGGCCGGCCCCCCCTTATCGCCTGACCATCGCTTATCTCCGGCCTTGCCCAAAACGCGCTGGCGCTCATCCCAGCTGGCAACCCGCCAACCTCACCGACTCAGCCTCTTGTTCCCTCGCTCGTTGTTCTGTCCAGCAGTATAAACTGATTGGCATCATTTTCTCTTTTTTTTCCCCTTGTAGCTTAAATACATATCATAAACACCTCATATAGACGATAGACATGGCCTGGTATAATCAGACCATCGAGGTCCTCTCCGATTCGTTGGCCACCACCCGAACCCAGCTTCCCCTGCTGGCCGTGACCGGGGCCTCCTTCACTCTGGGCATCTTATTCCGCTCACTGCTTTCGGACCCACAGCTGAAGACTACTGTGCTTGACTCCCCGCGCAAAAATGTCCTGTCCGTGTCCGAGGCAGTGAACCGCGAGCTTCCTCTGCCTACGGACGTACTTCCGGGAGCCCGGGACGTGTCGACGCCGTATGGATCTATGCGCGTATACGAATGGGGTCCGGAGGATGGGCCCAAGATCCTCCTAGTTCATGGGATCACAACCCCCTGTATCGCCCTGGGAGGATTGGCCCATGCCTTGGCTGACCGGGGCTGCCGAGTCATGCTGTTCGACCTGTAGGTAACCCAGCTACATTAGAGACAATGACTGATAACCACGATTAGATTTGGCAGAGGGTACTCTGACTGTCCATCCGACATTCCCCAGGACAACAGACTGTTTGCAACTCAGATCCTGCTCGCCTTGAACTCGTCTGCGCTTTCATGGACTGGAGCCAGCTCAGGTCGATTCTGCCTCGTGGGTTACTCGCTAGGTGGTGGTATAGCTGCTTCGTTTGCATCATACTTCCCTCAGTTACTTTCTTCCCTGGTGCTGCTTGCACCCGCAGGCTTGATCCGTGACTCCCAGATCAGTTTTCAGTCCCGGCTTCTCTATTCCCGCGGTCTTGTTCCGGAACGTGTGCTTGGTTTCCTGGTTGGTCGCCGTCTCCGCGCCGGTCCACTGACTACTCCGAAACCCAAGGCGAAGAAGCTCAATGCAGAGGATGCGCTCGCCGAGGAGCTGCCTACACAGGGTGCGGCAGAAGTTCAACGATTGTCTCGGACATACCCTCATGTCAATGTCCCCAATGCTGTCCAATGGCAAGTGGGTGAGCATGCTGGCTTCGTGCATGCCTTCATGTCCAGTATGCGGCATGGACCAATCCTGCAGCAGCGGCAGCGGGAAACTTGGGAACGTCTGGGACACTACCTATCCGCGCAGAAGGAACTTCCGCTCGATGAACAGCGTGCGAACGGCCTTCCAGGTGACAAAGTCCTTATCATGTGTGGAAACAACGATGCGGTCATCATCAAAGACGAGGTTGTCCCTGATGCCACATCGGCACTTCAAGGACATGCAAGCTTCCAATTTTTTGAAGCGGGTCACGAGTTCCCAAGTACCAAATATGAGGAAGTGGCGGAATACATAATGGAATTCGGGCCTTGATGGACGCTGACAGACATTTCATATTATTTATTTGCTTATCTGATCTCGCGAACCCCTCCATGACATTCGTTGGAACTGTTTTGGCTGTGATGTCTTACAAATTATATATGACTGGAGCGGTATTTTGTTTAGGGATTCTTGCTTTCATCTGGTCGATGCTTTCCATTTCTTTAAATGGCTCTGTGGGCTCACCTTATTACTTCATAGATGGTTTTAGAGCTTCTCAGTTATATTTTGCATCTAGCACTCGGATCTTCAAGGTTGGCAAGCATGCCGAGATTGAGGACGAAATCCAGCAAACAAAGAATCTATCCACCAATGTCTTTAAGTATGCATAGAATTGAGTCGAAAAAAAGGAAGAGAATGCACAAAGCTCTTGCACCTCTTCTTTATTATTGTACGACATAGTCACGTCTTCTCCTTGTAGGAGACGGGAAGCAACGTTAATAGATCACAAGTCCATCCAGTTTTATCCCTCCCACTTGACAAACCCAATGCTCGCGAACAGCAAACCCATTACAAATTCATTCAGGCTGAGCGTTATATGATTACTACATACACAGAGCCGATTCCCCTTTCCATCTCTAAAAGTGACCCTCATGACCTCCTCCATTCTTCAGGACATCCTTCCAGTTTTTCTCCGGCTGATATTGCGAATCATCAACATTCAAGTGTTTGGCATGATCCACCATCCACTCCGTAACCTTGTCAAAGTCCCGGCATTTATGGTGCACGCTGAAGTCTGCGCGACGTCCCAATTTAATGGTTTCATCTATTTCCACAAGCACCGGTGTCACATCGGCATAGCACATCAAGCTCAGCCTCAGCGACTCGAAACAGTGATCAACGTGCATCCTAGCCTCGACTGGCTCATGGAGACTGTACGGGTAAATTAATGAGGTGTCGTTAATGTTGTAATGGGAGAGCCAGGTATATTGGCGGATCAAGTTCTGGGAGGTGGGGAGGCAATGTTAATCAGTTTCCGTCCTTCCAGCCAAGACTTGTTATGTCCGAGTGAGTGGAAACAGTACAAACCAGACAGTGTAGTTGATGGAAGACCTCCACTAGAGCCCCGTACTTTGGCTCCTCGTCATCAGCATCACTCTTAATGGTGACGTGGGGCCCACGATGGGTTTTGTTCAAGGCGGCGATGCCTTCGGCGCTGACTGCAATCGTGCCGTCTAAATTTTGAGTGAATAAGACGAGACCCTTTCGGTCTCTCCGGGGGGAGGATAGATCTTACAGTTCCATAATCTATCCCATGCGTACTCTCGTTCTGGGGTGGGTGGGCCTCGATAGATGCTCGGATGAGCGAAAGCGTTATCGAAATCGCCTTCATAGAACTCGACTGCATCCCACATGTTGGCTGTTTGGGGGATGAGAAGGGGTTCGTTAGCATTATTATATGCCCTGGTGTAGATCTCTAGGTACTTGGGGGGAATTTGATGGGATCGAGGTGGTGAGATGCTGAATGGACTGTGCTTACACCAAGACGACAGCTGTTTCGCACATTGCAAATCACTCGGGCGTTGAGTATACAGTGCAACAAGTAGAATTATGGAGAGCATAATAATGCCTGATAATGAGAAGCGGAGCTTTCTTTCTTTACGTGAAAGAAGCTCGTTTGACTTCAGGAGCTCGTGGAGGTCAGCGGTGTCAAAGGCTTGGCCAATAGGGAGTCGGATATATTCTCCGCTGCTGTCTTCCACTGGTGATTTTGAGGTTGTATTTTGAAACATCATCATCTTAAGTTGATAGAGGTAGTGAGTGAATTGCTTCCTGGGAGGATAATGTATACACAGCAAAATGGTTCGTAGAAGAGACTGTAGGATAGAGGCACAAGAGACAACGGGTATATCGTGAGCCTAGGAATGCGCCGGAGATGCGGAAGGATCCTGGGGGTGAGGACCGTCTGACACTATAGTAGACCGAGTGTTCCAAGCAAGAATATGCATAACGGCATGTTGGTATTAATTGATGCACACTGGATGCTGTGGCGATGACCTATGAGCTATCTGGTCTGAAAATTACCTGATCGAGTGTTTTGACAACTTTGGACAGACCCAGCACATAGGTACTGGCAGACATCTATGATACGAGACTGAACGGAAGATGGAGCACGTCTATGCGTGTGGTTAATGATGGGCGGCGGCGGTTTCACCAGGCACAAAGTACAGCGCATACAAACCAATGGCATGTGTCAGATAAGGAGTCGCATGGGTATAATGTGCTTTGCCCAGGGAAACTGAGCTTTCGATGTACATCAAGCATTTTTAGGCCGGCGAGGGCTGGAGAGATAAATCCATTGGAGATGATCCCTGCAGACTGATAGCGATGACGTGAGACATGCATCGTATTAGTGCGTACTAATCAAGACCAGGAATTCATGCATTTCCCGTTTCAAGGAATCACTTCCGTTATTTGTCATTGAAATGGCATGCTGTCCAAAAGGGACAAGCTTGAGGTAAGATTTGAACCTCATTTCGGATTTCCTGGGCTATCTGGCTAGGAGCATGTCCTTTTGACCGAGTGGCTATCCCAGAACGCAGGTGCATATGGATGAACGGGCTTTGCTATTGGAGGTGGGGTGTACCTAGACCGGCTAGCGCTATACTAAATTCGGCCTTCCTCTCCAGTACTACCCAGCATTAATGTCGCGCGTTTGGCCGCAAGACACCTGACAACCAAGTGCGCAATTTTGTTTCCCCCTAGTACAGGTTGGTGCCGACCCGAATGACAAGCAATTCCTTTGTATACATCACTTGCATCACATGACGTAAGGGCTTACAGCCGTACTGTGTATTGAGTCCTACGAAAGGCCCCGGGAAAGATAGGAACGACGACACATTAGTTTGCCGATTCTAAATTTGAGAGACTTCTACTTGGGTAGGCAGGTGAATCTAGAGACCACCAAGTGAATTAGGACAGAAGCAAGGAGACTGTGTAGCACTCCCTTCGTGGAGTCAAATGATTAGCTTTGTCACCATTGTATGAACTACAAATAAGAAGCAGTCTGTATACAGGTGTTGGGCTCCCTGTAACAAAGAGCAGACATGTTCCTTGATTATATTATACCAGGCCCTGGCTGTAGTCTGGACACGTTGACATTCCGAACCCATCTCGAAAACGCCCAATCATGGAGTCCATCAAAATTTCGACAGCGGTGAGTTGCGGTCATCGAAAGCGCAGCTCTAGTTTCATCAATTGTCTCATAAGACATGACGGTTGTATCGCCATGACACATAATTGTTTGTCTCAGATGCTCGATGCAATGGCCTATACAGAAGAAGTGTCAGCAAAAAGCAGGTCGGGGCCAATCCAGTAGGTACTCTTACTATAGTGAAGCCTCACTTCCTTATCCACAGTACCATTGTCATAGAAAAGTCTCATTTCGTCGTAGTATTCAGGGTGGAGGGCTTTCCTTAACATATTCTAGAACAGATGCAATCAGAAACTGCGTATGCTATGAAGCATTATCTATGTGGGTAGAGGATACATGCCACACAATGAAGCTGATGGAACATATCAATACCAATAATGTACTTCCCATCTAGCATGAGCGTTGGGCTTGGCAGATTGACAGCGGATGCCGCATCGATTTCAAGATTAATACCGTCTGGTGGTGGGTCAGTCTCAGCTATATTCCTGTTAAGTCTATATCCACGATTGGGATAATCTCACGTTGATACAAGTCGTCCCAGAGTCGATCCAGTTCGGGAGTTGGGGTACCATGGTACGGGCTACCGTCTTGCCATCCTTGTGTAAAAGCAATATTCTCGTAGACAACAGCCTCATTCGCTGGAGCTGTATAGAACCTATATTAGTCATGGAACTGATCGAAGACAAGGCCAGTTCAACTCACAATTTATTCCCAAGCTTGGATCCTGGCATGACTTGGTAAGAAATAAGATGTATATAACCAGGCAGGCAAGTATCGAATATAATAGCATGAAGTGATAGATAGATCCACGCAACCACTTTGACTTCTTAGCCGAGCTAACTGGTTCCTCAGTGAGGAGAGCTTCGTTGGCTTCATGCTGGCCCTCATGGTCGAGATCGATGCTTTGGCGTGATGACATATCCCGTGATTCTGGTCTCGATAAGGACCAACAAACTGTAGAGGCAGGAGTTTGGCTCCGAATCAGAACACGCCGCTTCAACGATGGATTTGATGATATAACGTAACAGTATGTTACTTGGGTAGATGATTGCTGCTACTTGACTATCCAAACACAACGAAATGTGAGATGGATCAGGAAGCTCGGTCCCCAAAAACAGGCGATGATGAGACTTGCATGCTCCCATTTTCTATGAAGCATAGTTGAGCATACACCGAAAGCAGGGATTATGTTACTGCGAGGAGCCGATAGGCACTAAAGAATTAGCAAAAACCATTCCTGAAGGTACCAGTGATACATGTAAGGTAATCGATGATAGGCCACCATGTTTCTTATCTGACCATCGGTAATGACGAGGAGACCAGCACTAGTACTTGGAAAGTATAGACTTTCCCATACCCATCAAATATATGTGCTCCTTTTACATCGTTCTCATTCTCTTGAGCTTCCTCTTTTTCTGATTGATACTATCGGAACAATGACCGGTGAGTCTGAAACGGTCAGCCTCCCGCTTCTATCGTCCGAGGACGACCAGATGGCCCCACGACCGGTGAAGAGAAGGCATTTCATTTACTCAACCATCATGCCAACATTCTCTTACTTACTCAATGTATTTTTCTTGATCCTCGTGCCAGTAATGATTCCCCGACAGAGGGAACCTTACTCATGCTCGCAACCGATTTCTGTCTATTGTAGGTCATCTACCAAGCTCCCCTAATACCGGATTAAACCTTTCGCGGCTGATTACGGATACCATCATCAGCCCCGGCCCAAACGGTTGGTAGTGAATTTCACATCGACATATTCAATGGCAGCTTTTGGGGGATATCACCATATAAGGGCTATCCGACCTCAGAAATCGATGCAGCATGGGAAAACATAGCTTCTTGTAGGTGCGATGACAACCGATAGTTGTTTTCTCTCATCTAAAACTTTCTACTAGTGAAGGTAATCTCTCTCTCTGAACAGGAAATCAAGGATATTGGGAAAGACCCAGCCTTCGCAGTTCGTTTCAGTGAGAAGGATGGTCATGGATTCGTAGGATGGCTCGAGGTGTTCCACCAGCTACATTGTCTGGTTTGTTGCTTCCATCCTCCTTTCTTCTGTATTCAAAGATTTACGAGTGGCTCATTTGCCTCAAACACACCAGAACTCTCTTCGTATGAACATTTATCCGGAGTATTACTTCGGTCGTCAGGACAATTCATCGGATATGGCAGCTCATCAAAGACACCTTGGTAAGTGACAATCGGACTCAACGCTTGATGTTGTATTACTATAGCTAAGTTCTATCTTATTGCAACTCCAGATCACTGCGTGGATATCCTTCGACAGGCACTGATGTGCACCGCGGATATTAATATCGTGACAATGAATTGGCTTAAATGTCTCTGGCGAAGTCTTCTTCCTGACATTCATCCTCTTATTACTGATGATGGTTATGAGCTAGGGCGAGAGTTACCGACCCCAAATTTCAACACCCGTCATGTCTGTCGGAATTTTGACCGTATACTAGAGTGGAATGACCGGCACGGGCGTGTCAACTATTCTTTACACAAAAGTGGCACCGAATTTGCGTTGGACGAGTTTCCCTGAGCGTTATAAGATGCCTGCTTAAGCAATGGCGACGTTTGGAAAGCGCTCATGGTCCAAGGGTCAAGATAACAGGGTGGCGTTACTCACCCGTCATAACAGGCCCCGCTACGCAATCATCATAATAAGTCAAAACCTTCCTCACTACAAGTAAACATGCTCTCTCCTCGTAGAGAAAGTGTCTTCCGCTCTTCGGACTATCGAAACTTAAGCAGCCTGTATCCAACGGAAGCATACACCCAAAGACAGCCCATTTCCATGTAGCTCCCACTACGAGCCCTGGGCGCATATAGAGGCCATTGCAGATCCTCGGACCCTTCCTGGCTATTAGGAAATAGTAGGAGCCGTTACTACTCTGCCCAAGAATCCGATTCAATAATGCAGCACATCAGGGACCTTCCTATACAAATCATAGGTTCATTGGTCTAAGTGTATCGGCAGGTCTTATCTATTAGCTAAGTTTAATTACCGACTCTACCCCGATCATCTCCGGGGCCTACAGTCACCTCCCGTCAGGGGTCCCAGATAGAGCAGGAAGCTAGTGGATGAGGGTGGAGGTGGAAGAATTCTTGCCAGGGTCTGGCAGATATGCTAGGGATCTGCCGTTATATCCACCCATTTTTCCATACGGCCGAAAGGCTGAAGTATTCAAACGAAGATGACCAGAGGAAAAAGGCACGGGTTGGATAGCTGCTGTTGCATTTAGCCCTCCCCACCTAGACACCACTACTACTACTACTACTACTACTACTACTAGTAGTAGTTAGCCTGACCACCGGCTCATAAGGCACGTACTAGCTGCTTTTACAAATTATTTCCATCTGGTCCAATACCACTATCCGTATCGTAACCTTTGCCACCACGTATGCATCTTGGGGCTGCATCTCACCGGAGTTCCGACGGAAGCCAACAGCGTCTGAACCGAGGCATATTTGCGTAGTACTTCCAGCTTGTGATAATAATTTATTTGTTTACATCCTATGTGACTCTTTGCAGTTGCATTAGGTTTCTTAGCGGTCCAGCAAGTCTTTCGGGTATGTTTATGCATCGTAGGATGCTGCTTCGCCCGTCACTACTCACTAGTAATAAAGTTAGTATACATACCGTTACAAGTATTGAATGAGGAAGTGAAACCCTAAAAAAAAAAAAAAAAAAAAAAAAAAAAAACCCTAAAAAAAAAAAAAAAAAAAAAAGACTAGCTCAGTCACGGCTATTTTGTGTGCCCTTAGTATGAAGGAGACGTGTATTTACCTGGCGTCTTCGTTAGTGCTCTGCTTACTATTATTGCTTGTTCCTTGTGTCAAATCTCGGTACTTACCATGATTGGACCGATGGGGTGCTACACGGGGCTAGTTATACACTTACAGTGAGCATAATTAGATGGCATTTCCTACGTTAGCATTGCGGGATTTACATGGTGGGCCACGGACCTCGTGGTCAATGGCAAGAGCGCTTGAGGGGTTTGTCCACCACCCGGATGAGGTCGCAGATACCTATGTAGTATTGTTGCGTACTTGGAATACTAGTACTTAGGACCCCAGGCGTTCGGCGGGTAATTGGAAGCTCTAGACCTTTGATTTCATATGCTTACCAGTCAGGGGATACGCAAACATGGCCATCAATTGTCGAAGCGCCAACTTTTGATTGGTCTGGTCAGAAAGGCCGATGCGGTGGGATGAAGAGGAAGCTATCGTGCATTTCTAGGATACTACTAGCATGCTGGCCCAAAGCGACGTGGCAGCTGGGAGGGCCATGGAGATATGGCTTCGCCCTAATGGATAGTGAGGATTCTCTTTGTTTGTCCAAGAATAAACCCATTGTGAAATGATCTGCAGCAGTGTACTGAAAACGGCCATGACCAGGCCTTGCCGTACGGGGTTTCGACGGGTCCAAATGTAAAAGTGATTGGTGGAATGGCATCACGGGCAACACAGCAGACTAGTAGTAAGTAGTGCCTAGTAGTAGCCAGTACCGGACCGTGCTTTCCTCGGAGCAATTTAATCATACCCGGCAGACCGAGCCACGCCAACGAGATATCGAACCTGAATAGATTGTGTTCTATTAATGCTGTATGAGCCACATTGCGCCAGAAGTCGAGGTTGTCGAGGGGCCCAGCTCCGGCTGGGCGGTCTCGGAGCGCGAGTTACCGGGCGTTATCCTTTTGGCGGAATCGTTCTTCCCATGGGGGAACAGGTTAGGCATATGCGAGAGACTTGGTCAGAACACTAAGGATTGCTTCGGGCCTTGACCCAGTCTTGTAGGGATTCTAACTACCAGTACTATGAGTAGGTGAGCGGTCATCTATTGGCCGTGGGAGCTATGTGAGGTAGATGATGAGAACGAATTTTCATCCATCCATTCAACGATTTTCCCCCAATCCTTGCATCGATGATAAGCATTGAAGTCTGCCCTTCCACCCACAGCAAATGATTGGTCTTGCTCCATCAAAAAAGGCGTGACATCTGCATTACACATAAGAATAATGCGCAACGTCTCCAAACAATGATCCACATGCATCCGAGTCTCAACAGCGGATCCGGTCAGTCCTTGAGGGGGAGTCGTATAATGATCCAACCACGTAAACTGTCTTACCAAATTAAGACAATGAAGCTGGTGGAATACCTCAATCCCAGCCACATATGATCCTTCGGAAGGACCATTTTCGGACATCTGGAATCTTTGCCAGTTCCATCGAGGTGACCTTCCGAGCAATTCGATTTTATCCTCTGGAATAGAGACTGGGTTTACTAGAAATGGTAAGCAGGGTAACTTTGCCCGTGCTAAGTCAAATAAATTAAGGTAAGAAGGTACCTACACTTCAGTAACTCCTGCCAGGCCTCTTCAATGTCTGGCGTGGGTGGACCACGGTATTTGCTCTGCTGTGCAAACCGATTGCTAAAGTTCATGTCTCTATATTCAACAGCTTCCAGTAGTGGTGCTGTTGAAGGTGTATATGCCCGTTAGCGGATATATAGGTGTTGTCGTGTCTTTGCAATAAAACAATGAGATGTTCAGAGTCATGGGAGCTCAATACTGACAATAGGTCGATGTTTGCAAAGCACATTGATAATCTGTGCATTGCGATGTAAACTGGGCGTGGAGAAATAGGAGGACCAGCCCAAGAAGTAAGATGGAGGTCGTTAAGGCCCAATGAAAGTATACCCAGACAATGGATATCTTATGTGACGGATGGAATAAAGTTGAGAGTCTACTTCTTGAGAATTGAGTAACGCTGATAGACTGTCCATGCTGATCATTTTCATCCAACCCTTCATTTTCGGTTACTCGACTGTATGACATGTAGGGCGATATTTTCGACCAGAGCGGAAGATGAGAAAGTACCGGAATAAGGTCTTTAGACATAGTAAGTGAAGACACAAGACAAGTATTTGGATCGGCCCAAAAGAATGGCTGTGAGTTTAGGGTAGGAATAAACCTTATCGATGAGAGAACACAGGTGAAAGGGAGGCCATGAATGTCTACGGGAGAGTCCGACAAGATAAATGAATGGTTAAGAGGAGCACTAGTGTTAATTACACCTTACGCCCATGTAGCTGCGTGGTCCCTAAGTGCGCCTCGGGTCTTAGCGTCTAGCAGATATCTTTTTACCATAACGTACGATCTCGTCCCTCACTAGTCGCTGGAAGCGTTATCGACTAGACTAAAGTTAATGGCCACGGTTATATCCAACAAAAAGAGGTTTCTGTCGGAATTGACAACAGGCCACTCGGCCAAGAGCATTAGTCCCCAGCCAAATCATCCTCCCACTGGATGACCACGACAAGAGTTCGTCCAGACTTTGGTGCTATCACTTATGATACTACTACTGTCAGCACTGCCCTTTCCCCTGGGTTTTATACTGGCTCAACACAATTATGCACTGATTTGATTAAGACGAGGGCATTGCCTCTTTCTTTCTTACCCCGCTTTTCTTCAATTATTTCTATTTGCTCCGGTCTTTTCCTTCTACTTGGTCCTTGCGGATGTAAAATTCATCTAGTGCGGTATTGAGCGCCAAATGGAATGTATGAAGTACGAAAAGCACAACAATAAGCCGTATCATTCACCCCTAAGTACAGAACGCACAACAACGATAGACAACATCATTTCTCACAACAGATACACCTCTCAATGTACGACTTGACATGTTTTCCCTGAGCGTCAGCGTCCATGGCTCCGAGAGCCGCTCCCAGTCAATATTACGAGCTGAATGCTGCGTGAAGGCAGTACTTGGCATGATTCCCAAAGCTCTCTTCATTCACGAACGCTGGGAGCACTTCCCAGATGACCTTAGACACTAGAGGCAGTGCCCAGGACAGCATCAGGATCGGCTGCAGCAACGTCCTCAGCGTACGCAGCAGATGCCGTGACACGCACAAGGATCATGGTGTCAGAAAGGTCCTCTAGATCAGTGCGTTTCTATTACCACTCTGTCAGACTATTGAGTTCCATTTCAAACGATTATCTGGTGGGACTCACAAGAAGGCTTCGCTTGGCTGGCTCTTCATAGCCCTCCTTCGCTACAAGGTACACAATAGGAGCAATGAAATCATCGGCATCCTATCATAGTCAGCCAGGTAGGTTCATTTGTGTATGATAACTTACATTGGCCCTCGGCTTGAGAGCAGTCGATTCACTCGCTACCCTTAGTTAGCATCTAGTAATAAAGTTGCTCGCTGAAGTCAAACCAATTGGAGCAGCCAAAGTTGGAGCCAAGAGAGAAAGGCTGCCAGCAAGAACGGCAATATATGTTCCAGAAAGCTTCATAGTGCTGAATATCTTCAAAGCTTGATTGTTACGAAGGGATGGGCACAAGAGAACTGATGTAGTGATGCACTGTTTTGGTAGAGAGGGGATGCGGAGATGTGCCTCCTTTTATGTCTTTTCTGAGCGCTATCGTGGGTGCCTTCCTGCGAAAGGCACACGCTATGAACCACAGCCCTGAGCGTACCCTGCTTATCTTGAACGGAGCTGTTATTTCCCATGATAAAGTGGTAAGCTACCTTATTGGTTACCTGCATTCAAGTCACGAACGTACCTTAGTAGTAGTAGACCCTGATCCTTACTCCCATGAAATCGTACATTTACCCAAAAAGGCCAAGTCTAGTTAAACGAGTTTCAACAGTAGCGCAACTATCACCCTTAGGACATCTCGTGAACCGGATATCATTCTCAAAGTTCCCTTCATAGTCGCTTGAGCAAGCCGAGCCCAAGCTTCTATACTACCACATACTTAGAATAAATCGTCAAAGGCATAGTGACATGCGAGGGGAAAGAAGAATACGATCCCTAACATGAAGTTCGTAATGCTGTCCATCGTACAACCTAGACCGTTCAGGTAATTGGTTGGAGCCGAGGCCAATCAGCTCTGACCCAAATATTTCGGTGCAGGCCTATCTCAGCACGCTTAAGGCTTGCTTCGGCGATCCAAAACAAGATTACGAGCTCCGCATACTTACACGGGATGAATTAGAAATACTAGTGATTAGAAAGATGTCGCTTCTATGACAACATGGATTTGGCGAACCATTGGCCCTTTCCTCTATCTATCAAGTCTCCAATGTCTCGTTTATCAAGGTTACTCCCCGCATAGGCCAACCAATATCAGCCAATTAAATGTGTCTAATAGAGTGTTGACGGAGACAGCGTCACGTAGGCGATGAGTGCACAGTACGTAGTAGTAGTACCCAGTGAGGTGATACACAACCAATTAGGGCCCTTTTATGAAGCACTAGCGAGAAACTTGAAAACCCAATTTTTTGCAGACTGACCGTAAAGCCGCTCAACGTCTTGAAAAACTATGTATTTACGAGACCGTAAACTCCCGGGATCCTCTGTTTCCGAGAACCGGGCTTTGGCGGACTCCGGTCAAGACGCCGATCTACCGAAAACCCAACAGATCGAGTTCTCGTGGCCAGACATCATCTCCCTACAGCGGAAGGAGCATATGCTTGATTTAGATTTAGACCAAAGGAAGGGGGCTGCTATATGGGGATGTGGTTCTTTGGGCCTTGGTGAGGTCGAAAACATAGCAACCCGCTTATAGTCACTCAGGATTGTGGGGCACGGTTAAAGAACTACTGCCACCACATTTCAGGTGATTCATAGAATGATATAGCTGTCGTCATGTCCTTCTGGCTAAGTGGTCAGTTGTCGACTCTTATCTACAACCGGCTATTGGATACTGTAATGGCAGGGGTCTTTATCACGTGGGAACAGTACATCAATCACCAAAGATAACAAGCGTATGCTAAGAGATATCATGACTCTATTATCCGACGACCGAGCAGAAAATCAAAATGTTTGCAATCAACAAGATGATTCTCAAGTTTCTTACTCATTTAGTTTCTGTTCTTTGGTTTGTAGCCAAAATACAGGCGTTTATTATTCCTTTTATGGAGCCACAAGCCGGAAATACGCTCCTTTTCAACTGGACTGACGTCTCACCATCATTCGGGTTGCAATATCATCCGTGTTATGATGGACTAGAGTGTGCCCGACTCCTCCTGCCCATGAATTGGCATAATACCTCAGATTCACGAAATGTCGCAATCGCCATTATCAAACTCCCGGCCACTGTTTCATCAGCAGATCCTCGATTTAGCGGAACGCTCATCACCAACCCAGGAGGCCCTGGTCAATCCGGTGTTCAGATGGTCCTTGGAGCTGGAAGATTCATACAACAGCTGGTGGATGATGCAGATCACAAGTACGAGATCGTTTCATTTGACCCGCGAGGAGTATGGCAAAGTACACCCAGGCTAGACTGCTTCGAAGGTGACGATTATGCACGAGGACTGTGGGAGTGGGAGAAGAGAATTAGGGGTAATATGGATGGCTCGAATCAAGCTGCAATTCAGGCCCACATAGCTGCAGCGAAGGCATTTGGGGGATTTTGCGAGAATTCGAAGCATGATTTTGCCGTGCATGTTTCAACGGCTGCTGTGGCGCGAGACATGCTGGAGATGGTGGAAAAGATTGAGAGTGAACGGAAAGAAAAGTCATTTCATGGTGATCAAGAGGTACTATCAGCAGACTCTGTTACAAAATTACAGTACCTCGGGTTCTCATATGGGACGCACCTTGGAAACACATTTGCCTCTCTGTTTCCGGACCGAGTCAAAAGGATGGTTCTGGATGGTGTGGTTGATAGTTATGCATTCACCGGCACGGTAAGCCACCCTGTCCATGAAATTATGCGTCAGTTACTGACAAAACCTGGTAATAAACTAGCGTTGGCCTCTTGGTTCTACTCAGGATGCCGAAAAAGTCATGGATCACTTCTTTGATACGTGTTTTGCCGCGAAAGAATCTTGCGCATTATACAAGCCTGGATATACCAGCAGCGGCGAAATTAGGGATGCGATCCAAACGGTATTCAAGATAATAAAGCAATCCCCCGTGCCAGTAGTCCAGGACAAGAACTTTACCCTTTTCACTCTCACAGATCTGCAGCAGCTTATTTTGACCCCTTGCTATTCGCCAATTGCCTTCTTCCCACAGGTTGCAGAGGACCTCGACCTCCTTCTGCAAGGCCAGTATGCAGATGTCGTCAACGATAATCCAGAACTTCTAGGTCCGGCCGCCCCTCAACACGCATCCTGTGATGACGCCATAGGAAGTCCTAATCCAGACACATATTCAGTCTACGCAGCCTCAGACGCAGCCTTTTCAGTCGTCTGTGGAGACCGCGTTGACGTTCGCAATACTACAGCCAAAGAGCTAGCCGATTACATACAGCACATGCTCGACGAATCCCCTTCTATCGGCTCCACCTGGGCGACATTCTACACACAGTGCGCCGGCTGGCCCTATCGAGCCAAATGGGCATTCCACGGTCCCTTCAAGACTCCTCCACCAGAGACAAAGACTGGACCTGACGCGCCTCTGCTTTTCCTCTCAAGCGAGTTTGATCCGGTGACTCCGGTTAGTGCTGCTATTGCTATGGCTGAGCGTCATCCGCATTCTCTGGTGGTGAAACAGCGTTCGTATGGTCATACGGCGCTATTTGCAGCACCTAGCAACGCCACTAGGCGGATTCTTAGGGAGTATATGCATCATGGTATACTTCCCCAGCCGGATTGGAGAAGTCCTGGTGGGGCGGGTGTTGTGGAGTGTGATGCGGATTGCTTGAATCCGTGGCTTGGGTGTCCGAAGTACCGGAGTGTATAACTGAGTACTGTATATATTTTGCATGGTAGACGAATCTCCGCTCTCAGCTCCCAGCTCATGAAATGTGCCATCCTTTCCCGAAAGCTCCCCTTCATGCTAGTAAAGCTGCCCTGGGTTGGCATTCGGACTCTATGACAATAACAGTCTATATTCGTGAAATTGTCAAGATCGACTGTAAATTCATGAATGACCTATAAACTCCTGACAATGTAGACACTTCACATAAGAAAAGATCGATAGGCATCACTGGATAAATACATAGGAGACTGGGTATCTGTTGTCAAGGATGAAAAGCGGCGCCTCTAGCGCTGCCATACCGCTTCTATACGACCACTCTATAATCTCGCCTCTTTTTGTCCACCGTTGGAGCCGTGGCTCCTGAACGGGTCTAGCGCCTGCCTGACCAGAGGCATCGCCTTCGCCTTCACTTCTAGTCATCTTCACCTCCCCATCCCCAACAAATCAGACAACAGTGTATCACACTTCCCACTTCCATCGAAAGTCTTGCAGATTTTGAACTTTTTTTTGTCTCTTTGACGCTTTTTTTCTTCAGTTGATACTTTTCGATGGCCGTTCACTTTTTCAGGATCTGTTCTGCTGCGTTGAGCTGGCTCGAGAGACGTGACACGTGCTCCGAGCGATCTCCCATCCGTGCCCGAGCATAGTAAGGCCCATCCGCCTGCGAAAAGCGCTCCATGCTGCCACTGCTTCCATCCGGGACATGACTGAGGTTTCCTGCACTGAGGCTGCTACCCATGCCGTTGGAGGATCTGTTCGAGGTGTGAGCACGGTACATGTGAGACACAAGGATTGACTCTTACTTGGAGGACTGCTTGTTTCCGGAAGACATAATGATGGATGAGTGTTGTATAGTGGTGCTCGTTTCCTCAAAAACGGGTCGATTGGAGAGGTGAGCTTCAAGAATTGTGACAGTTGATGCTCTGGTGCAGTGGAAATCGAGAGATACAAGTCTCTTCAGTGCAGATTGCAACTTGACGTGTGTGGAAGATTGCTCTTGAGAGTGGTTCGGATATTGAAGGCTTGGTTTGTTGGTGAGTTCGAACGAAGAGATGGGAGAACCCTGTCCCTATATACCTTTCGATGGATGACTTCCAAGCCTCACCGTTGCTGACGGCTGAAACCAGGGAATGTGATACAAGGATTAGTAGATGCCTTGGAATCACCAAAAAAAGCTGAACAGCCACAGACCAGGACGGAAACGATAAGGTGAAAATTGGAAAAAGGGTCCGGAGAGGAGAGGAAAGCACCAGAAATGAAGTCAGTAAGTGACACAGGCAGATAGAGATCTTCGGTGGGATTGTGCTTCGGAGCAGTGTATAGCTGACTAGCTAGCCTACTTCCAAGGAACGGTTGGGACTTCGAGTCAAGATCAGCCACTGATCGAGATGAGACTGCCCTGCAAGTCCGGATAGCTGCGCATCCTCGATCTAGGGTTTGCCGAGAACCAGGCCACGGATCCGAGGACGGATTTAGTCACATTCACCCCAATCCTTAGGCAATCAGAGACGATGATTGCCCGGGTAAGCACTAAGGAGGAAGGCGTGACCCAAGGTTCGGTTCATGAACCATTGGACACAGCAAGGACATTCTGGGGAACCCATGAGCGATCATCAGCATGGCCTACATCGGGCACATGAGCCGAGAACCACCATAACCGGCGATTCGGTATGCATCTGGGATCTAAAGGCTACCAAACCAAACTGGTCATAGCGGATGTTCAACGGCAGTCGTCATCGGATAAGGGGGTTGAGGGCTGAAACGCCCCCATCAGCTTGTCCTGCCCACGATTGAACGGTTCCCAAAAATCTAGACCATTGCCTCGGCCCCCCTTTGGCCGCCAGCCCACTCCCTGTTCGCACACGCGCTATGTCATAGTCAAAGTCCAACCCTTCTCGGACTAGAGATGGGGGGAGCACCCAAAGTAAGAAGGGATCGAAGGCAGACCGTTTAAAGGATCGCCTGAGACCTCACCGATGTGGACAAAACGTGGTCGATCCCATCCAAGCGATCACGCACTGCCCCAGGGGATGCGGACTTTGGGCTTCGTTTTCACTCACCCACGCTTCTGCATCTTGATAATTTCTTTTGTCTTTCACCTTCCTTCGTTTTTACTACATCCAGCTAGGATTGACCACGCCATCCACTAACGGTCCTGGGATTTCCGAGGAATCAACGGCATTATTGCATTTCAGACAATGCAGTCGTTATGAAAACTGCAGGTGACAATGTCTCGTTTCCACAGTCAGTAGGGTCTCCAGTCAGGCAAGAAAAACCTTCTGGTCTTAATTTTGAAGCTTCATCATGAGGTATGAGAACGGTTTGCACTCGATAAAAAAACGCAGGGATATTTCTTCTTGCTGTCTGCTCTGTCGCCATATTTCCAAAATTAGCAGTATTGTCGAGATTCCCGATCACCCCCGAACTTGATCCGTATGCGTTCGCATACCTGCCTGTCACAGCCTGCCCGCCATGCTTACTTGGCCGACTTAACTGAGCGATGTCCCTTTAATCAAACGATCAACTATGCACTTGCTGAAAAGGAGCATTCTAAGCCAAGCCTCGTTCTCCCTAGAGGTTGCAGCTGGCCAGTGCTCTGTCATACTTGCTTTTTCCGTTGGACCAGTCAGAAAGGGGATGAATGTTCACGCCGCGCGATAAGAAATTAGGATGCGCCCAAAAGCAATTGTTGCTTTCTAAATTTGGCCTCGACAACCACGGTTCGTGATGACACTACCGTAAATAATGTCAATCTACGGAGCCCCGGCGAAAGTACCCTGCGTCAATCCACGGAGCTAATCAATCCTATTTGGCAACTAACGCTAGATCCGCCGAGCTGGCGGAAGTCCGGCTGCCTCCTTCGCATGGCTTACCAGAATGTCGGGCCCGTTGCACAGCCTAAAGGAGACTATGAACGGCTAACGGGGTGATAGAGGCGAAACGGTGCCTGGCAATCTCAGGGATCCTCGGAGAAGCATCCGGAAAAGGGGGCTCAAGAAGTCTCCCTCATAAAGCGTTAGGCCTTTCGAGCACACCGGCCGAGTCCTTTCCATCTTCGATTCGCCGAAGACGGTCGCGCCCTTGCGGATTTCTCCGCTGGCGGGCGATGGACCAAAAACGGCCTGTCACTACGCCAGTCCGCGGGGATAGGTATCGATAGGGAAACTCCGCCAGTGCTATTGATTCATCACGTCCTGGTTCTCCTGGAAAGCGGACTGCAATCCGGTGGTGCAAGTGCGACGGAGCTCGGCCACCAGATTGAGGGAGGATGCGAATTTATTGAAAGGCCGAGTAAATAATAACGTCAATAATTTTTTACTTTTCTTTTCCCCTGGTCGTGGACACGGGGGGTTGGTTTCACCGCGCGCCTGCAAGGCACGCTTGGTCCGAGCTCCTGGCTCCAGCAACCTTATCTTTCGTCTTGCTTTCATTCAACCACACATTGGTCAGCATGGGCCACCCACCCTTGGCTAGTTGTGTTGGCGTGGAATGGCAGGTACTGGGATGACTCCAGATGACTTGGGTCAGGTCCACCAAGACCACCAACCGGAGGACGACCCAAGGGGTAGCAAGGGAAGAAGTCAAACTACGAGCCAATCAAGCTTACCGTCCCGCGTGGACCGCTGGTCAGAGCTGCCATGTCTCGAACCGAGCCGAACTATGGCAGCGGCCGAGCCTTAAAATTACGGAACCGGAAGGAGAGTCAACCCTCAGCTGGCTGCGCCCTGAACATTGCGCAAGCCGTGGGATCTGGTGTTCGCAGCCGATGCGGCAAGTATCGGCGCCGCGACTGCACCACGCTGATCCTCTTTCCACGGACGCCTTAGGCAGGACTCAGAACCAGTCTGGCTGAATGCCGGGGAATTGGGTGTTTCCCTTCTTCTCCTACCCCTGTTATTCGGCGTAACTCTTTTTCCTGTACAGCCCCTTCCGGACGCCACAAAATTAGCATGACAAGCGGTCATCCCTCACGCGCAGGACAGCTGAAACAACCGCTAGAACTTAGTTACGTCAACTAGCAGGAACGAGGTGACGCGAGCAGCTGATGAGGCCTCATCAGAAATGTGAATGGCTGCTGGCCGGGGTTCTCCGGTGCCCGTTGGCATTCGTCACTAAGCCAACCACCATTGCTTTTTCCCTCCCTTTTCCCAGAGGTATGCTCGGATCATGGACAACCTTGGCAGGGATCCGCGTGAAATCCTCATTTCACGAGGAGCTAGGTCTAAACTAGAAATCCTTCACGCAGGAGCTCTTCGGAAGCTACGGCTCCCTAGCTAGTTTCTCAGGAACGAGAGCTAGCCCAGCCTATAGGGCGCTACGCAGATGCCGTGAAGCGAGATACATGCTTTTGCCTCTCGGAGTTTGGTTCACTTTCGTATTCACTTCCGCAAGCTGCCTAGACTATGTCGTAAAGGTATGCTCAGCCGGAGTTCTCCACGAGGCTGGACCCTGGACTGTCGGCTCAAGCCGCGACACGGAATGAGTCATTTGTCCTATATACGTGCGATGGGTGCATTGCTATCACCTGGCATTAAGCATGCTCTTGTCATGCATGTATAACCCGCAGATGTGACAAATTCTCGAGTGTCACATAATCCAGAGTGAGAATCAAGGATTCATATCGGATGTTTGTTCCACTGGAATGACTAAACATTGAGACATATGAAACATATTCACCACTCAATATCTGGTAACGGGCCGGGGTCTGTTACAGAAGGTTTGTCGCTCTAGACTGCGTCTTCCGGGATATCCGCCCAATATTTCGACAGCAGAGACACTCCAGTACTATGTACTTTTGCCATGGGCCAGTGAAGGAAATGCCAGACCGGCAGCAGATACTGTCATTCGTGTGGGTAGGGATACGCCATGAAGCTCCACTAGCGAGAACATGATTCAGGTGTCAATCCTTGGTCAGGCCATCACGATCGGCTCTGGACAGGCTCGGCCAGAGCTTGTGGGTCGTCCTGGCCCTGGCACATCGTAAACAAGCGTTAGATTCTGATCTGAATCCCTGTTGCCTGGCATCCTACTGTGGGACTTCGATACCTCACGTTACTGCCTCTGGACATCTTCGTAATTCCGTTATCCGTCTTCATTTCATGCTACTTCTGGCAAGAAGAACCAGCAACGGATATAGACGGATTGAGGCCCTGTGGGTCCCATACAAGCACAAGGTGCAGCAAGCGGCTTAGGGAGGAGTGATGAACGGTGCATGCGTGACCTGAACGATCCAAGCATGTTCAAACTGGTGGGGTGCTGTGGATCCAAATTAGGGCTCCCATCCCAGCTGGCACCTGAAACACCACATTAACAAGAAGTGGAAGCAACGGACGGCTGCATGGTATCCTCCAGACGTCCTATTAACCGACCGTCAAGATACGCAAATAGGCGAGGAGCCAGAGGGAATAACCAGAGCAATAGTGAGGAGAATTCCCAGCAGGATAATGTAGCCGAGGGCACTAAGGGTAAAAGAGGCATGCTTCGGGTCCGGATGATCCCTGTCGTAATGTGGCTATACTACCTCTTCTTGGCCTCGTGGGGGACCCAACACAATGGCTATACGAGGACCATGATCATCACGACCATTCTCAATTTCTTGGGTACTCGTTGCTTTTGGTATAGCCCCATTGTCGATATCTTCGACTGACCTGGGGCCCTGAGCATTGGTACGTGTTGAGGGCACGGGACGTTGCCCGTCAAGATATGCCGTGATCAGCCTTATGGTTCCCATTCTCTGGGTCTACTTTCCCGAGGCTACCTGCCCACATGGCAATAACGGCGGCATCCCACAGGCAGGACGGCTCAAGGCAACCTGAAGGCAACCGAAGTGGGTCTGGTCGTGGCGTCGAGGCGTTGGGCAATCCCACACTTTACATCTCCGAAGTTTCAGAGAGTTTGTCTGTCACTGTCACTGTAATGGGAACGAATGTGGCGCAGGGCCATGGCCAACGTCACCAAGCTGAACCGGTTGGGGGGGGGGGGGAGCCGTGAGAGGTAATGTTAATGGTAACCACCAACTGGATGTTATAGCGGC